TTCGCTACTAGACCACGCAACAGATGTGAGATGAAGATTCCGTCTTCGCCGCAGATAAGGCGGCAGTGAGCTCTCTTTGTCCGAAGAAATTGAGCTTGCCTTTGGCTCGTTGCAGAAAGCCGCCAACAATTTCGATAACAGATATGTTTTCAAAGTATTCCGTGAGTTGCGAAGCTTACGGAGCAAAATTGCCCAAGATGTATCTGCATTGACCTCAGTCATTAGTGCCTATTACCCATCTGATCATCCCAGCAGAAAAACTTTGTTGGACAAGTTGCCTGCTGGCTCTGGATCGGCCGAAGCTGGACGTGTGGGCGAAGTGCTTCCTGAAACTAACGCGTATTTGCATCTTCTCGTGCAACTCTATCTTTTGGATACGCATGACTTGGACAAGTTGGACGAGTTTAACCAGCAAGTGATCACATTGTTGAACAGTTACAACAGGCGCACATTGGACTTTATTCTGGCCAAGATGTGGTTTTACATTTCTAGAAGTGCCGAATTGCGCAACGACTTGTTGTCAGTGCGTCCTGCTCTTTTGGCCGGCTTAAGATCGGCCACATTAAGACATGACGATGAAACCACTGCTTCTATCATAACCTTGTTGTTGCGTAACTATTTACTCACCCATGACATTTCTCAAGCGGCCAACTTTTGTGAGAAGATCGATTTTCCCCGTTAGCCCAACGCGAGGTAACGCTTTGACTGCTCGTTACTACTACTACTTATCCAGGATCTAATGCAGTACAATTGGATTACTCTGCTGCCCACGAATGTGTGGTTGCTGCCATCAGAAAGGCACCGCAGACAAAGTTGGCCCGCGGCTTTTTGCAGGAGGCGACAAAGTTGAGTATCATCATAGAGTTATTGATGGGAGATATTCCCGAATTGAAGGTTTTCAAGTCGTCCACAGGCAACTTGGAACCATATTTCCTTGTCACCAGAGCAGTGCGTTTGGGTGACTTAAAGATGTTTGAAGAGGTGTTGAACAAGTACGAGGCCGTTTTCGTGAAAGACAACAACTTCACGTTGGTATCGAAATTGCGCTAGAATGTCATCAAGACTGGTATTAGGATGATATCCTTGTCGTACTCGCGTATCTCCTTGAAGGAAATCTGCATCAAGTTGCATCTTTGACTCAGAAGAGGCAACTGAGTATATTGTCTCGAAGGCCATCAGAGATGGTGTTATTGGACGCTTTCGGTGAAACCATAAGGATGTGCTACATGCAATCAAGAGAAATTGTTAGATGTTTACTCTACCAAAGCGCCACAGGAAGGAATTTAACCAAAGAATCCCGCTTCCTGTTTGTCGTTGTACAATGATTCGGTGGAAAGGCCATGAGATAGTCCATCTAGACGATAGCAAACCAAGATGTGAGCAGTCACAGTTTAGAAAGGTTTGGAAGACGAAATGGGGTTTGTTGCAGGCCATCGATAGACGGTGATTTGGATGACTTTATGGATTAGCTGCCACATCGTATAATAGATGAATATTACGAATCCTTTGATAAACTAAAACCCATGTTTCTACCTGGAGTGCATGTATATAAAGTGTATGTGAGCGGAAATGTACAGAAGCGCACATATTGAGCCTTTCAAGAAGCCGGAGTCTCATTAGTTCTAGCATGGCCGATAGTGATAGAGTTCGTTTGCATCTAGATAAAAGTCTCTATGGTAAGAACCAAGATCCTTTTCTTCAAGATGAGGATAGTATCCCTATTGCAGAATTGCTCCCACAAATTCTTCGAGAGAGACAATCATTTTTGAACATCACTGAAGACAGTTTGCAGGCGGAAATTGAACAGAAAAACAAAGGAATCGATACATTCGAAGACAATGAGACCCAACCCGTGGAAGAAACTGATGAAGACACGGAAAGTGCTTTCCAAAAATTCCAAAAACAAAAGATGGAACTTTTGGGTCATATAAACTCAGCCATGAACGAGACATCCCTTTCTTTAGACTTCGTCTCTTTGCTTATGTCGGGGCAGAAACCTAATGTTTCTAAGGCTACAATGTCACCGTATCTCACGAAGCATGTTCCACTAGGATCTTTGGGTTCTGATAGACTTTCTCAAAACTCTGAACCGGAACACAACAAGGGCGATGGAGATGCCCAGAAAGTTGCGAGTGTGGGCTTGGGCTGGAAATACCAATCTCTTAATCATATAAGTGAATTGTTTAAAGGGGCAGGCTCACAGCTACGAAGCCAAGTGGAAGTTGAACGTCATTATTGGAACTCTATCAATACGGTCTTAAATCATGGAGAAGTTTTGTTCTCGCTACGTGATCCTCTAACTAATTCCAGAGCCATTGGAGTAAAATACGGATATGGGGATTCAGGGTCGAACTACTTCGACAAGGGACTTGCAGTTCTTCGTAAAGATGATGAAACCGGAGAGATCACATTCAGCCCGATTACGACGGGCAGCCACAGACTAAGCCATAAGGCCACTAAATTCACGAGAGTGAAGATACTCAGCAAGATTGATAACGACTTCATGTTGACCGGCCAATCTCTATTCGAAAAGAAGTGCATGGAAGATAAGAGTGAGCACAAGGTAATCAACGACATCGAAAGAGCACGGTATTTTCTTTTCGAGGAGGACTTATTTTATCATTTGATACGTGAAGCCAAAAATCTTATCAGTTACAATGTTTCGATTATTTCAAACAAAATCATAATCGAAATTTACGACCAGATCATCGAAATCGAATCTGTGATTTACGACGAAAATAATGAAGAAGAGTTGAGCAACACGTATCAGAACATAAACAAAGAATCTTCGAAGAACAATGACAAGGCACAAGCAATCCTAACTTTTCTCAAGCTTATGTTGTGTTGTTATTACAATTTCAATCTCGAATTGAAGCAAAAGATCCCCACATCTTTCACTAAGTGGAAACAAAACAATACTCATCCTTTGATGCTTAGACCTTTGATTGGAAATATCCGACATGAGCATAATGTGCACAGCATGAAAAGAATAATCCACAGAATTTGTAAAAGTCTTGATTCATCATTGTTTTCTCATGAGGTCAAGGAGGAGAAATTTTTGAACTTAAAAGCTGACAAAATCACCAATCCGTTTAAGAAGGCCATCACCAAACCAATAAGTACCTTTACGTTGATTCTACAGAAGTTGGCTACCAAAGAACACTTAAACGTGGAGGTGGAAGTCACAACGTCGGATATTTTTGTGAATTTGATACTTATATTGACGGTTACAAAGTACAAAACCAATGAGGATTTGCAGCAAAACCAGGATGGAAGCAACGTTCTTCAGCTTAAATTCAGTGACTTTACTGAAATAGAAGAAAGCATGAACTGGACTATATTGAACTTCTTGCAATCGCAGTGAAGGCAGAGTTTACTCGACCGGTACGACACGTTCGCCTTCTTCTTCTCTCAACTCATCTCCGTGTTCTTCGAGAAATTTCTTGGCTCTGTAATATTTCTCATCTCGAAGATTGTTATAAATCAAAAAGTTGAGCCAGATTTCAATAAACGAATAGGTGAAAACCAAGTTGTTGGCAATGATGCCGAACTCCGAAATCAAGCAAAATGAACCCAAAAGGAAAAAGAATGTAAGTCTAGTAGGAACTAGAGTCTCGAAGTAAGCGATGTTTTCTGCAAGACATGGAATCAAGTCGCTTATGGCACTTGATGCAATGAAAATGGACAAGATTCCGAAAAGCGGGTTGGTATCCGAAGCGTGAACAGTTGGTAGATGCATAGCTTGGCCCAAAATCAAAGTGAAATTGGCTTTGACAATAGCAGCCGGATTCTTCACCAACATGAAGGCCAAGCAAAGTAAAAGAATCACGCGGACATATAAAATGGTGCTGGCAGTAAGAAATTGCATTGTGAACTGGGAGACGCGAGATGCGAATTTCGATGTCAGATTTGCCTTTAGAGTACTAGAGTCGTGGATAGAGAAAAACACAAAAAAAAATCATTTAAAGTGTCATAAATTGAAATTTCCGAAAGATTAAATTTCATCCCACAAACTAATGAATTCTACATCACAGCTTTGTTACTTCGCCATTTCATATTGAAACTTTGCATTTTTTGCCTCTTGTTGCCTTCTCGCAACATATTGCTAGTTAATGAAGAAGGATCTGTACGACTAGGAATTTACGCGCTTGAAAACCCATTGACGCTAATTCCTACAACATCAGATGCACATTCTGTTAAACTTGCGTAGAATTCTTTTACTTCTTCTTCTCCAAATCTCTGAAGTCTACTCTAGAACTAGGTACTATGAATTCAATCTTACCCAAGAATATTATGCCCATGATGGCGTCTACAAAAGTGTCAAAGCTATTAATGGTATGTCTCCTGGTCCGACTTTAATAGGAGACGAGAACGATTGGGTGGAAATCTTGGTGAACAACCAACTAGAAGTTCGGGCGGCAATTCATTTCCATGGCATATTACAAGTCGGCACTCCATGGTCTGACGGAGTTCCTGGAGTGACTCAATACCCAATCCCCAGTGGCGGCAATTTTACTTACAGATTTCAACTTAAAAACCAAAGTGGAGCTATGTGGTACCATTCACATTATCGAGGGTATCTGTCTGATGGGCTCTACGGAATGATATACATCCGGCCGTCACCTAGAAGGAAAAGGCCGTACCACTTGATCACTAATATCAGTAAAGACTTGGAAATGCTCTATAGGCTTGAAAAAACTCCATCAGTCTTGATTGCAGACGATGCTTTCAGGCAAAACATGGATGACATCATGGCTAGGATGTTCCATTTCGGGGTAGATCCTGTTTGCATCCAGAGCTTACTCATTAACGGCAAAGGTAGAGTGTATTGCCATTCGCATGAGAGGTTCTATACTTTGGCGAAGAAGAAACCCTTTTTAAAAAGAGTGCCGTATTTTGATTCCATGGGTTGTTTGAGAGACGACAGCTTCCTCAAGTACAATGACCACACACTTGATCATTTTGCGCTCGAACTTCCAGGGTATTCTCTCGATTGCAAATCCACATTATCAGAAAACTTCATTTTTTTCACCAATGGATCTCGATGGCAATACGTTAATTTTCTTAATGCCGGGGGACAATATACTAAAGCTTTCTCTATTGATGATCATAAATTCTATGTCATTGCAGTTGATGGTGCGTTTGTGTTTCCTCAAAAAGTCACCAGCGTGGTACTCCCAGTTGGATCTCGTATGACAGTGTGTTTTGAAACCAAGCCCGAGCAGCATGAAAGTACGCATAAGCCTTTTGCAATCCGTGTGGCCGCTATTCACACGCCTCAATTCATTGAAGCTAAAGCACTACTAGTTTACGGTAAAAGAGAGGACTTTGATGAGGATGATATCCGAGGGTTTCAAGAGTACAACGAATTGAATAATGGGAAGAAGTTTCAGGATGTGGATGGGTTTCCTACTAACAAACACTGTAAATGGATTTGGCCCCACCATACTCACCCCTACGAAAAGGAGAATCAGCTCCACAAAATCGAGCCGGCGGATGTCACTTTTAAATTCTTTCTTAACCGAACTGATATGGTCAAATTCAGTATGTTTGAGGATTGGTCGGAACTTCCTTCTGATTTTGAAGTTCAGAAACCAATGTTGCACCAGCTTCAAGATGGAACTCTCAACGTGACAAAGTCGAAAGCATATTTGCAGCCGCCCGTAAAGCTGGGTCAAATCGTGGATTTTATCATCAATAACTACAAGCGAATCAACCATCCCATACATATGCATGGACATTATGTCCATATCCTCAGCTTTAGCGACCAGGAAAATTTTCCCTACAATTCTATTGCAGAAGCAAAGAAACACAAATATCCACTTCTCAATTTGGATAATCCTCCCTTTTCAGATGTCGTTATGGCGGCCGTTGGAGGCCACGTAGTTCTCAGGATCACGGCAAACAATCCTGGAATATGGCTCCTACATTGTCACAATATAGGACATCTTTTGGGAGGTATGGGCGCCGTCCTTTTTGAATCGCTTGAGGAAATTCCCTCGCTCGAAAAGTTACCCTCACGCTAGGTCGCAAATACACATACATGTTTGTATTTCCTCCAGCTAGATTCCTGTCCCAGATCCTTATTCTTTTTCTTTTTTTTGAAATGTGCCTCACTCTTCTAGTTTTAGGATTCTTTTCTGTCACATGTATGTCATTAACCCGTATTCTTGACTCCTAGCCTATACTTACAGTAGTTTTCTGGATTATCTTAGTTCCTTCCGCTTTTGTATTTGGAACATTTTACATGCTATATTCTCTTTTGAATGAACATGTGAGAGCTATTTGGAGACGTTATCGACTATACGTCAACAGGCGTTACTTCCCCGGCAGCCCTCTTTTTAAAATGACTCCCGAAACGCCAGAAGCCGTGATTTTCAGCACAGCCCGTTTGCTTCGTCCAGTTACCCAAGTCATAATTGACCCATACACAAAGTTAGAAAAGTCTACAACTAAAGTCTTTCCAACACATGAGCAAAGAAACAGTGTGCCCACCATTTCATCCGAATTAAACTCGAGCATTGGAGGTTAGGCGAATTGAAAGCAAACAGAGTTCGGATGGAAGAAGGGAGTTACTTTCATTCACATACTCGACGTATCATATACCAGCCTAGTACTTCGCATTCATTCTCTTTGCCTATAATATTTTTTTTTTGTTGTATAGTTTCTCTGTATCGCCGAATTGCAGAGCACTTTGTGAGTATCTGTGTTGAGAACCACCTACTGCACTCTCTATTTTACACTGTATTTTCCTGCACACATCTCTCACCATTTTCCTTTTTTTTTCTTGATTTCCAGACATTCAAGCTGTAAGTGCAGAGAAAGATTTCGGTTTCATACTGCAAATCACTTTTTTCCAGCCCTTTCCATAAGCTTTCTTTTCAGTCTGAGCTGATCTTCGCGAAAACATGAGAGCTTCCAGCGTGCTCAATTTCCAGCATTCTGCCACTGCCAACTTGAGAAGACCATGGCAGACATTCAAGGACGGCCAGATATGGTATGGTCTTACAACGAGAGGTTCCAAGAGACACCCCTTGACTTCAAAACAGGGAAACAAGCATTATTACAAAGGTACTGGTTCTTCTGGATACGGAAAGTTGAATAAGGCTGGTCAATATATTGTCAACTGGTCCAAAGTCAGAACATACGTGGTTCCAGCGGATTTGCCCAACACGGAACTCAAGGCCTTAGTTGGTGGCTCTGTTCCGCAGATATACCAACGTCTCGAGGGTTACAGTGATGGTTTCAAGAGTCCTGAACTACTTTGGGAAAACATCAAAGACTTTGTCGAATACGGGGAGAACTACAATGACCAAGATTTAGAGAAGAATAACTACTTGGAAGAGTTTATCCACCCAGATGTTCTCAAAGCACAGGAGGAGGAGAATGCTGTAATCACAAAGGATTAGGGTCGCTAGCCTAATGCGTAGAACGTTAAAGGCATTCTCTTGGTGTGAAATAGGATATCAATCCCTTGTATATAGACATAATACTATCTGAGGTTTTTAAGTATTCATGTAGGTGAGCTTGTTTATTTTAGTCTTCTTTGAATTTAGAGCGCAATGTTGAACTTTATCGTGAAATTTCTTGTGTATCTATTGAGCAAAAAGTGGCATCGGATTCTGTCAATGAAGACCTTGTTTCTCTTTTCATTATGGCTTACGTCGAGTAGAATTATCGAAAGTGTGGGCAGCCTTAGCATTTTTTAATACATTAAGCGCCTGTATACTTCGCCAATTCTCTTACGTTTGGTGAAGCGCGTCCTCTTCATAGAATGAATAAGTCGGTTCTGATGTCAACCGTTACTAGTGATCCAGAGGCTATTGGCTCGGCCGGACCAGTAGATATCAAATCTACGTCTCCTGCAAGCGAAAATACCGAAACTCCATATCCGGAAGACCATGACATGAACGAAATGGAAGATGATGCTTTGGAAGAGGTAGACGAGTCGACCATGAGTCTCCCGCTTTCTAAAATTAAGAGAATTTTCAAAATAGATCCAGATTACTTTGGATCTTCAGCAAGTGCAGTTTACGCTACGGGTGTAGCTACCGAACTATTCGTTCAATATTTGGCAGAGCATGCGTCTGTATTAGCCAAATTAGAGAAGAGAAAGAAGATTCAATACAAGGATTTGAGTAACGCCGTCAGCACACAAGATGCTTTGCATTTCCTTAGTGATACTATTCCAAGAACTCAGACTGTGGGGCTGGCCATAAAAGAAAAGAAGATTAACTTGTCAGAGAGCGACAAGTCGAAACATGCTGATATCGTCGGTGAAGAACAGGTTGAAAATGAAGAGGCTTCTTCTGGAAGGCCAACATTACCGCCTTTGCCCAAAGGTCAAACGAGTCTACCTTTCGAGCCCGTTCCAAAATCAGAAGTTAAAAAGGCTGTTATACATGACCTTGTGCTGAATGACAATGCACAAAACGAGTCTGATTCAATGACTATTGACGGGTAAGATTTAAGGCGTGTTAATCATATAATACATCAATTGCATGACTGGTTCAACTTTGATTTTTGATCACCCAGAGTAAGTTTTGTACGTCTCGTGCTAGAGGTAGCTTGCTATCTATGCCCAAACGCAAGCAAGCACTGACTATATCATAAGCTACCAAATCAGGAACCATCCTCCCATAAACATTCAACCCCGTTATAAGCATCTTCACGTTCAATTGCGTTACTATTGGAGATACTTTCGACTGAGAAACCTCCAAGTGTTGTTTGTTCAGCTTGGTTCCGATTCGGAATAGTGGGCTTTTGCTTTTCAAGTAGTTCCACATTTCATTAAACCTTTTGCTCATAAAAAGCTCATGCCTGTAATCTTCTTCAAAAACTTCAATGGCTAATTCAAGAGCTGGTTCCATAAGTTGTTGCAGCTGGTGTAACTCGCCTGATATATCATGAGCTGATATGGTCGTAGTTCCAGCTAAGATCAGCAAAATCAATGGCCAGTACTGAGCCAAAAGGGGCATCAATGCCTTATAATTGGAGGCCATTAATGGATATCCTTCTTTGAGAGTTTTCAAAACCTGTACTTTCAATTTCGTAGAAGGATGTGAGAGTAGTTGAAGTCCGTATGTGAATATTTGCTGCAAGGAAGAATAAACCCCCTTCGGAATTGGTGACGTCCATACCTCTGAGTCTGCCTCTCCTTCCGGAGATGTTGCATCTTCATCATCAGAATCCTCATCATCGGAATCCTTCTCCTCGCCAGAATCATCCTGTTCCCCGAACGGTATTCCAGGTTTCCGTTTGAAGTACTCTTTGTTTGGATCATAATCACTAAATGGGTCTACTTTTCGATGAATGTCATCGATTAGTTGGAGCATGGAATCTCTATCAGTAAGGCCCCATGGCTTATAAGTAGATTCTATCTTTTGTTCAAGACTTTTTGAGATGTCTGTAAAATACATGCTCTTGATTTTCCGGATAACTTCTTCAAAGACAATAAAAAAATTCTCCACAAGTGTTGAATAGCCGTGGAATGAATCGATGACAATAAACATTTCGCTTAAAATATCCTGCAATTGGTTTCTCTCCAATAGGTCTCTGCCTGAAACTTTTAGCACTAGCAACAAGATTCCCGGAAGCGATCGTGTAAGCCCACTGGCGACAGAAAGACTCATACTCAAGGAATCGATAAGATAATCCGAGTTTTCTGAAATGAGTGTTTCCAATGAACCGCCGTAGAACCGTTGAACAATTTGATCAAGACAAATTTTCGCTTGGATATGAGCTGCACTCAGGTTTGGAAAGGTTAAGGCCTCTAATATGGGAAAAAGCCAATCCATGAGAACATCAGTTTGGAAATCATCTTTGCTCAAATGCGATGTAAGTATGCCGATAGTCTCAAGAGCGGAGGCATATGCTAAATCACGCGAGTGATAGCCGTTTATACCAACATGGGAGATATCTTCGATTGCTTGGTTCTTCGCATCCACTAACAAATTCTCTGCTTTTTCTAGAAGTAAGTATGGTAGTTCATCAGAAGTGCAAGAAGCATCCTTGGTGGTTAATTCGAATTGAAGAAAGCTATTAACATCAAATCCGTCCTTATTTTCTGTGTCCATATTCTGATACAATCTGTTAGAGACCCACAAGTGAATGCTTTGTCTCATGAGCATATCCTGAGTAATTTCCAATCCTTGTAAGTCATTTAAGAGAATAGATTGGACGCTGTCGACTGTTTTCGGGTTGGAATTAGCAATACTTTTCAAAAGATTCTTTATGTGATTCTCTGAGGATGTTGTCATTATGTTTCCAAACCAGGTCATTCTCTCTTGAAATTCTGCGGCATCGTACTCCATGTTCAATTTCCGTAAATTTGGTCCTTGAACAGGAGTAAGTGCTCGTGTATTAATTTTAGTTAAGTTTTTGGCATCAATATGAGGAGGGAGCTCAATGTTATCCAAAACATTCCTTTGTTCTGCCGAACTATTTTCTCCGGAAATCAACTTGCGAATGTCTTTACCTGTTTGTATTGGATTTTTTCGGGAAGATGATAAGTTCTGAATGATAGAATTGGTCACAATTTCTATCACCTTTTGTTGAAGAATAGTTATTGATTCCGTGTCTTTGTTTAAAAGCGATATTGTCAGACTTAGAACATAGAAGTGCAATCTGATTGCCACGATGCAAATATTAATTTTTTCATCGTTGGTGGAATTTAAAACGGAAGCAAATTGGGAAATAAGGTTCTCCGTTTTAGTCTGCAATTGCCGTAAAAAAAAATTGAAGTTCGAGTAGCTTAGCCTCTCATAAATTCTTCCTGATTTTATTATTAATTCATCAATGTCTGCATCTGAATCTGCACTCTCCATAGTGCAGACATAGATAAGTGCTGATAGAATGTCAAGTGAAGACTTCTCTAGTTCGTTGAAAGTCGATTTGAAACACTTGCTCATTATTTCTTCCACAAATTCCAAAATAGCATCTCGCAATTGAGGCTTTGTTGATATTTTTATTCTTGAAGAAGACAGAAAGAATAAGCTTCTAAAGAGTGCAATCATAGAAATGTTGAGCTTTTTGGATGTAGTCTGAATCCATTTTTCTGTTCTGTGCGGTTTCGTAAATTGTTCCGGCAAACTTATTTTAACGGGAATGAGTGCCACTTGAGAGTCATCGTGTTGATTTTCATACAAATCCTTAAGACTTTGCAAGCTTTCCGCCACTGCAGTTTCATCAGATATTACCGGATGAAGATCACCATCATTAAATACTTTGACAATGAAGGTTTTCAATACATTCAAGACCTTGATGGTAGTGGATGTATGTATATTCTTGGATGTCGTGCAAAAGTTCACCAAATTAGATATTATTCCGGGGAATACAAGCGAAGTTTGCTCTGCTGTCACACGCACAAAATAAAGTGACTCTAACGTACTTAGTATGAGCATGACTAACTCATTGTCATCTTGGTTCAAAGTTGACCCCCAAGCTTCCCATGACATCTAGAAGTATGGTTGTGCTGTCTCCAAGTACAGAAAGTCTCAGGAAAGCATTCTTTTCATCTTGAAAGTATTGTCTTGGAAAACAATGAGTGAGCGATGCCAAGCAGTGTACTGTGGAACTTTTGAATGCAAAATCTTTGTCGATTATTGTGGAGTGTTTGGAGTTTGAAATAGAGGCTCCTCCCGCAAGAACGACTACCAAAGGGCATAGCTGATCCACAAGCCGAATATCCAAGTTATATTGCCATGCGTTATCCGTGAGGAAAGTCACTACTTCTAGAATATATCTTATAGTCTCGGATTCTAGATGCAGCTGTTTGAGAAGATTTGAAATGGGAAAGAAGATATAATCTGCAACTTTTGAGGAGAGCACATAGTGTTTCAAACTAGAAGCGCTTTTGTGCTGCTGTAGTTTTGTTGTGAGTGATCTTAAACCGTAATTGATGTTGGAGATGTTGGAGTGTAGTTTCTCATCTGGCAAAAGCGTGAGTTCAGTGATCTCCACACAAGTTGACTTGATGGCTCTAAATAGAGATTGTGATGTATCACGCACTTCGGGCAGATCCATGAGAGGAGTAGTATTTCTTGTAAGAATTGAACCGTATGGAGTTACAAGGTGAATTGAAGAAATGGTGTTCACGTGATCAATTCTTCACTATTCGAGGGTATATACAGATGATATTTACAATTTGAAAACGTTGGAATTGTCCCAACCTTTGGCTCCTAACAAACCACTTACAGCTCCTTGCTCATTAGTGGCCATTAGTTTTCCTCCAGATACAAAATCCACATATCCATACGGTCCACATACGATACTGAGCGCAGGATCAGCCTTTTTCTCACGGCTTGTGACAGTAGCCTGCTGAAGAGCATTTTCATATCTTGGAGCTCTTTTCTCTTCATTTGCCCTCGTAGTACGTTCGGATGAGCTTTTTGGTCCGTCCATAATGGCCATTCTGAGCTTTAGGGCCTCCTCTGGTGATTGAGTCTTTATCTCTCCTTCATCCAATCCTTCAATTTCCTGACGCATTGGACTGATATAGTTTCGGGGAACAGGTTTATCAATATCACCTGCCTTCAACTTCGTCTTTGGTTTTTCATCAATATGGGATACAAGTTTGATTCTATCCAACTTCTCTAAGAAGAATAAAAATCTTTCCAATGGACCTAACTCAGAGCTCGATTTGGCCGAATAATGAACTGTGGTAAAGCCACGGTATGGATTTTTGGAAAACAAAACTTGGAGGATTGGTGCAATGCCAGTGCCCGCAGCATAAAATGCTAAGTTGTCGAAGTCAGGAACACCGTTTTCTTTCTTGATAGTTTCCAAGAGAGATTCCGCTTCTACTTTTGATGGTAAGTCTCTAAATCCGGGCCTCTCGTGTAACTGCTTGAGAGGGTGATGAGGGAACTTGTACTCAACATGAGGTCCTCTAACATCAATTTCATCTCCCACCTCCTTATTAACAATGTATCGCGAAACTTCTCCGTCCTCGTATCTTTTAATGTAAAAAGTCATTACGCCTCCTTTGTCATAATCCTCGGCATCGTTATCGATGACCCGCAATACTGGATCTTTTTCGCCCGAACGAGTCCGTTCTGATTTCATGAAATACAACGGTAAAGGCGTGTACGATCTCAGGACCATAATTTGGGGTTGTTTGATTTCGACAGACCAAATGCGATCGCCATTCCAAATGGATTTGTTTTCATAATGTGCGTAGTAGCTATATTGCCAATTCTTGAATTTAGGACGAATTTCTATCAAAAAGTGATCGTCGTCGACTTGATGCTTGTGTGTAATGACAAACTTGTGGAATTCGTACGGATCCAATAGTTCCTTACTGTCAGAGCCTTTTTCTGGTGCAAAGTACCAAACCTTAACAGAATAAGCTCCCCATAGAACCACAAGCACGGTGAGGATTTTTGGAACATGACGACTCCATCTGTTTACTGTCTTTGGTTTCTTAGCATCGTTGCTGTGTTTCGAAAATGCATCTTCATTGGGCAATCCTGGGTAATCATATGTTAGCCTTTCGTGCTTGAGCTTTGGTATATATGGTTTGTTATTCTTTGACATTAATTTTTCGATACCAAGCTCAGGATCCATTGGTGCTGGAGCAGATGGCGAAGTCTTTGGCTTAATATGGAATGATACCTCTTCAGCTTGTTTTTTCACAATCTGCTCATCTTGGCGCTTTTTATCTTCATTCTTTTTAGTGTTTTCCTTGGAGTAGAAACGCCCCAGAAAACTATGGCTCGGCTTTACCGAAAGGCATTTTGCACGAAGCGTGAGTTGAGCCGGTGTAAGAAAGTGGCTCCTGAACACCCCAAATCTGTACATCAATTGTTGTATGATCTTCAAAGTAAGCTTAGTATAGTTAAAATGGTCACGTGTAGACCTGTCTATTCTGTGAGATTACCTTGAGCTCTTCAATTACGATACAAACATCGAAAACCAATTACTAGTAACTAGCATATCATCTTACATACGTTGACTATAAACACCTTGAAGCAATATGATGGTTGGAGATTCATGCTTAAGATAACAAGCAAACACGACAAAACTCTAACAAATTATATTAAAAAAAAATATATATATATATATATATATATATATAAAGAAAGAGAAAAGTTCCCGGCTTTTGGGCGCTCTGTGTAGAGTTCTTGACCGAAGTTCTTCGTTTTGTTGTTGCTTTCTTTTCTATATCTTGTAGTAGTCTAAGAGAAGTAGGATGTGTTTCCTGTACATCAAGAAAGTACCTGCAGTATCTTCGTTGTGGGTGAAAAGTGAAAATTTTTCGCATTCTTGTTCACTCTTTGTACTTCTTCTTCTACTTCAAATTGTATGTACAGCCAATTTTTGCATCAGAAGAGCTAGAGGGTTTCCATCACGTACAATCGGCAAAACAATGGTCTGAGAATCTTGCGACTTGGGTGAATTTTCATAGCAGTTAGCATCTCACGATGCTTTCCACTCTGAAGGTTTTCTGAACAGAGAAACAAGATACCTCGGATTATTTTGCGACAGTTTACTGTCTTTTGCTCATGACTCCTTTCATTCAAGGACACTCATGCTGCTTTCTGTTTTGTTTGATTGTGCTCGTTTTACTAACTGTTCAGAATTATGACTAGAACCTCTGTTTTGGCTGACGCCTTGAACGCTATCAACAACGCTGAAAAGACCGGTAAGAGACAAGTCTTGATTAGACCTTCTTCCAAGGTTATCATCAAGTTCTTGCAGGTCATGCAAAAGCACGGTATGTTTTTTTCTTCCTTATTTCCAGGTGTTCATCAAGTCTTTCCTCACCTATTCTTCTAGTCCCGAAATGATAACTGGATGGATTGATCGGTGTTCAGTCCCTATCTGTCTTTTAAATTTTCGGAAGATCAAAGAGGGAATGCTTCTTACACGGTTCTGAGATTATTTGTTCTCTTAGCCGTTTACTTTCGCTCGACATTTTTTCACTTTTTCTTTTAGAAAGGCTTGATGAACGCTTCCTATGAAGCGATTACTAATTATTCAGGTTACATTGGTGAATTCGAGTACATCGATGACCACAGATCTGGTAAGATTGTTGTTCAATTGACCGGCAGATTGAACAAGTGTAGGTGTTATCTCCCCAAGATTTAACGTTAAGATTGGTGACATTGAAAGATGGACTGACAACTTGTTGCCAGCCAGACAATTCGGTTACGTTATCTTGACCACCTCTGCTGGTATTATGGACCACGAGGAAGCCAGAAGAAAGCATGTTTCTGGTAAGATCTTGGGTTTCGTTTACTAAGCGTTTGTATCTTATGTACTGGGTAATAAAAGGCTATATTGAGTAACACTGACAAGTATTCTTTAATCTATTTTTTTCTGAACTTGTATTTTTCCTTTTCGTTGTCGATGGTTTCACGCAAGTAGTGTAGATGATAAAATGCAGATAAATAAGATCCAAGTGCAATACGTCTATTAATTGTCATGCTTCCCGAATCAGCAAAATTCATTGGAAATATTCTATCGTGGACTTTGCGAGCTGGATGTGCCACTCATTTATTCAATGAATATGTTTACGAGTTTACAGAAACGAAAGGTGAATCAATGCTCCCCACTTTACAAGCGCAACATGACTTTGTTCACGCCTTGAAAAAACACAGATTAGGTCGAGATGTAGAGATCGGTGATCTAGTTGTTGCACTTAAACCTTCAGATCCCGACCATCGGATCTGTAAAAGAATAACGGGAATGCCGGGAGATGTTATATTGGTGGATCCTTCTAGCTCCTCGCAAATAACCAATTCACCCAACTTGTGCATCGAGCATGATGGATTCAACAAATACGTGGAAGTGCCGGAGGGTCATGTATGGGTTACAGGTGATAACTTAAGTCATTCACTAGATTCACGTTCCTACTCGTGGCTACCGATGGCGCTCATCAAAGGGAAAATTGTGGCAGTCAATTCTATGGACAAACTGCTTTGGGATGACGATGGAAAACTTTGGTTCTACAACTTCCGATGGATCGATAACACATTTGTTGATGAGCTATGATATAGAAATACATACGATAAGCTTCACTTGTCTATTCACTGTGCTTGAAGGAAATATGTAGAGAAATCATGCAGCACGCAGTTTGGCCATGACGTTCAAAGCCTTAGACCCAAGGAAAACCGATGGAGCAACAAGAAGCAACACATGCGAGATGGTAGTAAAAATGCTAGCACCCAAATAGTATCTCAAGAATGTGTGTTCAACGGCAACTAAAGCTACTAGGAAGCCAGTCTTATAAGTACCTCCACTAGAGTTAGAGTTGTTTTCTCCGAAAATAGAGGACCAAACAACAAATAAAACCAAAGTCAAAACACCCGCAACGGCACTGAATGCCAATGGCACGATGGCGTTGACCGTGGATTCATCTTGTTTAAAAATATGATGGATTTCGGGCAAGACACCAAATCTTTCAGCTTGTTTCTCTTTAGTCGTTTCCCTGAGTTCATCCGAGCAAGTAAGCTCAGCAACTTTAGTGTGTATGTTTTCATTCACATCATCTCCGCTAGCAATAACTAACGAAGCGGTGATTTTTCCCTGACGCACTAAAGCTGTGGGAAGAGAAGAAACGGCAATTTGGATTGCAAGACTATGTTTCTGGGCATTGTAGTCGGGAAAAACCGCATAGTCCAAGCCTTTCTCGTCGGAGAAAAGTAAAATCAGTTGATGTGGCCTCTCAGATGATGCGAGCTTGATGGTGAAAGTGAGAGCATCTTTCGGTTTCTCAATGCCGACACGTATGACCTCACTGGGCAAAGATTTGGCATTGTATAGTTTTTGCGAGTTCAAAGAGAGACCGAAATGTTCCACGGAGTACGCAAATGTACTAGCAGCTAACAAAATCCACAGCACAGGAATGTAGACGCTGAGTTTCATGTTGTGGATGGTTGCAGACTGTAGATTTGAAAATTGAGTTGACGTGGTCGCACTCAATACTTCTCCTGCAGAATACGAGGGTGGGTACTCTGGTATAACGAGTTGTCGAACAGAAAAAGGATCTTTGGCCTCCGTTTTCTTTGGTTACTCCAGTTTGACTGTAAGTAAAGGCTTTTTAATCATGAGTTTGGGGTGAAACTCCTCAACACCTAGCTTTACTATTGCATTTGCCAATTGTGTAGTCCTACTGGCACCTTGACAATCCTATCTTGGTGGAACTTATCAACAATTCGAATTCAGGTGCATAAACACAAGCTAAGAGTTTATAGATGTTTCGTTAGTCTTGTTTGTTGAACCTTTCGGTCGACAATTTGGATAAGACTGCACGTGATCATATCAGCTCAGGGCACATGTCCAGATTTAAGATTAAGCAAGCTTGCTCTTCAGGGTTTATCACTTGTACTACTCTCAGCGATGAAGATACCAGAGAATCCGAAGAATCCAGGCCCTTTCGAGGAGCAGTATGGCTACAAAGAAATAAAAGTCAAGATGCAAAAGTATCACGACAAACCTACGCCCACTTCGGCGAAACAGAGCAAGGCTCAAGAGTTCATTAGCTCGAAGACTGATAAAGCACATCAAAAGAAATACGCTAAAAAGGTTTTTGATGTGATTGTACGCAGCTTGTGCAAATAGTGGCGGTGTTGTATGACTAATTTGTTCTAGACAAGAATGTATTATTACCATTAGAGTTTTGATGTAGATAAAGCTTCGCGTGCAAGCTCACAGACTCTTTGAGCAAATCCGTAACTTCCTTGATAGCCACCTCCTCCGGCACCATAGTTGTGTATAAGCCATTTCTTCGATGGGTCGATTTCAATCCTCACCCCACCCTCTCTAAATGGCCGGAGACCGACGTTAACTCTGACGATGTCAAGATAGTCTGGGTTACCTTTGAAAGAGGGATCAACTAGCTCTGGGGCATATTTAAGGGCTCTCTTAACAATACGTTGGGTCATTCCTAAATCCTCCGTACCATCCCAAATGTCTGCATGGAAGCTTCCGCCAATAATAGCTCCACCCTCTTTTCTGGGCATTATGTATAAAGACTCATTCTGTTCTTTGAATCCTTCTACCATTATAACTTTGTCAACTGTGTTTCTTACAACCATAACCTGTCCACGGACTGGAAATGTACGCTTGGGATCCGTGAAGCCGCCAATCTTGGTCGCTGTGAGCCCCGCACAGTTAATGACCAATTTAGCAGATGAGCTAGACGAGTGCAAAGTTCTCGCATGATCAATGTGGGTGATCTGTGGAACTCTTTTCACGACAATTCCTGATGCAAGACACTTTTGGAGCAAATAAGTCAAGTAGACGGGGAACTGACAATACTAGACCTTCTGATTCTTTACCAAAGACTGTTCCTGGACGAAGTTCATCTTTAGGTAAAATGCGGGTATTGGTCATAGCATCAAACCAGTCATTGAACTTGGAAACATCGCCATTGACCTCTTCCAAAGCTTGTGGAGTATAGTACAGAGCATTAGGCTTTCTCCAAATTCCAGACTGCGGATCGTCTGCCAACCGCATAAGCTCATGGTAACCAACTGTATCCAATTCTTGTAAGTATTTGTCTTCGACAGAAGCAAAAGAGTGCCAATTTGCGCCAGCAAATGGTGAGGTGTAGAAAAGCGATATATCACCAGGCAAAAATGTGCCGACTATAGTGATATCATAGGCTGAGTTTTCTCTTTTCAACTGAAGCGCAGTTGTAAGTCCAACAACTCCAGCACCAATCACTACTACTGGAATTGACATTATCTCAACTAGAAAAGTATGTGGCCCGACTCCAGCGGAATCTGGAGGATATATAGTACCTCCTTTGCATTTGACTACTGCACATATTGACTCATGCAGCTGGCTAAAAGTCGAGCGGAAAAGATAACGGCTCTCACAACCTTCAGATTTGTCGTAAGTATTGAGTGTAAATCAGTTGTTTAACATCTGCTGTGTTTCGTACATTGATCATGGATAAATGCGGTATTAATGTTGTTTTCCCCTCTGCTGGCAAACTTGACTTGTGAAATGTCACCTAACCTATTTGCAAACATGTTTCTATCTTCGTTCGTAACAAAGGCCTTTCATTCGTGAAGAATGGGATTTTTTTTCATGAAGCTTGATGTATCTCCGATGGTTTCAATCTGGGCTCAACACTTTTCCCTCCAAAGAAACTCTCAAATGAAGTACTTGTTCCTGCATGATATTCAACACACTTCACTACACTTGTTTCAGCTCCGTCACTTGATATGTTCTCTTTCGCCAAAAGATTAGTCGAACGATTGGAAGGGGCCCCACGAAATGAGAAACCGGATCCATATTTCCAGGATCTTTGGAAAATCAACAACGGTGGGCATGGGCTTCGAGTGCTCTCCGTTATGCCTCATTCCACAGCTCAACAGCTTGGATTTGAGGCGTTTTTTGATTTCATCGTCAAAGTAAACAATCATGAGTTACCAATGTTATACCCTGGGGGATCACATGGATCCTACAGTATTAATGACGATGGTTCCATAAACTACGGCAAGAATTCCTCGGGAGAAGAGAGCATGCTCGATTACAATCGCATGTCTGAGGAATTGAAACAACTCGCATCCAGTCCGAGCAAAACAGTCACATTTGATGTTTGGAGTGCTAAGGGTGGAATTACACGCCAAATCACTGCATCCCTCGCAAATTTTGAGACAGATGAATACTCTATTGAAGGGGTGCAAAAATTATACACGGATCTTTTCAAGCCACTTGGCATTATTGTGCAAATGAATCACTTGAGAAAAGCAACATATGTATGGCGCATCTTAAACACACATAAGGACTCGCCAGCATTTCAGGCCCAGTTGATTCCCTATTCGGATTATGTCATAGGTTGTGATTCATCTTTCCCTTCTGACGAGAATGGAAAAGGGCTTTTACTAGATGGTGGAGAAACCTTATTTTCCAAAACAATCCTGGGTTACTACAACCACCATGCAGCAATTCTTCGAGAAGACAACATTCCGATTACTTTATACGTCTATAACCATGACTACGATATCTTACGTCCTGTGACGGTCAACCTATCTCGATCATGGTCAAAGGGTGAGAATCGTGGTATCTTGGGCTGTGATGTTGGTTATGGGCTTCTCCATCGACTCCCAGAAGTCATTGGGAAGTTTGATAAAGGTGCTGATGTGATAGAAGATACTTTATTCGACAACAAGGAAACTATTGGTTACAATTTGCATGAACATGATGTCCCCTCCCAACCAGAGGAGACAGAAAATAAGCATGACCCAACTCCTGCTACTTCGCTGATGCCAATAAATCCACCAGTCGGAAACTTAGCTCCCATCAACCCTATTGTCTCAGCCAGCCAGTTGATCAGTCCTCCAGCGAAGTCTTCAAAAAAGAAGCGTCATCATGCGCCTGTACCTATGAACAACTTGGCCGACTTTATGAATGAAGAACTTTCAAAATCAAAAGCTAAGGATGTGTTGAACCCTACAAACCTGAGTGCGCAACAGGCTCCACCTCCTCCTCCACCAACCAAGCATAAATAATGAAAAATAATAAGTTTGTGACGTAATTTCCTATTATAGTAGACTGTGGTTACACACAACACTTAGCAATTCTTCACAAAATGAAAAAAAGAAAAAAACAAAGCTTATTGCCCACTGCCGGAATTGAACCGGCGATCGCCTCATTACGAGTGAGGCGCCTTACCACTTGGCCAAGCGGGCTCGCTTGATGTCCTTCTTTTTTTTTAGTGCATTATATTCGGGGCAACATGATGTTTTTGACATGATAGTTTTGACTTTTGTTTCTGAGTTTTGGCAATATTCTCTATTGCGAATTGATAATTTGAGCCTTGATTTTTCTCAGTTTGCTTTTTTCTTGAACTAAATGAAGTTCGCGGTTGCCAGTTTTTCCTTCCTTTTGTCACCACAACGTAAAATAAATTAACTGTTCGACGAGAATTAAAAAGAACATTACAATTATATAAAACGATAAAGACTGAAATAAAGACTTAATGCTTAAACTATGCTTTGTACTAGTCATTGAACTATTATCCTACACACATGTTCAATAAATTATAGATAATGCAAATTAATATCTGTGATCACGTGCACTGACACCGATAAGACCTATAGGACCTAGATACGTTACTACATAATGACTCCAATTTTCACTTCATTGGGACTATTCATCATCGATGAAAACCACTACCCCAGATCTTGGAAAAGGGAAACGGAGTACAATATAATTGGAGGTGGTGTATCATATGCTGTTATTGGAGGAAGAATTGCATCGGGTCCCAACTTGGCGAAAGGTATATGCGGTATAGTTGACAAAGGCACAGATTTTCCGCCAGAGATAGAAGAGGAGATTAACGAATGGGGCACGGGAATTGTTTTCCGATCCGACAGTTCTAGACTTACCACGAGAGGTGCAAATATTTATGATGAAAAGGGCATTCGTAACTTTGTATACCGAGCACCTAAGAAAAGGATTGAGGCCCATGATATCTTGATAACAAGCAATTTGATTGAACTGAAAAGCTTTCACTTCTGCTGTGCTGTGGACAGATGCGAAGAAACCATCGATCTTTTCACAAGCGAAGCTATGAAAGGAGGCAGACCAAAACCTTTGTACATTTTTGAGCCTTTTCCAGATGTATGTATTCCGGACAACTTTGAACAGTTGGATCGAATGCTACACAAAGTGGATATTTTTTCTCCAAACCTCCACGAGGCTGCGTCCTTTGCTGGATTAGATAATGATCCAGAGACAGAGGAAGCAATAAAAGAATTGGCGTCCCTCTTCTTGAAGCACTGTTCACAGACAGGGGGAGTAGTAATAAGATGTGGACATATGGGCTCATTTATAATGACTCATGACTTCTCTATAATGCTTCCAGCATATCACAACAATCAAGCCAAAGTCAAGGATGTCACAGGAGGAGGAAATTTCATATTGTGGTGCTTTCGTTACAACATTAGCCTTATCAAGGAAATTGGCTTCTAGCAAGGTGTTCTTGCCCAATATAGCAAGTGGAATTGTTGTTGAGCGCTTGGGTGTACCAAAGCTCGAAAATGAACTATGGAACGGGACAAGTGTGAAAGACCGCTTGGATTTCTACATCGCCAATAACTCACATCTTTTTAAGGACCCTGTTGGAACTAAAATCGATTGGTTATAGCGTATACGTTTTGACTTGCCGTTGTTCCTTTTAGAAGTAATTCCCTGAAAAAAATGTATATATGTAAAAGATTAGAAATGCCGTCATTTGCATTCAATTTTTCACAGCTTTCTCGGTCTCAGTTTGTTCAACTCCAGCTGCATCGTACTTCGTGTTATCACTACAAGCCTGCGAAGCTTGGTCATGGTGTAGATGTGGCCGTGGGACGTAGAGCACTCTCATCATTTCCTTCTTGTCCGTCCACTCTCTGAAAACCTTTCCGTAAATGTAAACGACAATGCCTAGCAATCCAAGGAATGCTTGCACTGATCCGTAAATCACGAAAGTATTCTTCCCTCCCCTGTTTTTGTACACCTTTGTGTTGAATAAGGAGAAGATGAACCCCAAAAGATTCTTAGCAAAGTTGAACGAAACCAACGATTCTGCTGCAAACATCTTGTAAGAATCAACAGTGAAAGTGATAACTGTCGTGGAAGTCATCGAAGAACCAAAACTGAGACAACCAAAGAAAACCACAGGCGCAATCCAGGGATCAGCAACTTGAGCAGACCAGCCATAACCAAACAACCCAATACACATGAAGATAGTAGATGGAATCAACATGATCAAACGGAACTCAGGTTCATAGATTCCATGATTTCTCGCAACCATATACCTGGTAATTCTATCACCTGTGAAACCGGTTAACAAAGAACCCAAAACTCCCCCAATAAACGGTCCCAAGTAAAACAAACCGACAGTCTGTTGAGAGTAACCATAAGGAGGGTTTTTAAAAATGTCAGAAACTGTTTCGGAAATAACAATCAACCAGACGACAGACATGGAGTACTGGAGAGAGCCGTAAAGAACTGAAGGATACAAGTAAAGGAAAAAAGGCCGCAACGCAACCATCCACCACTTATCAGGGCTATGCCTTCCAGTGTATAATGCCAATCTTTGGAAATAAGTCTTTGACTCAAGCTTATTGTCACGTTTTACTGTACCATCAGTGATACTTATTGGGTCTTCTTCCTTAGAATTAGGGTTAGCTGAAACGTCCAAAACTGAGGAACTGAGACTAGAACGTTCAAGCATGTTATTGGACAATGCATATGCATGGTGTCTTCTTTCAGGAGGAATGTAGCTTGCCACATGTCTCGCAGCTTTAGTTTCTTCCAAGGACCGTTTGCTTGGAGTTGGAGTTCTATCCCAGAAAGTCTCCGGCACGAATAAAAATGTAAGCACGAAGTTGAGGCCCAAAAACATAGCAAGAATCCAATAAAGCCAATGTCTATTCAAATGTTGCAAAATTAAGGACGAGAGCAACGGAATTATGTTCTTACCACCCAATAACAACAAAGTATAGAGACCAGTTCTGTAAGCTCTCTCGTGCTGAAAATACAACTCACTTAAACTTGCGGATGCCAAACTTTCCGTGGGGGCCATTCCTATAGCAGTCAACACTCTACCTGCCATCAAAGTTCCAAAGTTCTCTGACACAGCTGCAACAATACAACCCACAAGGAAAATGAGAATACAGACAAGATACACCAATCTCTTGCCGTACAAGACCGCAGTAGGACTGACAAACACAGAGCCGACACCAAGGGAAATCATAAAACCACCAACAAGGTACGATATCGTGGAAAGTGATTTATGGAATTCTTCTTTCAAAGATGAAAACCCTGCAGCCAAAATGGGAGTCTGTCCTCCTCCAATGAAAGTTTGGAAGCCAATAATCAAAAAGCATAAATCTTTACGCCATGTGGGCCAGTTAAGCGGATCATTTGGACTATCATGAGGTTGTGGATAGAGAATAATACCGTTGGAAGTACGTTTTAGGGAAGCACTTTCGGCTAAAGTCGCATTCGTAGCATCCTCGTCATCCATCATGACAATAGTGCCAGTGACATTTTTGGAAGCCGTCTGCTTGATTCTTAGTTTCCACACCATTCTCTTTCTATTTGAATAACTGTTATAGAGGAGAGCCTAGACTATCTGCGGAAGGAGAACGGTTCTTTTTTTCTCGGGGGTAGTGGTTATTTGGTTGAAACGCTGCATACAGAATTGCCAAGACTGCGGCATTAGAGTGAGACATTTAACGAGGCCTCAAGAAAGAAAATGGCAACGGCCTAGAGATAGCCCAGAAGAATTCTGATGACAAAATAAGAAGTCGAAGGAGCAGACCGCAATTGCATTAGGAACTGCAGACTAATGTGAAATTAGCCTTCTCGTATTGAATTATGATTGTGCGACATTGTACATGTGGGTGAACGAGATCTCCTCCGCATGTGTCATCGCCGCACGATGGAAATGATAACCGACATAACCAAATTATGCGACCTCATGTCAAATTGTCAAGCATACTTGGAGAAACGCACACGAAAGAGGGCAATAAACGACGGAGAAATTGATAAGCGGTAAACAGAGAAGAGATTATCAGAACCGTTTTTTGGTTTTTTTTGGGTGTTATTAACTATCCTACTGCTCATAACAAAGAAGCAGTGGCGCAATTGGACAAAGTCTCACGGCATATCGTCATACGTTCAATGCTTATCAAGAACTTTTGATAATAGAAGGTAACATGTGATGCACCAAGCGGCTATCGTAATTCCGTTCCGTTGGATGGAGCAATTTGTGGGCCAATAGGTTAGAAAGCGAGAGGTGAGAAGCGAATGCCGCATGCACCTTCCTGTTTAGGAAGGTCGAAGCATATTGCTCAGCTTAACCAGGTGTTGACCTGACGGGCATTCCCTGAACGATATCAACCAAGAATCGAAGGGGAAATGGTATAAAAATGGCACAATTATCCACTGAAATATGTCTTTTTCTTTCACAGCAATAAAATTCATACAAGATGACGGTCAAGGTCGCCCAGGAGTCCCAAATTTTCCAATCTCAAGTTGCAAAGCTAGTCCCCAATGTTATTTCTGGTGATGGTGTTAGGATCACGATTGAAGACCCATACACGGGAAAAGTTTACGAATGTATTGATGCCGTCACTGGTGCCGCTGTTGGTGCATTGGGCTGGCATGATAAGGATGTTCCTGGCTTCTATAAAGAAGCATTGGACAACTCCACGTACTCTTTCACTGCTTGCGTGGGAAATAAGAATGCCGAAGCTTTGGCAAATTTCTTGATTGAAAACTCACCTAAAGGAGCTTTTAATGCTGCACTTTTCGTGGGTTCAGGTTCTGAAGCTAACGACAATGCTATGAAAATCATCAGACAATACTACCTTGAAAAAGGCAAGCCAAAGAAAACCAAGTTCATTGGAAGGGAGTGCTCTTACCATGGCTTCACTATTGGCTCGATGTCGCTCAGTTCTGGATTCAGATCTGACATCTTCAAAGAGATCTCTTTACCAGCGGAACAATGCCCTACTATTGATGTATGCTACCCATACCGCAAGCAAGGAAATTTAACCACGGAAGAGTATGTCGAAAAGTTACTTGCCAATGCGGAAGATGTCATTTTGAAGGCAGACCCAGAGACAGTTGCCTCTCTTACAGTTGAAACTTTGCCAGGTTCTACATTGGGAACAGTGCCACCACCTCCTGGCTATTTGTCTGGGCTCAGAAAGTTGTGCACTAAATACGACATTGTGTTTCATTTGGACGAAGTAATGTGTGGTACTGGCAGATGCAGCGAGAATTTGCACTGCTGGGAAAACTTTTTGGAACCTGGAGAAGGTCCAGATATTCAAACCATCGGTAAGACTCTCGGTTCCGGATATGTTACTATCGCAGGTGTTTTGGTTTCTCCAAAGATCAGAGACACCGTGGTGGCAGGTACCGGAGTGGTCATCGGTGGCCACACATACTCTGACCACGCTTTGAACTGTTACGTTGCATTGAAAATCCAGGAGAAGATCAAGGAATTGAACTTGACATCCAACATTTTCAGGATGGGCAACTTGATGGGCAAGCTCTTGAAGAAAGAATTGTCGGATTTTGCAATTGTTGGCGACGTCCGGGGTATTGGTGGTTTCTGGAGCGTTGAAATTGTCCAAAACAAGGAAACAAAGGAAAGTTTCCCTAAAGAATTAGATGTGGCTCACATGCTGTCGGACATTGCTCTTGAAAAGGGATTGAGTATTATGGCTTTGCAAGGCGCCAACAATAATGCTGGAGATCACATGATTTTTGCACCAGCTTTCATTGTCACAGAAAAGGATGTTGAAGAGATGGTGAGCAAAGCCAAAGATGTTTTCGCTCAATTGGAGAAGGAATTGGCGCACAAAGGTTTGATTTAGATTGTATAATTTGCACGGGCTGCAACAATATATTGAGATAAATATGTTTACTGCCGAGACAAAGTGGATTAGTGGAGTCGACATAATTGTTACATACGACTAGCTACAAAGACGGTTGAAAATTTCGAAGACAAGCAAAGAATTGTAGGCGTCAGCAGTGAAAATTACTCAGTTATACCTGGTGTTTTTAGGGCTCCTTGGCTCAGAAAGAATCTCGGGTTATATTGAATGCGAATAGTCGAAACGCAAAGACAAAGTACATTTCATGTGGCACTAAAACAAAAGCCATTAACCACCTCAACTTTTTACAAGCTTTACGCATTTATACACAAACCTTTTCACTTGGTAAGCCGACCTGGCAAGTTTTTTCTCCCGTTTTTGCCCAGTCTTCCAGCCCTGTTCATTGGATTTCGTGTGGACGCGGAACAGAAATCCGTGCACCAAAACCGGCTCACGCGTGTTTTCTATCCTAAACGGTTAAATTGTCCGCATCAAGATTTCTTTCCTCCATTGGCCGACAAATTCCAATCTTTGAGTCGTCAAAATGGCATATGAACATCCATCAGTGTACATTGCGACGTATTCAAACGTATGTTAATGCTCGTTTTTCCTTTACAATTCTGCTTCATCTTCTTGTGTTCTTGTGTTCTTGTGTCTTGAAGAATGAACTATCTCCTTTCTTTGTTACTCAGGCATTATGTACCAGCACAAGCAAGCATCCCTAGCCAAAGAAAGCTAGACCATTTGCAGCTATCCATGTCTACAGAAAGCATGTCACATTGTGGAATGAGGAAATGCACAATTTTGTGTCGATTACTAACTTGACCAGATTGAAGTCTATGAATGTTCCGTGGGAGACTCCCCTATTATGAGGAGATGCAAAGATGACTGGGTGAATGCCACGCAGATATTAAAACTTTGTAACTTTCCCAAAGCTAAGCGGACAAAAATTCTCGAAAAGGGGGTGCAGCAAGGTCTTCACGAAAAAGTTCAAGGAGGATATGGAAGATTCCAAGGAACATGGATCCCTTTAGCCGACGCTCGTAGATTAGCTGACGAGTATGGAATAACAGCTGAAATGGTGCCTGTTCTCTATATTGATGTTAAGGATCCTTCAATCATCATCCCTAAAAAGTCCAAACCTCCTTCGAGCTCGACAGCACTCAATAAGGACGGCACGCCAGTCAAGAGGAAATATGTGAAAAAAGCCAAAAAGGATAACCTAACGCCCAAGAAAATGAAATTTGATGACAACCTTCCTCCGCAGGCGGTGTTCACTCAGGATTACCCTCCCAGTTTGTCAACAGGTGAAGCTCATATCCTTCAAAATAATCGTTCGTTGCCAATGCAGCAGATTCCCATGAATTCGCAACAGATACAGTCGTCCCATCTTCCAGCACCATTTCAACAGCTGGATTTTCCAGCCAACAACATCTTAAACCCCAACCAACGAGTACACATGGAAAATTTCCAAGATTACCCAAACTATCAGATGCAAATGCAAAATTATCAACAGCAGCAGCAACAGCAGCACCAACAACAACAACAGCAACAGCATCAACAAGTGGTGCCGTCAGCGAGACAAGATTCCAAACTGTACGGTTACACAGGGGCAATCGAGAATGTGGCTCAACAACAAATGTTATATCAGCAGCAGCAGCATCATCTGAAAGGCGGATCCGCGTCGACCAATGACACAAACTGGTCACAGGATGAGCACTCTCGTGATTCAGACACTTCAGTATCATCCATGGAAATCAAAAATAACAAGGCTCTTTTGGAAGAAGACAACTCACATCCCGCACAGTTGTTGAGGTTCTTCAGTGAAGAAAAGGCTCCCATCCCGTATTTCTTGTACAATCCGCCACCCGACTTCAACATCAATGAGGCAATCGACGACGAGGGTCACACAACTCTACACTGGGCAGCCTCGATCGGTAATCTCAACTTGGTGCATCTTCTTCTCTCTAAAGGAGCCAACCCTTTGGTTGTGAGCAATTACGGCTTAAACCCTCTATCAAAGAGTATTTCTTTCAATAACTGCTATGATCTTAAAAACTTTCCACAAATCATAGACGCTTTGGAATCCTGTTTGATAAACACAGACATAAATGGGCGTACACCATTGCATTATCTTTGCCAGTTTGCCAAAGTCCAAACCAAACTACCGTCGCTCTCCTATTACCTTGGTATTATTTTTAACAAGTTAGTTTTCATGTCAGAAAGCAACAAGGGTACAGGAGTGAACTTAATGAAGAATGTGATTGACCACCAAGATGTGAATGGAGACACATGCCTTCACATTGCAGCAAGATCCAGATGTACACAATTTGTCAAGTTTTTCTTAAGTAATGGCGCCAGAGACGACCTTATAAATGTCAATAACGAGACTGCAAAGACAATAATAATCCAACAAGATCTTCTTGTCTATAATTTTGACCTGCCTAACATGTCTTTGCACCCGTCACTCCAAGCATTTCAACCATCCCATCAGATGCCTCTGGATGACCAAATGAACACTCGCAGATCACAAGGTGGACCCAGATTAGGAACGCCAATCCAAGCATCCAGACACACTGAAACTCCTGATACCCAAAGAACTACAATTCAGGATGATGACGAATATGAAGAAGTAAATGACCATGTGAGCAAAGAGCACTTAAGAACATTATTAGAAGAACAGGCTGGAACTGTTGAAGAAAATAAAGAGAACATTTTTGAGGACCTTCCGAAAACTGCTCTTCGCTCAGCTTCTCCCTCAAAACCCCACATAGGTGGTGTGAACGCACATATTCGACACAATGTCTTGAGAGCACCTTCAGGAAGAGGGGAAGCAAAGACACCTAGTGAGATAACATCGTCTCCAACAAGAAGCTACTCACCCCATCCTCCACAATTGGATGATGAAGGTCATGTTATTGATCTGAGTAGCTCCTATGGCTCTTCAGAGGAGCAAAATGGACGGATTCCCGTGAAGGATGTATCGTCTATGATGAGCGGGATGGTCAATCTTCTTACTGATTCGTACATCCAGGAGTTGAACGGTTTGAAGATTGAATCCAAGCGCGTGAAGAGCATATTACTCGAGAAGAAAGACCTCAACAACAAATGCATCGAAAGAGTCAAGATTCTCTTAAATAAGAATGGCTTTGAAGACGTTTCCCTGTTAGATGAGGCAAGAAAGGTTGTTGATGAAGAATTAAATGTCTTCGCGCAAGAGATACAACATAAGGAAGCACAACTCACATGCTCAATTGAAAAGGCGCAAGCTTTCGAACTAGCAAATTTGGTTCAAGACAATGAAAGCCAAATCCAATCACAGCAAGAGGGGGGTAATGGCCTTCCGGACAACTTGGAACTAGGAGTTGCATTAACGGAGGCGCAAATTAAGAGAGTTGATTTGGTGCACAAGGTTGTCGAAAGCGTGAAGAACTTTGCCATCGACTCTAAAATGAACAAGTATAGAAAATTGATAAGTCTTAGTTGCGGCTTGCGCATGGAAGACATTGATGGTTTGATAGATGGCATCGAGGAGTCTCTCATGGAAAAGTCTCACTAATGTTTGGATGGCAATATGCTAATGGGATTCTAGTTCTGAATACCCAAGGATAACGGAATTTATCACCGGGACAAAATTACACTAGAAGCCTATAATAACAATGAGTGCATATACGTTGATACAGAAATAAATGAAGAAGGAGATCCAGCAATTATGGTTCACAAAACTTTCTTGTCGTAAAATATCTGAGAAGCCTTGAGTATGGACGTATGTACATTCAGTAGTGCATATACGGGTGCGCGATTGAAGTAGAGGAAAAAATCATTTGAGATAAACACCCTAAACGCTTACTTTAACATGGGATCTACAGTTCAGCCAACGGAATACAAAGAGCCTTCTGAGCGGACGTCCGTTTTAGGATTTGCATCTTCTATCCTTAACGGTAATACCGTTGAAGGCGGTCTTCGGTCCTTGACTTACAAATCCATTTTCGCGCTGAAACTTGTGGACGAGTTAGATTTGGTGAGAGACTGTATTGTCAGCGACAAGCCTCAACTCACACGGATCACAGATACGGACACGTCTAAGAACAGGTTAGAAGCACTCCGTTCTGAGGTTTCTGAACTCAAAACCATTAAACCAGCCAGAGATTCAGCTGACGACCAGAAAGTTCTGCAATTCAATCTCCGGTTGGATGAAGAACTCAATCAAAACAGACTGGTGAGTGACAGTTACAGCAATGATGTAAAAGAATACTACCTGCTGGTGTTTCAAAACTTGGACATCACTTTCAGCAACAAAAGCTATGTGAAGCACACAGTCAAATATCAGGGAAAGGTTGAAAGGATGGAAGACGTTGAAGGGTTCGATCGCTCGATTTACGAAAGAGCACGTGAACGGCGGATGGAGGAAGAACATGCAAAGCAACTAGAAGAGGAAGAGCGTAAACGCCAGGAATTAGAAGAAAAGCTTAAAGAACAAGAACGTCTCAGAGCGGAGGAACTTCAAAAAAAGGAATTGGCTCGGCTCGAGTACGATCGCACTGATAACTATGTTCTGTCAGAGGAGTATCCCCAGAATTCAGAATATTTACAGAATGTTGGATACACTCAAAACGCAGAGTATTCGCAAAACCCACAACAGCAGCACACAGAATACAATGCAGCCCATCAGTATCCACCAAATTCCCACCCAATCAATGGAATGTCGCCTGTGCCTATGCAGCAGCTTTATAACAACGATGGGTTGAATGATTCTGACGCCATGCACCTAGATGGAGACTCATTGATGACTGGCGGGGCAGACTCATATTCCATGTCACCAAATCCAGACCAATTCACACCCATGGCTCAAGATTCACCCTACCTGCAAGCTCAGAGCCCTTTTTAGTTGAGATATTTGAGGGTAAAAAAGATATATATATATGTACCATAGCGCTCAATGGATAGAGCCCAACACCATAGATTTAACCACGGAGTAGTCGTCAATGCCGTATTTAGATCCTTCTCTTCCATAGCCGGACTCTTTGACGCCTCCAAAGGGCAATGCCGCTTCAGAAATTCCACCGGTATTCACACCAATCATCCCCACATTCAATTCCTCCGCTACGCGGAAAACACGCAGGACGTCATTGGTATAGAAATAGCCCGCCAATCCTACTTCTGTGTCGTTTGCCAACTCAAGTACCTCCTCATCAGTGGAAAACTTGATCAAGGGACACACAGGGCCAAACGTTTCCTCATGGAATATCTTCATCTCACGCGTAACATCTCCTAAAATGGTGAGGTCATGGTAGTAGTCACCTAACTCTGGCCGAGGCTGACCACCTAAAAGCAAAGATGCGCCTTTCGACAATGCGTCTGATACATGGTCTTTTACTTTTTCCAAGGACCGTTCATGAATAACGGGACCGTGCGTCGTTTCCTCCGAAAGCCCGTAACCCAAGACACTTTCGTCAGCCATTTTGGCCACAAGCCGCTCGCTGAACTCGTCATAGATGCGCTCATGAACAAAAATACGATTGGCGCAAATGCATGTCTGTCCACTACTGCGAAACTTCGATGCAACGACCCCGGAAACAGCTTGGTCAATGTTCGTATCCTCAAACACAATGAAAGGAGCATTTCCACCTAACTCAAATGAGCATTTTTTCATCGTGGATGCTGCTTGCCCCATCAAAATCTTCCCGACGTTGGTGGATCCAGTAAAGCTCACCTTCTTGACAATTGGGTTCTCACAGATGGCCAATCCCGCTTCGGCCGCTCTCGAAGAAGGAAGAACATTGATAACACCTTTTGGGAAGCCAGCATCATCCGCTAGTTGGGCAAGTGCTAGTGCACTCAACGGAGTTTCGGAAGCAGGCTTGACAACAGCTGTACATCCCACAGCTATGGCAGCAGCTAACTTCCTAGTGACCATAGCGGAAGGAAAGTTCCACGGAGTGATAATTCCGCATACGCCGATTGGCTGGCGGAACGAAAGAATTCTGTTGGCAGCATTAGCAGACGAGATGATATCGCCGCAGATATGTGGCGCCTCCTCACTAAACCACTGAAAAAACGACGCGGCATATGTTATCTCTCCATAAGCATCCGCATATGGCTTCCCATTTTCAAAAACAATGAGTTTTGCTAAGTCTTCCTGATTCTCCTTCATCAAGTGATACATGTTCAAGAGCATCTGCGACCGTTCACGGCCAGTGGTTTTCCGGAAGGTTCGAAACGCTGTATCAGCAGCCTCAATTGCATGATCATAGTCTGCTTTCGAATAGCAAGACACGCGGGCAATCTTTGAATCCGCCTTTGGATATAATCCGGGGTCGTAGACGTCAAAGGATGCGTTGGACTTGATCCATTCACCATTGACATAACCCTGTGTTTTGAAAAGCGACAGGTTCTTCAACGAACTTGCCACTCGGGTTGAATATCTTCTCAGAACTGTACTCATTGGGATGAAAAAGTAGTTGTACTCGACAGCAAATGTTTCGGAGTCCGATTGCCGCCCCGCTAAGATAGTGCATGCACATAGTACCCCGTTGTGTTTCTTCTTTTGTTGCGGCAGGCTGCCGATGATTCCGGATTAATCCAGAAAAGGTAGCATCATTGCCCGTGTTATCCGTTTTAGCGTGGAAATAACAGAGAGAGTAGAATAATTAACTAGATCTGCTCTGATGCTCAATGCGGAAAGCAGGTCCGAGTCGCGCGAAACGGGTTTTATAGTGATTACAATAGCTGATAATAGCATTGAAACAGCTACTTGAGAGAAAGATAGTGACAAGATTTTCTTTTTTTTTGTTTTTTTCAAAGTAAGAAACAATGTAGCAGAATGTAAGTAACTACTTCAAAAGCTCGTTTTGGACACTGCAGACCATTAGTCCCTAGTGTCATACGCTCAAGAAATACTTTCGACATAACAGAATAATTCTATTCATTGATGAATGAAACTTCTCGTATTCAATGTGTTAACATCTTATATATTGCCACTATTCAGAGCAGTATGCAAGTACGCAGACCATAGCTGCTTGTGTTTGGGCACCGGGCCCGTCTAAATGATTGACAGACTTCAGTCATCCTCATCATCTTCGTCCTCACCGACACTCGACAAGCTTTCTACGTCGCTCAATTCGTTTTCTTCCTCGTCACCGCTTTCCTTTGCCTCAGTCGCCAGGAAATCCTCCAGTGCATACTCCTTGACATACCGTTTGACAACTTCATTGTAACGTTGTTCATCTTTGGTCATCAAGTTTGACGCCTCTGTGTTTAAAGGATCGCTGGGGTTGGCATAGCGCAAAAGATGAGGCAAGAAATTCTCAAAGATGTTCAAAAGGCCGAACATCGGAGACCATGTCTGGTTAATGACGTCGAGACACACAGAACCGGAGTTTTCGTCGATATTGGGGTGGTACATCTTGTTAACAAACCCAATGGACGGCGATTTGATCGGATACTGGTCTGGCAATTCCACTCTGACCTTCCATGTTCCGCCAGCGTATGGTGTATCCTCGGGACCCTTGAAGATTACGTGGAACTGTTGGATGGAATCGTCAATTAGACTAACTTCGTGGTTGCTCATCATTAGATCCATAACATCTTTTTCCATGCGTCTTTTGCTACTCATATTTGCTAGAGAAAGAAGCAGAGGAGAATCTATGAATAGGTGTGGAGGAGTCGCACTATCTCTCCTACAGTGGCGGATGTAGTAACGTGACTGGGTGCAAACAGGAGGCTATACCGTTCCACCTTAGCCGAAAGTTTATGGTTTTGCATATTTTTTCTCTTCCTTTCCTACGATTTTAGGCCGAAGAAGTCTTTGCTGGTGATGCTTTTTTTTTCTGTTGTAGTCCGGTTTTAGACTGATTCACGTTGCTCCAACTGCGGCGCACTAGATAAGAAATTGCGGGGAGATGAACCATTGCTACCAAGTACATGATGTTCACCTTGAACCTCTACTACAGAAAACTTACAATGTATACTCAATGTGATCGTAAATTTGTCTATCACAAATAATTGGCAACACCAAGCCCGTATCAACGCAAGGTACAAACGCAGACTTTAATCGAAACAAAACCCGACGCGGATAAGCTAAAATTATCACTATCTATAACTTGGATTTGGGGTATATCATGATAAAAAAGTTTTCATCCCGAGGCACAGTTGAGATTTTTGGTGCCAAGTATGTCCTGTCATAGACCTTGAGGCAATGGTTTCAATCCAGTGCGCTTCACTCATTAAACGAAGTAACGAAAACCCGTTCTTACGGGATTTACAATCGGCCAAAATTTTCCTTCATTCGCTGTGACAGAAGAGCGATCGGAAACACTATGACAGCTCCTTTCGTTGCGATCAAAGTCTATACCTAGAGTACGTATCCATTCATAAGTTTAATCTCATTCTTCAATCGTCTTCCTTTTCCCTATGGTTGGATCCCGCCATATTCATCAGTTTAGAGAAATTACAGGCGTTATGCCAACCACTTGCTCATCGCGAATCAGGAGGCTGTTTTTACTTCCGCTCTAAATGTGTTTGAAGGATACATACCAGCTACATCTATAGCCTATTATACTCTTTCAGCACCACTCAACTTCACCGCCGCACCGTACTTCTGCAACTTCGTCAATAAGGCATCACCTTGTTTGATCAACAGATGATATTGACTGTTCTTATTGTCTGGCCTATTGGTTTCAATGATGCCGTTGACCTTATCAATAGTACAGTTCAACTTGTTGTTGGGAATAAACTTGCACAAGTCAGCGTCTAAAAATTCCTCGCTCACGTTAAAATTGCGTGCCATGGATTTCAACGACAAGGACTTGTAACTCTCCAACAATTGGGCATAAGCTCTGCAACGCAACTCGCGCATAATGTAGTTGGTGTGTCTGCGGAGATACTTGTTGGTCAACAACAACTTATCATGAGCCTCCAACAAGTATTCGAACATGCAATTGTACTGGCATGTGTACAAAGAGTTGGTAAGATTGACCAAAGGTTCTAAAGTTTTGGAGCTGGAGAAAATAGACAAAATCTCGGGCGAGTCCACAATCTTGCTCTTCAAATCCACCCTATCCAATGTAAGAACACCAGCGATAATAGCGTATTGTGCAACTTGGTCGTAGCTACACAATTCAGTCGAGGTGAATGTAGCCAAAGAATCAATCAACAATTTTGCTGCCTCGCCAAAGTTACGAGTGGCCATCAAATAGATCCCCTGATAAGTTTTATATCTGTTACGGCGTTCCCAGTCACCACCCTTTTCGATCAACGCCTCCACTTCCGAAAGATGGCCAGATACTGCCTCATAGTCGTTAAAGAAAAAACCCACACGGGTCAACGCCAAGAGAACATCGATCTTGCCGCCGGTTCCCAGCGTCAACAGCAACAACTTTGTGTACGTCTCCACAGCATTATGGCGATCAATGATTTCCGCGTAGTATTCGGCAAGTTTGGCTGTACTAGAAACAAGATCCACCTCCGTCTCTTCCTCACTTTCAGCTTCCTGGATCAACTTTTTCAGCTCAGCAATCTTTTCTTCATTGACAGCACTCATGGACTGGTACAACTGTTCATCAAAGCTGAAGTATTGTGGCAATTCTGTGGTCAAGTATTGATAATAAGGCGCCAAGTTCTTTTCCTTGATGGAAGCAAGAAGTTCCGCAATCAATGCGTCTTTGTCGCCCAAGCCATTTTGTAAAAGGAACTGTTTCTCAGACAAGGTATAGTCCGGGAACTTTGGTACGTCCGATTCGAATTCGCTCATATGGTTCTTGGTAGAAGATGGTTTCGGGTGGCCAAAGAAGTGGTGTATTTTGTGCAGTGCATAGAGCGCATTTGAGTGCGTTTGGTAATGCTTGGATTTGACCTATAGAGAATTTCGTGCTTAAAATGTACTGTGGTTTTTTTCTCTCAGTAGTGTCTCATATGGGGAAATCGTGGAAAGCCAGCGTTGCTGTTCATTTTCGTTTTCGGGATTTCCGTTTTCTTGATGTTCACGTATCGAAGTCTCTCGGTGGACAGCCACTAATGCGGCAAGAGGAATTCAATGTTACGCAATGAATTGTATCTACCAGTATATCTATAGACTCATTCCTGAAAGTACTTAATCTTCTGTTCCCTTTTCTTTCTTCTTTTGATGCGATCTTTTCAGCTCGAACGCTTGAGAAAAGTAAAATTGTCACACCCGGTCTACTGGCCAAGCAACTGGTAGCCTATGATTAAAGAAAGAAAAGACTGGTTTCGTATATTTGTATCGATGTTCGAAATTTGAAAAATGGTGTCTATATCTACAGAGGATATTCCCGAGTGTATAACTAGTAGTCATTAGAACGTCACCTTGCAATTGATGAACACATGACAACATTCTCCTCTGAATGCTCGACAGTAGATAATCCTTCTGCCATACACTAAAATGAGATGAATGAACATCCGCAGTGTTTGAGGAATGACGAACTCAAGGAGTTGTAGATGAAAACTTTAATAGGTCAATATTAGTTTGCTCCAGTGCTACACAAGGGCCAGGAAATTGCTTCGTGAATACATATGCAGAAATGAAAATGTGACTAGTACAAGTCGGACTTGACAAAGTCGTGAATAAGACCCCTCTTCAAATACTTCTTGGTCTTTACCTTTTCGTTCTTGATGCGGTTTTCCTGAATCCCCTTCCACTCCTTTTCGGCTTGCTCAAATGGAATCTGTTGCATTTCTGCCAAGTGGTCGTCTTCTCTGTCAATATCTAGCTCCCCGAGCATCACGACATTCTCACCTCTCACCATAAACACACCCCTAGGAACCTCTGCAAACCTGACAGGGCTGTTTTGGTCTAGTTTGGGCAAGTAGATTCTCTCAAACGTGTCCTGCAAAACCAAATTGGCAAACTGGTCAAATGTTCTCAATATTCCCGACATGTTGCGGCCGTCTCTCAACAAGACAAAAATCTTGCGGTCCACAGAACCGACAATAGCTGCGGCAGTGGTGAAGGCCATAAGACTCCAAGTACAATTCCTCCGCATTTGAATTTTGCGATTCCGACGAATCGGAGTGCTGCTGGGCTTGCTGGGGCGAGGCAGACATGGTACTCTGCAAGTTGTAACAACGTCAAGGTTTTTTTCCGCGAGGAGGTTTAGTATGTGCACGACATGAACAGATTGTAGAATGACCAAGAAGACAACAACATGAGATCCAGACAAGCACCTTTAGGTGGAATAACGTTTTGCATTCAATTAACTATGTATGGCCAAGGAGAAAACCAAGCATGTTTATAATTGACGCAGTAGAACATCAAATCGTTGGTCAGACCATGTATTTGCACCTATTGAGGACAAAAGGTCCATAATTACCAATAGAGCCAATGCAGATGAGTCTTTGGCTCTTGAATGAAAAAGGTAAAAATAGCGCCAACATTTATTGCAAATATAGGTAGATGAAGATGCAAAGGTTGTCCTACTCCAACCCCATAAGTTTGTGCAGGTAGCGATGAGACTTTTCACTTCTCTTCAACCTGAGCATGTCTTTCTACACATACAAAGACCACATAGAGGAAGGCGATCTCGTGCTTGTGTTCATGAGTCGAGGACTCATAAAGCCTCTTACTGTCAAAAGGGGTGAGTGCCTCAATACTCGTTTCGGCAACTTCGAGCACGACAGAATGATTGGTATGAAATACGGTTCTCAGATGGGTGGGGCCAAGGACAGAGGATTTGTGCATCTTCTCCATCCTACACCTGAGCTTTGGACAGTTTCCCTCCCTCACAGAACACAGATCGTGTACACCCCAGACTCTTCTTACATTGTTCAGAGATTGGGAATCACTAGTGGATCAAGAGTCATTGAAGCAGGTACAGGTTCGGCTTCTTTCACCCATTCTTTCGCTCGTACTGTCAGTGATGACGGACGATTGTTCACATATGAGTTTCACGAGCCGCGTTTCTTGGAAGCTCAGAAAGAACTAGAGCTGCATGGCCTCTTGGGTCGCAATACTATGATCACCCACAGAGACGTGTGCCACGATGGGTTTGACATTGCTGATATACCCGAGACGTTCCAGAAGAATGGAGGATTGTTCTGTGATGCGGTGTTTCTTGATTTGCCCGCGCCTTGGACAGCAATCCCACACTTGCCTAGCGTTGTGTCTTCCACATCCAGAGTTGGAATTTGCTGTTTCAGTCCATGTATTGAACAAGTGGATAAAACCATTGAGGCCCTCGAGGAACACGGATGGACCGATATAGAAATGGTGGAAATCGCCGGCCGCCGCTGGGAAGCCCGGAAAGAAATGGTGCGGGACCTCAAGGACGTGGTGAAAAGATTGAAAGACATCCAAGGAAGAAAAACGCAAGGAATCGAGAGCAGAAGACAAGTGAAGATAGAGCCCCAGGCAGGTGAAAAGAGAAACATTAGTGAGGTGGATACCCAGCTGCCCGAACCGCTGGAAAGACCACAGAAAGTTTTAATCCATTCGGGATAAGGCACACCGGATCAAAGGAAAGGTGATGAGCAGTTCCAGTGGAAACAGGTGACCAAAGATCGAGCCTGAAATCAAAACCCACACCTCCTACTTGACATTTGCATACTTAGTTCCAACCAAGAAAGACTAGATAGATCTTGACGACAATTCTAAAAGGGTTTACCCGACATTGACTAACCAAAATAATACATACTATTGAACATGCAATGCATTATTCTGAGTAGAAGACACCACCTCCCTAGAGTAGACGCTAAACGTTCATTCGAGCCAAAACAGCTCTTGAAATAGTTGCATATTAGCTTGATAGTCTCCAAACAGACAAATTCAAGATAAGGCCCCTATTGAGTCGAAAAATGCAAATACAAGTATTCGTGCCTTCAGATAGGCTGCGGCCTTACCGTTTTGCTTCTACGCACACGTCCCCATTCGCTTCTCGAGAGTTACGAACCACAGAAAAAAAAAAATCGCTTAAATCATTGTTCGGCAACTAGTTTCTGCAATTTCACCAAACGGCATGTTAATCTCTTCTAAAGTCACATCAAGAGTATTATCTCCGAGTACCCGTTCGTAACCCATTTGGGCCCATGGACTGCATGCAGTACCACTCGCTATCATGTATTTTGCGCCTCCAACTAATTTGAACACCACATTTACTAACTATCATTATGGACGACACACCAATTGGTATGTGGATCAGTAATTTGAGTCTGAGCGAAGACTAGGACCAGAAAAATGTCGCGTATTCCAATTGCGGCTTCTCTTACCTTGTCCGCCTCACTCACTAAAGCTACGAATCCCCCTCCAAGGACTATGGAAACCCGGTAGCTCTACTTTATAAACCATACTAACATCCAGTTCTTGACCAGGGTACAGGATTTGTGAAGATCGGCCGTGCCGGAACAAACTTTCCAGATTATACATTCCCTTCCCTTGTGGGACGGCCCATATTAAGAGCCGAAGAAAACAGTGCTTTGGTACCGGACAATATCGAGATCAAAGACATCATGTGTGGTTCGGAAGCGAGTGATGTACGTTCCTTATTGCAAATCACCTATCCCATGGAGAATGGTATCATTAAAAACTGGGAGGACATGGAACATTTGTGGGATTATGCCTTCTATGAGAAAATGAAGATCCCCACTCAGGGCAAGAAGATTTTGTTGACGGAACCACCCATGAATCCATTGAAAAACAGAGAAACCATGTGCGATGTGATGTTTGAAAAGTACAAATTCGGCGGTGTTTATGTCGCAATCCAAGCTGTGTTGGCGTTGTACGCCCAAGGTTTAAGTTCGGGTGTGGTCGTCGACTCGGGTGACGGTGTGACCCACATTGTCCCAGTTTACGAATCGGTGGTGTTGAACCATTTAACCAGGAGATTGGATGTAGCAGGAAGAGACGTAACACGGAATTTGATTAACTTGTTATTGCGCCGTGGTTATGCTTTCAACAGAACAGCTGATTTTGAAACTGTTCGTCAAATCAAAGAAAAATTATGTTACGTTTCATGTGATTTGGATTTGGATACCAAGTTGGCGAATGAGACCACTACATTGGTCGAGTCGTACGAATTGCCTGACGGAAGAGTAATCAAGGTCGGATCCGAAAGATTTGAAGCTCCGGAGTGCTTGTTCCAGCCAAATTTGGTTGATGTGGAACAACCTGGTGTCGGCGAAACTTTGTTCAATACTATTCAGGCTGCAGATGTCGATATCAGATCAAGCTTGTTCAAAGCAGTCGTGTTATCTGGTGGTTCTTCCATGTATCCTGGCTTGCCATCGAGATTGGAAAGAGAATTAAAGCAATTGTGGTTAACTAGAGTTTTGCATGGCGATGCAACCAGATTGGAGAAGTTCAAGGTGAGAATCGAAGACCCTCCAAGGAGAAGACACATGGTGTTCATTGGTGGTGCGGTTTTGGCCAATATTATGGCAGACAAGGACCACATGTGGATTTCGAAACAGGAATGGGAAGAACAGGGTTCTCGCATTTTAGAAAAACTTGGCCCTCGCTAAACGTCAATTGTACACTAAGGATCCATAAAAATTGAAACATAAACTTTAAAAACTACACCCATAGAGTGTTCGTAGTACTGAATGCCATTAAACTGTTAAATTAATAGAATGCTAAATATCCCTTAGACGCCGTCTATGCATAGTTCAAATCTTCAATCTGTTTGAGCACAGTCTCCACAAGCCTATCGTAAACCTCATCCGTAATCTCACCAGTGTGTCTCGCATTGAAACCGAAATTAACTGCAGAATAAACCAAGTCCTTCACAAAGTTTTCACTCACTGCCCGGGGTTTCAAAAAATTAGAGTTCAAACATTCCTCCACAGTCCACCGATCATTAGGATTTCTGGCTAGGCACTTTTGCATGAGCTCTATTGCGCTCAAAGGAACAGGAATTTCTCCAATACCCTTCGTGGGATACTGGATCTTCACTTGTGGGTTCATGATAGCCATAATCCTTTGTTGTCCTGAATACGATCCATATGGCGGCCGGCCGTAAATCATTTGATAAATGATGCAACCGCAAGACCATATGTCAGAAGGCCGCCCGACCCGCCATTTGGTACTCTTTTTCTCTGATCCTGGAGCCAAATTCAAATGGTTGGTCTCCACCAATGCTTCTGGTGCCATGTAATTTGGCGTTCCAATTTGAGACTCACGATAAATGTTTGCCGTGTGATCTGGCACCGCGTTAGCTATGCCAAAGTCAATGATTTTTAAAATCCCCTTCACAAATAGAAAATTGGCTGGCTTCAAGTCACTGTGCACAATACCAGCACGGTGCACAGCCTCAACACACCTTAGCACCTCGATGGCATGGAAACGAACAAAACCCAAATCGATAGATGACCCAGCGGCTAATCTGTTCAGAAATACGTGTGCTAAGTCAATCTCACCGCATTCCATGACAAGGTAGATTGAGCCATCGCTAACAACGTGATCGATCAACTCGACCACCCGCGACTCGTTTTTCAATTTCGTCAACAACTCAATCTCGCCCTTAAAGCCATTCACGCATGATTCGTCAAACAGGTCAAATGCCACTTTCTTTATAGCCAACTGATTATTCGTTTCCATACATCGAACCTTGTAGACCTTAGAAGTTCCACCTCTACCTATGAGTTCAAGTTTTTCGTACCGCCTAGAATTGATAACGATGACTTTCTTGGTTTTCTGGTCTTCTGTCAGGAGCCTTGTGGACATGAGTGGCTCCACCGAGCTCACTGCCGGAGTATGCGAATATTTTGAAGCCGAGTCGGCATTAATAGATGTATTATGAGGAAATGAAAGCTTAGGAGCTTTTGGTTTCCTGAAAGTAGAAAGGCCCGTCTCTATGTTCATGATATTAGACGAGATGGTTTGTAAGGGAATGCGTGGCTTGTCTTGCGATAGCAAAGGATCGAACGCTGAAACTGAGGATGAATTCAGCACTCCAGGAAAGACTGAAGAGTTTTGCGATCGGGAACGTTTTGTGGGTCCCCTTTCAGCAGCGACTGGTGATTTTGCCTTAACATCTGCAAGCGGCTCCAATCCTGGAGACTTTTGTTTCATTATCTCTAGACTCTTGAAGAATTTCGAGTCACCCGTAATAGTTCTCTTTCTATCAACCCCATTTTCTGCTGGGGACATAATTGACAGTCGTATGGGTGTTTGGATTTGAGAAGATTGCGTGAATGCTGGATCTTTATCATTTGATGGTGTCACTGGAGATTGCTTACCAGAAGAGGAGCCGGAATTGCCATCCTGATCACCCAGACTTGGAGGCATTTCAGAAGCCCTTTTTGGAGGCCCAAGGGACTTGAACCTTCGTGCTAGTCGAGAACGCTTTGTATTGGTAAGGCCGGTCGAGGAGGGTCGCGTTGAACTGGCATCAGACCCGCCAGGGGTTGTTGCTGTCATCAAGTCGAGTTTCCCAATGGTATCACCTGATTGGTCTTCGAATTCGTCGTTGTCATCACCATTGAAATTGGAAGATGAGTTGAAGGAAGTACCGCTAAGAGTATGATTGCTTGTGCTGAGGCTGATGTTATGGCTGCTCGAGTTATGGCTACCACTATTATAAATACTAGAGCTATGGCTGTTGGTGCTGCTAGCGTTTCCAGAATCTTTTGCAGCCCCGTTGTCCTTGAAATGAACAGATAATCGAGACTTTAAGGAGTTCTTCAATGCAGTGTTCTCCTTGATATCCTCTCCGTAAACGCCAGACAAGGAGGATCTGGAAGCTAGGTCTGTCTTGTCACTTAAAAGTGCTATTCCGTAGGCACTCAAAGCCGGAGGCGCAAACGTATTGTCATCCTCCGGTAGCAGCCTCAGCAGAAGAAACGGCGTTCGCGTACCAGATGAGACATTCATCGGCGCAAAGGAAAAACGGGATAGTGTCTAGTGAATCGATGCGTACGATTCGCGTACAAGTAGTAATTGTAAACAAGCGGTGATGGTGTACGGGTGTAAAGTGCGCGGAGAGATGGATGCACTTGAAAAACAAGGCTATAGCTGCAAGAGATTAGCATCATACATAGACTTGTAGGTGTATTGTTCTTTTTTTTTTTTAAAAAAAATTCCTCTATTATTTCGATCATTGAAACTATTTCGTTAGCATTATAACTTTGTTTCTTAAAATCTCTGCTCCATCTATGCGTCTGGTGTTCCTATATGCTACTTCTACTGCCGTTTGGATGTGCGGCAGATAACATTTTCTCACCAGAATGCGCTTTGAAAAGTGTAATACTCCATCGGTTATGTCCAACTTTGTCCGCCAAGCGTCATTCGATGTCGAATATGCTCCTGCGCATATTTCGAAATGGGTATCCAAAAGAACAGGTTTGCAAATAACCTATGTCAACCAACCATCGCCGGTAGTGAATGGATATTTCGCTGTGGCCACTGAAATTCCCGACGATTCGGGTTGCCCCCATACACTTGAACATTTGGTGTTCATGGGTTCGCAGAAGTACCCTTACAAAGGTTTGTTGGACAACTTGGGAAACCGCTTTTTCTCATCCACGAATGCTTGGACCTCGGTCGATCAGACCGTGTACACTCTCACCACTGCTGGATGGGAAGGCTTTAAAACCTTACTTACGATCTACTTGGACCATCTTTTCAAACCAACCTTGACGAATGAAGCTTGTTTGACTGAAGTGTATCACATAGATGGGAAAGGTAAAGAAAAAGGTGTCGTTTTCAGCGAAATGCAGGGAATCGAAAACCAGTCGTGGTTTTTGACCTACAACGAATTGCAGAAAACCTTGTATGCTGAAACGTCAGGTTACTCGTCAGAAACAGGGGGGTTGACCTCAGAATTACGCCACTTGACGAATGATCAGATTAGAGATTTTCACAAGGCCATGTATCGCCCAGACAACCTTTGCGTGGTGATCACAGGCTCAGTTGACGAGCAAGAATTGTTGGAAATCATGAATGAGTTTGATAACCTGTTGAGCCCTCTTTCAGATGAACCTCGTAAAAGACCATTTGTTGATTCACCTCATGATATGCCACTCAATGAGTATATTATTAAAAGAGTTGAGTTTCCAGACAAAGATGAAAGTATGGGAGAACTTGTTTTGGGTTGGATCGGTCCGGAAAGTGAAAAGGCTTTGGATAATCTTGCTGTTGATATGGTTGGTTCGTACTTTACTGATTCGCCCATTTCGCTTTTCAACAAGCACTTAGTGGAAATTGAAGATCCTATGGCCACAGAAATTGACTATGGAACGGACGACTTCATCCGCACAGGTTTGAACTTTACAGTCAGCGGTGTTCCCACTGATCGTTTGAAAGAAGTTGATGCCAAAATCAAAGAGATGATCGAACAGCTGACTAAAGAAGAATCTTTTGACTTGGAGTACATGCAGCAAATCGTTCGTCAGCAGATGCTTAAGTTTGTGGCAAACACGGAAAGATCTTCAACAACGTTCTCGAATGTAGCTATTCTGGAATTCATTTATGGCAAGAAAGATGGAACAGACTTGGAAAAATGGACAAAAGACCTTCACGAGTTTGAAGTTCTCAGTACTTGGTCAGCCAAAGAATGGTGTGACATAATCAAAAAGTACTTTGTTGATAACAAATGCGCGTCCATTCTTGGAGTTCCATCTTCTGCTTTGAATAAATCTACGAAGAAAGAGAACAAACAGAGGATTAAGGATATTAGAGAAAAATATGGTGAAGAGGGTCTCGCCAAACTTGATCAGGAACTCAAAAAGGCTCAGGAAAAGAACGATTTGCCTATCCCAGACGAAGTACTTACACAGTTTGGAAAACCAGATCCATCTAAAATTGAATTTATCTACACGAAGTCATACAGAGCTGGCGCTAATAAGACGGATGCTTCAATTTATACAGATGATGATGAATTTGCCACTTTAATTAAAAAGGACGAACCAGAGGATATGCCTTTATTTTTGCATTTTGAGGAGTTCAAATCTCGTTTCGTCACTGTCCATATTATCATGCCAACCACAAATGTGCCGGAGAGTCTTTTATGTTACTTTTCTTTAATTGAGGAAATATTTTCACTCTCCATCAAAAAGCCGGACGCCAACATTCCATACGAAAAGGTCATCTCAGATATCAACAATGACCTTATTGAGTTTCAGTTTGATAACGGGTTGGAAAATCAATTTGTCGAACTCGCTAGTGTTAAGATAAAGTTTGAGGCCAATAAGTATGAGCGTGCTATTCAATGGCTTATTGATGTTCTTAAGTACTCTGTTTTTGAAGAATCCAGGTTAAGAGTCATGGTGGAAAAAATCATCAACTCTCTTCCAGACAAGAAGAGAAGCAGTGAATTGATGATGTACTCTTCCCAACATCGTACGATTTACAACACGGCTTCCTTGAGAAAATCTCAGGACTCCATTTATACTGAGAAGTTCTACAGAAGCCTTTTAGAGAAGCTTGATAATGGCAAATTTTCCGAAATTGAGGCTGATCTTGAAACTTTCAAACTGAAATTATTCAACGTCGCTAATATGAATGCGTTCGTAGTGGGAGGATGCAAAGATCTTGAGAAACCAGTTTCTTCATGGGCTAAGTTTGCGCAAGAGTTTTCGGACACAAAAGAAAAATTCGATCAATTCACACTCGAGAAGCTTCCAAGAGCATTCCAATTCAAGACAGAAGAGGGCCAAAAATGCAGTGGAAATGCACATCTTGTGACTACTTCTGCGAGCGAAACAACTCATCTTGTTTCTTTGACCACAATCCCGACTGATTATTTGGACGAAGACATCTTCAAGATTGCCTTGGCAAGTGAATTTTTGGGAGGTGTTGAAGGACCCTTCTGGAGAGGAATTCGTGGAACCGGCCTTGCATATGGCGCAAACATTAGAAGTCTTGTAGAAGCTGGTTACTTGTCTTTCACCATTTACAGAGGTGCCGATGCCCAACAAGCATGGTTGACGGGTAAAAAAATTATTAGCGACTACACTTCTGGAGTTCTCAAGATTGACCACATCAGTATTGAAAACTCGATTGCTGCTATCGTGAACGAACTCGCAAACGCTGAATCGAATGCCTACGATGCGTCGATCAATAAGATGGTGGATAATCTTTTCAAGAAGAGAGGTGCTTCATATCTCAAACACTTTTTGGCTAGATTGAACTCCTATACTGCGGAAGACTTGGTCTATATCATGAAAAAGTACTTCCTTCCTTTGTTCGAACCACTGACTTCGCTTCTTTTCTGCTGTTTGCCCACCGGAACAGTCGACGAGTTTTCTGAATTCATGGGCAAAGTCGGATACAACGTATCAGTGGAAGAAATCGCTTCTACACAAGTAGATGGCCATTCTGAGGATAGTCACAGCTGTGGAAGCGGCTGCGGAAGCGACTGTGATAGCCACGAAGAAGAATGGGAGACCGGAAGTGAGGAGGAAACGGACAGTGAAGAGGACACTGACGAATCTGAGAGTGAAGAGGAAACTGACAGTGAGGAAGATAAGTAGAACAATATAGAAAAGAGTGTTAACCAAGATACTAACTTGTGTTGATCACTGTGAATAGAATATTTTCAGATGGAACTACGTAATAAGGTATCATGAAAAGAAAAAAAGAAATTAATGATTATCAGTCTCTATGGATGTACATCGATATTCCATTGACCTGCATCGTGACAAGGTGCATCTATCAACGGCAAAACGAAGGCAAGACTTAATTGCAATTACATGTCAGGACAATATGAAATCACAGTGAGCAAAGCAGTTCCCAAATATTCGGATCGCTGTTTCTTTCCACAATCCGTATTGTCTGAAATTTTGGATCAAAATGCGACTCTCCCACATCCGTTAGTGTTCAGACTCACTAATAAGGAGGGACAATCGACATTGGTGGGAGTAAGAGAATTCACAGCTCCCGAGTACCACATACTAGTTCCGGAGGAGGTATCTCTGCTGATAGGACAAGGTGTTGTCACGATCGAATTGGTGGAAATGCCTAAAGCCACATTCCTTCAGGTGAAACCTCTACAATTCTACCCGCAAGTCACTAACTGGAAATACTATCTAGAGTCATTTTTGAGCAAGAACTATACTACGCTAAGCAAGAATCAAACTTTTGGGTATTGGGATGACGTTGCCAACACAGCAGTGGAGTTAGTTGTGGAGGACACAAACGAGGAATCAGTGGTAGTAGTAGATACCGACATTGTACTTGATGTTCTTCCTTTGAATGACATCATGGCAGCACAGCAGCTCGAACAGGCAAAAACCATGGAAGCCCTCGAAAACATCCCCATACTCGAGCCTATACTGATCCTTGATTTAGAACCTTTCAATAAAGCGGCTGTCCCTCAGATATTCAAGGTTAATGTGCTTAACTACAAATCGAAGATTTGCATCGAGATACAAGGCGAAGATATTGCTAATATGGATATTCTTGGAGGAATTGATAAGTTCATCACCTTGGACTGTTTTCTTTGGTGTACTATGACACAAGATGACGAAGAAATTAAACGCCTCGTGGTGGATCTTTCAAGTGACACTGTTGCCAACTTTGTACAAAAGAATGGGGACCAGACAGAATGCTACATCTACCTTGTATTTTTTGCCTGGGAGCACAATACTCGAGTTAAGGTGAAAGTGTCTGAAGGCAAATCGGCAGAAGAAGTCACAGCTGCTACACATCAGACAAATTCTGTCGAGCAAGTGCAATGTCCAAACTGCTCAGCATACATCTCAAAAGCCAACATTCAGCTTCACGAAGTAGCTTGTCGCCGGAAGAAGAAGTGTAGTTGCGGTGAGCTATTCATGGGTAATATTCCACTGGCTCACTGGCATTGTGATATTTGTGGGCCATCAGTTCATGGAAATTCAAGTTTGTTTAAGATGAAGCATCAGAAGATTTTCCATCAGCATCCATACCAGTGTGACAAGTGCTCTCTGGAAACAGAATTTAACAACTTCATTGAGCTCGTTTCTAAACATAAGGCTACAGAATGTCCTCAAAAACTTCATGAGTGCATTTTCTGCCACATGATACTTCCGCAAGGAGAAGCTACATACCAGGATAAGTTTAACAACTTAACCCATCATGAAAGTGAATGTGGGAGTAAAACCACAGAGTGCTTTGAGTGCGGAAAAGTTCTTAAGACCCGTGATATGACTAGCCACATGAAAATGCATTACATGGATAAGAAGGAGAAGAGCACACTGGTCGTAAAGCATTGTTCTAATACCGTATGTGTGTCGATTTTTGAAGACGGATCTGATGCATCCAACGAGCTTGGGCTCTGCGACACATGTTATCGACCATTATACGCTTCAGTTCATGATCCTACAGGCAGTAAACTTCGAAATCGGATTGAGCGAAAGTACATCATGCAATTGACTAAAGGTTGCGCTAATGCATGGTGTGACAACCCAGAATGTGGCACAGGAGGAACAAAGTTGGACATAAAGCTGGCCCTTCTGCGGGTTCAAGGATTAATGGCACAGATTCATTCTTTGCCGAAAAACTTTAATTCGCCTGGCTCAGAAAACCGATTTTACTTTTGCATTAGCGAGAATATCGCAAGACGAAAAACACTCTTGAAGAAGTTACTCGAAGAGAATATATCAGAGTCGCTTGCATATCGTGCAGTTTGGAAATCTGTCGATGAGGAGTCTGTTCGCAGTTGGGTGAACCAGAATAGCATAGTTTTTTAGTGTGGATAAATGAGTCTGTCCACTAACATCAGGTGTTATACGTTACAGTATATTACTTCAGCATAGTTGTGTAGAGTTACTCGTGACTAATGAATATCGTATAATAAGCCCTGTTGGTTACATTCTAAGCGAATGATTTCGGGCTAGTGACCAGCCAATAAATACACACCATTGACTTTACATAGTAGGAGTCTTTACATAGTAGATGATTACCACGTGTATCCTCTGATAGGTACCTATGACATTCTATTTTGTACTGTGTGACGCATAGTCTCCCGCCAGAACTCCAAGTACATCTTGTTGTTTCAAGTATCTTTCGTCTCCGAGTACCTCTAAGTGTATCGCCAAACAGACAACGTGCCAATTATATTAATGTTCACCAGGTTGTAAGCACAATAGCACTGTGATTATTAATCTGTAAGCTAAGACGAATCTAGCCGTTGTCACTGCGTTTTCAGGCCAGTTCTACCAGTGGCCCAACCTATTTATAGTCCTGAATTAGAAGCTTATCTGTGTATTACCGCGTCCGAAAGGGGAAAATTCCTCTTTCACAGGGAGATATGGCCCCCACAGTGTGCATAGTAACTGTGGTTCTTGCCTATCATGACCTTATCGCGCACACGATAACCATAAAAGAAAGAGTCGATACACGTTTACATTGAAAGAGTAAATTGATGATTTCTTGAGTTTTCTTTCTTGATCATTGATAAAAAATTGCACGCAAACATGTTTCTCATCATTACTTTGTCTGGTTTGCGTTTTTAAAGCTGAACTGCTCTTGCCTCCAAAATAACCAAAGCACCAGCCGACAAACGGATTGACCTGCATGAAAGAGCCATTGCTGCGCATTCTATAAAAAAAGCCTTATCGCCACCCTTCTTTACACTCTCTTTCTTCTTGCACTTCCTTGTACTATCAAAGAAACAAAGAAAAAAAATTATAAATCACTCTCTCAATCTTTCACAAGCAGTGCAAGAAGTAAAACCCCGACAACATCATCTTATTGAAGCCATTCCCTAGCGAAGCTACCAAGTATGTTGTTCTCTCAATCCGTTGCCCTTTCCATTTTGGCTGCTCTCGGCGCCAACGCTATGATTATCCCCAACATCGGTGATGTGGTGGATGTTTTCAAAAACACTGATCTCTCCCAATTCAAGGAAGATGTCAAAGAAGAAGCCAAGAATGTTGGTTCCACGGTTTCTTCTGCTGTGGCTGACTACGAGTCCAAATTGTCTTCTAAGTTGGGCCCATTGTTGCAAAACCCAAGAGAGCTCATTCCACACAAGTACATTGTTGTGTTCAAGAATGATGTGACTCCTGAAAGCGTGCAATTCCACCAGGAGTGGGTTGCTGCTAAGCACTCCGAGCACGTTGCCCAGGCTGATTCTTCCGACCCCTTTTTCGCCACCATTAGTGACGCGAACATTGAGGGTGGTATCTCTGACGTGTTTGACATTGCCAACTTGGTTACCGGTTACTCCGGTTACTTTTTACAGAGCACTATTGACTGGATTCGCCGTGACCCAGCTGTGGCATTTGTAGAGCAGGACTCTGTGGTTCGTGCCAACGAGTTTGAGGTGCAAAAGGGTGCTCCTTGGGGCTTGGCCCGTGTATCCCACAGACAGCCACTTTCTTTGAACTCGTTCAATCAATACTTGCATGACACCGAAGGCGGTGCTGGTGTGACCTCTTATGTGATTGACACGGGTGTGTTCGTGGACCACACACAGTTCGAAGGCAGAGCCAAATGGGGTGCAACTATTCCTTCTGGTGATGCTGACGTTGATGGAAATGGTCATGGCACTCACTGTGCGGGCACAATTGCGTCTAAGGACTATGGTGTGGCCAAAAAGGCAAAGGTTGTGGCCGTTAAGGTTTTGCGTTCTAACGGTTCCGGATCTATGTCTGACGTCGTCAAGGGTGTCGAATTTGCTGCCAAGTCTCACCAGGCTGATGTCAAGGCTGGAAAGAAGGGTTTTAAGGGTTCCACTGCCAATATGTCTTTGGGTGGAGGCAAGTCCACTGCTCTTGACTTGGCTGTGAATGCTGCTGTGAAGGCGGGTCTTCACTTCGCTGTGGCGGCAGGAAACGAGAACCAAGACGCTGCCAACACTTCGCCAGCTTCTGCCGAGTTGGCTATCACTGTTGGTGCCTCGACCATCTCAGATGCGAGAGCGTACTTCTCCAACTATGGTGAGACTGTGGACATTTTTGCCCCTGGCCTCAACATCGTCTCGACATACATTGGTTCTGACACTGCCACCGCTACATTGAGTGGTACTTCGATGGCATCGCCTCACATTGCAGGCTTGTTGACCTACTTCTTGTCGTTGCAACCTGGTGCTGACTCGGAGTTCTTTGTGTCCGAGAAGGGTGTTTCAACTGCTCAGTTGAAGAAAAACTTGGTGAGCTTCGGCTCCAAGGGCTTGTTGTCTGACATTCCAGACGATGGCACGCCAAACATCTTGGCCTTCAATGGTGCAGGCCACAACTTGACCAAGTTCTGGGGTGAAAGTGTCTCGGAAGTCTCCGTTGAGCCTGTTGGCAAAACCTCTGTGTTGGAAGGGAAGCTTGAGGACTTGATGAGCAAAGTCGAGACTGAAGCTAAGGAAATCGTCAACGATGTGATGGGTTTCGTAGACGGTGTTTACAAGAGGGAATAAACCTATTGACTAGGTATGTCTTCACCATCCATTTTTTTTTCTGTCTGTATTCTTTTTTTATATACTACAATATCCACATATATATCCATTTTAGGCTCTTGGTGGAAGCGAGAAGAGTTTCTACGCACTAGGATAACGACCTGCAGATACCCGAGCGGCGAGCGCTGGGGCCTAAAGTGCTATCTTCCATATAAAAGTTCTTTAATCGCCTCCAAACGTTTTTTGACCCCACACTGCCGTAATCTCACCATGTCGACGCCAGCGAAAAGAAGACTTATGAGAGATTTCAAGCGCATGCAACTGGACGCCCCCAGCGGCGTTTCGGCATCACCTGTCCCCGATAATGTCATGTCTTGGAATGCTGTGATTATCGGTCCAGCAGATACTCCATTTGAAGACGGCACGTTCCGCTTAGTGTTACAGTTTGACGAGCAGTATCCAAACAAGCCACCTAGTGTGAAATTCATTAGCGAGATGTTTCACCCTAATGTTTATGCCAGCGGCGAGTTGTGTCTAGATATCTTGCAGAACAGATGGTCACCGACATACGATGTTTCGAGTATTTTAACGTCAATCCAGTCGCTATTGAACGACCCCAATATCTCATCTCCGGCTAATGTGGAAGCCGCTAACTTGTATAAGGATCACCGTTCTCAGTACATAAAACGAGTTCGGGAAACGGTGGAGCGAAGCTGGGATGAGGATGATGACGAGGACGGCGAGGAAGAGGATGAGTAGAGAATGGTAATTTGCACCTCTTTTCGGATAGACTGTGTATATATGGAATAGTTACATAGGGTGAGCATCAATGAATAATTATGTACAAGTGCGATCTTCTAACCTAGTCACTTTAACCACAAGTAGTACCATTTGCGGCGGGCCTGCTTTTCCTGATTCTTTCTGTTTTCCTCCTCTATTTCTTTTTCTTTTTCCTTTTGCTCCTTCTCGAGCTTACTCTTCATATACCTGTCTTCAATAATGATCTCCTGAGGCTTCCCACTTTCACCTGTATTCTTGTCTCGCAGAATGGCAAAAAGCATAACAAACAACGTAATGTAGATGAATGTTTTTGTGACTGGGTCCATCTTGGAAGTGTCAAACTGTTCTTTCCTCACTGGTGTTTCCGATAGGTATAATGGTTCAAGCTTGTGCACGACATCGTTTGCCTGGGGGTTGGAAAGACGGACCTTCGATGGCACGCGAAATGGAAGATCATAGGGAGCCTCTTGCGTGTTCCAGTTGATGAATTTCTCTCGAGGACCCCAGTTCCCGTACGCAATATAGTATCCAAGCTTCTTTTCCTCGTCTGTCAACTTGTTCCAGTTCTTATCGTACTTCTCCTGAAGCTCTTTCAAAACTTGTCCCTGGTGTAACAAGTTCAATGTGCCAAAAAGCTCCGGGTTTTCGAAAACTGGACGTGTGTCGATGGGCTGTACAGCGTCATCACTTCCAGAAGAGAATACGGAACCCACATCCTTCAAAGATTGAATGGCCAACTTGGCAGCTTCAGCTTTGGCCTCTTCGGGCGAAAGTTTGCGAGCAGAGTCCTTTCCAGCCGTAAAGTTCGAAGCAGATGAGGCAAATGCACGGACACTTGTCCTGCGGAGCATATTTCTTGTAAGCATCGCGAGAGACATTCTAAAGATGATGGCGCACTGTGCGAATTAAAATGAGATTTTGAGCGAGTTTTTCAGACCCTACAATTCACCAAACGGTTTAAATAACTTGTGACCAAGTCAGCATTGTGGTGAATGCAATAAAGAAATCAAAATAAGAAGAGTAGAAAAGAATTAAAAGTTAAGTACCATATCCAACCGTTACATTATTCTATTCATAAATTTCCCTATCGCTATCATCGGTGCACATATAGCCTTAACTGCCATACAAACAGCATCAATAATCAACGAGAGCTCATAGAGTAGCCACAAAAATATCACTAATTCCAACAATATCACAATTGTTTGTAAGGTAGGAAAGTTTTGTGCAATGACGTCAATTGGTGCAAAAATGATCCTCATTAAGCGGATGCTTTTTATGAGACTATCAATGTTTGAGATGAGGCCGGTTTCCTCACTGGAAGAAGTTGGTGAACCATTCTTCATACCAATCGCTACCAGCTGACTCTCTCTATAGGCTTGAGGTGTGACAGTATTACTGCTTACTTCCATTTCCAATTGCAACTCCAGACCTCTTTCCTCATTCCCATGCAATCTCCTTTGGCGATCCAAAATGGAAGAAACGGGCTGATTCCATTTGCTTATCATACTTTTAGCTTTTGAGTTCATCACCTTAATGTTCCCTCTTTTTGCTTTCCGATGCTTAGTTCCCAAGTAAGACTCTTCCAAAACCTCTGGCAGTTTAGTGTCTCCAAGTTCGACTATCTTTCCTTCGGGTGAATCGTTATCTTCTTCTTTCCCTTGTTGATAATTAACCCACGAGAGAAAGTAACTCCACACTGGATTGTAAGCTTGAAAGGATGACGACGAGGGTAGACTCGGAGACACTAATTTCTCCAGAGTTAACCTCGATTTTTCATCCAAGACAACGTCTCCATAATACTTGTTTGTGTCCTCACAGTCTTTACCCAAAGGTTCATCTAAATCAGCCCAATTCTGATCCATTTGGGTATCCTCGGCGCCTTTAGCTTCAGTAGAGCCTTTTTTCCGACTCATCTTTCTTCTATGGCCAAATACTTTCCATCTTGACAGAGACTTCTTGTGAGCTTCCGGAACATCTAAATTTTCTGCCAACCCGGGTTCTTGTTTGTGCTTCTCATCGTAATAGTCGTAGGAATCGTAATCATCTTTGCCAAGTTTCCGCTGGACATGTTTGAAAGCTCTTTGAATCTTCTGTTTTTGTTCCAGAATCCCCACATTTTCCGAATCCACAAAAACGGTATCAGCAGGGTTGAAGCGCTCGTCTTCATCTTCGGGGAAAATATCTTTGAATGTCTTGTGCGTATAAGTCTTTGGTTTAAACTCCTCTGCTTGGTCGTATCTAATTTGTTGATCAATGTAATAGCCTTGCAAGGGCTGGACTTGAGTATAGTTTTGAGTATACATATATGGTTCCTTAGCATAGAATGATTCTGCATTCTTTGGGAAGGAATTGTTCTGGTTGTAGGACTGGGTACTTCTTTTGGTCTTATAGTAACCAGCCATTGGCATTCTCTGTTTTCGTGGAGTAGCTCTTTGAAGGTAAGTTAACTGAGCAGGAGTGAGCTGTTCACTGAGTGTATCTGGATCGATGACCTCCGAATTGTTTGAGGAAACTCGCTGAGGAGACAGCGTTCCGACTGCAACATTTCCATTCCGTTTAAACTGCGAATGTGATCTGGGAGAATTGATTCTCCGATCCAAGTATTGGGTGGTAAAGTAAGCATCCTCGGCGACATTCATAGTAGAGTCTGGTTAAGTGCCAAATCAACTTGAAAGCAATCAAACAGTGAAGTCAATGCTCATCTCCTATGTTAGCCCAATGTAGATAAGGTGGCTGGCTGAAGTTGAATTATCCTGCAAATAGCTCGTCCCATTCTGTATACAAGGTCACACAATGCTTCCGAGCATTCAGTCTTTTATAATCAGAACAGAACAGAACACAAGAGAGTAGATTCAAATGAACACAAGGATCCTATTGATCACCGCATACAATGAGTAAGATCTCACTTTAACATCATTGTTACCAAATACTGGTCGAACAAACTTTTCTCACTGCTATACTTCAATACTCATCACTCTCAGTATTTTGAAAGGCCCTGCAGTTTACTCTTAATAGAGGAAATCGCCTTAACCTTTTCGAACCATCATCGGTTGACAAAATAAAGCTCGTTGTCAACTATAAGTGTTTTGTCTTTCATCAAATGGCGTGTCTACAACAAAGTACTAAGCTCCATTTCCAGAGAAGAACAAAATCTGTAAAACTTATCAAAGTTCACTGGCGATTGACTTCTAACTACTCTGCTCCACCTTTAAGATACTCCTTGCGTTACTGTTGATCTTGGCTTCATCTCAATGCCTTGGATAGATTGCGAAATGCTCATACTAGTATCTGCAGACAGATTAACATGGATATCATGAGGTGCATGCAGTATTGCATGAATCATACCTACACCGCACCCAATTGATAGATTCAGTACGTATCAGCAACATGTCGTCCAGACCCATTAAAGCAGGTCGGCGTTGTCTATTTCAGGTAGGCAGTTGTCGCTTCTACTCCAAGAAATACCACCCATCACCTATCACATGCCACTCTTACATCGACGATGATTTTCTCTCTCTAGTGAGCAAGAAACAGATTGCCCAACACTTGAGCGATTTAGGAGCTTTCCCTTCGTTTTCCAGCATCCTAACGCCTCAACATTTTTACCAGAACGAGGTATTGATGAAATACTCCAAGCAAAAGCCGCATCCGGTGTCGCTTCGTCAACTCGCAGGTTACGGAAAGACATTGACAAAGCAGAAGATATTGGCGTCTGCAAATTTTGTGAGGATCGAATTGCCCATTAGATTGGCCATGCGAATCAGAGATTTGCAAACTTTGCCTTTTGGTGTGGTGAACAATTTCCATTTGGCCCAGATTTATGAAAGTTACTACCACTCTTTCAATGCTTTTCGAAAAATTCCGCAGGTGACTACGCTTAGCGAAAACGACGAATTCTGTCGTAAAATCAGTACTTTGTTGGACCAGCACGTTTTCAACTTATCGCACTTGATGATGGGCGCTTTGGAGCTGTGCATCCTAAACACACTTCGCCAAGAGGAACTAGATATGTTTATGAGTTCGATGCTTCGCTCACGTATCAGTAGGAGAGTCATTGTTGAGGAACATTTATCCCTCACCGAGATCTACAAGAAGCATCCTTATCAAAGCAAACCACCCGATTATATTGGAGAGATATTTCAGAGGTGTGAAGCACGCGAACATTTCAATATAGTGGCCGACACTGTGAAGAAATCCATGTTGGAGCACTTCCCCAACGAGAAGAACTTGCCGGACTTGAACATTGAAGGCGACGTCAAAACTTCATTTCCCTTTATGGTGCCACACTTGCATTATTTGTTTGGTGAAATTCTCCGTAACTCGTACCAGGCGACAATCAAAACTCATGGCCTGTCTTCCAACAAGAAGCTTCCACCTATCAAAATCACCATCATAGATACCAAGAAACAAGTAATGTTCCGTATATCTGACGAGGGTGGTGGAATCTCTCATAAGAAACTTGCATCAATTTGGTCGTTTGGTAAGAATCCGGAATTGGCCAGACAGTCATTGGCTAATTTCCACAGAATTCCAGGTTTACAAATGTACTCAAATCTTCAGGTGACTCCAGCGGGGTCATCTATTGTCGATAATCGGGACGCTCTTGGACTCACCTCTGTTGGTGACATAGGACAGGTTTCCACGAAGGAGAAAAAGTCCACGTTGGAGCAGTTGACTACGAGGCCAAATCAATACAAGCTTGGACTTGGGTTGCCTATGTGCAAAGTGTATGCTGACTACTGGAACGGCGATCTTACTATGAACTCTTTGGAAGGCTACGGTAGTGACACTTGCTTAACATTGAGCAAGCTCGGCTACCACTCTAGTGTCAACCAGTTAGACCGTGCTTAGGAGACACGATGAATCAAATACGGATAAACAGTTCACATATGCAGAGTAGATCATTAACATGTAGAAGCTGGATCCTTCGGTTTCTTTTTATACCTTATCGTGATCCTTCGTTACTACATCTACGACGTGCGCGCGCCTAGTATTTGTGTTTCAAAGCACCAAGAAAACTTCGAAACACAACAAATCTTCTTAGTGATGTCGCGAAACAACGTCCCAATACTGTCCCTTTTGGAAGGGGCGCAGCGACCGGATGACAATCATTCGGCCCAACAGCCTCAGATTCTGCAAACTGTGGCTCAACAGTCTCAAACAGGAAGAGTTGAAAATGCTCCTCGGCAATCCTCCTCGAGTTCTCCTCCGCCAGCACCGATGGCCAATAATATACAATCTCTTATTTCCCAATATCAAACATCAGTGAGTGTTCCTGCCCCACTGCCGACAAAAGACTTGAAAATTGTCCATGAACGGGATCTGCCTAATCCTGCTCCGCAAATAGCCAGACCAATACCCCCTTCGAGTCTTTTACAGAACTTCTTGAAAAATTTTCAGACAAGCTTCAATGTTACACCTGAAACCCCAAATAATGAGCCAGGAAGCTCCCCGAAACCCACTCAGAAATCTGCTCTGAAATCTGCCACGAAATCTACTCCAAAATCTGCAAGATCTTCTCCCGCAGCACAAACGACATCAAAGTTAGTACCTTTGAAACCCGCGATTCAGATCGATTCTACACATAGTAGAACATCCATCAATTCCCTCATCAATTCTGATGAAGTTGGCCAGGCGCAAACTAAAAAACGTCCTGTTGTCAAGGTAGAGGGACCAAGCAAGAAACAGAAAACTGAACCAAGCAAGAAATCAAATAAACAAGATTCGAAAACCGAAACAAAGAAAGGAACGAAGGGCAAGAAGAAAACTCCTGACGTTGTCACTCCACAAGAAAAACCTTCTATTCATCCAACAATGACAGCAGATCGCTCAGAGAACGCCTCGTCTAAAATTACATTACCAGCAACAACATTTATAGAACCGAAAAGTACTCTGGCAGCTGCTGAAGATACTCATCAACCAGCCGGGCTGGAGCTAACTTTGCAGAGCCTGGGTGACGCCGAGATAACTACAACAAAAAATCAAACGACCGGCGTGGACACTACAAAAGAAAAAGAAAAAGTCAAAGAAAAAGAAAAAGAAAAAGAAAAGAAAGATAAGGATGAAAATGATAAGGACAAAGAGAAAGAGAAAGAGAAAGAAAAGGAGCCTGTACCAGAGCCTCCGGTGATTGCGTTGAATATTCCGCTTCTAGATCCTAAGAACCCACAACCAGGACAAGCGGAGGTAATCATCAATGTTTTGAAGCTAGCAGAGGACAAATATGGATGGAATGTGATACATCCAAATGCAAAGTCTGCAATCGATTTGATGGACGAGATCTTGGATGACGATGATGAGGGCGAAGATGAAGAGGAAGACGATATTTCCATGGCTGATGATCGCGGGAATCTGTTAACTTCGAAAAAGAAGGAAGAGCTTACTGAAGAACAACTCATTAAACGGCATGAGACAAAAATGAACAGAAAGGTTGGCAAATACGATTATGAGGACCCCTTCATCGATGATGCAGAACTTCAATGGGAAGAAGAGATTACTACAACTAAAGAAGGCTTTTTTGTGTACTGGGGTCCGTTGGTTGAGGAAAGATCTGCAACCAAAAAAGGAGCCAGTAAAAGTAAAAAGTAGCATTTTCAGCACTACTTGGGTTTACTATATACTATCAAAGGGTGAGTCTTTCCACAGTAACCTTCAATATTCCTATGCCTCCTAATGATGATGATGTTTCATCGCCTGCATTTTCCTCCACTCCCTTTATATGTTTCTGGACTTTGTCAACGACATCTTGATACCTCTGACCCTTTATGAACTTTTCATTCCTAACAAGAAACAAGAAATTCAAATATGCCTGTAGAGTAGGCAAAATCTGTCCATTAAGGTATGGTCCAGTCTCACCGTCGGTAAATGCCTCGCTCATACACATATCAATGAGAGCGAAGACGTCATTCACGCGTTGCTCGGTTAAGTTAATATACTTGACACCAGCTTTATTCTGCCGACTCGGAAGCGGTGGTGGAATAGAATCACCCTTGTTTTTCGAGTCTTCTTTGCTGATTTTAGCATGGCTCATACTTTCAGCCAAGTCGTCCATAATTACCTTATCCTTGATACTCAATTCCTTCAAAACTCCAACAATAGCTGCCTTAACGTTTTGGTAAGGACATTCACGTAAAGTGTTCACAATGAAGTTAAACGAGACGTCCTCGGACGCTAAGGACAAGAATCTTGTCAATAAAGTAAGAGTGACGTAACGGAAGTACAGGTTCGAGCTGCAAGAAACGGTAGCAAATAGTAACGCTTGGAAAAACGACATAAGCACCACCTTGGGAATCGCACCAACTTCAGAAGTAGGATCTCTTCCATTTTTCAGACTCATGTGCACCGCATACCAACACCAGAAAATAGCGACATCATGTTGTCCGCGGTATATAAAGTTGGAATGAACAATACCTGGGACAATGAGTCGTATAGCCATATCAACAGCCAGTTTTATGGAAACGTCAACCTTATCAAATACTTTGGAATGGGCAATCGAATATGTGAACAAATTTAAGGTGCCACCTAATGAGTCTGTGATAGCAGTCGCCTCTGAGCTGATCAAGGACGAGCAAAAGTTATTCTGGTAGTCAGTTACCACGAATTCAACAAGCTTAGCAGTTGCGTCATCTTCGCTGTCTTGAGTGTAAGCGATTGAGTCGATCAATTCAGAACTTGACTTCATAAAATCTCTGAAAGAGCTCGTCAAGTCAAGATCAAATGAAAGGGCCAATTCGTACAAGCGGTCAAACACAGGCATGTCTAACTGAAAGTTATTGGTGTATTTTGCATTTGCAGGCAGCATCCGTTGGAGATAGTTAAAAAAGTCCACCGCAAAGCCCACAGTTTCCAAGACCAAGAAACGGTTGATAGCTTCCGTTAAAAACGCTGTCAATAACTTGCGCTGTAAGTAATCTTCGTCCTCATTGATTTTCGCTAATTCTTCAGCCGGAAGGTCTGTAGAGTCTGGGAGTGGAGGTCGTGTATAGTTTCTTGCGAAGGTATACAACCGTTTCCAAAGAAAATCGTTGCTGTATCTTACCTTGTTAATGTAAATGGAGTTTATGAAGCTGGTCATAGTCATTGCCAAAAACTTGGAAGGATACAACGTGTGAATGCGGCGCAAGCAACTATTGATCAATTCGAAAAGGCAATACACCTTCAAGTCGTAAAATTTCTCCGCATTTTCCTGGTTTTCTGTTGGAGAGTCCGTAATTTTGATGGTACTTAGCAACTCTGTGCTTTTGAGAAACAATTCTTTGGAATTCCCTTCAATAGCCAAAACTTCAAATATTTTGAGTACCTTGTATACCCCAGGCGCCTTTCTTACTGGACCAACAAAGTCATAGTCAGAGTCAATGTAGGATATCAAGAGAGCAGGCAAATCCCAGCCTATTTCAGCAGTCATCTCTTTGTCCGTAGTCAAGGCACCTAAAATATGGGAAAGAATCTGCTCCTTCTCCGCATTGCTAAAACCCGTTGGGTCACTAGCGCAAATGTCTAGAACAGTTGAATAGGATAGATAGTCACCCGACTCTCTAGCGTCTGCAGCAGCAAGCTCTAAAGTCAGAAGAACTTTTTCAAACTCACCAGCTTCCAATGTCGAGTCACTCGTATTCTGTTCGTTTTCGTCAGTAAGGGACATGATGATGGGTTAGTTTAACTTTTAGCGCGTGGATCTTTGATTGTCTAGACACAACCTTAGGAAGAAAGACCTGCACTTTCGGTTTTGGGTCCCCCTGACAATAGGAGACGAATTCAGAAGATAGCCTTGGGAATGTAAGACTACAGGCGAAAGTTTAATTAAAGCTTCTCTTTATATTTTTGGCTCACAGGGGAAACGGTTTTGAGAGGTGTCCAAGCAACGAATTTGCTTTCATTGTAGTCTTCATGAATAAAACCACTCCAGGGCAATTTATCTCAACAGCTGTGATACTTGTTAACTACATACTTTAATGTTACGGTGGTGGCGAATTATTGGAGCCTTTCCTCACGTGTGACCAGAAATCCCTTTGGCAAGTAGAAATAAAAAATGCATAGAAAGTGCGAACTAATACATTGAACAATGTTTAACCAGTATGAGTACTCTTTCACACTCTGAATCAGATTCTCTGTCCAACGAGTCGATAAATAACCTCGAATCGCCAGCTCCAGAAAAAGTGCCGTTATCAACATCCACAATTCTCCGAAAAGCAGAAATTCCAATAGCAGAGACTCTTGAGACCCGAAGTACTACTGGCAACAAGATATCTATACGCTTCCAGCCGATTGGCTCAGCGCCAGCATTAAATCCACTTTCATTCAAAGTCAGCGGAACACAGACCATTGGGTCGATTCTGAAGTTTTTAATGCGGCGTCTTCGACTAAAAACCGTGCATATTTACGTCCTGAGTTCCTTCCAGCCCACGCCAGACGAGAAGTTGGGTGACTTGTATGGCATGTACAAAACTAATGGCGAGCTAATTCTCAGCTACTGCGAAACTGTGGCCTTCGGATAAGACAAATACTACGAAAATGAAAACAATTCTAGATTATGGTACACAGAAAAACGAGGGAAAGACAGAAATGGCGTGGAAACGCTCCTGGGTATAGGCCTGTCACGAAAGAAGTCAAAATGGAATCCGGCAATCATAACTTAAGCATTTAGTAAAAGACAAATTGAGCCTTACCGCTGGTGAGAGTCAAGGTACATCCGTCAGATCCGTCACCACCATTGTATTGGCCATTGACGTAGGAACAAGAGCCCACGGTAGAAGCACCGTCAGCGCCCTTAATCTCAATGCTGTAGTTTGGAGCCTGTTTGTTGTTTGGGTTAGGAATCAAGGACAAGTAAGTGTTACCGCCAGTAGTACCGGCACCGAGAACAACTGGAGCCCAGTTACCAACACCAGAAGAGGCGTCACCCCAGATACAACCATCCTCAACAGAAACACCAGCGTTGTTGACGTAGTATTGAGCAGAGGTCTTACCGTTGTTCCACTTGAAGTAGGTGTCAGAGTCCACAACAGTGCATGGAGTGGAGCCACCAGCACTCAACAAGGTTGGCACGTTCATGTTCTCAGAACCTGGGTAGTCGGTTCTGCAAATAGCCACATCCTTGTCAAGCTTGGAGACAAAGTCAGCGGTTTGGCTACCCCATTCACACAAGTAATCGGAGTCTGGGTTGGATCTGTACAACTTACCATTCTTACATTGCAAACCACCAACAGACATACCGTTGGAAGGCTGGTTAGAAGGCCATTGAGTTTTGGACATACCGGCTTGGCATGCGTAAGAGCAGTAGAAACCATCCTGACAAGTGGAGGAGGTGTCACCATTCAAGTTCATAATGGAGGTGTAACCACCGTTCAAACCAGAGATCCAGTCCACAGCAATAACACCTTGGCCAGTTGGCAAAGTGCTACAGTCGTGGACACCATCCTCGAACTTAACGGTTGGGTCAGCGAAAGCGGAAAGATCACCAGAAATGGAGCTGGAGCCAGAGCCGGAGCTAGAGCCTGAAGAGGCAGCAGAAGGAGCGGAGCCAGAGGAAGAGCCAGATGCAGGGCCAGAGGAGGATGGACTGGAGGCCGGTGGAGCAGAGGAGTCCTTTTTGGAAAGGGCAGACTCGGCGTTTTCGCCAACAGTGACAGTCACCACATCTCTCTTGTGTTCATGGTGATGGTGCATACGGGAGGGAGCGGCCGAGGCGAGGGCCAAAAGGGCCGAAAGGGCAATGGAGGCTTTCATAGTTGGAGGAAGGAGAGGCGGAGTGTAGACACTTCAAAAGGAAAGACAATAGTTGGGCAAACTTTGGAAATGAGTGTAAAGGTACGCTTCAAACTGGAAAAGAAAGAAGAAGAAAAATTTCAACCACACGGAAACGGCCGCCATAAAAGTATTTGCCCAGTGCAGCAGTGTTATTTTTTTTTTCTCGCTGTGCGCAGGCGATGTGCAGGCCGTGCGTCCAGGCCTAGACCTTGCTCGATCCAATTAAGCCCCAAAAAGGCAACTAGCCTTCTCTTGTGCGGCGCACTTGCATACGACGTTGCCATGTCTCCTTTTCTGATACAGGGGAAAGTGACAAATGGGCGCTCCTTCTTGGGATTTTCGAGGCGGCGCCATTTTCGGGACTTATCGCTATTGTCTCTCAGCTCCTTTTCCGCCCCATGAGAGCCTCCTTCGACGCTGATATCCACCTATCACTGTCGGCACCAACGATTAGTCTCGGACGCATCATGCGACCGTATGCACGCCTACCTGTTCTCTACGCATCGCTGCCTTGTGAAATTTGAGAATCCACCAATAAGGTGGGCCTTTGGCTAATAGCAAGGCAGTGCCAGTTATACTTGCTAAAATATGACCTTGATCTTGTTGGAGTGAACAAGCGTCTATAATGCAAGGGTTTGCTCCTCCTCACCTACTTGCCGAATCGGGCTGTTGACATTCCCAAATGAGTCACGTGATATGTTCACCAATCTACTCTATTCGGCTAAACAGTAAATAAGTGTCAATTGTTGCGACAATCTCGCACCAGATGATTCGAGATTTATCACAATTGACACTCAGCAAGGAGTAATTCACTTAACCGAGAAGCGCTTGCGTCCTTTTCTCTCTTATTTTTTTTTTCTCTGCCCCCCTTCCCTCCTTTTTCCCCCTTCTTCTTTTGCCGTTCGCCGTTTGCCGTTTTGTCGCCGTTTGTTTTTTTTTTGCCGAAGGTCACGGGGGCGGATTCTCAGCGACACGACCAATCTGGCATATAATATCTGAAAAAGCAATCTACAGCCTGTATACAATACACATGCTGCAGTATGAATCTTACACTTCATTTAGATACTTACACTATTGTTCCGCGTATGCACCTTAATTGGGTCCGACACAAGTAACCTAGAAACCAAACTATACTATTTTCAAAGGACAGCAGCAACAACAATAACAAAATAAGGGAAAAAAAGAAAAAAGAAAAAAAAAGACATCACACAGTAAGAATTCGCTTTAATTATCACAGCGTTTCTTTAGAAGCATACCGCCATAACCCTCATAACGTACCTTCGTCCTCAATACCTAAGTTGAACCATGGATGCTCAAGCGCCTCTAGCGCTGTGATTCGCTCCCTTGGGTTTATCACAAAAAGCTTGCGTAGTAAATCAATGAAAAACCACCAAAAAGTAAAATTTCCAAAGTTGATTAAGTGTTGGTTATTTTGGAAGTTCTCGCTGAGCGAGTAGTCAAAGTCAATAACTAGCCCTATGCGCTCACTAATAAATAGATCAATGCGCGAAAGCTGGTCCACACTTCGGATAAACTTTTCAGGGGTGGAAGGGGTTGGAAACATGAGCGTAAGCGAGTTATCTTCTGTCGACTCATCATCAATGATAACATCGTCATCCAAATCATCATCTTCAAAATCACTTCCTTCTGAGTTTGGTCTTCTGTAATCGTTGGTGAAATATTTTAAACCACACTCATTATCCATCTGCTTTGAGAAACGAACCATCTCCTTGTCAATTTTCGAGCCAACAATTTTCTCAATCATGGCTAGATGCTCTAAATTATCGTGAGTTCTAAAGATCGGCTCACCTATCACAAGCTCCACCAAAATACACCCGATGGACCACATATCGCAAGGAAAAGACCAGCCTACCCCTAACACGATTTCGGGAGCTCTATAGTGTCTCGTTGATACTATAGATGAGTGGTATTCATCGTCAAATATTGCTGAACCGAAGTCAATGATCTGAATTAAAGGGTTATTCAAGACTCTGACGTACTTTGGCACCTTTTGCTTCTTTCTCGGCTCCACACTACTCAAATTGAGGTAGCTTGTGATTATGGTGTTGCTCTGAAGGGGTTTCCTTTGGTAGGAATCATCATGCAACAAAATGTTTTCCGGCTTGAGATCCGTATGTATGAGGTTTAGCTCATGGAAATACGTCACTGACCGGATCAACTGCTTTGAGATTGCTTGAATATGAGATCCAGGGTAGGGGATGAACTTGTTGTTTTCCATAAAATCGTACAAAGAAATCTTCAACAAGTCCGTGACAATACATATATGGCCCCTAAAGTCAAAACATTCCCTCAAATGTATGCAGTGATTTCTATTTTCATTATCGAATTGCTTTAAAGTTGTCAAAACTCTAAGCTCTATCTTAGCTGCATCTCTGTACTTGGGTATGTTTCTGATGATCTTGATTGCAACTGTTTCACGATTAAGTTTGTCATAACAAGCGACAACTTTGCCGAATGTCCCTTGACCCAACAACTTCTGAATGACAAAGCGATTGGCAAAAACATCATTAATTCTTATGATGTAGTGCCCATCTTCATCATCGCAAGGCGGCATATTCAACTTATGAGGGATAACATGAGTTTTTATGTTTCCAACTTTGGGTTGCTGATGCACATAATTGTTTGGGAGTTTTTGATAAAAGCATTTGACTTGTGGCAATTGGGGTAGCGAGCTAGTTCTCTGCTTTTTAGCACCCATGTTATGATGGATTTCAAATGACAGGGTTGGAGGCAGATTGTTCACATTAAACATATTGTAAGCTTCCAAGACGTCTCTTTCTAAAAAGACTGCCAGATCAGAATTATTTCGGTAAGTCCTCATGCGTTGAGGATTTTTTAGTCTTCTTTCTTCCACGAAAATGACATCATTATCAAATATATCTCCATTTTCGTCATAATAATCATCTTCTTGTTCCTCTAAGATAGCGTTTCCATTATCATCGCCAGCAAGATACAGATTCTTATCATAGGGACCACAGTTGTCATGACTAGTTGAAAGATTCATGTTGAGATTCAAGTTTGGGGACTCGTTGAAGGTTGAGCTTGACAGGGATGAAAGGTTTTCGAAAGCTTTTACCAGCTGATTAGAAGCATTATGAATGCCTTCGTTTGTTGCAGGTTTGCGGGACAGATCAAAAGACTCACTGAATCCACGGGGTCTTTTTCTATTGGTGAGGAGAGACATGTATCAAGACGAGGATTAAAGACTATAATGACTTGTAGGTCCACGTTCCAAGAATTAAAGGGGTAGAAATGTATAAAACTGACCAGCAGGCGTGGGATATCAAATCAAGAACTCTGGAACGGCAATTTGGATAGTGGTGGTTCGGTCAAACTTCTGAAATTTAGAGAAGAGCCAAACACGGAAACGAAGCAAGTGGGTTTCAGATTAACGAGGTTCAACAAACTCACAGTAGAAAATAGTTTCCAAAAGTCCACGTTGGAAGGGAAGAATGAGAAAGCGCCGAAGAGTCAGCAGAGAGCAAAACTGGGAAGCGCAGAAATCTCAGAACTATGTTCTTGATCAGGTGCGTTACACGTTATAACAGGGATCAAAAGAATCGAATCAGGATAGTTTCTGTTGGACAAAGTAATTGCCTCTGGCAATTATCAGGGGTTTTTCGAGCGGGTCGTGCACATACCTGATTACGATATAGGTCTGGGGACACGGGGATATCAAAGACGTTAACAGAAAGAGTCTAAACGAGGCCAGTTACTGATAATTACGGTTTTCAAGCAGTACAAGTTGCATAGTGAATTTTAGCTTTTCTTTAGTTTTGCGGTGGGCACATTCAAGAAACCTTGTGCTCGCAGGTGCCCCGCAAGATAAGTTTGCCTGATAATGCATGCTTGTCGAGGAATAAAATGCTCCCACCAAACACATGTAACGTATATCGATAACACTATCAGCGTAAGAAAATGACAAAAGAAAAAATTAGAAGGAGTAAAAAAAAAAAAATAAGCCAACATATACGAGTAGGCCATACCGAAAAGTGCAGACAAACCAGTTGAAAGTTGTTACCCAAAAAGCTTGTTACACATGCATACTAGGGCGAGACTGGAAGGCAATTATCGCCTTCGCGCAAACTCTCGTCTGTCGACAAGGTGAAACGTGGCCAACTTTGGGCGGACAGGCCACGCGCGCACAGGAAACACAACGAGGGCGCCCGTAGCGTTCACTTGTGGACGGAAATTCGGCGCACAATGTCGGCGCAGGCGCACTCCCGAGGCGGCGCTTAAAGTGCTCGGCCGAGCCCGCCCGCCTCTAACAGGACTGGATATAATGCACACTTCGTCTAGAGTTCCGGACTTCTCTGGAATCTTCGATGCTGAAAAGGTGGTTTCTAGAAGTTTCGAGAGTGGGCCTTGGAATTGACCGTTCGGCATTGCTTGGCGTGCCCAAAGGTTCTGGCATGGTTCTGGTCAATCGCCCTGGTTGGGGGTAATTTTCCCGCCCACATTGCCCTAATCAATATGGGCCATTAGGTAGCGTGTGCCGGAAATCCGGGCTATTCGCGCTGAGTGATCATGCACTCACATTAGTTGCGCGGAGTTCCGGCGTACAAGATGTTCATGACCTAGTTGGATGTGGCTAAGCATAGGCCCACTTGCCACCCATGGCATTTGTGGCTGGAGGGGACTGCCCATGACCGAGCAACTAGGTCGCTCGCCACACCGAGTCGTGTCTATAATGTTGCCCTTGAATGTCCAATTGGCAACGTCAGAGCACAGTAGCATTGCACATAAGCCCCACTATATGCCAGTTGTTCTTGAATGTTCTCACGCAACAGAACGGTGGTTGAGATCAGACGTCATTTCTTTTTTTTTTATCTTTGCAGTATTTACTATATCACAATCGCTTCTGGTCATCAGTTACCCGCTGCATTTTACTTTTTCTTTCTAAGAGTTTCTTCGACTCACCATTCAGTAAGCTCAAAGAGGTGGAGCTTTAATTAACACCAACCCACAACCGCCCGATTTACTCATGGGCATTCTTGTGCAAAATCATCCACTTTTGAGTGTTAGATATGCAACCATTATCGAAAACAGAAAAACCTCCAAAAGATCCCGCTAACACCAACACCGCAAGCCCGCTTGCGGCCGCGTCTGTTTCACAAACGTCACAGACCACACAACCTTTGCAAACTTCACAAGTGTCGGCGCCTTCACAGGCTCCTCAAACATCACAACTGACGTCACCCAATTCTCTGACTACACAATCATCCCCCCAGCTGACGTCTCAGACTTCACTGTCATTTTCTCGGGAGCCCAAAGATGCCCCCCAGAAAGAGCTGTCTAACGAAGCCTCGAACGAGGCTTCGGATTCAGACAAGAGTCTTTCTACATCCAAATCGGCTCCAGAGTCTGCCGGCCTGGCTGAGAATCAAGCCGACCACGACGATGCCAAGGAGAAGAAACTCGAGAAGCACTTCTTCTGTCGTATCTGCAAACAAGGTTTCACGAGGAAACACAACATGGTCAGCCACGAGCTCATACACCTGAGCAATAAACCGCATGTATGTTCTGTTTGTGATGCAACTTTCAGACGCATTCACGATTTGCGCCGCCACGAGAAACTACATCTGGGCGAAAAACCTTTCCACTGCCAACACTGCAATCGTGGGTTTGCTCGTACAGACGCCTTGACTCGCCATATCAACTCGTCTAATGCATGTTTGGTAAAGCAAAGGCAGACAAGGAAGAGGACAAACCTAATATAGAGTCCCGCTCATCTGTTCCGGTCCGTCCAGTGGGATCTGTCTCTTCAAGTGCAGACTCTGTGTTCTCCTCACAGGTTCCCGTTGAAAGCCATGAACTGTCAAGTCCGAATGTTGTCTCGGGCAGTTCGAGCGACGAATCTCGCGGTTCCCTCGGGAAAAGAGTCGCATATGATCTTCGTTGGGGTGCTATGCGTCTGCGTCCTCCTCTGGGTCCAAATGTTCAAAGCGCCGGGAATAGTGATACATCGGCACTGTCGGGAAATATGCAAAACCCTGCAATCTCACTGCGTGGAATTATGAACTTAAATCCAACGCCAGTGGAGCAGCCAAAGGTATCGACCGAGCACCACCATCACCACGTTTATCACCACCACCATCATGATGGGTCTGTCACGACGCAGGATAGCCTGGGGTTGTCCAGAAGCAGTGGATCGAGCGAGTCTGGAAAGCGCCTGGAGCTAAAAAGACATAACGAGTATTTCCCGACGGACGTTCGGCATCGCAAAAACCCTGAGCAGCCAACAAGCGGCCAAAATTTCCTACAACAGAGTAGACACCCTCAAATGAAGTTCCCTCAACACCAGCTTCCTCACCAGCCTCCTCCACAGTATAATATGCAAGGGCCAACTGTCGGGAGACCGGTGCAGGGACAGTATCAGATGCCGACGCAATTCATGGATGGCCAGGTTTGGTTCCAGCAAGAATCTGATGGAAGTGTGAGGGTGTTCTCTCAGAAAAACATTCCTGAGTCACAGTCAAATCAGCAGGGCTATGTACCCATGTCCACATATCAGGAATTAGTACACTATACACACTCATTGCAGAATTCATTGTCTACGATGGAAGGACGTATTTCAGCTTTGGAGAACGAAGGGCAGCGGAGAGAGTCCCAAACTGAACAAGACGCAGCAGGTACGGCTTCGTCAAAACAGCAACACTAACTAATCAACTGTCAGAGATCGGAAGGAAATTCAAAAGGTTTGAATGTATGACAGGGACATTATCCTCTACTAAGCAGAATGTTTTATTAGAATACTTTAGCAGAATGGTGATTAAATTCTTGTCCCTGTGTTTTCCTTCGTATTTGCAAATAGTGTAAGTAGTGTAATATTTATGGGTCCAATAGAATTGATGTTTGTAGGCGTTTTTGGGATATTCTCACGTGCGACAGAATGCTTGTGTCTGCAGTGCCGTTTGTAACACCCTTATCAGCCTGTAGATAAACCCATAAGCCCCTGCAACGGCAAATTAGGTTTCACAAAAGACTCATTCTGATACTGTAAGTCCGAAAAGAAGAGAAAAAAGAAACCCTACTATATCCAACCACAAACAACGATTATTCCGTTAGCACCTTCCAAGTTTTAGTGTGCTTACTTTATTTTTCTAATTCATATTCCCTCTTTCTTAACCACTGTCACTATTACTATTGATCCAGGAATGTCCAAGCAGATTAGTGACGAGGACTGGGCAATAATCTCTTCGTCTTCTGATGTTGACGAAGAATCAACTGCTTCTTCTTTAGCTGAAACATCGCCAGATGTCGGTGATCCAGATACCCCGGATTCCAAAATCGATCTGATGCCAGATTCCTTGGGAGCAGAGGATTCTATATCGACTATTCGGCAAACCACCAGGGGTGACAAAGGACCGACAGAAGAAGGAAACAGCAAAGAAATGACGCAAGACAGTACTCCTTTGGCTTCGGAAAGAACAAAACAGAAATGTGGCGGGTGTGTTGTATCTCGTATTGACAGGCGCATGAGAGACTGGTCCAGCCGAGGCTTTCAGATTTTATTTGCACAAAAATTGGAGTCTATGAGATCCCAATTGTCTGCTAAAGATATCCAGTCTGTGGGGTTGTTGCAACATACCGTTTTCTCTCTCTATTCCACTTTAGAACACAACCAAGAGGTTTTACTTTACTATTTGACCGTGTTCATATCTGGTTTAATTTTCTTTGTTGGACAGTACATCTCAAGTGTGATTGCTGCCACACCTACCCCGTATATTGAAAGGAAGGATACCAGCGTCTTTAATATTTGGGCCAAAACCACCGAAAAGAAACGATGGTTAAGTCAAACCTGGGTCAGTAACTGCAAGTCTCGCTCTTCACCGTCTCGACTTCCCATATCTCATGGAGTGTTGGAAAAATCTCCTTTCTTCAGCCAGTATTTTCTGCGTACGAGGCAAGGGGCTCAAAGGATAACGCAGAAGTACGCTTATGTGGCTGACAAGATGGGTCCATTCTGGGTAGCTTGTCTGGAGAAATGGCAGAGATCTGCCCAGCCAAAATTGCTGGTATTTGTATCTCTTTTCACGGAGGGAATACTTACTGATCTAAGACATTTGAAGAAGGTGTCCAACAATGCGATTGACGAAGCTTCGGTAGTTTGGAACAGTCTGATTAGTAATGCTAGATACTTGATGCAATGCACTTCTGCCCTGGCTACAGCCACACAGCAAAAGCTTTCCGTTTTCTTGAGTGACAAGATCGCCCACTTCCAGTTGCAAAATGATCTGTTAGCATCAGATGTGATCAAAACACTGCAGGAAACAACTATTGTCATCAAAGGATTTTTGCAATGCGTTTTCAATGAGTCTAGACAGGTTGCTATAAAGTCTAGGAAGGGGGTCGCTTTGTTAGTCGAGCGTGGTAAAGATGTACTGACGATCTACTTCAAGTCGGAGGTTCACCAGGCTGTACGCGACGCGAAGGATCTCTTCAATTCCCTCAGCCGCAAAACATATCGGATTCTTTGGGCGGAAGGCTCCAAGTTTGCCGGTAGAGCAAGATAAATGCTAATTCTACATCACTTACACCCGAGTCTTTCTATCACATTATATCTCCACACTCTGATGCTCTTTTTTATACCCTTTTTTGTTTGCTCCTTGAGCTTTATGTACCTGGATGTTTGGTTATTTTGATCAGTATTATCATGTATGCCACGATTACTTTACTCTTGTGCTATATTTCTGCTATTTTATCTAGTCATTGACCATCGCTCTTTATTGTACCACATCGCGCTGCGTTAAATGCTAAATTTCCGAAGTCGTGCACAGTTCTACTTCGTCGAATTCGCACCTTTGAACAAAATATTCCTCAACCACGTCGCATTTAACCACAAATTTCAAACGCCATGGGTATGTCATTTTTCGTTTTGAGTCTCCATAGTAAATTCTAACTTTTTAGGAATCCCCAAATTCTTCCGGTTCATCTCAGAGAGATGGCCTTTGATTTCCCAGTTGATTGAAGATGATACGATTCCAGAGTACGATAACTTGTACCTTGACATGAACTCCATCTTGCACACTTGCACACACTCAGATAATGACACATTGACGAGAATGACCGATGACCAAATGTATGCAGCAATATTTAACTATATTGACCACTTGTTCGACATCATAAAACCCAAAGAGGTGTTCTATATGGCCATCGATGGTGTTGCTCCGCGGGCTAAAATGAACCAGCAGAGATCTAGACGATTCAGAACTGCGTACGAGGCCGAGGAGAACTTGCGAAAGGCCATTTCTCAGGGAGAGGTTATTCCAAAAGAGGACCCTTTTGACTCTAATGCCATTACTCCAGGTACTGAGTTCATGGCTAAATTGACCAACAATTTGAAGTATTTCATCCACAAGAAAATCACCGAGGACAACCGCTGGGCAAATATCAAGGTCATATTATCGGGTCATGAGGTGCCAGGTGAAGGTGAACATAAAATCATGCAATTCATTAGATCGATGAAGTCACAGGATGACTACAATCCAAACTTAAGGCATTGTATCTATGGTTTAGATGCCGACTTAATTATGTTGGGTTTGGTTACGCACGATCCACATTTTTCTTTGCTTAGAGAAGAGGTTGTCTTTGGCCCAAGCTCCAGAAACAAGAGTGGCGATATTCATGAACAAAATTTTTATTTGTTGCATTTGTCCTTATTGCGGGAATACATGGGCTTAGAATTCCAGGATTTAGAAGGCGAATTGCCTTTTGAATACAGTTTTGAGCGTGTGTTGGATGATTTCATTTTGATTATGTACGTCATCGGTAATGATTTCTTGCCTAACTTGCCTGATTTGCATATCAATAAGGGTGCATTCCCATTCTTGATCGGTGCCTTTAAAGAGAGTTTGAAGCATATGGATGGTTATTTGAATGAGGGAGGAAAAATAAACTTCAAAAGATTTGGCACCTGGCTTGAGTACCTTTCGGAATTCGAGTTGGAGAACTTTGAAAAACAAAACGTTGATGCAGAATGGTTCAATAAGCGTTTGGAGCTTATTTCGATTTCTGGAGAGAAAAAGAGAGAACGCTCAGGCAAATTGTTGATGTTGAAAGATGAGAAAAAATTAGTGAGTATCCTCAAGCCTTGGTTATTAGAAACTGGAGTTCTCCCCATCTCCCAACTTACCGATTTGGCAAATAAAGATGCTTTGCCCACATGCAGCTTACCATCAGACTTGGCCAAGGCTCATATGGAATTTCTTAAGACTTTTGCATTGGAAACAGGCATCCTTATTGTTCACTCGAGATCTAATGACACTTACGAGGCAACGATAGATGTGGATGGTATTTCACCTTATGAGACAGAAGATGAATTCAATGAGCGTGTTGTTAATTTGAGGAAGACGATAAAAAACTACCAATCTTCGAATTTGGTTGCCACAGAAGAAACAATGAAAGAGGCCAAGGACTTGTACGATGAGAAGTTTGTGAGAGCGAAGGATGAATACTACAAAAAGAAATTGCATTTTTCTATCCACGACGAGGAAAAGATGATTGAATTTACTAGACATTATCTTGAAGGTTTACAATGGGTCTTGTATTATTACTACAAAGGTTGCGCTTCGTGGAACTGGTACTTCAGATACCACTATGCTCCTAGAATTTCTGATGTTGCAATGGGCGTGAAGGACATGTTGGAGAAGAATCAAGACGAAATCCACTTTGACCTTGCTACGCCGTTCAAACCATTTGAGCAATTGATGGCAGTTTTGCCAGCTAGATCTCGCAAATTAATGCCTGACGTGTACAGATCTCTAATGACGGACGAGCATTCTCCTATTATTGATTTCTATCCTCACGAGGTTGAAATTGATCTCAACGGAAAAACAGCGTCATGGGAAGCTGTTGTTTTACTTAGTTTTGTTGACGAAAAGAGATTATTGGAAGCCTTGAAACCAATTGAAGCAAAATTGACTCCAGCAGAAACGAAAAGAAACAGTTATGGCCAAGACGTCATCTTCATCCGGAACCCGCAGAATGATAATGTGTATCCGACACCATTGCCTGGGTATTTCCAGGATCTCGAGCACGACCAATGCTACGAAGAATTTTTTACCTTACCTCCGGTTGATGCCAACTTTAAATTCGAGTTACCAGAAGGTGCTAAATTGGGTAAAGAAGCATTGGCGGGCTTCCCTACTTTATACACTGTTCCGTTTGAAAGTAAATTAGCTTTGGCCGAAGTGAAGATTTTTAACTTCCCATCTAAGTCTGAGAGCATGTTATTAAAAGTTGGTAATATGTGGGAAGATATTTCGATTAACCAGTTTGCTTACAAGTTTTTGGGTAAGGTCGTCTATTCCAAATGGCCCAACTTAATTGAGTCTAGAGTCACGCAAGTATGGGGTCTTGAATCCAAATTTGAGTATGTCAAGTCAGGTGCTGGAAGACGTGTGGTGGCAACACCTTTGTCTCCTGAGGAGAACCGTGAATTCCTGGCTATCAAAGGGAACTTGAAGCTGAAATACGAGAAGACTAAGGGGGTAATCTTGAAAAAAATTGAGGCTGTGGTATTTGTCCAACATGTGAAGGGCTTGGTGAGAACCCAAAAAGGTGCGTACGTCAAATCCTTCCATGATGAAGCGGATGTTTTCCCAATGCAATTGATTGTGGAAAATGTTGTCAACGAGGACGAAAGATATGCTTCTAGACCCCCTGTTCCTATTGAGGAAGAATTCCCTATCGGATTACCAGTTGTCTTTTTGGGTGCTTTTGCTTATGGTGCACCAGCAATAGTTATGGGCTATACGGGTGATAAATTGAATGTTCTGATTCAAAAGATTCAATCTGCTTTGGAACCAGACATCGGAAGAAAAAGATACAACATCGAAAATAAGGAAATTCCCTACGTGGCATCTTATGATGCTGCAAAGATTTTGGGCATCAATGGTCTTCTCTTGTCCAAGATCACAGGAAGCTTTATGTTAAGAGACAGGGGAATGAGCAAAGTGAACATCGGGTTGGACTTGAAATTTGATGTTCGCCGCTTGAAGGTGCTAGGCTATACCAGAAAGAATGGAAAATTCTGGGAATACTCGCCCCTTGCCATTGATTTGATTAAAGAGTATAAATCGAAGTTCCCTAAAGTCTTTGCCCAATTATCAAAGCTTGGATCTCGCAGAGATATGCCATCGACATCAGAGATCGGTAGCCCAGAAGAATTGAAGCAAATTGTTCAGTGGTTGAAGAAAGCTAAGTCTGGCTTAGTTCAAGTATCCTTGGAATCTAGTTCGTTGACTAAATTTAGTATTGCTGCGATAGAGACTTACATGGATAACTACATCACCCGGCCTTTGACTTTGGACCTGAAGGATGTGAAGGCAGTTCCAAAGGACGCGGTTATCAACCCAAGTACTTCTTACAGCTTGTTGCAAAATCAACGGTTTACACTCGGAGACAGAATCATTTATGTTCAAGATTCAGGAAAGGTGCCAAAGCTTTCCAAGGGAACAGTTGTCGCGATTACCACTGTGGGAAGCAAGACTTCTTTGAGCGTTGTTTTCGACCATCCTCTTGTCACAGGTAACAATATGAATGGAAAATTGAAGAGTAACAGGGGTCTTATAATTGACTCGTCGCTTGTGTTGAATATCACCAATAGGCAATTGGTGTACCACTCTAATGCTTCTAAGGGAAAGAAGACTCTCAGTGATGCTGAAAGAGCGGCTCTTTTGAGTAAGAAACAGGCAGCAGACCGGGCTGTCAAAGAAGAAAACCATAAGACCACAAACGAGTTGTTGGCTTTGTTGAATAAGTCGGCAGACAAACGTGGTGATAAGGGTTCGGACAAGGGCTCAGAGAATGGAGTAGATAAATCTGCGCCAAAATCAAACGTGGAAAAAGAGAAGGAATCACAAAGCGTGACTGATGATGTTCGCACAAATCCCACCACAATAAAACAGATTTATGGTCAGATTTACTCGAACATTATGAACCAGGGAGTTGTTATGCCCGGGATGGTAGAGGTGCCTCCATATGCGGCATCTCAAGGTATGCAAATGCCCCACGGGCCAGTACCTCAAGGTATACCTGTCCCTCAGGGTATGCCAATGCCAGGTATGCCAGTTCCTCAAGGCATGCCAGTACCACCTGCGGGATTTCCGCAACCTATTTTCAAACAGGCACCCAATCAAGTACTGAATGGATCCGAAACAGTTTCTGAAGATACTCCTTCGAATGATCGGACTTCAGGAAACTCCAGGGGTGGTCGTGGTGGATCTCGCGGTAACAGAGGATCTTACAGAGGTAGAGGTCGTGGTAGAGGCAGAGGCCGTGGAGGAAAGCCACAAAATTGAGGCAGAGTTCGAATAAAAATTAGTCTGAGGTGAACTGTAGGATGAAAGAATTGCATTCTTCATCGACCTTTGTATAACGATTCCTTTTAGAGGATTTGCTTAATTGATCTCAAGTTAAGACGATAATAACAACACCAGTGTCGAACAACGACAACGAGATGTATCGGAGTGTTAACATTGCAGCAGGTTAAGATCAGTAGCCGCCCGATGATGCAATTTTTGCCCTAAAAGCATAAATCTAGCAACATTGTGCCTTATGTATTATGAGAATACGATGTTGTCGTTGATTTTCTCTTGGACAGGTTTGGGAACTCCATCACTGAATTAAGCGCAGACCTACTGTTCAAGAATATATTCTTTCCAAACGCACAATGAACTAAGAGTCAACCACCGTAGTACCATTTTATCCTTCAGAGAAGCATTCAGCTGATTTATTATTATTTACAAGACAGATCATTTTTCATGGGGTTGGTCAGTTTTTGGAACGTGTGTAGCATCGCCCGGCAAATTGATGAGACCTAGCGACTCCCAGTCAGAATCATTCATTAGCTGGTTATCCATGCGGCACTTCAAGTATTTCTTAGCCAAGATTCGGCAATTGGGTGCATTTTTGTTCTCCGTATACTTCATGCATTGCAAGTACTCCATCATCTGCTGTTTGCACTCTCCAAGGTGATCCAAAGGGAACGATCCCCTTTCGGGCGGAGTAGGAGTCCAAGACCTAAAGTTTCCACCTACTTGTTAGTTTCTGCAACGTCAGACAGCGGAGCATAGACATACCTGGTGCACCTGTGGCCATAGTTAAAAAGAGCGGTGTTACAATGGGTTGTACATTTGTCACGTGTGGATGATGGAGGGGTCGAAGAGTGGTACGAGAAACGAAAAGGACGTTTTTCCAAATTCAGAATTTCGGCGCCAATAAGAATCGTTTATATATATCGGCCAAGTATCGGCTGTTTAAATCCTTACTTCCAAGTCGACCCTTAATTGAGAAGTCGGGCCGTTGACAAGGTTTCGCGAAGGCTTGATTTTCCGATTTTCATCACGGCGTTGGGACACGAGCGAAGAAAAATACGACAAGAATTGAGAAAACACGAAGATTGTATAGGCTAAAAGAACCACAAGAATGAAGTTTGAAAAACTAGGGAAAATTATTAATGCTTAATCTCTATTAAAGAGTCCGTTATTTAGACACCTTTTGCGATATATATTTTCGGCCTTAGCTTTCCGCTTCGGCTTCAAGCTTCTAACACAGGACAATCCCGGAACAATTCAGCACCCCACTCTCGGGTGAACGGGTTACCCCATCCTGTGACTAACGGCCATAAACACCGAGAACCGCGGATACACCAATTGATCAACGTTTCTCAGGGGCCAAATTTCTTCAAAGGAAAGATTGAACTCCAATTCACTGTTCTGTGATTTTTTTTTTTTCAGGGAGCCGTACCCTGAAAGTTTCTTCGTGGAAGATGGAGGGGAACAATTCGATGCGTGGCATTCCCAATTGGGAACATGCGGAGACTCGCGCGAGACGCTGAATCATGTCTGCGACATTATCTTCTATGAAGGCTTTTCCAAAGCTAGACACCGAGATTATATATTCCGGAACGTTGAACTTTTGACGTTTGCTTTTTCTTCCAGTGAACAAATCTGTGTCTGCGCCACCACTATTTATTGTTTTAGAGCCAAGCTTATTCCTGGTGTCAACGTTAAAAGAATCTCTTCGCTCGCTGACTCACTTGACTCATTTTGCTGCGACGTCTTTTTTCCTCCACGATTTTTTCTTCCTTCTTTCAATACACCGAAAGAGACGTTAAAGACTCGAGCGGCCTTTCCTAGATAATGTCAGCCGAACTAAAAGCAAAGGAGATTTTTGATCAGTTTGCCACGCTTGATGTGCAAACGAACAAAAAAGTGCTCTCTCTTCCCGAGTTTGTCACCATTTTTTCTCCGTTTCCCAATGATGTACCCAAGGAATCTTATTCCTTACTTTATTTGATTGCAGACAAAGAAAAGAAAGGTTACGTGGACCAACAGGATTTTGTTCGCTTCGTTCAAACTTTAACATCGAGCGATGGAGAGTTCAAATTGTTGTTTAACTTGATTTCTGAGGGTAACAGCAAATTGTCTTATTCGCAATGCGTGGACATGCTCACAAAGTTGAACCAGGCAATTGACTCTTCTTACCACCCCAAAAAGTCCAAATTCAATTGGACGTATTTGGAGAGATTTTTCTCGCCCGACGGAGAGATTGATTTCAAAGATTTCGTCAGCTTGATAAATTACTTGCCTGTGACTAAGTTGATTGGAAATTTCGAGATTCTTGCAGGTAAGTCCAATGTTATCTCTACGGACGAATTGAATCATTTATTAGCGACAAACTTGAAACACAAATTGTCCTCCAACTTGAAGAACAACTTGACTGCCGTGCCAGAGTTCTTCGGTAAAGACACATTCACCTTGTCCAATGTTTTGTTCGTTTACAATTGCTTCAACAAATTGGACTTGATCAATGAGGTCATTGCTAATACACCACCAACTACTTTGGACAAAACAGACATTTTGATCAACAAAAAGGACTTGTATAACCACTTGAATGATCATCTTTTGAAATCGTCGAATTTCAAGCCTATCACAACTGTCGAACTAGACTTGTTGTTCTTTTTGATCAACCGGGATGAAGAAACTATTCCAAGACGGGAGTTGATTTCATTTTTAAATCCAAACTACCTCAATAATGTGCCATCTTTGTATCTGATCTTCGACCACCCCGCAGCTCAACCTGTTCAAAAGGACAACTTTTCATTATGGCCTCTCTTTGATTCGATGTATTCTTTCTTTTTGGGTTCCATTGCTGGGTGTATCGGGGCTACCGCAGTTTACCCTATTGATTTAGTGAAAACCAGAATGCAAGCGCAGAAGCACAAGGCCCACTATGATAATTCTTTTGACTGTTTCAAGAAAATCATCAAGAATGAAGGATTCAAAGGTTTATATTCGGGTTTAGCGGCTCAATTGGTTGGTGTTGCACCAGAAAAAGCTATCAAATTGACTGTCAATGACTTGGTTCGTGGAATTGGTACACAGGAAGACGGCTCTATTACCATGCCTTGGGAAATTGCTGCTGGTATGTCTGCCGGAGGTTGTCAAGTCATCTTCACCAACCCATTGGAAATCGTCAAAATTAGATTGCAAATGCAAGGTGGCAGCACAATGAATGCAGTTCCTGGCCAAATCCCTCATAAGAGAATGAGTGCCGGTCAGATTGTTAAGCAATTGGGTCTCAAAGGCTTATACAAAGGTGCTACTGCGTGTTTGTTGAGAGATGTTCCGTTCTCAGCCATCTACTTCCCAACTTACGCCAACCTTAAGCTCTACTTGTTCAACTTTGACCCACATGACCCGAACAAGAAACATTCTCTCAGCACATGGCAATTGTTAGTCTCTGGTGCTTTGGCGGGTGCACCATCTGCATTTTTCACTACACCAGCCGATGTGATCAAAACAAGATTGCAGGTTGAGGCAAAGACTGGCGAAGTCAAGTATAGAGGCATTGTGCATGCATTTTCGGTTATTTTGAAAGAAGAAGGCTTTTCTGCATTTTTCAAAGGTTCTCTTGCCAGAGTGTTCAGATCGTCTCCACAATTTGGCTTTACTTTAGCCTCCTATGAGTTCTTGCAGAAGATGTTCCCATTGCACCCCCCAAACACCAAGGAATCCAATTTCAAGGCAAGCAGCGGATATCCAGGAGTGTACAATTTGTCGAATGATCAAGTTTACAGTCACCAGAACCCTCGCTTGATGTACTTGAAACAAGACGAGCTATTCAAGAGCAACGGTTTGAGAACAAATCAGAACTTGAAAAATGCCATGGTAAGCTTGCCAGCCGACTATGTGTACAAGTCAATGGACACTGTCAAGTTATTGATGGATATCGACTACAAGTTTGGTAACTTTAACTATGATGCCTACAATCATTTCATTAGACGCTAGAAGAAAACGACCGGTTTTTACCGTCAATCATGAATTACGCACACTTGCAAATCTTTTGCCCAAAATTAATATACTATGTTACATTTAATCTTGTAGTAGGTTTGGACTGGATAAAAACCAGACTGCCAACAGCTACCACATATTTCTTTTTCAGCTGGAGGACTCGAACGATAGATCCCAAAGAGTCTGTCTCCCAAGAAGCAAGACCCGGAACCTCAATGTCTTCTTCCGTATTCATATTCAAGTCCACTAGCTTGAAAATCCGAGGTGACTCTTGAATCAATATCTGAGGACCTAGCATCACTATCATCGGGCACGATTGATTGTTGTTGTGAATGGAGATGGGAGAGTCTTCAGAAGAAATATCCATTGTACCTAACTCAATTGTTCGTGTGATTATCTCCTTGTTTGTAATAATTACAAAGGTGTAATAGCTAGACGTGGCTTGGCTGTCGTGAACCTTCAGCTCGTCCACCAAAATTTTGATGACGTGGTCTTGAAACTTCCATTTGAGTATCTTGTCCCTGTTAGATCGGCCCACATACACGGTCTTGCCCACACTGAAGTACCAAACACATCCGGTTACGTTCAAAATTGTCCCTTGAGGTATTGGGGTATCCACTCTAGTCAAAAGAGTGAGCTCGTAGGAAAAATCGATGAGGCTCATAACAATCATCCATCGATTTTCAGTGAGAATATAGAGTTTTCCTTCGTGAGGTTTTGCATATGTTTCCGTATTTGGTGATAGGATATCACCTGCAGCAAGGCGAAGTTTCTGAAGATATGTTTCTGTGTGGTTCTCTACACCCCATCTGTCACCTTTCTTAACCCAGCGCAAAAGATACTGGGACCCATTCTTACACCGAGCAAAGGTCCAGTCCTCTGATGATTCGATATATTTGGGTGGAGCAGGAAGAAGAGTCGAGTATTTTGAATGCTGTGGTATTGCTTTAATACCAGCATCACAAAATTCTGCAGTGTTGAAAACCATGAAATGTATTTGATATCTTAGCGTAAGAATATGGTCATCGTCTATCATGCACAAGGCTTGAAAGCCCGACCTGAAGGTGAAACTTTGCAACTGGTTCAAGATAAAAGCAGGAGAAAGATACCCCGAAGGACTTCCTTCGCCAAGCATATCATTTAGTGTATGTTCCAATGGGCATGTTTTGAGTCGCTTTGCGTTTTTGCTGAGTTTTGATAGACACTGCTCATACTCCGTCTCTGGTGATCGGATTCGTTCTTCAAACTCGATGGCTCTTCTTCTGGATCTGATTGTGTTATTAGAATAATTCAGATTATGCCTCTGGTCCCCATTCACGATTTTGAAGTATTTCCTTTTGTCTGGATCATAGTATAATCCTGGAATTTCAGGAGGACCTGCCATAGATTTTCACGATACTTCAGACAAGGACAGTTCATATGGATGGAGTGCAGATAGTAACGAAGGAGGAACAAGGAACTAGAACAATAGTCTTTCGAAAAAATAAAATAAAATGTGACGTTTGAAGGGAAAGCTACTCAAAATCGTACTCTGTGTACGATTCCAAAGACGCCTTAGTGGTGACTTTTTGCACATATTGCTGGTTACGTTTTTCGAGAAGACGGTCTTCGAATCCGTTGGACCTATCAATGCCATCCCAAAAATAGCCAGCTTTAATATTGAATCTGTTTGAGGGATGAATACCCTCGTTGTAGACCGGTCGCCCTATTTTTGTTGTTGTTTCCTGCCTACTGTTATCCGTAGTTTCGAACAGAGCCATTGGATCTTCAAAATGTCTCCTGCTTTTCATGTGATCAACATACTGCTTGTCTGTAGTTGCATAGGCAAACCTCTTTGCCTCGGATTCTGCTTGTGATTTTTCCTCCCGACTGAGTTTGTCCAAGTCTCCCGTGTTGATCTGGTCTCGTAACTGTTCGTCCTCTAGGGCTTTTTTTTCTGCTTTTTCTTTCATCTCTTGTCTCTTTGTATCCAAGTCGATAATGCGTCCACTTTGATCTCTGTAGACCGTCTTGGGTTGCTCTTTTGCGACAGTTTGAGTCTCCATGGGTTTGCTAATTTGTCCATTATCGATTCTCTTGAACCCTTTATTCTCTTTCAGAGCAATAGGAAGTTCAACTTTTGCCGGAAGATATTCATTCTCTCCATCTTGAGCCGTAGCTAGTAGCGCATCCTGTGATTCAACCTCATCTTTCATGCTATGAACTCCCCCCACAATGACCGCAACATTCGTAGCTGAAGATCCTTTTTTTGATTTCTTCTTCTTTTTTTTTTCCTCTGGTCCTGATAGGTACTTTGAAAGATAGTCAGCACGAGACATGTCAAATCCGTAATTTGTGCTTCTCAATCCAGATGGTGAGCTAAAAGTGCATCTATGATAATGCCATTACGCATCTGCAGGACCAAGCGATACAGAAGATGTCAGCTACCCAATACTTCTAATTGTACATTCTATACTATAATGCGAGTCTAAGCGTAGCGGTCAACCTCATTATGGATCTCTGCAAGCGTTTCGCACAACTCCATGAACAAAGCATACTGGTTCTTGACCACCTCCACCACATTGTAAATATTGCCATAAGTTTCATTACACGATCTTTCCAAGCCAGAAATGGCTTCATTACTTTCGTTGATCACGCCCTCGTATACATCCAAGAGATCTCGGTACTTTTTGATTCTCTTAACGAAAAAATCGTTCAACTGGAACGAGGAGGTGAACTTAGACCCCGGTGTGGAAAGTTGCACGATTAGCTGCATGATATTATTGATATCCTCTGTGAGCTCGTCATTGACAGATTTGATATCTTTAAGATGTTCTATGTCGAATTTCAAAGCTTGCTTTATCGACGAAATTTTTACGTGCAAGTAATCAACATCCGTTGGTATAGATTTAATGAGCAGGTCATGTTTATGGAGATCCCCATTGAGGGTTGTGGCAATAAGATGTTGCGTGCTGATGTACTTATCAAGGTCTTCAAGCTCCTTTTTGAACTGTGGTGGGAGGTCACCGACTCTGGTCATTGCTGTGAGTTGGGTCTGTTGTTGCTGTTGTTGCTGTTGCTGTTGTTGCTGGTTTTGCCCCAATTGTGTTGATCCAGTGTTAGATGTGCCAAACAAACCTCCACTTGGCTTTGTTTGGCCAAATGTGTTCCCATTGGATGCACCAGAGTTGCCGCCGAAAAGACCTCCGGAAGCAGAGTTGGTGCCAAATAAGTTTCCTCCAGCAGGTGCGGCGGGCTTGGCCCCAAACAAACCTCCACCTGTAGAAGTATTATTCGTGGATCCAAACAAACCACCGGTCGTTGATGCATTATTCGTTGACGAACCGAACAAACCACCGCCTGTGGTATTGGTTGCGTTGTTTGTGTTTGCGCCTGTGTTACTTGCCGAGCCAAACAAGCCTCCTCCAGAACCTGCGGTGCCAAAACCAGAGGATGAAGGTTTCGAACCAAATGCCGTACTTTGAGCAGAGGTAGTTGCAGGTTTCTGTCCAAACAAACCGCCGCCACTCGACGCGGGTGCACCAAAAGTGGAGTTCTGGTTTTGGTTTTGGTTTTGTGTGGCTGTGTTTCCAAACAAACCCCCTCCTGTTGAAGGAGCAGGGGTAGCAGTGGATGAGCCAAAAAGTCCAGTTGCGGGTTTGTTTTGCTGGCTACCAAAGGTGGCGGTGGAATTGTTGGAAGCAGCTCCAAAACCAGATTGGTTACTGGAGCCAAACAGAAAAGGCGCAGCTGTGTTGTTTGATGTGGCGCCAAACATGTCTTCCGATACCACTGAGTTAAAACAAAGACACTTTGTTGATGATCAAAAATTTGAGTACTCCTGCACGAAGTTAGCTTTCCCTAACAGTGAGATTTGGCACAGAGAAAACAAAGACATCAGTTGTTTGGCGATATACTTACCCTCGATGACATATACTGAAGCGTGTTTGTGTATTAACTCTCCTTGTGAATGAATTGTTTTTTGCGAGTGTTGTTAAACTTCGTTCCCTACTGTGAAGCAACCGGGACAATTTTTATTGTGCGAAAATCTCAATGCTCTGCTAAACGTTAATCAAACCACAGTTAAAGATTGCAGTCCCGCTCAGCGTGATATTTCAGTGAAGAGGGAATCGCTGTCGAGAAAGCAGTTTAAACAAAAGCCGAAAAAATGTTGATAAAAGAGTACAGTAACCGTAACATTGCAACGGACTTTCGTGGTAAATCGCAGGAGATCCATACTGTTATGTATGGTCAACTACTATTTTCCACTCCAGATTCATAAAGATCAACATATATTTTGCGAGTCAATTTTCTTGCTTTCATCCAATGTTTGCATTTAGCTTTTTGAGTGCTCGTAAATATGCAGCTAAAGTCAGAATGTTTAGGTGGTGGTGAAGAGAATGTTTACGGTATCAGTATCTTGAGCTATTTTTCAATTATTGATACTGAAAACGATTCTTCAACACAATGAAGCTTTGGACATATGTTTCCTGGTTAGAAAAAAAAGAATTAATTACGCATATGTTTAGGACTTGAGTAGTTTATGTTTAAGAAATGGGCCTTGAACACAAAGGTGAAGAGTTGAGCTTCCAAAATTCTAGCATTGATTATTGATGTTGTCATCGGGATTATTCATCCTTCATGATTTTCTTAGTCTTCTTTCTTTGTGATCTGTTAGAACTTGACTTGGAACTTAACCATATTTGCTCAGACACTTAGCAGGCATATTTTCCTTCAAGAGTAATGGCTCATTACCACTATGACTCCATTATCCCATTCCAGCTGGTTCTCTCGCTTTCGAATCTTCATCTTGATTATCCTATAAGAAGCTCCTTGATCACAACCCCCTTACAAACCCTTGTATTTAATAGTGCTACGGGAAAATGTATGAACTTCGGGAGCCTAATATTCGATATTTAGCCCTTTTTTGTTTAGTTTTAGTAAGATGTTTTGTTTCTCAGAACACTAAACCAACTATCCCTGTAGTAGGTTCTGCCAGGTAAGAAAATAAACAAATTAGCAAAAAATGAAAGGCTAGATAACTTGTACCGTAACTATGACGTTTGCGCCCATGATGTACACCTGTACCACCCGACTACCTGCATACTATTATTTGGCGATCGGAGTCAGATTTGCAGCCGTGGTGCATATTGTCTGGTATTTGTATTTCGATTTGCAGCCATTCGCGCCCCTCTAAACAGGACTAAGACGCGTCGCACATTGTGCAGTTCCGCTTCTAAACATCATCACAACTTCTCTTTGCCCGTTTGCTTTCATATGAACAGCAGTGCCCAGCTCAAAACGGCAGTTGAAAATATCCAGGACGAGCTTCTGCGGATAGTAGCTGTGGCAGACCTCCAACAACTCGAAACTTCTGTTGCTTCAGACGAGTTCAAAGCAAAGCTCATCAATGAGTTCAATATCAAGCTTCGAGGCTTCAAAAGCAAAGTGCGCGCCTTGACGGAAGAAAATCGCAAGTTGAAGGCACGGATTGCAGAGCTTGAAAAAAGTAAAAAGCCTCTCGCGGTCCGAAGTGTGCCTAACGAGACATTTACAGCGCCAGCCAAAAGACCGCGTGTCTCGGACGAGAACGAAGAGCAGGTGCAAATCTTGTCGAGTCCGCTTAAAAACGGGCCAGACATGACCAGCTCGCAGTTCAACAAGTTACCGACTCAGTACTCGAGCCAGAGTATCCCAAGCCTTGCAGAACGGCCCGATCTCAAGCCACCTGTTCTGGATTTTGGCACTAGAATTGGCTCCCCTGAAGCCGCGCGGATCAGTTCGCCTGAGATTGGCGCGGACTTCGAGTCGCCAAATCCTCGAGTGCGCGAAGACGCCTCTCCATCCGATAATTCGGCGCCTATGCGCCAATCCCTCTCACCCGAGCTTGGCGAGTATGCAAAATTGCCCGCGCCTCGAGTGCGCTCGCCCGCCTCGTCTCCGGTATCAGTTGCATTTGCCGACGTTGTGGCCGATTCCCAGGAATCATGTGAGCCTTTGGAAACGGTTCCACAACACTACACGTCGCTCCAACGGGCACAATTCCTCCGTAACTATTTGCGCATGAAACTTTCAGACCCAAAATTCCGCGTGTGCTTACGACAGAATCCTGTCACCGAACAACCTTGGGTGCTAGACGATTTCCAACCCAATGCTTCTTACTGCAAACCCAAGCACGCGCCAAGCCGCGCTCGCGCCATGACAAAGGCCCAGGAGCAAGTGTACGACGCATTTTTCCGCGAGGCTGGCTTTGGAGCCCCAGCTGCTGGACCAAGATGGGATGATGCAGAGGAATCACAATCGGCACCACCCCGCTCGCAGATCATGGATAAGTATCTGTCACCTCCCGGATTCATGGAAGCTCTGTTTCCCAGCACGCAGGAAGAGGCGAGACGAAAACAACAGGTGCGCGAAAAGAGTGAGGCGCGGCTTGCAAGAAGGCTTGAGAGCGCTCTTGCCGGCGGCGAGTTTGTGTTTTGCGAGGAGGTGTTGAACACTTATGTTACGCAAGGCCGGTACACCCGCTAGGTGCATGCCATTGTTTGGGTGTGCAGGGCTACGACTGTGAAAATCAGGACGTGGTGAAGCGCGAGTAGGGTGATGGGAGGAGACGAAGTAATTGATGAACAGAGACAACAATCGTTAGCCATGTGATAGACGATGGATACTTGCAACGAAACTAAGAATGAGATTCGAAAGGTAGAGGAATGAGACTTACATTAAGAAAGGCAGAACAGATGAACCCATACGATTCAGCTGAATCGTCATGGATCAGAGCCAAGAGCTTCCACTCTAACCCTTTGGTGAATGGTGGGAGCAAGTTTTATGATGCGAAACACGGCGCCAAAACGCCGTTACTGCCGAATGTCGTTTGCCAATGTCGCTCAAGGAGGCCCGCGGACAGGCACATGTCGCACCCAACATGCATCCTACACTTTAGATGCTCGTTTGTTTTCTCACATACAGCGACATTACCGTCTCCATCAATGCGCCGCAACGTCCACATTTCAACGATCTTGTGGAAGCTGCAAGGTGTCCTGTGATTCTTGACTCTCCAGGTCGGCCATCCTGGTAAACTGTCCGCATTCTTATGCCTCTGGAACGTTTTATGGACCTTGGTTGCTCGCCGCGCCTAGACTTTCTAACCTACACGCTATTCGCAATCCCAATGTCGGGGGTACCGTTTTTGAAGCATGTCTCTTTCTCACCCCTATCTACAGTCCAAGCATTCAAGCAGTGCTGTACACTCGTCCTGCTTGTTGGTTCTTGTTTGACTAGTTCTAAACCCTTTTTGTACCCGTGCCCGACTTTGAGAATTCCCCATTTTCTTTGCTCGGTTCCACTTCATCTTTCTTTCCACACAACAACGTACCTCATTGCAGCTGCGCATACTATTTCCTTTCTTCGTATTTACTTACCCCATCTCTCGGCTACTTCAGACTCTGATCTGTCTTCCCGTCACCAAACGCAGGCGCCCCAAGGTACTTTCCCTTATTCACCGATCTTCATCTGTGTTCCATTGCTGATCTACCACCCATTTACTTCTGTTACTGCTTTCCAGACAACCTTTCATTTATCCCTTAAATTCCACCTGATCTGGTAGATCATTGCGTGTCTTTGCCTGATCTAGGAACTGAAAAATTTTCCACCAAACTAATATCCCCAACGCTCATGACTGAAGCAAAGATCTCTGTGAATACTACTGCGGCTCCAGCAGCTCTGTCAGCTACGGGAAACCAATCCCATTCACATAACTTATCCATCAACTCCATCTCTTCTATTGCCGAACCAACAACACCTCCCACGGCTACTACAGGTTCCAAACTGTACTTGTGGGACTCGGCTAAAATGAATGGTACTTTGGCGTTGCCTACTTTCAACTTGGATTCTCAGAAAGCGCCTGAAACTACTCACATTCGGCAATATTCTTTGGAGTCTGATCCATTGGAGACGGAAAATCAGAGAGCGCGCGCATACCCGCTTAACCCGGCTATAGTTATCGCTCCTCCTGTGAAAATTGACAAGGAGTACTTGGCTTCTATCAACAAGACCCCGTTATCTCAGTTGAAAGATCAAATCTTTCGCTTGGCCAAAGATCAACATGGCTGCCGGTTCCTTCAAAAGCGTATCGATGAGAACGTCGTGTCAAATTCTCAAACAAGAGAAGCAAACTTTGAGGTGATCTTCGAACAAGTGCATCCCATTTTATATGAGTTAATCATTGATCCCTTTGGAAATTATTTGATTCAAAAACTCATTGATTATTGTGATGAAACAAATCTCAACTTAATCTTAGAGACATTACAATTTAATTTGTTTCTGATCTCTATCAACCAACATGGCACAAGAGCTTTGCAAAAAGTGATTGATCGTATGAGCAGCGACTATCAATTATCACTATTGATTAAAGGCTTGAAACCATACATCATTGAGTTGATTAAAGACTTAAATGGCAACCATGTTATTCAGAAAATCTTGAATAAGTATTCTCCTGAAAATTGTCAGTTTATTTATGACTCAATCATTCAGGATTTACTTGTTGTTGCTACTCATAAGCATGGGTGTTGTGTTCTCCAAAAGTGCTTAAACCATGTAAACCCATCACAACTTATGCAATTCTCAACTAACATCTTGAAGTACAACGTTTTTATGAAGCTTGTTAATGATCAGTTCGGTAACTACGTGTTGCAGTATCTTATTTCGATTGATTCGATCGATATTAACGGACAGCTCTATAGCAACTTTGTGAGGTTCGGTGTGAGCGATTTGTGTAAGCTGAAGTTTTCATCCAATGTGGTAGAAAAACTTATGAGAAATTGCTTCAATAATGAGTTCAAATCAGTTGAGTTTTCCAATCTCAAATTTTCTTTGGTATCCCAAATTTTAAGTTCCGATTTGAACAAACTCATCAATGATCCATATGGAAATTATGTTATTCAGACATTGATTGACACTTTGATAAATCCTTCGATAACTTACTTATTCGACCTGCCAGGAGGTGGTCGGATACTCCTTCCTTCTTTGCAAATGCTTGTTGCTGAAGATTACCAAAATCAAATGGATAGCTTACAGATTCAAATTATCAAGAGATGGTTCAGAAACTGCAAGATTGTGTCCTCATTTGGACGTCGTATTCAGCTGAAGATCAATATTATCTTGAGCGGATACTCTAAAGTTCAACGCAAATCGTATCCTTCTCAAAATGGCAGTAGCATGCCCTTCATTCCCCCAGTTTCCAACCAAAGTATGAATGCCAATGGAGAATTCATTCATACAGCTGGTTTTACTGGCCTGAAGCAGATTTCAAACCGCAGCATGAGCCTCGAACCCCTTCAACTCAACCCTTATCTTGGCTACAAACATCTGTATGCTAACTCGCATGGCCAGGAGGCTTTTGCACGTCAAGCTCAAAATGGTTCAGTACAAGATTTTGGGATGAATCAGTTGAGTTTTGGTGGTTATTCCTTGGCTCCCCACAACTCTAACAACGGTGCTTTCAGATCAGCTCCGCGGAATCTTCCATCGAATGCTGAGATACCGGAGTTTAGAAACCTGGAGTACAATATTCCAAACAATATGCATAATCCCAAACATTCCATCGCGTTTAACCCATGTGCTGTATCTTATGCCAATTCTAATGAAGCAATGTTCGATTATAAACCCCATCAGAATGCTGGCAACTCAGGAAGTGTGGACAACTCGTATGTCACTCAGCCAGGTTCTAACGGGCTTCATCATTACGCGCCTGGACGGCCGCCCATAGACAACTCAGCTAAATTGGTTCAACAAAACGTCCTTGCATTTAATGCCCAACCTCAAGCTGGTAAATTTGGACAAGATTTCCAATTCGGAAACTCAAATTACTATAACCAAACACATCCCAACATACCATTCAATTCCATGGGAGGAAAAGGTCGCTTTTCGGGCTAAGTTGGCTCTTGTATTTTATTTATGCTTGATTGGCTTTTCATAGGTTTACTTGATTGCATTTCTTACTCAACTAACGCACTACAAAAAGAAAAAAAAAAGTCTACACCGAAGAGCAAGGAATGTTTAGGATATTGAACATCCGTAAAAGTAAAAAGTATACGATAGTTTAAGGATTTGTAGCCATTGAACCGCGCTCATAGATGCGGCCGTAGAATATAAGGGACCCAACACCTCGAATCTCTAAATGCCCTCCTTTTATTACTGAACTAGACAAGGTAATGCTAATATGCAATCAAGCGTGTCTCCTTTTGACTCTGTCCCAAGCAGTGCCAGCTTTTCTTTTTCTTGAAGTACCATCTTTCAAGTCTCTCTTATTATTGAACATCGACCAATCTTCACCAGCAAAAGTGTTAGCACGTTCAGCCATCTTTTGTTTGAAAGTTTTCTTTGTCGCCGTCGAAGGCAATCTTGTGAAATTGCTCTCTTCGTATCTTTGGATTTCCTTCTCTTTCTGTTTATCTCTGCTTGTTTTCACACCGCCTCTACCATGATCCACGATTGTAGCACCAATAGAACTTTCGGCTTGGGGCAAATCCGAAGATTCCGCCAAATACTCTTCCATACTTTGTAATTTTCGAGTGGGTTTTTTGCCCACTGCCCGATCGTCAAACGTGGCACGAGGAGGTGCTGCGGCAGAAATCTTTGGAGGTCTATATTTGTCTTCGGTGGATGATTCGGATTTCCCTTTCCTGGAGTTCTTGGTGGCCATCTTGGCCAATGCTGATGCATCAGGTTTGTATGAAAGTGCATCTTCATCTTCGTCGGACGAGTCCTCTGACTCGGAATCAGACGCAGATTCATTGTCTTGTGCTTCCTCTGCTTGGGTGTTGATTTTTGCTTCCATCTTGGCGTTATCTTCTTCCATCCTGTGATACGAGCGGACCATTTTATCTAACTGGTAAGTCAACTTTTTCTCCAAAGGCTTAACACCTTTCTCCAAGCACACTCTTTGTTTGACAACACCTTCGACTGCTTTAGATTTGAGTTCCTCGATATTGTCTGTGTCTGCATCTTCGTTGATTCGTTCTAAGTGGGCCAAGATAACAACCACTAAATTATTGATGTATGACAACAAGGAGCTGTTTTTCAAAGATAATAAGGACATTCCTTCCAAGTCCGACTGTGTCTTTGACAAGAGGTCTTTGATCAATGTGGGCAAATATTCACCGCTTTCAGCAATGAACTTTGTTTCAGCAGCTGAAACAGACGCCTTCGTCTGCTCTAGCGCCAGTATTATTCCTCCAAGGAGATCATCGACCGACGACATTATGTATTTGTGAAGTTGAAGTAAAGTTGCAGAGCTGTCTCACTGTAAAAAAGTTGAGACTTGTGTGCAAGAAGGCTCATCGCCTGGGGCAATGCACAGAAAACACACCGACACATGGGGTCAGGCGAAGATAAAAAAAATTATATAGGCGTTACATGAGGGTCCTAGGCCATGAATGAACAATATGGTGACAGCTCTATAATTAATTAGCCTGAAGGTTAATACTGAACACGTTTGGACTGGCTGGTTTCAGATGTACGGGTGTATATACCCCGATGAGGCTCACTTTTTCACTGTTTCCTTTTTTCTCTCCACTTCCTACCACCAACAAACCAAAATGCCTCAGAACGAGTACATTGAGCAGCACATCAAGCAGCATGGTAGAAGACTCGATCATGAAGAGAGGAAAAGAAAGAGAGAGGCCAGAGAGGGCCACAGAGTGGCTAAAGATGCACAGAATTTGAAGGGATGGAGAGGTAAGCAATTTGCCAAAAAGAGATATAGCGAAAAGGTGGCCATGAAGAAGAAAATCAAGGCGCATCAAGAATCCAAGGTCAAGGGACCATCGACTCCAAAGCAAGACGATGGCGAGGCTCTTCCAACGTATTTGTTGGATCGTCAAACGAACAATACCGCCAAGGCCATCTCTTCTTCCATTAAGCAGAAGAGAATGGAGAAGGCAGACAAATTTTCTGTTCCATTACCTAAGGTGAGAGGTATTTCTGAAGAGGAAATGTTTAAGGTGATTAAGACTGGAAAATCGAAGCACAAGTCTTGGAAGAGAATGATCACCAAACACACTTTTGTCGGCGAAGGTTTTACACGTAGACCGGTCAAGATGGAAAGAATCATCAGACCTTCCGCCTTGAGACAGAAGAAAGCCAATGTGACCCACCCAGAATTGGGAGTCACGGTGTTCTTGCCAATTCTTGGAGTCAAGAAGAATCCACAGTCTCCAATGTACACTCAGTTAGGTGTTTTAACTAAAGGTACCATCATTGAAGTGAACGTTTCCGAGTTGGGTTTGGTGACTGCTGGTGGTAAGGTTGTTTGGGGTAAGTATGCGCAAATCACTAATGAGCCAGACAGAGACGGCTGTGTGAATGCAGTTTTGTTGGTTTGAGGGTTCCACCTTCAAAAGGACACTGTTCAATTCTGGCTCCATGTTTCTCTTTTGCATACATCTTGTAATTTTAGCATACTCTGGGTAATATAATAAAGAATGATTTCTTGTGTTTTGTTCAGTAGTAGTTAATTTATTGCTTCTTCCACTGCGATTGCGGGGCCATTTCTTTCTCCATTTGCAAAGACGGATGTAGCAAATGGTTGGTTTTATAAATATATCGACATACAATCAGATATCTGTCTTTATTTTTAAGATAAACTATCTAGTTTTGCGCCTCGAGATTCGTTACTCGTTTATAAGTTAATTCGTTATTCATTCAGTCCTCATTACTATTCGAATTCATTATCAAAAAGGTCGGGACAATGTACTACTTTTTTACCAACAGAACGTAAACCGCAGTTGATAATCAATTTGGCATTTTCCCGAATAATCTGCCATTGACTTTTCCTGAGCTTCGTTCCAACCAAAAAACAGAGACCGCTGATATTTTGTTTGAGATTGATGGATGGAAGTAACTCGCAATACTTCCCCACCACAGTATGAAGTGGAACTGATGATGCTTTCCTGCTCCGACTATGGAGAACGTAACCTTCAAGTAATCCAAGCTCTTTAAGAGATGCAATGAACTCATTCTGGATGCGGTAAAGATAGTGGTATCCATCTTCAGCAGCAAAAGATGCGAGTTTTTTATAGTTTCTTAATTCTTCCAACAGTATGTTTCCTTCTAGTTCTGCAAAGGAGTTAGACTCAGCGCCATTTAAAGAAAACACGTAACACCATAAAACGAGGGTAGCTATACTAACAACATATAACATTTCCAACGAGCTGTGTCCAGTGTTCCAGTTGTATGCAAAGTGATTCGAAATGCACTCGCCATTTTCGTTTAATGGAGCTAGCATGAGTTCCCAATGTATCCAATAGCTGTGTATCACACTTTTAGTATTGATCAACTCGTCAACAGACCTTATTTTGGTATCTTTGGTCCAAATTGAAAGAAGTTTTTTCTGTACAATCTTCAAGTCCTTGGCCGAAGCATCGACACTCATATTTCGTGGGGAGCCTCCAAAGATGGCAATGTCATAGTGATTAATATCTGAAAACCCAATGATTTGTACCAAATGATACATGGGGAAAGAGCACTGGTTTAATGAGCCTTGGAATATCAGATCATCGAATAAGTGCTCGTGAACCGATTGATGGCCCATATCCCAATCATCAAAGACTTTCGTTAGGAGTTCTTTCCAAGACTGATTCGAACCTTTGTCAAGTCTGTCGTTTGCCATAAGCATTGTGAATTTACTTTGAAGCTCCACCTGTTGCATTTCATGCATTATTGAGACCAAGCCACCAAACAAAATACTTTTGATGAAAACAGGAAGCTTGTGGCTTCCATTCTTTAAATTTTGAGATCTCATTATGGCTTTGATCGCAGTGAGGAAATTCATACCAGGTTTGATCCGATTCCCATTCTTCATAGACCGCATATCGTGATTTGGTCGCAGGAGCTTTTTCTGTCTCTTAACTAGCTTCCGGAAGGATCCATTCACCTCTTCTGAATTCCATAGTTGTTCCTCGTAACACGGTAGATTAAGAAGTTGCAATTGATAGAATGGAATTTGTGGGTTATGCCGAAACTTTATGTAATCGACTATGTCAACATAAAAAGTCATAAAAGTAATTCGTTTCATAGACTCTGATTCAATCCACTTTTGAAAAAGCACGTAATCAGCGTTGCTTGCCTCCTCGACATCACTGTTACCGTCCGAAGTTTCTTCTTCTCCAGTATCACTTGTCGAAGCTGCTGCCTTATTTGTAACAGTTGGATTTCCGCCCAAAAATGGTGATCTGCGTAGTAATTGTACCGTAGTACCATGATGGATGTGTGCACGCTCGTGCATTTCTCTGGAAAGATAATTTTTCTCACACCATTCTAGTAAATTCAAAGACTGAAGAATCCACACTTTTACAGGGGATTTGAAATCCTCATGTTGAAACAACGCATATCTAAGAGGTTTAGCTATCATCGAAGCTAGCTTGTATTCAGGAGACATTTTTACCTCTTGGTCATCATCATCATCCACTGTGCCTGGGTAGTACATGCATCCTATGAGAACCATTGCAAGAATTAATAGTGGTTGGTTAGACTTAGTATCGAAAGAAACTCTGTGAATAATAGAGAAGGAGGTATTGAAGGATTCCCAGTAGCCATATAGGTAAAAAGAAATAATATCTTCAACTGCTACTTTATCACTCCTTAATTTTAGTACCTCTGCAATAGATTCGCGGGATAGCTGAGGGAGAGGTGCAATCATGCGGTCAAAAATGCTCTTATCAACGTAAATCTGTGGATACTGTGGTATGTTTCTTTTGTTTTGATGTGTCTCCAATCTCTCCGCTAAGGATTTTGCATCAACTTCTGGAATAGAACTCTCTCCAATTGTTTTAGGCGTCAGTGACTCATTCGTATTGGATGGAGAATTAGACGAGCCAGTCGAAGTATTAAAGTTGAAACCCATACTTATGTTTCTCTCGAAGCCATGTGTCGCTGAGTTCTCTGCATTGGGGCCCAAAAGAGCTAAATCCAACGGATTGTCGTTGTTGGAGAAAAAATTTAGGTCTTGTAAGCCCAACGTATGTAATGAGTCAGGCCCAGGATTGTGGAAGTACAGTAGAGACGAGCCGACATCATCATCACTAGGTAAACTTTGAGGTGGCATTTCTCTGTGTGAGGGCAAAATGGGGCTTTGAGCAGGTCTTGAAGATTCCAAATATGCATAAGGCCGTGAAAAATGATTTCTTTCAGAGACTTCTGGGGAAGAGTCCGTAAATAACCACGAGAGAATATCATTTTGAGATTGAGGGAAAGCTCCATTTGTGCCTCTATTGATTTCTTGATTGTTATTTGGCGGGCTTTGCATGCCATAATAAGAAGGAAATGGGTCTGGACGCCAATTTGGAAAAGGGCGATATGTGCGATTGTTCGCTAAAGGAAAGTCTGGAGCCTGGAACTTTGTAGATGTGTGATCTTGGGAATCTGTGATTTGATGGCTACCTTGAGCGTAATGGTTTTGCATTGGGCTTTGGTAATATCCGTTATGAGGGGGGATTCCTTGGGGTCCTACTTGTGGAAGTTGATGGGAAAGCTGATGTGGAAGTTGGTGTGAAAGTTGGTGTGGAAGATGTGGCGCATTATTGAAGCCACTTGTGTTCGTGCTTTGTAAATTTTGGGTTGGTGCGTTCTGAACGGGTTGGTTTTGACTTTGTTCGTTTTGGGCTTGTTGATATGGCGGAACGGGATGCACAGGAGATGGTGAGTTGTGGGCCATTGGAAACTGAGGTTGCATAAAAGCACTTGAGTTAGAATCTCCACTTGTTGAATTGCCAGGATTGCCCACGAGCGGAAGCTGCGTTTTGGATTGATCAGTTTCAAGAGTCGTATGCGTATGTATTTCTGACTCATCTTCGGGTTTTTTGCTATCTTGGAGAAGGAAGTGTCTTTTCAAGTGGCGCTCACGGAGATCCTTGCGTACAAACGTCTTCCCACAAGTTCGTTTTTCGCCCTTGTGGTTTGAAATTATGTGATTGCAAACGTAAACTTCCTTGGGCTGATGATTCAAGTAATGTCGAGCTAGATGATCGGACCTGGAAAACACTTTTTGGCATTTGGAGCATGGAAATGTACCCACATTCCTTTTTTTACGCCTCCGAGCGACATCATCCGACTCAGGCTCCGATTTCACCATTCTTTGCCAGGAGAGTAAGAAGTTACCGTAGATAGAAAGAGTGGGGAACAGTCTCCCTGCAGTCTGCGAAGGCTTAGGTAGATGTCTATGTCCGAATGCCGATATCATAGACAGGAAAAAAAGTGCCTACAATCATGCGCTTCAACGTTAATTCACCCTCGTTATCTATTCTCTACGTTTTTTCTCCATATTCTAGTTGTGTAATCTATAAGTCGTTTAGTCTAGTCAGGTTTTGCAACTCAGATTCGCAATGCATCAATTCAATGTATTCAGCTTTATGTTACCCACTTTAGATGCTCCATTCTAATGTTTCAATGCAGTTAATCCAATGCAGTTATTAAGTATACCTAATCAAGTTTTGTAGTCTAGGTGCGACCATAACATTCAATCTGGTTAATCTTGGTAGCCAATGTGGCTACTATCAGGTGTATGAAAAGGAAAGAGAAAAAATTGCAACATGTCTTCTCTATATAGTGGGAAGCTCTGCAAAACGTAAGCTTTTGCTCTTTCTCTTGATTTGTGTTTTTTGCTCCGCTTTCTCCATTAGATACAGTAAGGTCCGCTGAAGATCTCCAAATTCTTCCATTTTATCTATGTTCTCATCCAGCACTTCTGCTGGTGGATCCTTCAGCGCGAGAAGTTCACTGCGGTAGTTAACCGTCGCTTTCAGAATATTCATCATTAATGCAACCTCTCCTAACTTCACTGTAAAGTTTTCTCGAAAGGAGTTGAAAGAAAATGGCCGGCTCTCGACTCCAGTGTACTCTTCGATGAAAACACGAACATTGAAATCTAAAAAGTTTGATGGATCGAGTTTCCATATGTTTTTGAAACTGGATGTAAAACATGGGTTTTCCACCGTGGCTGATTTTTGTCTGCTCTCAGGATCTGTGACGCCGTCAGTGATTACGTCTTCGTATGACTCTAGTGCAATATCTTCATACTTATCCAAGAAGTCACCAACTAGGTCCGAAAGTGCTTCATTCAACTCCCCTGAAAGCTTATCGCGTATGATGTCGTTGCAGAGTTCTCTGGTGGACGAAGATTTGAAATTTTGTAGAAACATATTTGTAGCATAATGTAACGCCTGCTGCACCATCACATCGTCCATATTGCTCTGAGATAAGTTCATTTTCTTCTGAATGCAAATGTTCAACACTTTTTTCAAAAGCGATATAAGCATTTCCCTGTTGGGTTCTCCTTTAGGGACCAAAATTGGCGGCAGTTGCAAAAGTATCTGACGGTTTTTGGAGCTTGAAAGTGTTTTGGGTACAAATTCCCAATAGTACTGGGGCCAAGCTGGTTTGCGGTCCCATGAAGTATCTGTCCGAAACAAGCTGTTTTCGTTGTAATGGAACTTTTGAAACTCAAAATTGAAGTATTGGCGCACAGCATACCTGACACCGAATTCCACAGACTTTTTTGTTTCTCGAAGACTTGTGTCAGAGCATTGATTGAATGGAAACTGCGAAGATAAGGATGCGCTTTTTGTCTTAGTATAAATACTATGTGGGGTTTCACGCATCATAGAAGGAGAAACTTTTGGTCTCGTTTCAATCGGAAAGTGATGGCTTCCACCTTTGGCATAGAACGCGTTTTGGTAGTTGTGATCTGCAAGAGTTCGAGTTTGAGTCATCGCTTGAAAACAAAAGAAGGAGTGTAACTGAGTGAACTTTATGGGTAAATGTTGGGGTCAGAATAATCCTTGTCCGCGGAAGGTTTAGGGAATATACGGGAAGTTGCAACCAAATGTCTTTAAACAACCTCCACACTTTCAAAGAAAGATTTGTGGAAACCTGCTCGATGTACAATGTGGTAAGTCGTGCACGTGATCACCCACCGACTCGGAGTCGCCCAATGTTTACGAATACTACAAGAACAATTAACTAAGCCGTGGCTGATTGTGTGGATTCAGTTGGCCTGAGTGAATTTGAAAACTTTCTTGTGTTAACACAGTTAGCACAGCGATGCCCCTTTTTTGAAGATGAAATTCCGCACTCCACTTTCCATCCGAGGAAGTAAGATGCGGCAAGTATGACTGATAATTTGAGAGAATTAGTGCTTATCACAACGTATTTAAGTATACGTATCTGAAAGATCGTGTTGCTTCTATATTGTGTAGCGTTTACTTTCTTTGATATTAGCAAATGTGCATAATACTTCAATACTACTTGTAGGTGAGTCGACATGTACGGTATTCATACGTAGAAAACACAACATGGTTGATCAGAGTGTACTCTTTATGGAACACGTATAAAATTGCCAGTGCGACGCATACCAAAGTAGATGGATACTAGAAAATCATATCGAAGAACTAGTGCTGTAAGAGGCCATCTTCAATCTCATATCCTTAGGGATTGTCATTACGGCATGCAAAAGCAAATTCGGAATTGGGGTATAAGACACTGGAGCGTTACTGAAGCGTCAAGCAGCAATTTGCCAAAACACTGTATAAGCTTTACGTTCCAGAATTGATAGGCACGGAAGAAAGCAGTATATCAGATTTATAACACTTGAAGTCATTTATACTACATGGAATCATTCTCTCACTCCTCTCTGAACAGGCGAGTGAATGGTGCCCGCCGGAGTGATGATCCTAGGGTCAGAAGTGGAAACTTGCGTGCCATCGTCAAGTGAGGATCGCGTGTTTGCGGCCGGTCTGGACGAAGGTGTTCGGGGTATGTTGGCAGTGCCCAGTTCTGTTGTACTGAAGCATCTGTCAAAGGCGTTACGAACGGATTGAAGGGACGCCGCGCTGGATTGAACATGTCAGTCAGTCTTCTTAGAAGATGGTCCAACATCTCGTCTGGGTTGTCCGTATGAGCAAAGGTACAGTTGCGTCGAAGTGTAGCCGCTTTGGCGGCATCGGGCGTAGAATCTTTAACCGCTTCAACCTCTTTGCGGCAAAGCGGGCAGCTTACATGTCCATTGAGCCACTCGATGATACACGGTTTTCCAAACACATGGTTACAGTTGGGCATCTTCACAGGCGTATGCGCACAAGTGTCGGGATCGACAGTTCTCGTTGAACGGCGTTCGGACCCAGGAAAGAGCTCGCTGGCAGTTGCCCGCTCGTGAGTGTAGAGATTCCGTTGGGGAAAACGAAGCGGGTCGTGACCTGCCATATCCACAGGCATGTATAAAGCAGGGTCTCTGAACAGGCGCTGTATATTCTGTGATGCAACGTCAACGCCATATGGTGCAAGCTCTTCAACTAGCTCGTCTAAACGCAGCTGTGCAGTTACGTCGTGAGGGTCCATCTTCATTTTCTTGTTCTGGTCGGCAACGTACGGTTCGTAGCAAATTGGGCAGTTGTCTCCTTCAGCTTCTGTGTCTTCAAGAGAAGCGATTGCTTCGTGGGAGGCGACTTTGCGGGTGGCCCGGATTCCGCTCGTAGCAAACGCCCGGTCAATGATATCGCGGAACCAAAAGGGCACGTCGTCACCGGAAAGAATGTTGCCGTCAAGATCGGTCTCGAATACGGCAGCATTAAATAAGTTACTCATGTTCGTAGAAGAGTGTGGTAGCGTAACGAGACTAATTATATGATAGGTGTAGTTAATCAAATCAAGGTACAATATGATCGCGCATAGACCATTATGTACAACTGTAGCCTTATCTTCTACAACTATCAGCAAGTGAGTGAAAAATTGTTAAACCTTCGTACTCTCTCGTTATTTGCTCCTTTGATTTAACGTACAAAAAACTTGTATCTCTTGGAATGCTGTATCGAACGTAGGAAGGCCACATCATCAATTGCGGTTTCTAATGACAATAGAGCCATTGAGTTTACATTATTTTTCAACCGCTTCATAATCATAGAAACGTTCACTCTTCGTTACATTTTCGGTTTTTTTTTTTTATGTTCTTTGTTCTTAGTTCTTGAAAACAAGAAATGTTCATCCTTGACTTTTATGGAACTTCTCTGAATTTGGCGCAGAGAGGAAAAAAGCACATTGGAACAAAAATCATCATAGTCGAATATAGCTCTTCCACTTAGCATAAACATTCTCTAGGTCATTTTCATTATTATTATAGGATAGAGTGGCATGAAATGTCACTAAATGGCTAAGTTGTCGTTGACTTGCAAATCGTACATGTCGCAACCCAATATCTCGGATACGATTTTCCTCTGGTATCAGGTTCCAGAAGAAAGAAATGAAGGTATAGCATGTGTAACAAACCTAGACAATACATCTAGCAGAATCTAAAAATGGAGAAGGTTTATAATATTTTTTTTTTCTCCTTTGCCATGCTACATACCGATTGAAGTTAATTTTGTGAGATTACTCTTCTCATCCCTAGTCCATTCTTATTTTTCTTATACCGAACTAAAGTAAGAGTGCTGCAATGTACTATTTTGTTCTGAAGCAACTACTGTCTATTTCATTGTATACTTCTTTACTCAATCAGATTTCAATACTGACATATAAAAGGAATTGTAGATCTTTTCTTGTATTATGAACGTGCTTGAGAAAACCTGATTAAGGGAGACATATAATTTCCTCACAAGATTTTCCAATGTATTCCGTAAAGCATTATAAATGTGTCAAGATTTACGACAAATCCATCATAGAGCAATATGTCAGAAACACTCTTGAGCTACTATTGCGTAAATGTCGGATTACACGTGCTTCTGACTTGTGGTTCATGCTAACCCCATATGTTCAACAATAAGAAAATATAGCTTTGAGACTCATTCGCAAGTAATTCCAGAAACACTCGTAAAACCATATTCTTAAAGTTACCCTAAACCTCTAAACGTCAAAGTGGTGCTTCCTGTTTATAAGTATTGTTGGCGTATGCTGGCAACCATCTGCTGTCTGTCTGGAGGCAATGAATTGATCTGATCTGCTGGTAACGAAAGAACTTGAGCAATTAACTCTGCTTGATCAGGAGGCAAATTGCCTAGCTTCATTTGCGTCGAAAGCGGAAGATGAGGCCACTTGCTTTGCGTAGCGGCGGGCGGAGGCGATTGACTATAACCTTTATTATACCCACCCACGTTTTGTGGTGGTGGCTGAGTGCCTGCTTTCATCGCCTCTTGAATCACTTCCTCATCTATAAGACCCATAAGTAAAAGAGCTTGAGCAGCAGTCGTAGCCAAGGCTGGCGAAATTTGAAAAACATCCGGCGCACGCAGAGCTCCTGGTCCGCTCAATATGTTCTTGAGGTTTGCAATCAATTCAATGAGCTGCGTAGGGGGAATTTGGCTTAGAGTTTGATTGATTTTGTCTGGTGTTGCAAACGGGAGTTGCGCCACATGTGGCAACATTTTCGTAGCGGCAGAATAGCGTTCAGGAATAACTGGAGCTGCCCAGTTGGCCTGCTGAGCTGGTGGCTGTGGCATTGGGGCTTCAAAACCCCCACCATTATTAGGTAGGTACATCGGGTATTGCAGTGGAGGGCGGCTCAGTTGTTGCAATTGTGGGAACTTGGCAATCACTTCCTGAGGAAGCTGTACACTAGGTGGCAAGTGGGCCATGTTGAAGGGGATAACGCGCTTGTTTTCATTGTTGCCTGTTCGGAAACCTTCTTTCGACAGTTCGATTCTAAGGCGTTTGGGTGTTTTCGACCCTGGATGCAAGATCTGGACTTGCGACAAAAGATTCTTCGCTTGGTAGGCTTGTTGTGGCGTTTCGAATTCTACAAAAGCGTAACCCTTGTTTTTACCCACATGGTCAAACCCAAGTCTCACATCTAGGACATTGCCAGTGCCACATACCACAGATTTGAGATTTTCCTCGTCCCACTCAAATGGAATCAGTCCTATGTATAGAATGGAAGACGAAGAAGGTCCTGACTGGGGTGGGCCGTTTCTCCTCATAATTGTTGGTTGATGGTATTCGTGATGGAGCACTAGAAAGCTTAGACATTAGACAAATATCGTGCGATGTTCAAAATGCAGTTAGCGGAGGAAAAAGAAAACTCCGATACCGGGAGTCGAACCCGGGTCTGCTCGGTGAAAGCGAACCGTGATAGCCGTTACACTATATCGGAATGTTATAAATGTTTGGACCACTGTGGATTTATTACAGTTCCTAAGAACGTTAAGAATTCTGCGAATGCAAAAGGTGTCTACTTCAGCTAAAATTAGGTTTTGAGTGATCTGGCCTGACTATTAATATGACAAGTTGGTAAATTCAAGAAGATTTAGTGTGTCTTTTCAACGTATGAGTTGATTTACACTCAGCAATGTATATGATCAACGCACCAAAAGATATCATGTAAGCTCATTTATTCTATTTAGTTTTTCTGTATACCCCAATTATGATACGCCTGACCTTGGCTAGTCTATAATACCGTAAGAGCCCTTACTTATTTCGTTTTTCACGTCATTGATCACCTTTTGTTTGTCTGCATCTAAATCCAGTATTTCTTCTTTCGTCAAAGCCTGGATTTGCCTCAACAATTCCACATGGTCGTAGGTTATAGTATCCAAGTCCGGCTGCATCCTATTAAGACACAATTCCACCAAGTCTTTAGTAGTCACGTTGACCATCAAACTTGTTTCAACCAAGGCGTGTGCCAATTGCGGACACTGATCCAACAATTTTTTCATGAGAATGGGGTTTTCCAAACTCATTGCTCGTGCCTCTTTCAACAACTCTGACGCCGTCTGCAGATCCAACGAAGATAATATTGACGAAATCGCCTGCTGGGCATTTTGATTATGATATAATTGCACCCCAAGCGGCAAAGGAGGTAATTTATTGTGTTGAGACAAGTCTGGAATAGAGTCGTACGCATCGCTTTCGCTCGCAAAGGAACACCGAAGATATCGGTTGCCAACGTTCATGTTATTCAAGTTCCTTACGGCCGATAATGCTGTTTCTCGATCAGCGTAACGCACAAATGCCGAACCTTTAGATCTTCCTGTGTTAGGATCAAACATGAGTTTTAAATCGCTCACAGGCCCCACAGAACGGGCAATCTCAGCCACCTGTTCCTCTGTATAGTCAAAGGGAATACTCCCAATATGTACTGTCAGATCGTTGTCACTCATTGTGCTGTAGAAGAAGTATGTTGAGCGAAGTTGATATAGGTGAGTTTGAATGTGCAGGTGTCGAGCCGGTTGGAGAAGGGTCAACTCATGCAAAAGTGTAAATTATTCAGTAATGAGAAAAATTGGTGCTTAGCTGCATCTATAGTTTCAACATGAGGCTCCCAGGCCATTTCTTCTTACGTATTCTTGGGGGTTTCATCAACATTTCCAACCACGGACGCAATGTCCGGGAGTGTATCTAGCGCAAACGAAGGTAAACTTATAGCCTTCACATCTCATCCCATCATGGACGTGAAAGAAATCAAGTCGACCGTGTCGAATTTGGAAAAAAGCTCAGATGACACTACCATTCTCCGGCTTTTGAACATCTTGAACGATGGGGTTGAACCTTCGGAAAAGCTTTTGCGAGAAACAAAAGTCGGTGTGGCTATCAACAAGTACAGGTCGAGCTCCAACAGTGAAATCAGCGCTTTAGTCAAGAAAATGATCAAGAAGTGGAAGGAGGCGGTCCAGAACGAGAAAAATGCTAAAAAGAATGCTTCTTTAGCTTCAGCCTCGTCTTCTACTTCGGCCCATCCAGCCCCAGGTTCCGCTTCCGGAAAATTCCACACTGGCCCTAGAAACCCCAAAACTGACGGCGTCAACACCACTCTTTATGACCATTCTACGAGAAACGCCTCTGTCAGCGCTTTGTACACGGCGTTGGCCATTGAAAGAGACGATGACAGCAAAACAATTTTACGTATTGCCACAGAAATCGAAAGTGAGGTGTTTAAGTCAGAGTATTCCAACGTCAATGACAACTACCGTAATAGATTGCGGACCTTCACTATGAATTTGAGAAACAAAAAGAACCCTGAGTTAAGAGCACGCTTATTAAGCGGTCAAATTACACCTTCTTCCTTTATCAAAATGACTCCCAACGAAATGGCGCCTGAAGCGTTGAAGAAGGAGATTGAGAAATTGCACAAGCAAAACCTTTTTGATGCACAAGGTGCCACGGAAAAGAGAGCTGTTACAGATAGATTCACTTGCGGAAAGTGCAAGCACAAGAAGGTTTCATACTACCAGATGCAGACCAGATCTGCTGATGAGCCCTTAACAACGTTCTGTACATGCGAAAACTGTGGCAACAGATGGAAATTCTCCTAGAGAAGAAGAACGCTATCGACGAGTGTAAATAGAGTTATGGCGATCTATGTGTATTACTAGTGAATGCGATTTCATATGTTGAATGCAATTCCTTATGTTTAACAGTTATATAGAGGAAGAGTGATGGTCGATATGACTTCTCTCAAATCAATAGCTGATATTTTTGGTCATGTAGGAGAGCAAGTCGACCTTGGTGACAATTTGCACTGGCTTTAATTCGTTGTCAGTAATGATTGCGTTGGAGTGTGTTTCGAAAAACTTGTTCAACAATGCCAAGGAGGTGTCCAAGGTAATTGGCTCGTACGACTTTTTCGTGAAGCCAGACTTCTTGTTGATGCTAAAGGATTTTTCGAAGTCCTCCAATTTTCTGAAGTCCAAGAAGATGCTTCTGATTGAGTTGGTCATCTGCACCTTTTTGGTAGACAAGGACTTCAAAATCTTCGACAATGTAATCAAACCAATCAAGTTTCCAGTCAGACTCAAAACAGGCAATTGGTCAAAACCGTTCGATTGCAACAACTCAAAAGTTTTACCCACAGTGTCAGCCAAGGTGACGGTCACCACTGGCGCTTTTCCAGCAACCAAATCACGAATGGTCTTGTGGGTCAAGAAGTCATCTGTCTTGTTGGCAGCAGTAGAGTTCTCTTCGACTTCAAAGCCGTTAGTCTTCATCCACTCGTCGTCAGCAAACTTGGACAAGTAAGATCTGATAGAGTCGGGGAAAACGACAACGACAGTGTCGTTTTCCGTCAAGTCCTTGGCCACATCCAAGGCAGCTTGCAAAGCAGAACCAGAAGAGCCACCAACAAGGATACCTTCCTCTCTGATGATTCTTCTAGCCAACTTGAACGATTCAGCGTCGTCGGTCTTAATCCATCTGTCAACGTACTTTCTGTTCAAAACGTCTGGGATGAAGTCGTAACCAATTCCCTCGACAAGATAGCCCTCAGAAGAGTCATTTAAGCTTTCTGGTTGGGCCAAAATCGAACCCTTGGGGTCGGCACCGATCACTTGGATGTCAGCATTTTTCTCCTTCAAATACTTAGAAATACCCGAGATGGTTCCACCAGTACCAGCACCAGCAACAAGATGAGTAACTTTTCCCTCAGTCTGGTCCCAGATTTCAAACCCAGTACCATAGTAATGTGCCAGTGGGTTGGCCTCATTCGAGTATTGGTCCAAGATGACGGAGTTTGGAATCTCCTTCTCCAACTTCTTAGCAACTCCAATGTGGGACTCTGGAGCATCCCAAGCAGCCTCTGTTGGAGTTCTGATGATCTCCGCACCCAAGGCTTTCAAAACAGACACCTTTTCGTTAGACATTTTTTCTGGCAAGGTGATGATGGTTCTGTAACCTTTGACGGCACCAACCAAGGCCAAACCAATTCCAGTGTTTCCCGAGGTTGGTTCGATCAAAGTGTATCCGGGCTTAATTCTACCGGACTTTTCAGCTTCCAAAACCATGTTTTTGGCAATTCTGTCCTTGATAGAGCCTCCCAGGTTGAACAACTCCACTTTGGCATAGACATTAGCCTTAATGCCAAAAGATTGTGGAATCTTGTTCAACTTGATCAACGGCGTGTTTCCGATCAAGTCTAAAGCGTCTGCAGCAACAGGAGCAACCATTGTTAATGTTTCTTTAATAAAGAGTAGCCGATGAGGAAAAAAGTGAAGATGCGGCTTCGGTGCAGAGCTAACATGTGGCGCCGTTTCTTTTTCGTAAATGCGCACGCTTTCTTGCATCAGATAGATCCACGCCACCTGACTGTGTCCCATCCTAACAGATATTGCGCAAGTCTGTTGCTGTTTAAGTGTTGCTTTGCCCCCATTTCCTCTCTACTGTATTTTTTCATCATTTTTACTCAGATTTATACTGTAGACTTCTGGTGTTGCTGTACCGCGAAACGCAGAACAAACACTAGGTAATATACCGCATAATTATATGTGACATTAAAATCGCTTTCTTCTTCTATTTTAGTATTTTACGTGCTATTCTTGAGAAAGAGAGATGGTAGAATAAGGCTTGACAAAATGCATCACCTTTCCTATCAGATTATTCTGAATGCGAAATTTTATGTTCTCTATTTGACTCTTCTCCAATAAAAATAGTCACTTCGCTTAGTTAAGAAATAATGTCGAAGCTTCAGGATTAATATTTCGGGAGTAAAGCTGTATATGAAAATTTTATTCACAACGACGAAAGAAGAAAGTAGCTTGAGACCATCACTCAATGTATGTAAATTACGAAGCCCATGAGAGAAATGGAAACAAGAATTTAAAGTCGAACAGCGGTAACATATGCACAAGCCAAGAATTAAGTATGCTGATAATGAATAGGTAAATATGTTACTATTGGGACTATGCAACTTCGAAACTGGTTATACTTTAATATGATCGAACCTTCATTCATACACTAATAATCTTGCACTTGATTACTTCAGGATCTTCGCCAGGAATTCCTTTCGTGAAATCAAATACTTGGACCAAGCCCCTGCGATCCACAGCATATATTTTTCCGCCGTCAGAGGAAAACCTCACGGATGTCGCTTCGCTATATCTGTAAGCATCCGCAGATTCGCCCAATAAAACAACCCGCCTGCGGGAAGATACCAGCGAAGAGTGACTTAGTTGCATATTTGTGGAGACAAGGTACAACTTCCCCAGTTTATCCACAAAAACCATCCCGTCGCCACGGGGAGAAATTTCCACATTGTAAATCAGCGATCCAACTTCAGGCACTTTCATGAGTACCTCTACATCGTCAATGTTCGCCTTTTCGTCGTCACTGTCAATAAGTCGTGTAGCACTTACATGCAGCAAAACATCTTGGTAAAAGTTGCTTGAAGGCACACGGGGAAGTCTTTGGCTATGGTCAATGGATGGACCGTCCAACTTCAAAACTATTGGAGGTCGGTTTTTCAAAGAAGAAGAGGTGAGTACCAAGGTGTTTGTAAATGGTAAACCAAACTTCACAGAAGTAATTCCTTCATTATCTAGCATTTGATCATCATCCGTATTATGCACATATGAGTCGTCCATTTCGTTGAGAATATCATCCTCATTTGTTCCTCTGCGTTTTTTACCTGGCAGTTTCGTCATACGCATATCACTCCAAATGAGCCGGGGCTTTGAATAGTCTAAACTGTCCTCTCGACGTAATTTTATAATGAAATACCGCATCTCATAAACGGTGCACGCAAGCAAATGTGTAGAGGAGGCATTAAAACTCAACATTTTCAAAGGATCACGAAATGGAACGGTGATTGTAATAGGACTCATTTTGACAAATAATCCATTATCAAAATCAAGCTTATGCAATATGATAAATGGTTGTTGCTTTGAAGAAATGCGTTCAAGAGCGGTAATTCCACATGCAATAAGATTTTCGCTTGGTGCTATAGCAATACATCTGATGGGAAAATTGGTCATATACGTGTACACTGGACTTCCCACTTCACCAACAGCAGGATCAACGTTCAAAACACGCACTACTCCTTGGGTTCCAGATATAACCAAGAATCGTTCTGAAAGACAGCAATATAGTTGAACCCATGATTTAAGACGTAAGTATAAATCATCGGAGTTTTCATCTCCTTTCTCTTTGCCACTGAAATCATTGCGGATCACCAAACCCCTCTCCTTAGGAACCTTCACGTCTGCTGGCAGAGGTCCATATTCACCATTACTCTTTCCGCAAGCTATGAGTCGCGGTTTCCCGCCTGATACAAGTTCGTGGAGTTCCCATTTCTTCTCTGTAATGAGCACAAACGTTGTTCTTTCTGCATTTGTAGTAGGGTCGTGCCGTGAAACTATATCTGAGCAACAGAACTTAGTTGACTTTGTCATAAACGTCCGAGGCTTCATCATGAATTTATTTTGTTGAGTCTGGAATGTGCTGAGCTTGCGGTGGAAAGGAAAGCAACGGCTGAAGTTGTATTCTTCTCTTTCGCTTAGTCCCATGAGCATGTTCATTTTTGACGTATCTTCTGAGTACTCATGCTCTGAGCTTTGCTGTGTGTGAATAGACTTTTGTCTTTCGATTGTCGTGTTGTTGATAAACTTTTCTTCTGGGGACGAAGAAATAATTGAAGATTCTGCAAATTTGAGAGAGTGTTTAGAATCCGCCGATTGGGCAACAACCTGGTTCGCAGACAGCTGTGTCTGCGGAATTGGAATCAGCAGCAGTTTGGATTGACTTGATTTCCGTGCTGTTTTCAGGTTTTCCTCCTTGGCATATTTGTAAAACAATCCTACCAAATTTGTAGACTCAGCTTCCTGTCTAAATTCTGGACCTAGGCCTATACTTCTTTTCAGGGACGGGCGGCGGTTCAGTTGATTAGCTAGCTCCGAGGAAAACTGCTGTATGAGACTATAGAGTTGCCTAAGAGGTTCAACGGGTTTCGATAGAATTGCTGGTTCCAAACAAACAGGGCATTTTGAAGATTGAGATTGAACAAACTGTGCTTCTGAGACAAGACAGCCACATGTGAGAACGGAGGCATCTTTCACTACCTGAGATGAATGTGCTGGAAATCTTAAAAGATTTTCTAGGAGCACAAGCTTGGCCGGATCCATATGATGGAAAAGTGTAGGTATAGTTTTGACAGGTGAAGTGCGACTGAGATAAGCCTGGATATACGGGGTCGCATCAAGATACGACACTATATACCCATTCAGTGAGGGACAGACACATGTGTAGAATAAATAACACGAGCCAGTCTCTGGATTCCTTAAAGGTATTTCCTTGCAAGCATACCATACAAAATACTAAAAATTACTAAACGAATATATAAAGAAGTATCGATATATTATTTGAAGGCCTGGCTCCATGTCCGCCCTTGTTTGAATCACCCTCAAACTAAGAGAATGCATCCAGCACACCAGGTGCCGGTGTTCCTTGCTTTGTGTTCAGCCCGTCAACTGTGTAGTCGATAGTATCAACAAGGTCGCTGACTTTTTCCTCAGCCACATCTGGTTGTGGTTTGACTATGGCATTGGGAATTTGGCTAGAAGAATCGACCAGTAAAAAGCCTGGGATCGGTTGCATGAGGTCCTCCACCTCTGTTTGGTTAGTCAAAGTGTGGAAATCGTGCTGTGCGTCATCAACGCCGTAATCAAAAAATGAGTATAAAGCATGAAGCATAGAACTTGCTTTGGATCGGATAGCTTTGAGGGTACCATAGTTCGCCTCAGCCTCAAGCGCCTGTGTATCATATTCCGGCTTTAGTATAAGAACCAGTCTGGGCCCCAAGCCAAGGGCCTTCAACCGGCAAAACTCCTGGCCTTCAGAAAACGTCACACGGGTGCCAGGACAAAAGAAAGCATAGCGTGAAGGCTTTGGAAGCCCGCGATGCACATAGGATGGCATTGTTTCGCCGTCTTGTGGCGAGAGATGAACGCCTTTTTCCGATTTAAGCCACCGACTCACATGCTTCAACGAGTGGTTTGCATCAAATTCACCATGCACCGTTTCGCCATTTAAGAGACGAATAGAGAGCTTTATTTTGGATTTAAACTCGTTTGAGTCGTCATTATTTGTTGATTCCGTCAGTGCAAAGCCTGACCGCACGTCAAGAAAAGAAAGAAACAGATCGGTGGCATCCTCAGATGTAAAGACTCCTTGAACCTTCTGCTCATAAATAATCATAAAAGATGGCGCAGCAGCCAGTGGGAACATGCTTTGAAACTCCTCATATTCTTTGGTGCCCTCTGAAACCTTGTAGCACACATAATCGCATGACAAACGTGTGAGCACAACATCGCTCTGAGTATCCTGTGCAACTAGGATTTTGTTTAGTAGCGTATCATCATCGGGAGGTGCAAGATACACCAATAAAGGTTTTCCCCTGGTGGTGTCCAGCGGGGTAGCTGATAGCATGTTATTAGAAAAAAGTCCACAAAGTCCGGTTGACATAGTATGTACAAATTGCAATCTTTCTAGTCCTATGGGTATATCTCTGTGTAGTGGAAAGTGGAAAAAGGGGAAAAAATGGCGATGTTAAAAACGCTGGATGTAAATTAAAAGTGTTAGCAAAAGGGGCCTGATCTTGTAGTTTGCGGAGTAGTGACCCGTATGCACTCGTTTTGGGTGCAAAGGTCACGTGTCGTGTGTCTGGCCATGCAAAATGCAAGACGTCAAAATTTTCCGAGATTAGTTGTGGTTCGAGTTGGATTCTTTTTCTTCTAACTCACTTTTTTATATATATATTTATCTTTGGGAGGTGCTGTTTCAGAAGAAGCCATAGTGACTACTCTGCGTCGTAGCAAGCAAAAAGAGAGGCATGAAGCGCGCTTCTCATTTCAATTCCGCATCCTCCGAAGGAACATCTCGAAAAAGTCTAAAGTCTAGGTGCAAAACTACAGTGTCTTACCTGTATGGAAACATCAAGTTATATGCAAGCTAAATGTTTACATATCCATCACTAGGCCATCACATAATTGAGTGACTATGGATTCATCAAATGTTAAGGTGGTGGTTCGAGTCCGGCCTCTACTACCCAGAGAGGAAGATAAACCCTTGGTGCTGATGCCAGAAGAAGAGCCAGGAACAACTATTCTCACAGTGCCTGATGGGAAACCACCTAAGAAATATGTCTTTGATGATTCCATCTGGTCGTACAATCCTCTGGATTCGAACTACGTCGATAATGCTGGTTTTTACAGGAAGTCGGGCCCGCAGCTTATAACCCATTTCTTCCAAGGATACAATGTATGCCTTCTTGCATACGGGCAGACTGGGTCTGGGAAAACATTCACCATGATAGGTGACAAGACGAACCCGGGGATTATCCCGCTCATGATCAAGGATGTGATGAGACATAAGGAATCCTTGGTGGACCAGAAAATAGACTGCGAGATTCTATTCTCGTACGTGGAGATCTACAATGAAAAAGTGAAGGACTTGTTGGACAATTCCAAACAGTGTCGTGTGAGAGAACACCCAGAAACTGGCCCATACGTGGAAAATCTGACTTTGGTACCATTGAATTCTTTCGAAGAGTTCTCCACGTACTTGAATAAAGGAAACAAAAACAGAATGGTGGCCAGCACAAAAATGAATGAAGCCAGTTCACGGTCGCACGCGGTGATTACATTCACATTGAAGCAAATCCGGTTTGACAATGAAGAGGGGAGTTCTGCAGTGGGTGAGCCAGTGGAAGAAATGGTCTCGAACATTAAGCTTGTGGACTTGGCTGGGTCAGAAAGATTGTCTAGAACACAGATGTTTGGCCAATCCGAGCGAATAAAAGAAGGAAGCCAGATCAACAAATCCTTGACGGTACTAGGCCGCTGTATCAATATACTAGCACAAGGCTCGCGTCTGGTTATCCCATTTCGAGACTCTACGTTGACATATTTGCTTCGGGAAAATCTCGCCGGCAACTCCAAAACTGCAATGGTATTTTGCATATCACCGTGTGATTTCGAGGAAACACACCAAACGCTCAATTATGCCAGTCAGGTGAAGAAAATCAAAACTAAGGCCAAGGCTAACGAATCCACATTGTTATCAGCTCCTATAGATTGGGAAAAGCTTCAAAATATGGAGAAGTCAGTCATTGACACTTTGAAAGAACAAATCCAACAGCTTACTACAGAACTAAGTGACCTAAAGGCAGGTGCGTCGCAGGAACCTGTGGAATCATTGATCAAATTTCTCGAACGAGAGAGAGAAAAACAATCTTTTGAAGTCAAGTACTTGAAGTCTGTTGTCTCTAGTCAACAATCTCGTATGGACGAACTCCAGGCTCAGAATCTGTATTTACACCAAGAACTTTCTGGCAATATAAGAGATCGCATACAGTGCGATAGCGATATTCTCCAGAATGAGTTACGACGCCAACGCGACGATTGTGCCCTCCACTGGGCAGAAATTAAACAGCTTCTAAGGGAATTGGACCCTTCTCATCTTCAGATTACCTAAATCTAAATAAAATAAGCAGAATATGCCTCGTTTCATAGTCGACGCACCCGTACCTCTCTTCGCTCTACTGTCTAAATCTATATTTCTTCACTGACAAGCCATTATACGACTATCATCTACGCCATGACAGAGTTCCTCAATTACAAAGTTGCTCTTCAGTTAAAGGATGGCACTGAGACACTGGGGCTCATTTCTCACGTGGATAGTAACCTGATCACTTTGGGCGATCGTACGATCAATAATTCGAGTGTCAAAGACTTGAAAGTCGTCAAGTTACCGCCAGACGTACTGAGGACACAACAGAAAAAGAAACATCAACACGCCAATATCAGTCTGATTGATGATGCGATTATTTCTGCTTCCGGAAGCAGAGCGGGCACTCCCAAAGTTTCCAAGCATTCGCCTGATTGGGGTGTTTCGACCGACGTTCAAGACATCAAAAGCGGTAAGGAGTTCGATTTTGCTGCCAACTTAGCCATGTTTGACAAGAAGTCTGTGTTTGCCGACTTTCAAAAAAGTGACCATGTGAGCGCCAAGGACAGGCTTGTGGGCCACAATACCATAGACAATGTGCTGAAAATGAAAAAGAGCTCGCTGCGAAAAGATAAGTACGACAACGACGAAATGGTGATTTCTGCTAACAAGGAGGACAACTGGAATAAGATTGGTTCTGTTTCCCAGAGACTTGCCCTGCCTGTGAGTGCTGGGTCGCAACATACACTGATCATCCTGACACCTCGTGAGGCTCAACAGTTCAAGTTCGAGTTTAGTAATAGTGGGCTTGTGGTTCCACTTGCATCACCTGTCCAGTTGATTGAGATTGAAAGAGAGGCGCAAGAATCGTTTGGTATCGGCTTTAAGACCTCGACAGAAATCTGTGCAACTAATTTCTACAAGTTGATTGTGGATACCATGTTGGGTGGCTCTGTGAGGCTTAGCAACAGGCAAAACCATAACTTACCGCCTTTAGTTCTTCTCTTGATTGGAAGCAGTCGCTCCAGCTCGAAGGCTTTCGCTGCTGGAAGACACTTGACCAACCACGGTGTGAGAGTTCTTGCGTACGTCATCAACGAAGAAATACTCGAAGGCGAATTGCTTCATCAATGTGACTTGTTCGAAAAGGCTGGGGGTAAGGTCGTGAATGGACCTTTCGCTAAGTTGTCTGATATTTTGAACAACCAACTCGAAACTCCTGTGGAACTTATTATCGACGCATTACAAGGCTTTGACGGTCAATTGCTCGACCTCTTTTACAATGATAAGATGATCAGCGAGCTTAAGGAATTGATTAGATGGGCGAATAATCAAAGAGCCAAGGTTCTTTCAATTGATATTTCCGCTGGTGTGGATGGTGAATCAGGAACAGTGGTGGACCCTCTGCTCCAAATCCATACGAAATACATCGTCTCTTTAGGACTTCCGATCACCGGTCTAGTTCACGCATATAACAATGGAACTTTCCGCAGTTTGACAGAGGAGATTCAACATTTTGTGGTGGATGCTGGTATCCCCAACGGAATATATAGTTCAAAGCCGCACTTGCGCAAGTTCGACAAGTTCTGGTACTGCGCCGAGGCGTATTTGCCATTGAAAGTGGCAGATGCGTAACAACTCAGTACCTACATGTTGGCACAAAAACTCTAGAATATAATGAAAAGAATGGAATCAGGTAGTGTTTAATTTCGTCTTTCCACCACTATCATGGTACTGCATGTCGCGGCCTCCAGTACTCCAAAATTTTCTAGCCTGTGTTTATATGTAGAAGAGGAAGAAGAACCGAAAAAAAAAAAAACAATCCATTGGATCCATAATGAGCGCTGGAACTAGTTGGGGAAACTCGACAGGCTTTGGTGCCAATACTTCGAATTCTGGTGGTGCGCAACCAATTTCAGGTGGACTCTTTGGAAACTCCTCCTCTGCATTTCCAACCTTTGGCGCCAAATCACAGGGAGCATCTCTACCAGCAAATACACAACAGAATGCCAATACTGGCTTGTTTGGGAACTCTTCGAATAATGCACTGACAACATTGCCCGGTCTGACCTCTTCTGGCTTATTTGGCTCCTCGGCGAATAATACTAGCAACAATGGTGGTTTGTTTGGCAATACGGGATCTAAGCCTACAGGAGGGTTATTTGGGAACACAAATTCATCGTCTGCTGCGGCAGGTGGTGGTTTGTTTGGGAACACGAATTCGTCTTCTTCCACAACAGGCGGTGGTTTGTTTGGAACAAGTGCCTCGAATCCAACTTCCAACACAGGAACTTCAAATACCTCAGGTGGCTTATTTGGCAACAGTAACAAGCCAGCAACCGGTGGCTTGTTTGGAAGCTCCAACTCTACTGCAAATACTGGCGGTTTATTTGGTCACCCTAATACTACTGCCACTGGCAACTCGAACTCTACTGCGGCAGGAGGATTATTTGGAAACTCTAATTCTACGGCAACTACAGGAGGACTTTTTGGAGCTTCCACGAACCCGTTGAATAAACCTTCGACGGGCGGATTGTTTGGCTCTTCTAATACTGGTGGCATGTTCGGTGCATCTGGTAATACAGGAGGATTATTTGGTGCATCCAATACTTCAAACACAAACGCCCAAGGCCCAAACATCGCATCTACAGCATATACCCCAAACCCCTACAGTTCTGACTCCATTCTTTCCTCGATCAATGCTACTGAGAATAATATGCCATTGTCCATCACAGGGTCGTTGTTCGCAAAGCCTTCGTCGATACAACACAGGCAAAGTGCACTGCAGCCTCCAAAGAAAACCTATCAACTGTCATTGCTCAAAAGATTGGCACAGACATTTAAGATTTTTCGGTCAACTCCAGACTCTTCAATTGAAGACTTGGGTAAATCTCACTTGAAGGGGATTTTCACTCAACAGAACTTTGTTGGGGGTTATTCGAATAGCAACGTCGATACTTCTTCGTACAGCGTTTCTAAGAATCACAAGAAAACCTCTACTCTTCCTGTGGCCAATGTCAGTGTTGGAGATGTCAAGAAACTTGTCATCAAATCCAAGCCCCTCAAGTTCCATTTAATCAACGCAGACAAAGTTTTCAATGCCAAGAAGAGATGTATACTTGTTCTGTCGATAAACGGGGGTCTTACTACACATCAGAATCCCGAGGAAAGTGACTTAGAAGACACAGAATTTGTAGAAGAAGAACATAGAAAGGTGGCCAAAAATGTCTCTAAGATTCAAGTTGAAGCCGAAGAAGCCGAGAAGTCGGAACTGGATGATATGGATACTAACAATGGCTATTGGTGTTCCCCCTCTCTTGCTTACCTCAGCAAGCTTTCTCCTAGTGAATTATCTCACGTTGAGAACTTTATTGTGGGAAGACTTAATGTTGGTCAAATTGCATACAACTTTCCTGTGGATTTGGCGGGGTTATTTGCTCTGTGCGCTGAGAGAGATGTTCCAGTTTCTCAAGAACTATTTGGAAAGATTATCAAAATTGATGGCTCTATCGTGAAGGTCTACTCCGAGGAAGAAGAAATGAACTGTAAACCAGGGATAGGTTTTGAACTTAATGTTCCTGCTACAATTACCATAAAAGCTCCTCCTAAGAAGAACATTTCTGATCAAGATCACATCAGGCGCTTGCAAAACCTCACAGGAATGGAATTTGTCACATATAACCCACTAACACATTATTGGACTTTCAAAGTCAAGCATTTCAGTATTTGGGGCTTGATTGATGATGGTGAGGATGATGATATGGTAACAGATGATGCCAAAAAGTTGCTTGCTCTCAAGAAAAAACAGGACGATCAAGAGCCTGAAGCATCGGCAACCTATTCCCAAATCTACGAGAATGAAGCGTACCAAAGAGAGTTAAAGAGACAAAGAATTGGTAATTATACGTCCGGACTTCCTGGAGCATGGGACCATACAGCAAATCTGGTGGCAGGAGGTCTGCTTGGTGTTAAGCAGGAATTGGTACAGAATGAAATCGATCGTGAGCTTCGCGAGTACAAACAAGACAAATCTACAGATGCATGGGCAATGAACTTAAGTGATATCACGAGTGAAGGTGATGAATCAGAAGATGCAAAATCTCTCAATAGTATTGCGCTTCAAAACCCACTTTATCCAGAGGAAGCAAAGAACTATGATTATCTCAAGCAGATAGTTAGTGTGATGCCTCCTAACACTGATATGGAAGAAATTGTCAATGAGAGGGCATATGAACCTGAGGTGTCAAATGAAGAAGATTTTGACCAGTTTGGTGTGCAATCTTCCCTACCAACTTCCAAGGATTGGCTTCTTCAATTAGAACTTGCTAATGATATTGACTCAGCTTTAAACCCTTATCTTGCCATTCCTTACAAGAAGCAACTGGCGTTAAGCACTGTTAAGGACATTGTGTTTTCAGATGTTGAAAAGAGCAAAGAAAGCAAAAATAATTCACGTAAACCTCTCAAGGATGAAAGCAACTTGATATCAGAAGTTTCGTCAACTGCTTACGATAATTCTGCTGTCACCAAACTAGTTCAAAAGTTGCTCGTGAGAAGCACTGTTTCCAAGCGAGAAAATTCATTCCCTCGCTTGCAACTCGACAAATCCTTGGATTTCCGTGCTATATCTTTCCTAAATGGCCATGACACAGATTCGCAGCTTATTGAGCTTGCATCAATCTTGTTTGATGAGGTTGATATTTCATCAAACTCTAAGTACCAAGCTGTTGATCTTTCTAACAAATCAATTAAGCACCGACTCGAGACTCTTGAGCAACGCAACTCTTTCATTAGCTGGCTCAAAAAATACAAGCTTGGCTCTTCCTCGGAATTTCAGGGCGACTCGCTCGACATTATTTACGATACTATTTGCCGAGGCAACCTCAAATCTGCCGTTGAATTAGCAATTTCATCACATAACACGCATTTGGCAGCATTATTGACACTTTTGGACTCGAATGATCAAGCTGTCAAAAAAATTGCTCAAAGTCAAATTGAGGACTGGAAGGTAACAGGTGCTATCGAATTTATTCCAGCGCCAATCATCAAAATTCATAAAATCCTAGCAGGTGCGTTCGATGAAGTTTCTCAGGACATTCCGTACCATGTCGCTATCGCTTTGAGGTTACTATACGGCAACCCTGTTGCTAACCTACTGAGTGTCCTTTCATCAGTGAACTGCGAGGATATTTCTGACGATTTCACTACCATTATCGATATTTACTCTAAATTCAACTACGATGGGTTTAAAGAAGCAACTGCGCAAATTGAAAAATCTGAATTGAGTGACAAGGTGAAATGGCTTTCTTTGCAGGTATTGTCTAATAAGACGGGCAACCTTGACTCTTCTAGTAACGATTCAGTTTCTAATCTGTTTGCAAAATCTTTAGAGGAGTCAGGACTTTGGAAGGAGGCAATCTTCGTGTACTCCTCAGTTCACGACGATAGTTCTGTTGAGCAGCTGATTCGAAGAGTTGTTATTTCTAATATCAACGAAATTAAGAACGATGAAAGAGATAACGAGGAATTTTCCGTCAGTGTGCTTGGCGTTCCTAGAAGCTTGATACATGAGGCAATTGCTATTGAGAAGTCGAAGAACGGAGATTATTGGGGTCAGGTGGAGGCTTTGGTCGAGGCACAACTCTGGGAAAAAGCACATGTTGTTATTTGCAAGGAGCTCGGTCCAGAAACTGTCATTAGCAACAGTGAGCTGGGAAAGAGCAGATTGCAAGCACTTGCTGATATGTTTCCTGAGAAGGGGGCCATTATTCCCGAGTGGAATCAAGGGGCAGGCTTGTATGTCAAATACTTTGAATCCATTGATGCATTCGAACGCCATAGTGACATCGCTACAGATGACTTGAACTTTCTACTTTGCAATTTGGCGCTTGTTCAGGTTGATTCTTTCATGAGTCAAGTTGCCTTGAAGATCATGACAAAGAAAGTCGGTGATGTGACACTTGACCACAAGCAGCAGGTTCCTGACGTCAAGCGTAAGATCCATGCCCTCATTATGGGAGAGAACGAGAGAAATTATTTTGAAAGCCGGTTACAAGGTTTGAACATCAGATAGAAAACCTGAAGTGTGCACACTAGTGCGATTCGCATAGTGATCATAGATTATGTAATGAATAAATAGAATGAACATTCAACTGCATTCTTAGTCGTTATTCGGTATTCTCTTTTGTTTCCCTTGTCTTCTGGCTCTCTATTCATTTTGCCTATATTCGCAAATATCACCAGTGTTGTTTGTCTCCGCCGTTCAAAAAAAAAAAGAGAAAGAAAACTGCCATTTTTACTATAATCTGATTACTAATGACCCCATCGGCTCTTCCTCTCAAAGCACCAGAACCTGAACATTGCCCTGGGCCAGAATCGGAAAATGCTGGCCAAGGCGATGCTTGTGCTGGATGTCCCAATCAATCCATATGTGAATCTCTACCCAAGGGCCCTGACCCCGACATGCCAATCATAACGGCAAAAATGCAAAATATCGACCACAAGATTCTTGTTTTATCCGGGAAAGGTGGTGTGGGCAAATCAACGTTTACGTCTATGCTTTCATGGGCCTTAGCTGCGGATCCAGACTTGGAAGTGGGTGCTATGGACTTGGATATATGTGGGCCTTCTCTACCTAGAATGTTGGGAGCTGAAGGCGAGAGCATACACCAGTCTAACTCGGGATGGTCCCCTGTTTATGTCTCTGACAATCTTGGATTGATGTCTATCTCATTCATGCTTCCAGATCCAGATGCAGCTATTATTTGGAGAGGAGCCAAGAAAAACGGCCTTATCAAGCAGTTCATGAAGGATGTGAACTGGGGTGAACATTTGGATTATTTAATTGTGGATACACCTCCAGGAACATCAGACGAGCACCTTTCTGTCACCACGTATATGAAAGATGCGGGTATTGATGGTGCCCTTATAGTCACCACGCCACAAGAAGTTGCCCTTTTGGATGTGCGGAAGGAGATTGACTTTTGCCGAAAGGCTAATATCAAAGTGTTGGGCTTGGTCGAGAACATGTCGGGATTTGTGTGCCCAAACTGTAAAGGTGAATCTCAAATTTTCAAGCCTACCACGGGAGGTGGAGAACAGCTCTGTAAAGACATGAACATTCCGTTTCTCGGATCTGTTCCCCTCGATCCACGAATTGGCCGAAGCTGCGATAGCGGCGAATGCTTCTTCGACGAATATGCAGATTCCCCTGCCTCAGAGGCGATCTTAGCTGTCGTAGACGCATTGAGAGACCTGGTGGAGATTCCCATAGATAAGTTAGCAATCAAGTAGAAGGCTTGGTAACAGCATTATGTATCATAAATATAAACCTGCAAAACTGTGTTCGTATTATACTTCTGGCTTTGTAATGCATGCTCTGATAGTTGTAGTTTGTGGACTATCATACAGCTTGTGGTGCTAGTTATCGGTAAGATTTTGAGTACTCTAAGCATAGTTTTTCAATTACCAACCTATAATTCTTTTATTTTACAGCTATCTTGTTCCGTTTATATATTTTTTTCAATCCCGTATGTCTATTATATGATTTTCGTATTTTGTATTCGTCTCCCCTCTTACGCGCAATCGTGATCCTCATGTACCTTGTGAGGAAAAGAAGGTACTCTCATGACAGACCTTGACGATCCTGCCGTTTCTGTCTTCACTAAAGTCCCCGCATTCAAGAAGAGCCGCTTGCTACTGCTCTATTCTGATTTCAGCCACTTGATCGATTCGAACCCGGAGGGCTATGATGCCAATATTCATGCTTGGTGTGAACTTCTTAAACAGTGCTTGGTGCAACATACTTTTGGTTCCAGTTTGACTCTCCCTGGTCAAGATTTGGCAATAAAACTACGCAACGAACAGTATGGTGAGCCTAAGGGCTTAGGGCTTGTCTTGTTGAAACAGGTTCAAGAGGGGAAGTATGTTCCATGGTCCATATATAAGGATATTGCCCCGAACCATACCAAGTCCATTTTAGACTTCATATCACCTTCTAAATGGATTGGAAGAGCATATGGTCTGGTAAGAACATGGGCATTTTCTCCGGTAGATAGGAGTGGGCACCTTATTGACGAAAGCTATATATTATGGGATGTCCTCGTTGAAACTGGACAACAGCTCAATGGAAAATTGCATGACCTAATCAAAGATGAAGGCAGCTACACAGCAAAGCTTTTAGATGGAGAAATGTTTAGGGGCCTTGTCAGAACTATCAACCCTCATATGTCAGAACTTGATATTCAGGTGCTATTGATTTACCTTCATAGGGACATTGGTCTGGTGACTGTAAAAAACGACGAAAAACTGCCGGAAATCACATACATCAAGATGGAAAAGCTGCCAATCACTGAACAAGATCTTGGAATTATAAACATTAAGAAATGCATCACGGACTTTCAAAAGCGAGTGAAAGTTTTAGAAAGAAGACTCGATGAAGAGATCCCAGGAGAAATTAAAAGACTTCTAGAAAAGGAATCATCAGAAGAACGAGTCAAAAACATTTTGAGGCAAAAGTCTGCTCTCAAAAAGTCGTTGGTCAAATCACTTGATGTGCTCAACCAATTGACTCATGTCCTAGAAAAGATCAATGATGCGGAAAACAATGTAGTGACGTTCGAGGCCATGAAAGAGGCCAAGGATGTGCTTTCGTCTTATAATAGCAAATTGTCGCTCGCAGAAGTTGACGATTTGCAAATTCAGTTGGACGAGCAGATAGAAACGACTAATGAGCTTTCTGCAGCTATGGCCGTCACGAATAATGTCGATGAAACCGAAATTGATGAAGAGTTGGCCAAACTTGAAGAAGAATATGGAACAGCAAAATCACAACCTAAAGAAGCAACGCCCAATTTACCTTCCGTTCCAAAAAGTGAAGACACGATTGATGAAGCTGAATTGGAAGAACGAGTCAAGAATCTCACTTTAATAGACACCAACGAAAGACAGGGACAATCAAAAGAAGAGAAAAAGCCTGAAGAACCGTTATTGGCTTCTTGAGCCTTTGGATTTCAAATGAGCACATCTATATAGTCTAATAATACAAGAACATTACTTGCTGTTCAAATTGGACGTAGGATTCTCTTCTTTGGTTAGGCTATTTTACTATACGGATATTATCCCAAGATTTGCAAAATTTGTTGGGTCAAGTTAAACAATTCGACCTTTGGATCCTCGTACTCATTCAGATCAGCTCCATTAGGAACAATACTTCCCTGTTGTTGAGATTCACTCAAGTTCTTTATGCCAGATAAAATCGATTCATTCTCTTTGATCAAGGATTGGATTTCGTGGTTGTTGGATTCCAATAGTTGCAAAATGGTCCACAAAGCGATGTGTTCGAATGTAGCACTTCCACTGCGCAAAAATCTGATCAAGAAACCATAAATACCTTCGCTTGGTTGCGTCCAATTATCAAGAATGTAGTCTTCATGTTCGCTGGAAACTCTAGAGCACAAGTTTGCCAATGCAGCCGCTGAATTACCACAAACCTCGCCGTTTTCGCTAAAAGTCAAGGGGATCAAGTAGTCAATAATATGGCTTTCATACAATTTTGGCTTTAAATCGTCAGCTAACGCTAAGATTGCAAAACATGCCGATATTTCCAGTTGGACTGACAAAGGCGCCCTCAATACTAACTCTTTGCATTTCTCAACAGCGCCGGCATTCATCAATGCCAATCTATTTCTTTCGCTCGATGCAGCTAGATTTCTCAACGTCGAAATGGCGTGGCACTGAATTTCTTCCAGATCAGTATAATCTAACAAAGCAACCAAGGGCTTCAAGAATCCAGCCTCCACGATTAAGGCTTCATTCAAAGGATGAATAGAAATATTTCTGATGCAAGCCACTGCAGCCAAAACAAGAGGTTGATGGTTGCAAGTTAAAAGCTGCACTAAGTGGGGTAGGCCACCCGCTCTAACAATTTCAACTTGATAGGTGGAGTCTGAAGCCAAGTTTCTCAACGCAAGTGTGGCCTGGCATTGAACTCTAGGAGAAGGAGAATCCATTAAGCTGACTAACTGTCCAACCAACTTGGGCTCTGTGGCCGATAACTTTTTCCTGTTTTCTTCGTCCACCGCGATATTAGATAAGGCGGTGGTACAGTAATATTGAACATCAGCATCATCGCTAGATAGTAAAGAAACTAAAACGGGAACGGCACCTGCATTTACCAACTCTTGCCTGTTCTCAAAAGAATGGGTCATATTCAACAAAGCACCCGTTGCGTTTCTTTGCACGCGAATATCTTTGGATTTTGCAAGCTTGGTCAAGGGAATTAAAGCACCACTTTTAGCGATTTTTGTCTTGTTTTCATCTTGAGTGGCCAAGTTAGTGACACACCCCACAGCGTTACATTGAACTTCGATGTTGGGCGACATCATCTGCCTAATGAGAGGCTCGATGCCACCCATCTCAGCAATTAAAGCCTTGTTTTCATTGTTGACAGCCAAGTTTCCTAGCGCACCACAAGCAGCTCTTTGGACCTCGGTATCATTAGATTGTAACAAAATCAAAATGGGCTCCAACACGTCTCTGTTCACTTCGCGTACATCCTTTTCTGTAATTTCTGCGAAGGCCAAAGCAGCACTTCTTTGCAAATCAATATTCTCAGAGTACACTAAGGTCAGCAAGGAACGCAAAGGCCCATTACTGAAAAAGTCCACGTCTGAACGGTTTTCCAAGTATTGCAAAAGTGCTGAGATGGCCTCCCTTTCATTTTCAGCTAAGAGAAGAGGCGGGTATTTCCCATCGCTATTAGACGATGACAAGCAGCTGCAGCAGGCACCCATCGATCAATGGCTATTCTTCTTTGGGTGATTAGATTCAAAGGACTTGGTATCAAGGTAACGTTTTGTCGTGTTACGGAGTATACACGTCAATGCTATGGCGAGTAGCGCTTTTCAAAAAAAATTGAACCAAACGGGAATGGGAGATGCGAGCGAATGAAACACGGGAGGAAGTTCCAAAAAGGTCGAGTAACAGAAGAGGAAAAGCTGTCGGCGGCGAATAAGTCTCCTCGTTCTAGGGTAGTTTTTGCTCTTTAATCCCTATGGAATATAGAAAGCTCGCACAGCGTGATAAGTGTGACGAGTAAGAAGCGTCGTGCGTGGCCCAAGTTATCCGGATGCAGCGCTTATCGCGAAGGGAAAGGCGTTCTGTTTTGCGGATGCAGAACTAATTGCTGTCGCGTAAATTGCTGTAGGGTTTAAATGCACTTGAAGAGGAAAAAACGAGGAATAAGTCTTTGAACGAAACACAAAGAAGATGAGTTGAACGAGACTGGTTGAATGTGAATGTGAGAAGGAAAAAACAAAAGAAAAGAAACAATTGTAGTTTAGTACTCTTTTTCTTTTACAATTAGAGACAGCCTCTCCAAATTTTTGGCACCAGGTCTGTCTGCTTTTTTCCTGAAATGTGTCGTTTTGTATCAAAATTAGTGGTGCGGCAACAAGTTACCAGTCATGCACCAGGGCAATTTTCTATCAGGATTACAAATGTACTTCTGATAGCTGGACAATACCGAACGCAAAAGGTTTAAGGAACACTCAATTATTTTGCAATTACCGTCTCAAAGAAGAATTAATCGAACACTTGGTGACTCAGATAGAGAGAAAAATGTCTTACGCAACAACATAGGGCGTGTGGTCTAGTGGTATGATTCTCGCTTTGGGTGACAACTTATCCAGTTGACGACAAATTTGTGAGAGGCCCTGGGTTCAATTCCCAGCTCGCCCCTATTTTTTTTTCTCTCTTACCTTTAGCAAGTGCCTCATTCAATTTTTGATTTCTCGCGTTTTCGACTCTTCTGGCGAATTCTTGGTGTCACCGTCACTCATTTTGTGCATGGCTTAGTTTCAAAGCCCGATTCCGCATATTTCGCCGAGCCGAAATACAGGATGGCCTTGGATAAATATAACTCCGAACACATATATCTGCCTCTTCTCTGCCAGAAAGAAGTCTTTAGCGACATGAATTGGACTGTAACATAAGCTACATACATTGATCTAGTCCTTTTATTTAATTCAACAGATTTGTATGTTTTGCTGCAGAGCATAGCCCCAGAGTCAGAGGCGCGGACCACAAAATGTCGTTTTTGCCTTCGACCAGCACAAGAGATACAAAAGGCTTGGCCCTTCTTGTATTCACAACTCACGAACTTTGTAGTGCAAGAACTGACTTGAAATATCCATCTTTTCTTTTTTTTTTTTTTTTACATCCTGAATTAAGGCAAGGTTGTTCCCCAGATTAGCAGAAAGATCCATACACCAAGTCGCTCCTGGACTAAAGTGGACGCTTACAGGGACAGAATTACTTCATACATCTAGAGGAATACAAAAAAATGGGCATTAACAACCCGATCCCCAGAAGCTTGAAAAGCGAGTCAAAGTACGTATTCACCTGCTGTTTTATATCCGCCATTATGGGACTTTTGCTCCTGATTTATGCTTGGAGGATCCAAATGAACTTTGGAACTAACATATCAGAAAAGCGGCCAAGATTCTTTCGAGTTTTGTCAAGCCTAACCAATTAGCAGGTCCGGATCAGGTTATTCCCCCACATATCTTGAAGAATGCCAAGGGTTTAGCAATCATCACAGTGTTAAAGGCTGGATTTTTGTTCTCAGGAAGAGCAGGTTCCGGTGTGATTGTGGCCAGATTGCCCGATGGCTCGTGGTCTCCTCCATCTGCGATTTTCACAGCAGGTGCTGGTGTTGGAGGACAAATCGGTGCCGAACTCACTGACTTTGTTTTCATTATGAACACACAGTCAGCTGTCGAATCGTTTGCGCAGGCAGGTTCTATTACCTTGGGTACTAATGTGTCTGTTGCTGCCGGTCCCTTGGGAAGAAATGCAGAAGCAGCAGGTACAGCGTCTTTGAAGTCTGTCTCGGCCGTTTTCTCTTACTCCAAGACCAAAGGTTTGTTTGCTGGTGTTTCTTTGGAAGGTTCTGCTATTGTCGAGAGAAGGGATGCAAACAGAAAGTTTTACGGTGCTAACTGCAAAGCCAGAAACATTTTGAGCGGACAAGTGGAGGCTCCTCCATCGTGTGAGGCGCTCATGAGAGTCTTGGAAAGCCGTGCATTCAATTACAACTTGCAAGGGGAAGATTTCTACAATGACGATTACTATGACGACATTCCAGACGACTTTTCCGATAGCACTCTGGAATACTCTTCTAGAAGAGGCGGTTCCAGATTGCGCAACCAAGGAAGCAGAAGGTATTCGGATGAGTATGGATACTCGGATGACGAATATTCGGACGATGATCACCATCGGAATGGTCACCATCAGAACAGAAGGACAAATTCTAATAGAAACAACTCCATAGGCAACAGGTCCAAAAATACCTGGGAGGACAATATCTACGATGGTAGAGGAGGGAACAGAAGAGACGTGGACAATCTATCTCAACAGTTCAGCAATACTCGTATTTCTAACACAAATACTAGTCCATCTAGACCACCAGTGACCTCGAAGCCCAATTTCGGTGGTGCTCCAAAAGCGCATGCCACCCAAGCCATTGCTTTGTATACTTTTAAGGGCGAACAACCTGGCGATTTGCCTTTCAAGAAGGGTGACGTGATTGACATATTGAAGAAGTCAGATACTACCGACGACTGGTGGTCCGGAAGAAATAATGGTGTATCGGGCATTTTCCCAGCCAACTATGTCGAATTGATATAAAGCACCAAGACAATCCTGAGTTAAAAAGATAAGTTTTGTGTACAGAGGATGGTATGTTTTCCTTTGATTTTTGACTATCTATGTTTATGTATCAATACAATTTAGCCTCTAAACACTTCGTTTAAGAAGTGGCGAACTACTGTTTCCCCTTCTGCAAAATTAGGGTCTGGATGTCTATAGATTACGGCTGCATGAGATGCCTTTGTCTTTCTGATGATCACTGGAAACTTTTTCCATTCCAAGGCGTTCAAGTGGCGTACAATATTCTTCTGTGCTGGGGTCAAGTTCAACTGGAAGTTATCTTCTGTTTCTTTCGCAGTCGAATCTGACAAGAGTGGAGAAGCCTCTGGACAGTCCCCTTGAGCATTTGCCGCCGGTGGTATCACTCGCAGATTATATTCATGGTAGTCTGCGTTATTCATTGCACCATAAATAGATTCAACAAGAAGATCAGTCTCTCCTCGCACTGTTTCTTCAAATTGGCTCAAGTAATTGCCCAGAACTTCATGGCTTGAGTCATACCCGCTCATTGTAGATTTACTAGTTTCAAGCTTTGCCATGCCGCCATCGATTTCGTCATTGATCCACTCGTACAAAACATTTAAACTTTCGGAACTCTCTTTTGCAAACTGTTTTAATCTCTGTGAGAGCTGGATTCGCTGCCACATATAATTTCCAAAAAGAAGCAAAGAATATATTGGCATCACTAAAACCAAATGGCCGAGTACTTTACACCAGGAGAAGGCTTTGAAAATGATGCTTCGCAAATCGATCTTCGAAGTATTGGGCTCTTCAATAGCATTGAAAGAAAAATGTTTTGTAACGTCTATCACTGTGGGTTCGTAACCACGGATGTAATTCAAAGAGTATGCTTCCAGAGACTCGTTTATCATTGAATTAAAGGGGTCTCGATCGTCTATCGCGGTGGTATACCAACTAGTTCTTTTATCGTTGATTATATTCGCATACGCTGTTCTGTTCTCAAACAGCTCCAAAGCCTTGTAGAATTTCGAGGCTGGGTTCGCCATCCATTCTAGCAACGATAAGCTTTTTTTGGCTTTCACCACTGGCTTGTCCCTGAGAAACATTTCCAGTCCGGTGTGAGACAAGATACATGGGGCCACTATGTTGAACATTCTTGAGGAGAGCAGTTTACTTGGATTGATAGCTCCAACGTGAGGTGTGCAGAATGTAACAAAGTTGACGGGCTCAACTTCATCAAAAAAGCCATCATGTTTCAAAATGCCCAACGCATACCTAGCAATCAAGCCACCCATAGAATAGCCTATGATTGAGAACTTGACAACCTTGCCATCCTTTTCCAATTTCAACTTCTCAGTCGTGATTTCATCTGCAACTCGCTTTCCGTTTACCCCAATCCCATCGTAGGTCAAGTATCCTGAATGTGATTCTGTGCGGTGGACTACAAGAATCTCTTGGGAGTCAGAGATTTTGGCATTCTGAAGCAGTTGGGCTAAGTATGCCATATGAGAGGAGTTCCCCCAGAGGCCGTGAACCAATATGACAAGGTGGTATTGCGGCATGTGGAAGAAAGTGAATAGTACAAGAGAAGTAAAACAGGGATTTCAATATGCCACTTTCAGAGCGAGGAAACGCACAGAAATTCCAAAAAAAAATACCCGTCATTGCGCATGTCTCAGAATACAGATGTCAACAATAAGCACTCAAATGTTTCCACATTTCAAATTTAATGGTCTTTTTTTGTACAGTTAGATTTCTTTTCTCCCCTTTCAAGGTTTTTTCTTCATCTTTGGAGCTATATTCAGAAGAAAACCTCAGTTGTTTATCATATTGTGATATGCGATACGGAGCACACATCGCTTATATGCAAAACGTGCATAATCTCAATAGCACTTGGTTGCACACTTCGGAGCCGTGTTAATAACGTCTGCATGAACGGCTCCGCCTACCATTCACCACAAAAAGTATCATTTACACACTGATTCTTCACATTTTGTAAAACCTCCATAAGAACTCTGACAAAATTCTCTATGGCAATTTTGCTTTGTCTATTATGAAACATATCCTTCGTGCCGTCTCTTATATACACATTTACCTTAGCTCTTACTATATACACATGGACTTGTTCGACTCACTCGAAACACTTGCTTACCAAAAGACTTGCAGCCACACCAACATTTAAAGAGTCAACAACTTCATCAGTTTCCAACCGGCCTTTTGGAAGACCAACCAAGTAGTCCGACCGAAATTTGATGTTTGTTCTCACTCCAGCACCCTCGCTTCCGAATACCATAAGCATTGGTGTTTGGTTCATGAGAGCAGGAAGCTCCTGTGGTTCAATGTACTTGTTCTCAAGCGCTGGCCGATGCTTACTTTTCATTGAGTTAAGCTCGTCCTCACTCATTCTGGAGCTTGTGGTTACCACATTCCAACCGCTTTTTCTCACATTGTCAAGGAAAGTCAACGTGTCATCGGTTTTGTAGATGGTGAGCAAATCTAATGCTCCTGCAGAGGCCTTGGCAGTTGCGGGACCCAACCGGGCCGATTCAGATTCGGGTATAACAATAAAATCAACGCCCAAGTAGTATGCGGTACGGATGATACTTCCAACATTCTGCGGGTCTGTAATCCCATCTAAGAGAAGTCCAAACGGAAATCTTTTGTAGTTGTGCGGCGTGTGGCGAGCCACTGTGTGCTGAAAGCTTTTTTCATCTCCTGTAAGTTCATTCATCAAAGTGACAGAATATTCACCGGTTTCGCCATCAAAGTCATTCTCCAAGGTCAGAATCAAGGGGAAAGACAATGGTTTCGTTTCCAAAACGACCCCATTATGTACACCATTGGAGCTTAGAACATTCATTTCGCCCTTTGTGTCCTTCTCTATAATCTTCACTCCAAAGTTCTTCGCAAGCTTAAGAATCTTGGGCGTGTGTTCTTTGGTATTGTGAATAAACAACTTGCTAAAAGCGTCTCGTTTCTTTGCAGTTAATGCAGCGATCACAGGGTGTGTTCCATAGACGTATTCGCATAAGGGATTCAAGGTCATCTTAGGTTTTGCAGGTTTTGAGGATTGGTAGTAGTCGTCACCCATCAAATGCTTTTTCTTGGCTTCACGCAACAGCTTTTGTCTTTTTACTTTATCATCAAGCTTCTTGCGTTCTTCAGGTGTAATATTACCATATTTGCGGATGAAGAATTCATGCTTGGATATGTTGAGCCTGTCCCATATTTTCTCTTCGGACTGATGAGAATTTGCAAAGTCTTCTTTTTGTTTCCCTTTCGAGATTTGGGGACGCCTGAAAGACTTAGCTGCTCGAAGTGCACATGTGGTGTGGAGATTCCGAATCATAGTGAAGTATCTACTTCCGCTATGGTTTTTTTTCTCACATATCGCAAGATGAGCATTCTCTGGGGTAAAAAATGGAACAAATCTACGCCACTACAAAAGCATAGGGTATGCTAAAAAACACATACACACATATATAACCTTCTAATTTATTATTCAATAAATACCTGTTCCTTAAAAAAGAACACCTTTCGTACTGGGCACATCATCCCGTCCTGTTTTCGAAGTCGCCTCTCTAATGGCAACAGCTAAGGCTTTAAAAGCACTCTCTGCTCTATGGTGGTCATTGAAGCCTCTTAAACAATCTACATGGATTGTGATGGATGCCCCCTGCGCAAAACTTTCCAAGACATGAGGAATCATCTCGCAAGACAAGTCTCCGATTTTCTCTCTTTTCAAGCCCAAGTCAATCACAGCATATGGTCTATTAGAAAGGTCAACAACGGCCCTACTGAGAGCCTCATCTAGTGGGGCAAAAGCTGATCCAAAGCGCTTCACACCTTTCACTTGGCCCAACGCCTTATGGAAAGCAAGACCTAGAGAAATACCAACATCCTCTGACGTATGGTGATCGTCAATGTGCAAGTCACCAATACATTCAATGATCAATGACCATCCGGAATGCTTGGCCAAAGCATGCAACATATGGTCTAAAAAACCAACGCCGGTTTGCACCCGAATCACTTGGTTTCCTGTGAGCTGAGTTGCGTGTTCGTCGTCTTTTTTGTCTGCAAAAAGAGACTGCTCCACAGAAATGTTGCCTCCATCTAGACACAAGACTATCTGTATTTTTGTTTCATTGGTATCCCTCCTGATGGCAGCGTATCTTTCCATTTTGCGCTATAGGTAGTATATTACTATGACTCTTTATCGATTCGCGCAATTGATAGGTATGCAGAGAAATGGGAATGCAGAACCACGAGACTAAAAGGGCCAAAAAATAAATCAAAAAATACAATTAGGACAAAAAATTCTTTATTACTGAGATACAAGCATTGAACACTATATTATCGTCTATTGTGACGATGGATAGTTCGAAACGGCTTCCTTTACGTCATGCTTATCTCGGTTGTAGCTTATAGACATTCTCACACGGATAATCTTGTATTCATATGAGATTACCCTAAACAGAAGTTGGACAGACTAATGGTGGTCAAGCTTAGTGTCTTTTGAACCTCGTCCATTTTTGTACCTATGGGCTCGCTGGTCCTAATGCCGATGGATCAAGTGAGACGCAAAGTCTTGGACTATGTGCAGGTCGCTCACCTCCTTTTCATATCGTCTCTTACCCTCTTAGCTTCTTCACCTATTCTTAGCAAATAAAACTAATCATTTCGCTCAACCTGGACAGCACCCATTTCCGTTTAAGACCCTATTCACGCAGGAAGTACAATTTCTGCATAATCCCACATATAATCTTGCGCGACTAGGTGCAATTGGAAGAGCATTTCCCATAACCAGATTTCCAAGAGAATGATCCGTTAGCTATGCTGCAAGTTACACAGTATAAGCGAACTGAAGTTATTGGCCGAGGGAAGTTCGGTGTGGTTTATAAAGGTTACCACAAGCAATCAAAGAAAGTTGTGGCAATCAAGGTTTTAGAGCTAGATACCCAGTATGATGAGGTTGTGGATGTGCAACAGGAAATTCAGTTTTTGGCTGATCTCAAGAATGTTCCCAATGTGACACATTACTACGGCTCCTTTTTGGTCGACACGAAGCTTTGGATCATCATGGACTATTGTGCTGGTGGATCGATCCGCACCTTACTTAAAGCTGGTGTTTTTGAAGAGAAGTACATTGGTGTGGTAGCAAGAGAGGTTCTACTGGCGCTACTGGCTGTCCACAAAATGGGCGTCATTCACAGAGACATAAAAGCTGCAAACATCTTGATCACAAATGAGGGCAATGTCCAACTATGCGATTTTGGTGTTGCAGTCCAACTCACAACTACTGCGCTGAAAAGAGCAACCATAGCAGGTACTCCATTCTGGATGGCGCCTGAAGTTATTCGTGAAGGCGACCAGTACAATGTAAAGGCTGATGTATGGTCGTTGGGAATAACCCTTTACGAGATTGCTACAGGTAATCCTCCATACTGTGACAAGGGGGCTACTTGGGCCATGACCATGATTGAAAAACTGACCCCGCCTCGTCTTGAAGGACGTGAGTATCCTGTAGCCTTGAAGGAGTGTATCGCTTTATGTTTGGATGAAAATCCTGAAGAGCGGCCATCGGCTGACGAATTGCTCAAATGCAAACTCGTGAAAACTTACAAAAACTTTCCAACAAGTACATTGAAGGAAGTCATTTCAAGATATTTGCTCTGGAGGGATCGGAATCTGTCAAGAGATTCCGTCTTCATAAACATGGAAGATGAGCCAGCGGCTGAGGATAACCAGATCCAGATGAAATGGGATTTCGATTCCTTGAGCAGCAAAGAGTACATCATTGAGAATGACATTCACCTAAATGATACTGAGGACCAGTTGAAAACTAATGGCATGGATGAGAATGATTACACTTTTACTACGCAACCAACTTACACATATCAAACTAATGGTGGGAACGACACTATTACAAATTCCAATGCATTTTCATTCACTAGCTCAGGCAGCAAGCTTAATACAGCGGACCGATCGAACCAGGGCACGAGAAATGCAACTACTAATGGCACTACAGCACCAAAATCTTTAATGTCTCTTTTTGAAGAAGATTCAACCTCTGATTCGGAAGAGTTTAACGACTATAAGGTGCCTCAAATCCCAAATTTGTCGAACTTATTATCTGACAGCTCAAATAATAACAGCTCCCCTACAATTGAAATTCCTGATATGGAGAGTTTGGCTAAGATCAGCAAGCAACCCTCGTCAACGCAACTATCTTTGAATCGACTGATGCTGCAATCGTATAATGAAGAAGGTATGACGAAACTCAACAAACCTCCACAATTGGTTCACTCACATTCCTCGTCTGCAGCTTTGGACTCGAGACACAATTCTCCAAACTCGAATCGTCCACGTCAAAGAACAATATCCAATTCATATGGGTCCGTCCCCAGTCACCCTGGTATGGACCCTATGGGTCCACATACTCCTTCATTTGCATCGGAATTTCTGCAAATCAGAAATACACCATCTCCACTGACACAACCGCCTTTTCCTTCAGATTCAATGGCCACTGCCAGTCCGTCTAAATCCATGAGAGCACTTCATTCAAATAACAACCCAATGCTCCAACCCATTAATTTCAAATCTGGAGCTGAAAATCCTAGCTCGAACAAACCTATGGCGTCCACACTTTCAGCTATGAGCTCAGCGAATACTTCCAATCAATCCATGAACTCGGCGACTAACTCGAACCAATCAGCTAATCACTCAACAGCTTCAATCGCAACTTCTACAGTCCCGCTGAATCTGAAAAAGGAAAAGCCCTCACTTAGGATTCAAATGCCTGTACCATTCAATTCTTTCAATCTTCAAGCATTAACTAATGAAAACACGGATGGGAAGAAGCCAGACGAGAATGTCAATCAATTTGGAATAAATCCTGCGTTGGTAAACAACATGGCCTCCATGACTCCGGTTACAGAAAAAGATAGTCTCCTTGGTGAAGGAGAGACAAGAGAATCGCGCGCAGACAGCGGCCCAGGTGCCCAAAGACACCCACTGCTGAAGAAAATTTCGGCTATGATGGGTCCCAAAACTGCTCCAGTTACCATTCCGACGCAGCCTAATACTCCGGTCTTTTTTGGCCTGAGAAATCCCACACTAACGAATGTGGGCATTTCAAGCGCTACTGCTTCGGCTAGTAATCTCAATGCTTCTACAAGTAATGCCAATGCCTCCATGAAGAGTGACAAGTTCCCTAAGATTCCTGAACTAAACGGTGAAATGTTTCTGGATGCTGTGCCCAAGAGCCGAATTACTCAGGAACTTGAAAACATGATCAAGTTATTCAGTCAGGGATTGGACGCATTAGAAAGTGCACTATAGTTACTTACGACTCCGAAAAGTATTTAGAGTAAAAATTTACCGAGCAAAACCTAAGAGGTATTTCGGGATATATATGTACATAAAATCTATTACTGGTGAATGCGCACGACTACTATACGCACTTTATGTAGTAGCTCTAACCTAAACATCAAGGCTTTACGTTTCATTTTCATTCTTTTTTGTCCCACTCTGAACAGCCATGGGTCCCCGAATGAGACGCCGGATCACTTCGGCGAAAAGGGAAGAGATCGAAAAGGAGCAGAAAATTCTTGATTCGACGATCGTGCGGCCGTTTGAGACTTTGGAAGGCCTTCCAATTTCGTACAAGGAACCTCCATACGGGCATTACGACGAGGTATTGAAGAACCCTCTCACAATCAAAGACTCAGGTGTGTTATATAACTCGCTTATCCGCTCAAGAAACACATATGTATACCATGCGCCGATGTTTAAGTTGTATTGGGTTAAACAAACCGCTTACGCGAAGAAACTAGCGGAAATGGAAAAAGACAAGGAGATGATCAAAGATCGGGAGAGTCGAAGGCGCTTTGCCAAAGCTACAACTAATTCTTTGGAAACTAAAACAAGAACATCTGTGCTTAGTGCAGATGTGAATGCGAGAGACGTCATGTCCAAACTATGTGAGGCTTCTGTGACTTTGGGCCCACATTCGATGGACATACGGATTTTCATTGCCAAAGACGCCCGATCAGAAAAATCAAAAGCTTTTGCCGAAATATCTCGCGTTTCGGATGCAGAAATATTGAAGCAAACGGAGCAAAAAAGTACACCTCCGGCAGTTAACTCGCCGTTGCCTAGTCTGACTCAAACTCCTGCTCAAAGCTCGAATCAACTTCCACCACAAACAACGAATCTGTCTACTACACAGAATGCAACTCAACAGCCTTCCGCACAGAATCCTACGCAACCTCTGCCTCTGGATTCAGGCCCAATTCTGACACCTGGCCCATTTCCATCTTCATCCCCAGGACTGGGCCAAATTTCAGGTCTGACTTCAGCCACATCTCCTGTTGCGTTTTCTTCGCTGACGAGTCTCCCATCTGGCCAGATTCCAAGACAACCTGGCATTCCCACGGCATCTCTGATTCCAGCTGCGTCGTCCGCAACCACCACATCTCAACCAGTTGCTGGGAAGGAAATAGTGTCCGAACAATCTACTTCTGCCCAAACGGAAAGAGTGAAGCAGGAGCCTAAAAAGGAAACAGAATCGAAGTCAGGTACTTCTCAGTTTGTCACTCCGTCAGAGGGGAAAAACGGAAATGGCGGTGTTTCTGAGTCAACTCAAACAGAAAACAGCACCACTGTTTCAACTCCAAATGCATCAAAAGAGCCAACATCCACACCTCCAACTACAAAGGAACCTGTTTCTATTCCAGAAGCTGACAAAGCAACCTCGGGCCAGCCAAACTCAGCCCAACCTATCTCGAATCCACCATCTCTGACGAGTGCACAAGATCAACATCAAGTTACACCATCACAAGCGAATCTGCAAGCACCATCTCCTGCCGATCAAGCTTCCCGACTTCCTCCCCCTCCCCCTCCTCCTCAGGCGAATCTTCAATCTATAGACAATTTGATTATGATCTCAAATTTGAGTGCTATTGGCAAAGTGGATCTGTTCTTGAATGATCTTATGAAAGTAGTTGCCCTGGGTAGTGCTTCTGAATCCCAAGTCACCCTTTTCAAAAAGTACATCGAGCGGGCTAAGCAGATGGGCCCGCAACCACATCATGCTGAACTCTATTTTAGTAGAGGTTTACCGCTCCCTCCTAATTTTCCTGGAGCATATCCTACCCGTTCATTTATGGATCGCAAGCCACCACGGGTTAAAGTCCCTAATCCAATGAAGTTGACAGCATTTCAAGAAAAGTATTTACATAGTGCTACATTAGTGTTTGAGTTTTTGGAAAATCCTAATGTGCGGTATGTCATTCCTCGTGATTCTATATCTGAAGTTTTGGAAGCAGAAAACCCTCCTAAAGATGCAGAGGAAGATATGGAATTCAAAGATATTCTCATCAGCACAATATGGATACACAATATCGATGAAGTTGAAGAGTATGAAAAGAAGTTAGCGGAGTACAATGCCGAAAAGAAGAAGAAGGAAGAAGAAGAAGTGAAAAAACGAAAGGAGCAGGAAGAATCAGAGAAGAAAGAACAGGAGGGAGAAAACAAAACTGATACTCAGCCCGAAGAGCGTAATCTTAGAGCTGGAACAAAAAAACGAGCGCCACCTCCAAAAAAGAAGAGAGCCCTTGAGCTCCCAGATGAGCCCAATATCAGATTCACAACATACTCCTTCACTTTGCATAATATACCTGCTAGATTTGTTCCTATTGTTACTAATAGTATGAAACCACTCAAACAAGTTCAAGAGAGAATGGAACATATTCTCAAGAATGGTACGAGAGTTCCTGGTTTCTACTTATGGTACCAAGTGGACGCTCGTCTAGATGAAGGCTTGGCAGAAAACTTGAGAAATACATTGGTGCAAGAGGAAAAGAAAATGCAAGGGTTGCTTCCTCCAGGAGCAGTTGTGGAAACGAAAAAGAGAAAGCCTCGGGAGTTCAAAACCCCTAGGCCAAAAAAGGCCAAGGACTCGCCAGGCGGTGTAAAACAGGAACTATAGATTTAATTTAAGTATTCAGATGAAGGCATGAATTTATTATGTACAAGTAAATGCGAGCTACTCTAAACTCTGGACTTGGAAACCAATCCCAACAAACTTTCCAAAGCAGAAGAATCCTTGCTATTTCTTTCAGACATGGTGCCAAAGTTTGGGTTGGATGCAATGTAGTTAGATCCATTAGAATAGTTGTCGCTTCTTTGAATCCATGATCCGACCTTGACACCATCAGCGTGCAATCTGACGCCACCAGTAGGAGTCAATTCTGCTTCGTTAACCTTGAATGGCATGACAAATTGTCTAGAGTGCTTTCCAGGAGCATTCTTGATATAGTTAGATTGCAATAAGGTGGTTCTTTCATTGACAGCAGCAATAATACCACCAATGGCAGCTTCTCTTTCCCTGACAATTCTTCCTGGTGCAATAACGCCTTGCTTCACACCATTGGGTGTGTTAGTGAGACGGCCATTTTGGAGATACGAAAGACCAGCTGTTCCTTGAATGTGAGACTTTGGTGCATGAGACGAAACGACACCGCGATTTCTAGTCATATCAGCCAATGACTTTTCACGTTTGACTAAAGTAGGAGAAGAAGCGATAAAGTCTTTCAATAATTGCTCAAGTTTAGATGGCACTTTCAACATAACAGATTCTGGGCTGTTAACCACCAACCATTTTTTGAATTCGGCACGCAAGTCTGGGTTTCTCTTAATCAAGTCCTTGACCTCAGAAATGTCCGAGTCTTGCCCAAGATTGAACTTGCTTAACACAGAGTCTGTTGTGGATGCTTCTTTAGCAAAAGTCTTGGAAGAGTTCCATGCAAACAATGGGTTAGACTTCTTATACGCTTTCTTCAAGACAATCCCCAGTTCCTGGAACTTCAATCTAGTGTAATGAGGACCAGCATGCTTTTCCACATCTGGCATGTTTTTGAAGTTGTCGATATCGTTGAAAACAATATGTGACTGGCCAATTTGCTTGGGCAAAGAAGTCTTGATACCGAAATTTGATCTCGCAGCACTGGCTGTTGGCGTGTAAATTATTTGATGGGTTGGTGCCGATGTGTTGGGACCTCTCAACTTTTTGCTCAAAGGAGTAGCCACTTGGGCCAACTTCGAGTTTTTGAACAACTTATAGAACTCTTGGTTGTTCATTGTTAGGCTGAAATTGGAGACTCGATTTTTTTTTTTTCTCAGTGTGAGGTTGTTGGTGCACGGATGTGTTCATCTAGTATTACCGCGACACAGAGTATCTACATTCTAAGGCAATTGTGTCAACATGGTCTCGTAATTATGTTCGAGTAACTCTGACCTACTGTATGATATTCGTCAGTTTGTGCTGCGTCGTCGTTAAATTTAAGGTAGAATTAGCATGCGTATGAAAATGTGACACCTATCTTGTTGATTTCCGGGAGATTCGTAAACGGATTCAAGTTTACTTTAATTCCTGTGCTTACCAAGAAATCCTTATAACGCCCCACCCATAGTAACTTGACCATGCGATCGCTCAAGCTGGTTGAACCTTTCAAAACGCTTGAGAAATTACTTTCATTGACAGAATTCTGAAATGCTTCCATCACAGACCTCCCCAGCACGTCATCATCGACGTCATAGGCTGGACTCCTGTGTAGGCGGCTGGGGTTGATGTGATAATAATCATCCAAGTTCTGAATCGAGTTGACCACTCTTTTTCGAGGTTTCTCTGGAAAAGCATACAGTACGGAATTATTTGTTGGTCGCGTACCCAACACGTACGGATCTGCCACAGGCGCTAAAGTGTCATGATGAATGCTGGGATTCCGTCTTTGGTCGGCATGGTAATGTTTGAAAACGTGTGATGGTTTGAAAAAGTTATAAAGCTCAAAACCAATCGACAAGTTGCTAGCATATGAAAACCAATTAAAGTCGTATTTAGAACACACAGTTGATGAAACTGATGTCTTCACGTTGTATGTGGAAGATATATGGCCCAAGATAGGATTACATGCCAAAGTCATGGTCAAAGGTTTTCCTGTAGATGTCGATCTAGTAGAGTAGCGTACAGCAGTGGAGAGACCAGGACTCATACCTAGCGCTGCATACCAAAACTCGGCTCCGACAGACACAACAGAGTTGTCGAATTTGGGAATCAAAGCGGGCGAGATTTTGGTGGGTTTACCAAAGTTGTATAAGCACCGGAAGCCGAAAAGCGCCTCGTTTGTTGAGTAAATGTACTCGCGAGAAAAGCGTGGCGTATTTTCTTGAAGATACACAATCATTGTGCCGCCTTTTCGAATGTGTGGATTATTGATGCATTTGACGAGAAGCTGTGCCAGGGCACTAATCCTTTTGATCAACATCGCTTCAAGAGCTGTCCCTGGAAAGTACATTCGCCCGTAGAGCAAAGAGGCTCGATTTACATCGGACAGGTCTGTCTTTGTATGAGTTCCTGAGAAGAAGGGCTCAATGATCCGGAAGCCAGCTACCGCATCTTGAAGAGAGACGTCGCGTGTGCCCATCGTGTTCTTCAATGGTGTAGAAGAGAAAAGGTAAGCGAGAGAGCCGTTGATTGTGTGCATGTTCAGAAGAGACATGGACGAAGCCAGATGGTCTGTTGCTTGGGTTGAAACATCTAGTTTTGCTCCACTAGGAATGGAGAAGTCCAAAAGCGCCTGCGACGTGGCAGTAACGTTGGCATATATATTGTCTTCATTCCATGATGTCGACTTGTAAAAGCATCTTTGAAGATACTCCATGTGGGTGTACATGGAGATAAAGTAGTGTGCTGGATTGGTATGAAGCTTGCGTTACAATGGAGTCACTTGCCCCTCTTTTGGGTATTAGTTTGCGTGGCTTGATCACCTCTGACGAAACCGTGGTTCTGGGATACTTGATTCCTATAGTGAAGGACTTGTACCAAGTTCTAATGCCTCTTATGTAGGATGTGCGCGCTCAAAGGCTGGTCAAGTTGTTCAAACTTTCGATTAGTTCGTTTATACCTGGGAAATCAGGACGAAACAACTCTGCTTTTTGTTGTGTCGTGAGGGTAGGCGTTCGATTGTGGTGAGCGAGACCAAGCTCTGTTTCGTCTCCCAAGTAAAAAATGAGAAATTCCACCACTTTAAACCGTAAAGTCTGCTCTGTAGTCGACGGGTCGGGCCCGTCTAACTGAAGATGTCGAATCACAAGCAGTGGTCCGCCGCAAGCCTCGAAAACTCTCATATTGGCCGTGTTTTTTAAGTAAAATATGCACTAAAAGCGAAACGACAGATACACAGACCTCTGTCAGATACAGTGGATAGCTAGGCTCGAGGAAGGAGAGCACAGTTCGCATGGCACACTTACGTGAGAATATATTGCGGGAGGGCAGATGGATTAGCAAAAGCCCCTGCAACAGCCTGTTGGCCACAAGTATTGTTGAGGTACTGTTTCCGCTCTCAAGAAGAGTAGTGTAAGCAGAAAGTAACGCAGACGCCATATTGAGTTGAAAACTGTCCTGGCAAGCTAGGAATTCTGCTAGGCGGGCATCGTGGGCCCCTGAAGTCCGTGAGTTTTTGATCGCCGGAACAAGCGACCGGAGTACAGTATCCAACATAGCTACACCCAGTGCGGCTTCATTGAAAGAGCCAGAGCATAACTTGTCAGTGATCTCCGAAAGCTCGGAAGAGAGTAACATAAGAGAAGTCCTTATTCAATCAGTGTTAACAACGTTGAGCGATACGTGGATAGAGGTGCTTTGATAGATTGACAGTGCGGCTGATGTAGACAGGATTATCACATTTGGAATACTATGTGACACTGGTAGCTCAGGTAAACAAATCTTCAAAAGCTTTTGATGAATTACTCATTTTTATATGCTACAAAAGTGAAGGTGTCGCTCCATAATTTTTTTTTTTTTTTTGAGGTTGAGGTTGAGAGACCGATAATGTTGAGGTTCTTGGGAAGGATCGAGAACGAGTCTTGAAATCAGTCAGACAGAAATTGCGTTCCTAGCATTTTCGGATGATCAAATTGCATCTACTAAGATCACTTATGTCAAAGGGCAAACTCGGATACTATAGTACACATTTCTCAATGGAAAGATTGGAAACCAAAACCCTTGTGCAAAATCGAAACCGAAGCGCAAGAAAATCTAGTAGCTGGATTCGGCCCCTAGATTCTCGATATCAGCGATGGTATCCTACAACCAGTAGAGACATCGAAGACTGGAAGTTCTACTCACTGACTTACTTCAACATAGCGCTTTTAGGCTCAATTGTGCACAGTATACTCATACCGAAGTAGATGTAAGTTAAGATTGTTCGCTCAAAAAATATTTAATTGCGCTTTTTTGGTAGAGTATGGACACGATTAATAGGTGATGGATGTAAAAGGAGAGTCTCTTTGTTTGCAAAAAACTACAACGAGATAATTCCATTAGCTGTGTTGAGCAAAACTAACCTTATGAGCAAAACTAACCTTAGGTTGTAAAGAATGCTTCTTCGTAAATATTGTGTCAGCCACCCACCCTTTGCAAGGAAATGAGTCTCAGGTCTGTATTTACATTCTTTCCTATTACAAGCACTGACGGGAATTAAAAAGACCTCATTGTTTGTCTCTTGATGTTGTTCTTTATTTTCTACCTTGAATTTGAAGATGATCTTGTCTCTCTAAATGACAAGACTTGTTGTGTCTCTGCCCTACCCCAAGACTTCGCTTTTTGACTATGGGGAAATAATTTAACAAAAAAGGTAAAATGTTGCGCGGCTGACAACGCGAACCTTACGTTAATGCACCCGTACCTCTCATCCCTCCATCTAACCTGATTCTGTCTGACGTGTAAACATTCCATATAAGTCTCTCTCGATTTGCTACTTTAGTGCTTTTTCATCCAGGTTTGATCTCGCCTATTTTTCTTGAGGGTTTTCAAGTGGTCTGTTCATTTCTGTCGACGACTATACGATCAGCTTCGCGCTCTTTCTATTTTGCTTCCGCTTTGGCATTTGAAGTAGAGTGAATTTCTGATTTACTCTGCCCTGTCGGCTAATGCCTTCGGTCGCTATCGGATGTGCGGCAGCTATTATACTGTCCGCAGTACAGTCATTGGGGATCACACTTCAGCGCAAATCACATCTTATCCCATATCAACATGAATTTGGCGAAACGTCAGTGGTGGATATACGCCGAGATAGCGTTGGGTCACTAGAGAACGAGCTGAATCATCGCCACTACTACAAGCGAAACTTGTGGCTTGTTGGATTTGCCATGTTTATTTTGGCCAATGTTGTCGGTTCTTTGGTGCAACTCACCACTTTACCCTTAATCATTCTTCTGCCCTTGCAGAGCATTGGGCTCATTTTTAATTCCGTTTTCAGTTGTTGGCTTTTGCCCGGCGAACGTTTTACGTACAAGTTGGGTTTTGGTACGCTTGTCATTTCCATTGGTGCATTTATTATTGCTTATAATGGCAGTGGCTCAGCCGATCTGGATCCGCATCTTGGAGCAGATCAGCGCTTTGAAATACTAATTGAAAAGTTTACCAGTCCACGCTTTCTAGTGTGGTATGTGTTTACTTATGTGGTGGCGGCGGTGTTGGTCAAAGTCAATATAGTACTTGCGCAGAAGATTGAGCATTGCAGTCTTTCGCTATCCAAAAGACGTCGAAACAGCTTGAGGCTGAAGCAAGTCACAATACAACGTTACACTTTCATGAGGGGTATTTTCTTTGGTATTATCAGCGGAACATTGACTGCCCACACGTTTCTTTTTGCTCTGTCGGTAGTGGGAGTTGTTGTTGAGATTATTCTTCAACGTGACACACCAAGGAACCTGGGAACGTATGTCTGCTCTATACTTCTTTTATTGGCAACTTTGGGGCTTGTCGGTTTGCAGTTAGTGGCGTTTAACTTGGGTCTTTCTAGTATACTGACTTCTGTTCTTTATCCACTCTGCTTTTTGGTGTACAATTTGGTCAATTTGATTAACGATGTCTTGTTTAACAAACTACTCACCAGTGGGTACATGTCTGTATTCCAGCTTCTATGGGTTTGTGTCGGACTTTTGGGTGTTCTTTTTGGGGTAGTCGTGATCAGCTGGGATGGGGTAGTTGGTAACAAACCGGTGTCCTTACCAGATGAACAGCTGTTGTTGATGGCAAAGTTTCCATATGAACGGCGGGTCATGTCGTATGAAGAATCAGAGTTGATTCATCTGATCTTCTCCAACGATAGTGTATAGTATAATTTTACGGTTATAGACATGGATTGTGTTAGGTGAACAGTGTTTTTAAAGTCTCATTATGGGTGAATTATATACGTATTGGCGGAAGTTACTCGGACTTGCCCAAAACAGGAAGTGGAATTGGGTTCGCTGTGAGGTACGAGTTTTGAGGAGTAGCCACACCAGCATATGCGCAATACCAGCCACAGCAGGCGGAGATTACACAAAAAACTCCTCCAACAGTCATCAACTGGTGGTGTCCTGTGAAGTAGTAGCCAGCCAAAACGAAAAAGGCAATGTCCAATGTGACGAAGAGCGAGATGAAAACCAACGTTGATTTCACAGTGCACAAGAGCATCATAAAGCAAAAGATTCCCCAACCCAACATGAAAAATCCGAGAGCATTATTGAGCTGATCAGGTTCATCCGCGTATGCAGCAAGAATGCCAAAGGCCTTGACGTTGATTGCGCCATAGGAAATCCAGAATCCCATACCAAAACTCGTGAGCACTGTGCCCGCAAAGCAGTTGCCTATGATTAATTCCCAGATGCCAGCTGCAGCCTCGACAAAACCTCCGTAAAAGAACACCAAACCGACAACCATATTTGGGACTTTGATGCCCATGGCACCTGCGAGATAAAGACCCAACACAAATGTGGTCAAAGCGAATGAAGCCAAGCCCAAAGCAGCAGCATTACCAAACTGGTGAACTGGGTATGGTGCGTATCTTTCTGGCACCAAAGTTCCTGCAAAAGCAGTCATGAGTTCGTGACGATAGTACTTCTTGTCGCCCAAGGTGATGAACTCATTGCCATCTCCGCTCACGTGGACTTTCAGTGGGCGGCGGTCCTCATGGGATGTTGCGTATTTGTCTGTCTCAACAGAAGCTGAGGAAGGTCCGGTCATTATCACAGTTGAAGATGTACGATGTAAAGGGGGAAAACGGCTTGAACAGGAGAAGAGCACAAGAAGAAAAAAACTAAAGGATGAGGTGTTTCTTGAGGTGGTGAAGCGCAGGTATATATGAGCACCCGTCAGGGTTTGTTAATTTTTTTTTTCTGTTTCTACCTCCGTTTACCCTACGGTGTGGGGTAAGCAGAAAAGTCCGAGACAGGTGTTTCTTAAGTGCGAAAACAGCGACACTTGTAGTGTCTAGCAATGCGCTGCATTCCAGGATGCACCGGCACCTTTTCTGGTTGGCCAAAGTTCACGGCGCAGTTTGCCCATAAAATTCTCTCTTCTTTTCTTGTGAATGGATCGGCATCGGCATCTTATAGGTGTGGGGCAGCGTCACGTGGAGGACCACATTAGTCACTTGAAATGGGCCGGTTTCCGGACTCTCGGGGACATTTCCGTTGTCCGTGAGGTGCATATCACGTGTAAGAGGACCCAGGCAAGCCCAGGAGGAGAGCGGAGACCAGACTCTAGACTAAAGCCGAAGCCGCAAATGGGTCACGCTCACGCCGGTAGAGCTGGCCCAAAATGCCTCTATCCCCGAGGTGGGGAGGAGGTGTCAAAGTCAAGAGGCCCCCGCAGTGTGCGACTTGCTTTCCTGTGCGGAAGAGATGGTTTGCGTATGCAGACGGGCAGGGGATCTAATGCGAAGATACAATACGAACCAAAGTAAGAAGAAGCAAAATAGAGCATGGACGAAAGCAGAAAGAACAGGAGCAAGAAAGAGCAAGAGCAAGAGCAAGAGCAAGAAGAAACTCGAGTAGAAATGATACCAGAGTCAAGCGATGCTAGTGCCTAGTATGAGCACATGAACTAGCATTAATACGAGCCCCATGACCCGAAAGCATTAACCACGGAAACAGTTGTGGCTGTTTGCTGCGCTGGTTGTGTGTTCATTTCTGTCTGGCCTGGTTTCCTGTCTGATTCGGACTCGCTCGGTGTTTTGGCTCGGGGCTCCATTTCTCTCCTGTGCCGTGCGTTTCTGTCCTGCCTCTTCGGTCCTGCCCATATTCGCACCGCACTGGTTCTAACTCTCCACCATGGCCAGTGTTCCTTCGATAACTCCATACAGGTCTCACAACGACCTTCTTAAGCTACGGCAAGCTTTCTACGCAGAGCCCGAGAATAGAAAATTGCTTCGAGAGGCCGTCAATACCGTTAATGTGCTCCGGTCTCGCGGGAAGCTCCCACATGCGGTGGATGCAACCGCCTGGTTAGTTTCCGCCAAGTTGTCCGACCACAAAGATATGGAGATTTTCCTGTTGCGCTCCGCCTACGCCATGGCTTTGGTTCGGTTTGTTAACGGCATGCTAGATCCGTTTCAACAGGGTGCGCATGCTGTGGCGCTTCTGACCATTGCAAAGTCGATTGGCCTTACGCTCAGTTTTGTGGATCTTCGTCACTCAGCGACACATGGTCAGCTCCCATCGTTGGAGCTTTTGCGCTCAATGTCCGAAAAGGCACTTAAGTGGCTCTTTGACCATTACTGGGCCTCATTGACTGATGTTGCCACGACAAAGAGGCCAACTTATGAGGAAAAGGAAAAACCACAAAGTGTATTGCTTCTGTTGAAGATTTACAAAAAGCTCCGTAAGCAGCATTTTGACCTACCTCTTTCCCGTGAAAATCCTATTTTAAAGTCGTACTGGAACTGCTTCGATGCATTGGTAGCAGTATCGAAGGACCCAGTACGCTCATCCCAGATGGTTGAGATGCTAGTCTGTCAAAATTTTCTAATCAAAACTGAGGGCCAGCCAAATAAGTTCAAGACAATGTTGAAAATATACTCGCCGTTGCTTGAAGGCTGCCTGCCGGCCTTCCTCCTAGAATTGGTTTTAGCAATCATTCACCACTGCTCGCCTCTCAATGATGTTGTATTTACAGGAACACAAATAGAGCAAGGGCAATCGTGGTGTCTGCATCTAGTCTCCCTGATATTGAATGGCAACTTTCCCATAGATACCAAGCACCACAAAAATCTATCCAAGCAAAATGTGGAATCCCTTTTGCGCACCAGCCTAGGGCTTCTAGAAGAAGACAGCCCCATGGTGAACGCAGTGGAAAATGCAATTATGCAGAAACCTGTCCCTAAAAGAGTCTATTTGCCGCCACTGTTGGACGAGATTTTGGCGCCTAGCCCTTACGATTCCCCGAAGGAAGCTTCTGAAGACTACATGTCGCCCGCACCGAAGAAGAGGAGAAAAACTGAATTGTTTCAAGCAAACCCAGAATGGACCTTAACTCCCTTTGGTGTCTGTCCATAGGCAGGGAAAGAAGATTGTAATGATATAATGCTGATGGATTTTGGATAAGTACTGGTGTCAAACGAAATAGATAAGGCCAAATGGAACCATACGAAAGACACTTACTGGAGACAAGTACGCCGTTATTGTTTACAGGTGAGTACAACTTCTATGTAACAGTGTAAAAGATCACGGTAATTTTCCCCCTTCTATTAGAGTGGTTCTTATGTGCCTCTAGTTAAGCACGTATCGTGACATACTCATGTGCACTCTTTATCTAATCGGGGTGCGTACTCTGGATAACTTAAAGCGGCGGTATAATATTAATCACGAAGCTGCAAAGGGAGCAAGCAAACACATTGGTTCTCCCTTACATCTAATTCATCTTCTTTTCTTCGACTGAGATACGATGTATTCCCAGTGGATTCCACAAAACCTCCAGAAAAGGCTTCTTCTCTACATTCTCCAACAGCTCTCTCTCTTCTCTGAGATTGATCTTCCAAACTTGGAAGAAGTTTCCTTGAACACTATACACTTGAAAGATGTGCTTATCGATTCAGACAAAGTGGGCAAACTTAGGGGATGCAATGTCCGCTACGGCAAACTCCGAAATGTGGAGTTGAGTGGAGGTATGGTGGGTGGCGTCAACTTTGAGATCGATGGAGCTGAGTTTGTGGTGGCTCTAAATCTAGATAGCTTGGAAACTCACCAGAAAGATGTTCTGACCCTTTTGGCCCAAAGTACCGCTGATTTGGCCAGCACTATAATGTTTGAGAATAAAGGCGAACCCGATTTTGCCAATGAACTGAAGTCCGATCTGGAATCGTCCAATGAAGGCAAATCGCCGTCCTCTGGAAACCCTAAAAAGTCTGCTTTCAGTGGTATGATGTCTCGCGCCGTGGAAATTGCTCTCCTGAGACTACAAGTTACAGTCAAGAATATTAGCGTCAAGTTCGTTTCTGAAGCAGCAGATTTGGTATTATACGTCAAAGAGTTCCAATTCCATTCAAACAATGGCTGCAGGCATGTATCCGTAAAAGGGATCAGCCTAGCTGTTGCAAGGCCGAATATCAACCCAGGACACCGAAATGATGCGAAAGAAACTACAAAAGATAAAACTGGAAGCGAAAAGTATACAGAGGATGATCATGAGACTTCTGATGATCACTCTACATCTAAAGATCTGTCTGGTACAAGGTCTGACACTGACGAGGATGAGAAGAGTGATAGTAATGCTTATGACGATGGATCGCTAAGTAATAGCATGGTCTTTTCGCACGAAGAAGCAAGCTCAATCTACATGAGTGCAGTTTCCCAGTCTATGAAGAACGATAAGCTACGTCCCTCTGAACCAATTATTTCTTCAAATGAAACAATATTGTTATACGTGGACGATATCCATGTCAAATTTGATGGGTTAAATCCAGCATCTAATCTCTCTTTAGACATCCAATCTGTTCGTATTGCTGCTGTCCCACTCATGCCCACTGCATCGCTCATCTTCAACACTATATCCAAAATGCTCAAGTTAAAGAATCACAATCTCAAGAAACAAAACCGTGCAAATCGCAGAGCCCATAGTCCTCATCCTTCCTTCCCACAATATGAAGTCACTTCAGATGAAGTTCCCACAGAAAATGATGAAGAAGAGAATTTCACTGATCTAATGTTTAACAAGCTTCACGTTTCCGAAATAATCATTTGTCTTACGTCAGCAATATCCTCCACTGGCGAGATTGCATCTTGCTCTGATGATATAAACATTATGTTTCAAAATTTGAATATCAAACAGAAAAACAAAGATTTGATATATGGAGGGGTAGAAAAATTCAGAATACTAAATTATTCCGGTGGAAAGGAAAGTGTCCTTTTCGAATTCGACTCCCTGGAAATATCATCTTCTAGAACAGATTCCGACAAGGTACCGCATTCTTCCCCACCTCCGAATGGGCCCCGCAGTAAAGCTGACATTCGATTTGAGATCATCCAAAAGTTCACTAATTCTCAGCATTCGCGAGAAACTACTGCTCTACTATCAAAGAATGCTATTATCAAAGTCGATTGTGACTCCTTGCAATACCTTACCAACTTCTTCACATCTTTGAAGACAGTGTATGAAAGTGTGGTCAGCATGATGGCCGATCTTTCTCTCATGAGATCATTAAATGAGGGTAAAAAAGTTGGCACAGAAAACCAGAAACTGACGTCAAATTTGCTACTATTGCAAACCTCTTCAATTACTTCAACAGTCATTTTGCTGAGTTCGAAACTTATCAAGATAGTTGTATTGCCTATATTGTATAACAAAGCTGATGACCAGCTCTCCATTCAACGGGTGATGGTTTCTTTAGTCTCTGGAGGCGTTGAGACCCCTTTTTTTTCCATACCCTCTGTTGCATTGAAAACGACCATACAAAGTTTTAAGTCTTTCTACTTAAAGAAAACAAATTCAATTCCTCATTGTTCAAATTTGCAATCTTCAAATACCCTCTCATGCGGTGAAATACAAGGAACTATTGATTTTAAGACCTTGCTTTCATTCTATCAAGGTATTACTTCTTTCGTGAAGCAATTCAGCGCTGCTATCAAGTGCAAAGTAAATGCGCTTCCTGAACTGCTTGCTGACTCTCCCTCACAATCTCCGAAGGCATTCTCAACCGCAGGTCTAGCCAGTTCTATTTACTCGAAGCACAGCAGATTTGGCAGGTTCAAAGCAAAGAACCGTGATCACTTCCATTTTGGTGAGCAGAGAAGCATCTCGTCGTTTAGGTTTATGGTCCAGCTGTTAAAGCTCTCTGTTACCCTGTTGTTTAGCAGATTTGGAGACCTCCACATTGCGCTTGATCATTTTGAGTTCAATTTACAAGAAGATTCAATAAATGGATTTGTCAACGACTTGTCCATTGAGAGGAGGTTCGAGAACCAGAGCAAACAGCCTTTCTTCCACCAATTACTGAAAACTACTGAGTCTCCAATTGTTTTATTCTCTCATAAAACAAGTGATAAGTCTACATCCACAGACATCATTTTACGAAAATTCTGTTTAGAGTATTACACTCAATGGTTACAACTTATCGAAAAGAATGTAACACAAGGACATAACGCTGAAGAAATTGTTCACCTTGCGCCACATGACAATAATCTACAATCAGGCTCCAAGGGCACTGATTTCCGAGTCACTCTCATTGATTTTTGTGTTGGACTAACTCCATCAAGGCTTCATAGTAAATTATGTTTGGGGATCAGCAGGGGTAATATGGATTTTACCATCGGAAAGGAGCAGTTTTACATCAAGAGCTCTTTTCGTGAACCATCCATTAATTTGATTGATAATTGCAAACTCCTTAAAGAACACAAAGACTTGACTCATGATGAAAGTTTTTCTCCTCATGATATGATTTTAAAACTAGGATTTTTATCTATTGGGCATATAAACACTTTGCATTTGGGGATCACTGTCAATTCTGATATTGAGAAAATCAAGGAGAGGCACAAACGATTAGGCATTCGTGGAGACCTTTCTTTAGTGGATTTGAAACTCAATACAGATGATATTTCTATTGGATTAGCTGCTGACTCATGCCACACACTTCTACAAACCATAAATGATTTGAAGACGCCGATCTTTTTCAAAAACGATGAAAAGTTCAGGACCACTGTTTCTTCTGAGTTCGAAATGCCGGATGATATCTTGAGCCAAATTGATGCCGTCCAGAAGAACGAAGGATTAAAACTGTTCCAGCATGCCGATATGGCTTCTCTGAGTCCCATTTTCAATATGCATCAGCAGGAAACTGGATCAAATTTGGTTATCGTTGATGAGTATTATGGAGAAACAGGATCAATCGTCAGTGAGGTTGAGAGGGGAATCGAAGGCCTCAGTTTGGAATCTTCGCACAGTAATGGAGGAGATAGTAGTCTTCCTATGGTCGAAGACCATTATGCTGAGAACAAAAAAAATGATGCTGTTAAAGTCTTTCCTTTCAGTCTTCATGTCAATCTTTCCGAGATTAAAATCTACTTGTATGACGGCTATGATTGGAAACATACCCGTAAAGCTTTACGCAAGGCGATCCAGGACTTGGAACAAAAAGCTCAAGAAATGGCCAAGAAATCCAAAAACCTACCCAAAAAGAATAATTCTGAGAAGGTGGAAACTTCTTCTCTCGGATGTCACGGTCCCAGTAAAGCGAACAACAATAAGGTGACATTCGATGATAGACTAGCTTACGATGACGAGTCTGCTGAAGAAGGTAACCTCTCGATTGACGAAAATTTGTCTGATAGTGGAGATGAACATCAGGTCGCAGGAACATTCTTTGAATCAATTCATTTGGTGATGTCAGAGGGGGATGATCCAAGCGACTTTGTTAACATGATCAATTCACAAGTGCAATCGGACATGCGAAATGATACTAGTGACCACAAAACCCAACATGGCACTAATGATATGATTAACGTAAACGTGAAGAAATACTACAAAAGCTTACGGTTGAATCGTTCGGGGTTCCATAAAGGCCTAATTGAACTTAAAAATTTTGAAATCATGGTTACAAACTTCACTAGCAGGGATCCTAGATTAGACCCCACGCCGTATGATTCAGAGCCAGAGCTAGTAAATTGTGTTGACATAAGAGTGGGAAATGTGAATGTTTTTGATAATGTTCCTACCTCTACCTGGAATAAGCTTTTGACATATATGAGTGCAGTTGGAGAACGAGAAATTGGCACTGACATGTTTAGATTGAGTCTCACTAACGTTAGGCCTGATCCTAAATTAGTCTTTGCTGAAGCAATAATCCTGTTTAAGCTCTTACCAATAAGGCTCTACATTGATCAAGATACTTTGAGTTTTTTAACTCGTTTTTTTGAATTCAAAGACACTCGCTTTGCTCTTCCAGTTGAGGAACCCATATACATTCAGAAGCTTGTTGTTGATACAATTAGACTCAAGTTCGATTACAAACCCAAGAAGGTGGACTATGCTGGAATTAGGTCGGGTTACCACGCCGAATTAGCGAATTTCTTTATTTTGGATGGAGCCGATATCTGTCTCGAAAAGACCACGCTATATGGTATCCTGGGATTTCCAAAGTTAGGAGAAGCTCTTAAGAATGTTTATGGGCCGTACATCCAAAAGTACCAACTCGCGAATATTTTGCTGGGATTGTCTCCATTGAGGTCTCTAGTTAATTTAGGAGGTGGGGTCAAAGATTTAGTCGTGGTTCCTTACAAAGAATATAAAAAGGATAAGAGGCTAGTCAGAAGTCTCCAAAAAGGAACTAAGTCTTTTGCGAAGACAACAACTTATGAGCTTTTGAAATTAGGCGTAAAGCTCGCATCTGGAACACAGGTAATATTGGAAAATCTGGAAGAGTATTTCGGTGGCGAAGGAAGGGCCGCAAGAAAGTCGGTCAGTAAAAGCTCTACGAAAAGCAAAAAGGAGCCCAGCAGTGTTTCAAGAGGTGGTCCTTCTAATAACTTGCTTGAAACCTCCCAGCTCCTAAAGAGAAGTGTGAAAATCGAAAAAGACCCATTTAGTACTCCTAAATTCTATACTAGTGCATCATTGGATGAAGCTGAGGAAAATGAACTTGATTCGGAGGACATTGAACAATCTCTCTTGGTGTTTAATTCGGTAGCTGGTGGCTTCACGGGGGAGAAAGAACTAGAGACGGAAAAGTATGAATCTGGCAATGCGAACAATGATGACAGCGGTGAAGAGTATGAATATGAGTACGAATTCGATGATCATGAGCCGTCAGAAAAGACAGTGAGTCTCTATTCGAATCAGCCATCCAATGCTAAGGAAGGTTTAGTTTCCGCCTACAAATCATTGGGAAGAAATTTCAAAAGCACAAAGAGAACGTTAGTTCTGTTGAAAAAGGAATTACAAGCAGCCGAATCATTCCAAGATCTGTTGGCATCTATAGCGAAGCTGTCCCCTGTTATTGTCATCAGACCGGTCATTGGTACGACCGAGGCCGTAATAAAGACGTTAACGGGGATAAGCAATCAGGTTGACTCGACGTACATGAAGGAAAGTCAAGATAAATATCCAACTAATGACTCCAAGTGAGTATGATATACATAACTTATAACATGCATATTTTGTAACACCCTTGATCTCGAACATGTAGTCGTCAGCCATGATGTACGGGTGTCTTGGCTGAGCGCGGATCGGAATCAGTTTTAAGCACCACTATCTAATCTTCACTAGGTTAACTATGGCTGTCGACAATACCGTTGTTCAAAGCTGCTTGGCTAACATCAGACAGCAATCTCAACTTATGAAAGAAAACTTATCCAAAGGATCTCTCCTACCGGCATTGAAACATTGCTCTAACTTTTTGAACGAATTGAGGACTAGCCAATTGACTCCAAAGCAGTATTACGAATTGTACATTGCCGTGTACGATGCCTTGGAAATCCTTTCCAATTTCTTACTTCAGTCTTATAAGTCTAAGCTGGCGAAGAACAAGGACACTACTTTCTTGACCGATTTGTATGAGTTGGTGCAGTATTCGGGCAATATTGTTCCCAGGTTGTACATGATGATCTCTGTTGGCACTACTTGTATGTCAATAAAGGGTCCTGAAACTAAAGAAATTATGAAGGACTTGATTGAAATGTGCCGTGGTGTTCAGCACCCAATAAGAGGCTTGTTTTTGCGTAATTATTTGACACAGAGGGCAAAAGACTACTTCCCGTTATCTAGCGAGGAAGATCTCGAGGAGACAGTTGATTTTTTGATCACCAATTTCATTGAAATGAACAAACTCTGGGTCCGTTTGCAGCATCAAGGCCACTCCAGTGAGCGCGAGTTGCGGTATCAGGAGAGAAAGGAATTAAAAATCCTTGTCGGCTCCAATTTAGTTCGTCTTTCGCAAGTGATTGATGATTTTCAGGGGGGAGAAAATTATTCTAGTGAAGAGTTCTATAAGGAAAGAATCTTTCCTGCGATTACAGAACAAGTAATTGAATGTCGGGATCATCTCGCACAGAGTTACTTGATTGATGTGATCATTCAGATTTTCCCAGACGAATTCCACTTCCTCACTTTAAACAGTTTGCTTAACGATGTCTTTCTCCACTCACATCCATTGTTAAAAAAATCTGAACTTGTGACAACTTTAGTGGATCGCTTTGTTACCAATCATAAGTATGAAGAAGATTTGGTTTCTGTTGAGAATTCGACTAGTCAAGTGAATTTGGATGACAACCAAAATACTAAAAAGCAACCGGCATCTCAGAATTCAATTTCAATGACAGAAGTTTTTCAGTCCTTTTGGGACTTTTATCTCAACTTACAATCTTCTCAACCAGAATTGCCACCTAGCGAGTTCATATCCATTTTGCAGAGTCTTATGAAACTTTCCTTAACTTATGATCCTGAAAATTATGAGAATCTTGACAAGATCTATCTGTTTGCCAATGACAAGTTATCAGAGCACACACTGAAGAGTGCTGATCATGAAGATGACAAATCCGCACAAGGCTTGTGGTTGGACTTGTTAATCACACCGGTGAGATATTTTTCATCAGTCAAAAGCTTGATCAAGCTATCCTTCTTTCATGAACTCTTTTCCAAGTTCTCTGATGTGAAATTACAGAAACAGCTCGCAGTGGAGATCGTTGATAAGCTTTTAGAGGAAGCTGATGGTGACTCTACGAACCAAACCTACGACAATGCGGAGAATATTGATGATGTATTTAAGTACATTCTCGTCCTCATCCAGGAAACGGATGATAGCTTGAACACTGCCAAAGATTTGGGCGTTACTGAATCAATCAAGGTGGATGGCAAGGAAAAATATGTATCAGCTTCATTTCTCGAGACACAGGAGAAGATTTGTAAGACTCTCCATTTGATAGAAAGCCCCGACATCTTCAAGAACTTGTCAATTTTACTTCATGTGAAGAAGAGATATTTGAACAAGAATATGGCCAACATCATCTACACGTACCCTACTTTGATCACAAAGATGACTAATAAGCTCAGAATTGCAGGTTACCAATCATTGAGAGCAACCAAGGATGGTTCAGATCAGACTGATTTGCTTATAACAAGCAACTTCAAGAACATCTCGATCATCATAGATGAATTGTATCAGCATCACCATGCTTTCCATTCAGAGCTCATTCTTAAACTCTATTTGAACTTAGCTACTGTTGCTGACCAGTTGCAACAGGAGACAATTGCATATGAGTTGTTCACGCAATGTTTTGTGATATACGAGGAGAATTTAGTGCTCAATACGCTGCAGAACCAAATGCACAATCCGCATGAGTCAATGGGTGGTTCCGTATCATACCAGGCTATTGTGATGATTGCTAATCGCTTGGCGACGCTGAGGTATTTCAACAAGGAAAACTACGAAAGTTTAATCACAAAGATCACGTTATACGGGTCCAAATTATTGAAGAAGCAGGACCAGTGCAGGTCAGTGTACTATTGTGCGCATTTGTGGTGGTGGTGTGATCTTTGGATCGACGGACCATCTCCCACTTTGGGAACAGATGCCATAGATGACGGAGAAAAGAGTAAAGCACATAGCGAGGAACAAAAGCCTACTGAAGATGCTACAGACTCTGCCGAGAAGCCTGAAAACCTGAGTAACCCTGAAAGCTCGTCTGACGATTCTGGAGAGAAGAAAGCTGAGAGCGATGATGCTACAGTGCAGGGTAATACCCAAATGTTGTATCGCGAGCCTAAACGGGTGTTGGAATGTCTCCAGAAAGCGCTCCGAGTCGCCGATTCTTGTATGGATCCATATTTACTGTTGAAGCTATTCGTGGAGATCTTGAACCGAAGCCTTATTTTCAATGTCTATGGCAATTGGCTTGTGGATCTGAAATATATCAATGGCTTGATAGATTTGATCCGCACTAACATTGCAAACTTCAGAGATGAAGCCGCACGTGATGAAGATGACCACGAGACTCGTCTACTTAGGCATATTGAAGAGTATTTAAAGCGCACTTTGGTTTATGTGCAGCTGCAGCAGATGTCCGAAGATCGCTTTAATAACGTGGTGGTGTAAGTGGCCCCTTTGATAAGGGGAGTGCGTCTTAAACCCGTATCGCGATCTTTCGGCTCCGTTGCACCTGCATAATATATATAGGTACTTAGCCTCTCAATGCCGCCACCAAGTAATTTGTCTTTTCTGTACATCCTACTTATCCAATGAGTAAACACGTGGCAAGAGATAATTCTCTTTGGAATCGCATTATGTATGGTGGTTCCAGACAACCGGCACCTGTGGATGTTGACCCTGAGAAATACTCCACTTTCCCATCGGAGAAGGCTCCTACGACAAATACAAACACTCGGGAGAAAAATCGCAAGTTAGCGACTCGATACCGGTGCATCCTGGCTATTCTCTGTATTTGGTCTGTTACTCTTTTTTATCTAGCTGGGATACAAATAAGAGCGCTCACAAATACCGCTCTCCCCGAACCCCGTCGCTTTGCCAACTACCAGGGTCTTTTGGAAACTGGATTTTACCCCGAATCTCTGAGTGCCCAAGAAGTCTTGAGCGTAGCATTTCCATTCAAGCCGGAAAAGAAATATGGCAAGCCCGTTTACGAATCTGTCTTGATTGATCACGTTTTCGACTCGTGGGGAAAACCACTGGTACACAAATTTGTGCCTCCAAAAGATGTTGAGTTCAACCGTGTTGTCTTAAAGTTGAAAACCTCTGTGGATGGTGTTCAGTACGACAGATTGGCTCACTTGTATGTGAATGGTGCTGAAATTTGGCGTACCTCGACCATCGAGCCTGGAGCTAGGTCTGTCTTCTCTGAATTCAAGAAGGACGTCTCCTCTTACACTACATTGTTTCAAAAGCCTTGTGACGTATTGTTCCAATTGGATAACATAGTGTCCGGTGGGTTGACTGGAAAATTCCACATTGAGTTGCAAGCGCACTTCTACAACACCGATTCTTTGGTTTTGGAGGAGATCGAAGCTCAAACTGAGCATTCTGCCAACGAAAACTATCGTTTCTTCGATATTCGCAAGCCTGCAGATCTGGTGTATCCATTGTATTCCAAAAAGGACAATGCCTCTCCTCCGCTTAAGTACCTTCCTTCTGATCGCTACTCTGTGAAATTGCCTCAGGTTTCTAAAAACACAACTAGAGCAAAGTTGACGGTTTTTCTTAGCGGAAACGGTAACGAAGAGTTCTGGTACAGCAATGTCTTAGACAAACTCGCTGATCGGTTCGAAAAGGACGGTAACGTTTTCTTTGGCCACGGTCCGCTTCGCTACTTGAACGTTTTTGTGGATGGCCAGAAAATTGCTTCTCAAACTCCTCAGCCTTTCCTCTTTACTGGCGCATACTCACCCGCACTCTGGTCTCCGGTGGTGCCCAATAATGCTTTTGATTTGCCTAGTGTCGATCTCGATGTTAGTGGATTGTTGCCTTTGCTTTGGACTTCAGGGGATCACGAGTTGAAGCTCTCTGTTGCCAATGGCTTGGATGAATTTCAGGGATCATCTTCCGGTATTGGGCACGATTGGATCATTAGTGCCAACTTGTTGACCTACGAAAGTTCCGATGTAGAGGATGCTCATGGAAAGATTATCCATATGGGTAATGCCACCAAAGGAAATGCATTTGGCTTCTCCCCACCTTACACGAAGACTATGCAGCAGATTTCTACCGGTAAACTTTTGGGCGAGTTGACTAGTGAAATCTACTTAAAGTTGAAAGACGGCAAGGCGTTGAACACTACATTCAGCTTGCATACGCTTGGTGGAATTTCCAACGTCCAGGACTATTCGTCACTGGGAGATGTTGCACACTTTGTGCATACTGGACGCTCTCTGAAATCTATTCTCATAACGGATAATCTGAATGAGGGTGCTTTGATTCATCAGACGAACATATCCCTGACTTATCCATTGGTAATCAACTTATCGCAAAAAAAGACTTCTGAAGGCACTGACCTCGATTTTAAGATTGTCAATGGCCGCACAATGAAGTTGGAGATCAACAACGAGCCTGTATTCGCTGAACATGTTGTTCAAAACGGAACCTCAGACTTTTTCCTTCGTAACTCGGGTAATTACGGTTTCGGTTCGTTGACAACAAGATATCGTGCACAGGTTAGCGACAAGTTTAAGTATAAGAGAAGAGTGGAATCTGAAAACGGTCAAATCACTTCTGACAACGAAGCTTACGAAGAATTGGAAAAGGAGGATTGGGACAAGATGTATAAAGAAATATCCCAAGCATCGCAGTTGCACGGACCTAAAAAACATGGATGCGGTGGCTCAAGAATGGGATCACATTCACAATCTGAAGGCGACGAAGGGAGAGGGGCTCACATGGAACACAAGGGTAGCAGGAAGCACCACACGTCGAATGGTCACAAATCCAAGCATCATAAGTCGAGCCACCATGGAGTAAAGCATCATGAGCAAAAACATGGGGCTCACATGAACGATGCTAATGTTAAGAAAATTGGTTGCCATGGTAAATCGCGGGGCAAGACCCATGACAGCGGTGTGTTCGGCGACGTATCAAGATTCTTCAAGAAGGCTATTTCGTATTTGCAAGGCCACGTTTGATGGCTTTTCCTGTTATGTATGAATTGATTATTTGGTGATTAGATGTAGATATACTCAACCGAATCCTGCCCATTCGATAGAAAACGCTCGGGTATTCCCCTGTGTATCTAGAAGGGGCTCCTTCTTTTGTACTTGAGGTTTCTCATCCATGAGTACCCATGCTTTTTTGACTGCGGTTGCCAACCTTCCGCTTGTAACTAGTTCCAAGAGGTCAATCTTTTGTCCCGGGGCTAATACTTTGACAATCAAATGGGAATGGAATTTAAGAGGATCCCCTGGATAAGCTACAAAAACTCCTCCAAAGCGCAAACCAGGCATAAGGTAGTAGTCAAGGTTTCGAAGATAGCAGAACGCTGAGAACTTGGCAGCAAAATCCGGAGCAACTTGTTGCATGGCTAGAAAATCACTATTGGAAAGAACAGCGGGACTGATGTCAACGTCTGTCAAAGAGGGAAAACTGTTGGGTGTAACTGCGTACTGGATCGGGGCATCTCCGATTCTTCCTTCCGTATCGTCGATCGAAATATTGGAAGCAATGATCTCATTATACTTGAGGGCATCGACAAACTGGGCGTGGCCATGAGCGACAAGCCAACATGCCTCATATGTGCTCAACTGGAGAGGAAGACCCAAAAACACATTCTGCTGTGGCGCCTTGGGTAATGTTCCTACAAGGACGCCCACGATCCCAAGCAGACGAATACGGGCCACTATTTCAACATCGAACACAAGCACAGTGCCATGAACAACTTGAAGATGGATCATAGGACGAAACTTGAAAGTGAATAGGACAAACTATGCTAACGGTTTGGGTGTACGGGTGTATGTGTGTGTGTGTGTGCGATGACTCCAGAACGAACTGACGAGGACGTCAGAGGTACAAAATTACTAAAGTCACTGGAATGAATCGAAACATGAGGTTGTCGAAGTTTGGAAAGCATTAGAGAAAGTGATTGCGTGGGTGTGAGGCACTGTAATCATAAACCACTGGGGATGAACGATTAACACGCCATGCCTGACTCGTATGCATGGAGGCTAAGGAAAACGTAGGGGGACGAAGCGGACGTTGAACATAACGCTTGCGTACTGTGCATGAAGTCCGGGCAGCGCAGAAGAAGTCGCATTTGCATGCATAAGAACCCGAGAATTGTTGCGAATGCATGCAGGATGGTGGTCGCCCCAACGACACCAAACCTTATTCAATTGAGATTGTGAGCTATCGGAAGTAAATCGATAAGAACAAGCTAAAAAAAAAATTTCGAAAACTTGAAAATCAAAGGCAGGGGCATAAATGCAAATGTTAAGGAAATGCTTATGTGACACTGTTACTGAAAAGTTCATTAGAAGTCACTAGACCATTAGAAGCACTAGATACATCACTATATAATTAATTAAACAAGATCCTTTGGTAGAATTAAGAGGACATGACTACAATAGTGTGGGGCGGTATGCGATTAGTTCTAGTCAATGAGGCTCGAGACCTTCATTCGCTCGGTAGCCTTATCATGGACGATGCTCTTGGAGAGGTTTTGGAAAGACGGAATGGTGTCCGCATTGAGCTTCTGGCTGATGTGGGAGGGGCTCTCGGTGTGGCCATTCTGGTCCTGCTGGACCTGGCTCATTAGACTCTTTTGGCTGCTCTGGCTGCTTCGACTGCTGTGGGTGCGGGCCAAATTGTGCGATACCAGGCCCAGGCTAGGCGTCATGCCCATTGGGTTTGGAAACAAGTCGGGCGCAACAGAGGGTCTCCGCAGAGTGGCAGAAGACAACGTGGGTGTGAGCGAGAGTGGGTGTAAGTCTGTGCACACGGAGTTGCTGCGGCTGGCCAAAGACCCGGGAGACCCATAATGGTCCAGGCTGTTTGTGTGTGTGTACAAGGCAGGCAGAGTCAGTGAGAGCGGAGCCGCCGTCACGCTATGGCGCCGATCTTCATGATGCCATTTCAACTCGGCCAAGTGGGGCAACGGTGCATGGTCCATGGACGCCAGGCGAACCGGAGGACGAGCAGCGGCGTATGGCGCGGGCGGCGCAGACTCCATTGAGCCAAACATGGATGTGTTGAACAGAATCTGCGGGAAATGGGGCACCTTGGGATAGTGCAGTGCGTGGGCGAGAGGTGCTGTTTGTGCTGGAGGGTGCGCAACTTGCGCCGTTTGCGCCGGGTGGGAAAGCGCATGCTGGGAGGGTATGGGCCCGTTGGGGCCAGTTGCGTTGGCGAGGGTGTGCTGGTTGGAGATGCCATGGGGAACATTGGCGCGGGCACCGGTGGCCAGGTTTTGGCGCAGGCGGGCCTCAGGCGAGCGGTAGTGGGGGCTGGCGGGCGGCACAATCTGCAGCGCACGCCGGCGTCGGTTGGCGCCGCCGTTCCACCAATTCTTGATGGCATTGTCCAGGCGGCCACTCAAATGGCGGGCAATTTCGGCCCATTTTTTGCCGTGCTTGGCCACAAGCTGCTCAATCAAAAGCCCTTCCTCGAAGGTGATGGGGTTGCGGTTGAGCAGCGGCTTCAAATTCTGGTGGTAACGCTCGCGGCACTGCTTGGGAGACCGGCTGCCCAACAGACACGAGATGCGGACCCAGTTTGTTGGGCCGTACATGGCAATGATTTCGATCAAGCGCCGGTCCTCCTCGGGGCTCCAGGGCCCACGCCGAGTCTGGCCTTGGTCTTTTTCCTTCTTGTCCGACATGATGTGGGAGTGGCAAGTGGGTGACGCAAGAGGGGGCAGAAGCAAAGAAGACAATATTGGGGAGACGAAGGGAGGGAGATGCAGACAGGGATATTAGGCAGAAAATTCAAAGGACGGGAAACGGTGTGTCAAGCGCCTGTGGTGGGTGGGAAGATGAGAATGGGAGAGCGAGCACTTGTGAGGAGTGGAGCACAATCACTGGGTAATAAATGTGGGTGCTGACGTGCAGCAGAATGGAGCTTCAACTGATCAGCGATTCTTGTCAGTCAACAGAGGGACAAAGGGCTCGAGATGGGAACAGAATAGCACTAATTTTCCGCTGGCGTGACGCTCGGAATCTTTTGCATTTATACAGATTATTTGCGTATCTTAACGTCAGGGAAACTAAAAACGGTCTTGTTGGACGACGCATGAGCATCCATGCAGGCCGCATCTGCGATAGCTCTTTTAAAAAACGCCAGACAGGCGACGCACCTCGGGCCACATACCAGGCGCAGGCAAATTCCACACAAGTGCATTGGCTTTCTTCGATGGCTAGTGTGCGGCGTTGGGGGTCAAACCCGTTAGTGCGGGTTTCGGTGTCTAGTTTTTCCGCTGGTCTTGTACCTCAAGTTTGATTTTGTCGCCGCACCTATCCCTACAGACTGTGGTGTCCAACCACCCCCGATCGGCGGTGTCCTTTTGTCAACGCCTCTTCGGATGATGTCGTAACAGAAGGAAGAAAAAAAAAAAAAAACTTTAATCGCACTTATGCACGAAATGCTGAGGTACATCTTTCCAACTTTCACCGATTTTCCGTGTGAAGCACATGTACGTTCGGTGCATATGTCAAGCATTGCTCTGCATTGCCCGTTGGGAACTTTCAGGCCCCAGTTCCTTGGTCTTTGCACACGGAAAATGTTTACGTTGATGTATCTTACCCTCGTATGTTGTTGGGCTCTTTTGGCACAAGTCCCTATGTCGCCCGTGAACCGCAGGTCCGAAGTGGGGGTGTGTTTGGACTTTGCAGCGCCCTTAATGGTGCGAGAAACGCAAGGCGACCCTACGAGTGCAGGTCATTCAACATCCGAGTTCACCGCTGGCTGTGTGCATGACATATGCTTGCTGTGTTCAAGCTTTGGAGGAATAGCATTCGATGTTGGAATTTGAGGCCACCGTTTCTCGTCTCGGCATTCCCGCCAAAAATCGGGCGATCTTGTGGGCCAGCGTGAACAAAGAAAACCGTCAGATGCCGGCGGCGCCAAATTTTCAGTTGGAGCATCGGTTCCTTCGGGGTTTAGGCGTGACGGAAACTATAGCCGGGATCAACCATTCTACTGCATCTGCGGATGCCGGTTACGAACAACGCGAATTCTTTTTCTTCTAACGGTACGAAGTACGTTTGTGCTTGGCAGTTCTCCTGAAAGTGTATTAATCCGTTTTCTGTTTTTATGTACGCCGTGCCTATCGTGACAAAGACCCCTACTTAGTCTTGTCGTTTTCTTTTCTTGTCCCTTTTTTTTTCCGCCACGCAAAGTGCGGTCCATGCAAGTTACCCCAACGCCGGAAGCAACGTTCAATTATGCCGATGCTCATAGTAAACCTCCCAGCAACACCGTGTCTGGTATTGTCTCTTGTGCGGTCTAATCAAACTCCTCGAGATCCTCTGGCTCGAAAATAACTCGAACCATTAGCGAACAACTGGGACATACAGCAATATCTTCGCCATCCTTCAAATCGTCGAGTGCGATGGCAAACCGATCTCCACAGGGACATGGGTACTGCAACAAGCCTGTTATTGGGTCGTAGGTGAAATCCTCGATCTCGATCTCATCGTACACTGTCTCCATCGCCAAAGACTCCGCTATGGGGAATATCTATATCTGAGTTTAATTTTTTTGCGATGGAGGTCATCTTCCAAACGGTTGTTTTTTCTTTTTTGTCGCACGTGATATTGCGCGCAGGAATCTCCGGGCGCATTCTCCAAGATCACCATTGTTCAGATGTGGGTTTCGGAAGTACAAAGTTGTCATTGGTGGCGAAAGTCACAACTGCAAGAAATAGCAAGCATTCTCTGTTAGACTTTGGTACCAAAGCAGCATAATAAGACAAGGATTTAAAACTCACTGTGACGAAAAGGTGAAAGCAGACATTGAGAGATGCCTCAGGAACACAAGTGCCACAAGTGCAATCCAAAGTCGCTAGGGACATGAGACACAACTTGTTGTCAATTTTTTGGGCAAATTAACGTGTGTGCGTGAATCTCCTGATCCATTCAAAACGTAGAAATAAAGTAAAGCCCGGTACATCCAGATGCTACTTCCAGTCCATATACAGACTACAAATACTTGTCCAAAATAAAATATGTAAAGAAAAAATAGGAAAGCTAATTGACGAAACGGAAACAAACCATTGACGTAGAAACACTAATATTCTCTGGGCACCATCGGATTAACCTCGTAAAGGAAGCAGGAACGCGCAGTCTGAAACTGCCTCAAGGTGGGAGGGCTCGAGCCCTAGCTTATGTGGGCTGAGAGAGCAGTGTGCACGTGATTCCGCACCTCCCGCTTCAACATCGGCGGTGAGCAGCAAAAGAAGTGTCACGTGAATGAATATTCAACAATGTGCAGTCTTTTTTTCTAGTGGGCCTGTTTGCTCCTGCACTCCGCGCTGTGCGAAAATTTTTATCCTCTCTAACGCTGGTGAAAAAATCCTTCCTTTCTTTCTTTCTTACTAGACAGTAACCAAAGAGTATGTTCTCCCTTTGTTTGATCCGACCTTGATATCAAAGTTGACCACCATTTCGCCCAGTCACATCCTTCCATACCATCTATCTGATTCTTTCTTGTTTCCTCCTTCAGTTTCGGCCACGGCGGTATTTGATATTCAAGCACAAGAGCAAAAAAATTTTTCATAATCATCGTACTAACATATTTCTTAGTTCACCATGGGTATTTCTAGAGACTCTCGTCACAAGCGTGCTGCTACTGGTGCCAAAAGAGCCCAATTCAGAAAGAAGAGAAAGTTTGAGTTGGGTAGACAACCAGCCAACACCAAGATTGGTGCTAAGAGAATCCACACTGTTAGAACCAGAGGTGGTAACAAGAAGTTCAGAGCTTTGAGAGTCGAAACCGGTAACTTCTCTTGGGCCTCTGAGGGTGTTGCTAAGAAGACCAGAATCGCTTCTGTCGTCTACCACCCTTCTAACAACGAATTGGTCAGAACCAACACATTGACCAAGTCTGCTATTGTCCAAATCGATGCTACTCCATTCAGACAATGGTTCGAGACCCACTACGGTAAGGTCTTGGGTAAGAAGGGTCAAGAAGAGGAAGTCAAGAGATCCAAGAAGGTTGAGAGAAAGTTGGCTTCCAGAGCTGGTTCTTCTAACATCGAGTCTGCTGTGGAACACCAATTTGCCTCTGGTAAGTTGTACGCCTGCATCTCTTCTAGACCAGGTCAATCTGGTAGATGTGACGGTTACATCTTGGAAGGTGAAGAATTGGCCTTCTACTTGAGAAGATTGACCGCCAAGAAGTAAATGTTAAGCTAGCCCTTTCTAGTTACCTCACGCAAAATAATATAACATATACGTGTACAATAATACTGTGTAGCACAAGAGAAAGTTTTCTTGAACACTGGATGTCATAGCCTTTTGCACTTGATACTATCTGAAAAACTTCACAGGGCAACGCGAGAAGTTCCCAGCATTTCTGTTAAAGCCAACTGTCCGGTCTAGATAGGTTCCCAATTCAAGTGAACAAAATTAAATACAAAGAAAAGCAAAGTGTAGACAAATGAAAGAAACGAATACAATCAGGTTAGTTAGGCAAAAAGCCGTGGTCTTAGTCTGACTTTTCCTATCATTCCCGTGTCAAAACGTTTCCTTCTTTGTCATTCTACAGTTCTATTGGATAAGCGAAGCTCTTGGCAACACCGTATCGTATACTAAGAGTGATCAGCATCTTTATGAGTTAGTATTGAGCGACAAAATGAAACATTACATCAGCAAAAAAAGGCAATACATTTTATCTGCATAAGAGCCACGAGGACTCTGTCAGATCAGGTCTGTGTTTTGTATCATCCTTGTAATGTTGAACATTTGTACATACAATTTGTTGAAGCAAATACGTCAACTAAGCAAATATGTTAATTATCCAGCACGAAAATTTTATGGTCTATATACTCAGATAGAAAGGCGGGTAACCGCGCACCTTGCTCTTTCTTGGTACATGATAAAAGAGAGCGGGTTGTGTAAGTTTTTCACATACAGTCAACACCTCAAATGTGAAATGTAAATTGTGACTTTTCCATTTCATTTAACCTTTGGAATGTATGACGCAGCCAAAGCTGGTTAACCGAAGAATAAAGATTTTTACTACCCTAGTAAGATTGATTTGTGCCAGTAAGCCCTCTAGACTTTGATTTTAGTCATTACAATCGATGGAAGTATATCGTACATTTGAAGGAGAAGGATGGGTGATGCAGCAACATTTTAGATAAAGAAAAACCTTAGGAAAGAAGTGTAGAATCTACCTTCGATCACATAAGTCTTACAATTGAGATAACCGAATGATGTTTCTTCGACGGAGACTATACACATACCTAAGGTAAGATTGCAAGGGCGCCCATTGGGTCCCATGGTGGCAAGACCACTGCGTTTGCTTTGTCTTCAAAAATTTTGACGTGATGGTTCTGTAATTCGTGCTTGCTCACGACAATTTGGTAAACATAGTCTTTGAAATATTGGTGGTCCATCACATAGTAACCATTCTGGCCAGAATCTTTGCCCCATGAATTTTCAACTCTCCATCTGATAGGAGATCCATTTTCGTCCAAATGAACAGCAGTCAAGACCATAGCGTGTGTCATAAGAGACTGCTTATACTTGATACGAGAAGCCTTGTCTTGAGTAACATTGAAATTAACGAGGTGGTAGTTGTATAGTTTCTCGTCCATGATACCTCTCTTTTTATCCATGTAGATAGGAGTGTGGGTTCCAAAGAAAACAGCATTATTGGACTTGATTCTCTCCACAGCGTACTGTGCCAAGTCATCAATCGCTACATTCAAGTAAGACACTTCTTTTCCTCCAACGACATTTCCCAACTTGTCAATGTTAATTATGGTATCATATGGGTTACGAGGGTCGTTCAAAAGTGATACCCATTGGGTCAAATCTAACCCAAGAGTCTCCTTGTAGAACAGCATTGGAGTCAACTTCATGCTCTTGACCTCATCGTTTTTAGTCTTGTATTCCCAAACCAATTCATCTGTTGGAAGAGGAGGTTGTCCCAAGAACATCACCATAATTCTGTAAAGCTCCTTTTGCATCTCCTCTCTCAATTTAGGCAATTGGCTAGCATTGCCTCTTTTAGCCTCTCTCAATGTCTCAGCGTACTCTCTCAACTTAGTCTTGAGGAGGAAATTCAAAGTTCTCGAAGCTGTAGCAGAGTATGCATCAGGGTAAAGCTCGTGTGGGATCATACCATACTTTTCAGCAACATTGATGAACATCTCAAACTGACCTCCATCACAGGTTGGATCCGTCAACAAAAAGTCATTGAGTCTGGACTCAACACCTTCTTCTGGCGAAGAATCAATATTCTCCACGAACTTCTCGAGGAAAAAGTTACATTTTTCCAATTTGTCGTAGAAGAACCAGTACGATTGAGAGAACTGGAATTCCTTCAACGAGAGTTTCTCCATAAGCGGAAGACGCAAAACGTTTCCACTAGCGAAAAGCCAGCATCTTCCACTGGATCTTTGGTTTGTCACTGGGGCTCCTTCGACCGACACGCTGGTGTTGAATACATTTGTCGTATTTTTGATAGCTGTAGCACGATCAATTAAGGCCTCTTCAGCGTTGTAGTTGGTCAAGACAGACGCACCCAACTTGGTGTTCAAATCTTGAGAAAACTCTTCGGTCCAGGAAGATAAATTGGAAACAGAGAAGGAAGACATTGCGGATTCACAAATTTGGTATTTTTACTTCACTTTAAATTTTCTATTCTAATTTCCACTTAATTACTTATTTACTTCCACTCCAGGGCCACTTTGGGAAACGGCGTCAGATCTATGTACCGTCCTTCGCCTTTCGTTTAGTGCTTGTGCATAATGAGGGTCAGAGTCAGACCCTAATGGCAAAGATGTTTAATGCATTCAAAAAAAAAACGTTAGGTAAGGTGTCAATGTATTGACTATGGCTGCCATATTGCATTAGTTTCTTGATTGTTAGAACGGATGCATCTATCTAATTTTCTGACGATTTTCCAGTAGTGAATTGACACACTTGTGCGACTTTAGAAATAAAGTAGAGATGCGAGCATCGGCTTTGATGGAAAAGGGCCACATCAAATATGAAGGAATTAAAACTTTACATTACATAGTTTATTGTGGTATTTGGGTCTTTGGTTCCTCTAAGAGTCAGGATTCCATCTAGCCTTAGATAAGTCGCCATGTTTAGAACTATATATATTCAAGACGAACTGCCATCACGTGAAAGGTAACATTACGCCATGTTACAAGAACAATAAATAGAGAACAATAAGAGTCAAGTAACGATCTCCAGGCATGTAAGCTACTCAGGGGTAAATGGGAGTACAAAGATTCCATTAACTTGCTCAAGTTAGAAAGCTTCATTCGTAATATCTTAATCTCCTAACTTCGTATCAGGAAGAGAATAAGACGTTAGCTTTGGTAGCTCCACAGGAACAATCTATTGGGCAAATAATCAACGCCACTTGCTATGTCTTTTAAAAAGCCTTGCAACTTGAACACTTCTGCGAACGCATTAAAAGATCGCAAGAGAATCACGGACAAAGATTTTCCAATACTATCATTCAGTACGGCTGATTGTCAAGTCACTTTTCGGAAATGGATAAATCTTTTGAACGAAAACGCAGCATCAAAAAAGTGGAGCAATGCAGAGATCATTGAGTTCATGGATGCTCACTGCCATCGAGACATTAGACTAATTTTTCGACATTATCGAAAGCATCATACATTCAATTTGAAAGAATTTACAGAATGGTTTTGCAGCATGTTTGCTATCAACTACAGTTTGCCTTCTACGTTCATGAAACTCGTGGCAGAGGATATGCCTGATGAAAATTGGCAAAGCTTTTGTCATAAATGGCACAGGATAGGAATTAAGGTGGACAGAGAAAATGGACCATTGACGCTTCTTCAAATTGCACAAGGGTTCTTTATTGACTCCATCCATAATCGTACGCTTCAAAGAAAGCTTCGGGAACAACTCCCAGTGAAGATGGTAGTGGAGTTGGTGCATATGGCGCAAAATTTAGCTAAACAAGAAAGCATCCCTCTTCACGTGTTGGATCGAGCTGTTATAAGAGATCCTCAGCCTTTTAAAGTGCCATCCAACCAAAAGGAGAGGTCTTCTCGAAAGAGAGTACGTACGAAGGGTCGCAAACATCGTTACTTTCAAAAAAAGAAAAGTCAAAGTGACAAACAGGATCGGCATTCTGGTTGCTTCCACGACAAGAAGAATCCCAAATCTCGGGCTAGAACTAGAAACTATGGCCCTGCGAAACAGAAGAAAAGCAATAAAACTGGAAGGAATCGCTTTAACCGATCGCTTTAGCAAGCAGTTTGGGAAACAGGTTAGAGTATTGAAAGTAACAGGTAAGATCACAAGCACAGTACAAGTCCTATTTCTAAACTCAAATACGAGGACATGACCAATTTCGAGAGTTTGCATTATTTTTAATCATCTGCTGTTCAATTGATATATAAATACTCTTTGATGATGAGTTATACCATTTGACAACTCGAACGTTTACATGATAAAGTGTAAAGATACACTTCTGAATGAAAATTGAGCTGCTACCCAATGCTGACCATAGTATCTCATCGACTCTAATCTAAATCTTTTCAAGTTTCTTGTCGAATGAGCAGATTTTCATCCAAAGTACAAAGAAGAAACGGAAGGGCTAATACCATCAAATGAGGTTGCACGAACTGAGAGTACGAGAAGGTCACACGGTCAAGTTTACTTGAAAATAAAATACGTCGTAACAGATGCCTGAACAGCTTGCACATTCTTTAAAGGCAAGGAAAGTCAGTTTTACCGAACTCGTGTGGTTGCTGCAGACTCTCCATTTGGATACCCACAACAATTTGAAAATATTCTCGAAAACCCACTACCCTAATACATGACTCCAATAAACTATTACTTCTGTTTATAAAAGGTAATTCCCTTTCACCCACTATACAGAATGTATGGATCTTATTGCAGGGAATTATATGCCCAGGCATCCTTTCATTTACTCTTATTGGAAATCATCGTTACACGCGAAAGCAAAATATTTGAAGTTGTACTCTCCATATAATTGAAAACCCAAATTGAGCGGTGTTGCGATACTAGGCAGTCATCAATGGCAAAATGGTGCTATATGGTCTAAACAACGCATGATTATCATTTTTAAGCGAAAAGAACAGATTCTGGGCAATTCCTCCGTTCGTTGATGTAATCTTTTTCTGACTCAAAATCTAGGAAGATAACACGGGAAGTCCTCAAGAGTTGACACCAACTGCAGCAATGATATAAATTTTAGAACCTTCTTTGGCCTTCTCTGGTGGATAGGAGTAGAATAGGGGGATTTTAGTTTTCATCATTTCATTAACAGCATCAAGTTTTCTCGCTGAAAACAGCAAAATATAAAATGGTCCCTTGGCCCAGTTGGTTAAGGCGTGGTGCTAATAACGCCAAGATCAGCAGTTCGATCCTGCTAGGGACCACTTTAACACGGGCGTGTGGCGTAGTTGGTAGCGCGTTCCCTTAGCATGGGAAAGGTCTCCGGTTCGACTCCGGACTCGTCCAATCTTTTTTATCCCCTACTATTTTTTTATGTTTTCTGTTTATTAAATTTAAAGTGTTGAACTAAAGAATCGCATAGTAAATTTTTTCCCAAATGTTCTTAGGAATTCTGGGGGGAATGGATCTTGCCTCTTCCTCAACCAATTCAAGCTTGCTGAAATCGAAGTTTTCGTATGCAGTGAACCACTCCTTATCACCCAAGTAAAAGTATGAATAAATTCTGTGAGCAACATAAAGGAAAAAGACGATGGGCAAGGTGATGTAAGCGGCAACAAAATCACTTCCATTGAAATCAAAAAAGACAGCATAACCATTGGTGATGCAAACAATCGAAATGAAAATGATTACAAAGTATGCACCAAAAGGTTGAAGACCAGTCTTGTAGGGAACTCTATCTTCAAGATTGTGGATGACGATAGCTTTCTTCCATCTAAGATATGCCATGGAGACAAAAATCCAGTTGATGAAACCAGAAATGGTAGTAATGTTAGAGAACCAAGTGAACACTTGAGTGGAGGAACTAGACACGTTCAAGTACGATAAGCATGCAATTGCAAAAGTAATGCCAACCGAGTAGTATGGAATGCCGAATCTGTTGACTGTTCTCAAACACTTAGGAGCTAATCCTTTCTTGGAAAGAGAATACAACGTTCTAGAGCCAGCGTAAAAGAAGGAATTACCTGCCGAGGCGGCAGAGGTCAAGATAACAGCATTGACAATATGGTTCAATACGTGGATCCCTGCGTTTTGGATTCCAAGCACGAATGGAGAAGCATTAGCATTTCCAGCAGAACTGGTTAATCTTTTGCTGTTCGAATCAGCAATGACACCAATCACCAACGAACCTAAAATGTAAAAGAAGGCCAAACGGTAGATAAATTGATTAGCACATTTAGGTAAGACCCTGCGTGCATCACGAACTTCACCAGAACATGCAACAATCAATTCGGGACTCATAATAAAAGAATAACCTGCCTTAATGATGGCTGTCCAAACAGAGAGGAATCTACCTGTAGATCCTCCAGTCAAATGCTCCTTGAAAGCATTGCCGTTCTTCCAATATCTGAAACCCAATCTGTCGTGATTTGGTCCACCACCAAAGAAAAGAACAACACCTAAAATGATCAAACCAGTCATGGCAAGCAATTTGATACTGGCGAAGTAAAATTCTGCTTCTCCATAAAACTTGACGGGACATAAATTCAAGATGAGAATAAGCGCTAAAAGAATTGAGATCCAAACGGCAATATTCACTTTTTCTGTCCAATATTGGATGACAATGGCAGCAGCCACAATCTCGGCGGCTACAAGAATAGCAAACCCGTACCAGTAGTTGTAACCAATAGCGAACCCAAACGATGGACTCAAAAAGTCATTGACAAACTGTTGAGCTCCAGCACCTGGAACAGGAAGGAAAGCGGCCATTTCAGCCAACATGTTCATCACAAACCAAACAACACCAGACAAGATAATATAGGACAAGAAAAGGGCAGCAGGTCCAGTTTGGTACAAGGCCAAACCAGAACCGACGAAAAGACCTGTGCCGATAGCACCACCCAACGCGATTAATTGAACATGTCTATTTTTCAAGCCTTTTTGCAAGTCATCTTCATCAAATGATTCCAATGAGTTGCTTTCTGACACAATGTTTCCCTTTTCATCAACGTTGACAATACGTGAGTGGGAAATCTCCAAGTCCAAGTAAGTGGAGTTGCTGCGGAAAATGCTAGGCCTGGAACCTGAAGGTTTTAAGTTCACCATGATATGAAAGTAGCGAATATATTAATCCTCTAAGCAAGGAAGAGAACAAGGTTGGACTGGAAATCAAAAAGTGATGTACACTGATTTTGGAGAAGCGCCAAGGCATCTATTTAAGTCGGTCCATTTAGTGGAGGCGAAGAGACGAAATCTAAGAGATAACACGCATACAGGTGCATAACATTTTGTGAAGATGTGGAAAAAAAAAAAAAAAAAAAAAACCGGAAAATGAAAAGCGAGAATGTGCTTTCAAATGGTCCCCGTATGACCCGAATCACCTTATTTCGATAGTTATCATGACCCTCATTCATAGCTTATAGTAATACTTTTGTCTAAATCTTTAGTAGGCTTATGTATGTCAACCCCGCAATTCCATATACGATAAATGACCATGAATGTAAACCGGACATCAAGCAACTGGCGTTTGGAGCAAAATTTGCTAAAACGCCGTGAGGAACACTTTGCGTCATGTTATGAGCCCAGGTGCGTTTTAGGAAAGCGAGCCTTGTCATTGTCGTGCGGTTGCCAAGGGAAATGGTGGGAAGAAAAATCGGAAGACCCTAACCACCTCTCAACTTCCATGCGACATGTCCTGCAAGCGATGTATCTAGCAAATAGCGAGCTAGCCCTGCAGATAGTCTGAGTACAGCAGATAACGTTGTGCGGCATTCTACCGTTTTATGCGTGGCGTCGCTATCGTTTGCTTAATTGAGAGAATGTCGCATTTTCATATGCGGAAATTGAAGAGAAAATCATCTACACCTCGCTATGGCCTACCCTGGCTTGGTTTGCAAAAAGATTACCCTATATATCTTACCGTTTGCTGCCATATCTTATCTTGAAATATCGAAGCTTATCTACGAGATCCAAATGGCATCATCTTCACGCCATATGCGTACATTACTTTTCCTATTTTATTGACTCATTTTTGCCGAGAGTATGTCGCGCTCATAAGCATTTCCGAGCCGGGTGTTAATTTCCAGAAGTCATGGATTTTCTCAACTCGGAATTTCTAGCCAAATGAGTTTCTAATTTGTGTTTTTTTTTTGTTTTGTTTTGTGCTTCTACTATGATAGTTCTCTGTTTGAGTAGTACGGCGACATGAATTGTAATAGTCCGAGTAATGAACCTATGGCAGAATCTGTCATACTTTGCAGGTTCAAAAACCTGCAAAGCTGTTACAGCGGTACGTTTATCTCCAGGAGGTATCCTGCTCGGAAATTAACTTCAGCTCCTTGTATTCCGCTTATCATTTTTGAAGACTCACTATTGGTAGATCTACAATATCTACAGCCTATCCAACGAAGTGTTTTTCGTGGAAATTAGAAGTAATATTTCCCTTGCTATTGTATCCACAAGCAAAGAAAAGAATTTCTATCAGTCTGGGCAGTCGAAAGACGCGATATAGATGAATCAAATTGGTTGTTGTGATCTGGTTTACAGCTTTGCTGGATGACATACCCAATTAATGACTTCTTATAATGGAATGTTGAGATAATCAGACAGTTGGCGTTTATTATCCCATCAGCAGCGGGTTGTTGAGAAGATTGTTCATTTTGTTTTTTTTTTTCAAGCTAACGGTGTACTAGAGACTGACAGCTGGATGTATGCAATAGTTCATTCGCTATGGCAAAGAATAATCGGCGAAATCCGAATACCAATTCATTATAGGTGAAGTTGCCTAAGGCTCTGCAACAGGTGGCTCTTTGCGAAGTTATCAATGATTTCAAAGGATTCGTAGTTGTCGACGTCGAGCTGAAGCCTTTCCCATTGCAATAAAAAACCTCTCTATCCGGAATGTGTTAGGTCCTCCATTCACACTCATCTTGACAGAGGAGATAAGTGTACAAAGTACCAATCAAGCGACGCTACTCTGAATTGCGCCGCTCGGATCTTCACTTAAGCTTCTACAAGGTTTCAGTACCTCCAGATATGCGTCCTCTTCGGGGTGAATACCAGCATACCTTCCCTATACGAGACTTGCTCTCTCGTATTTAGAGGACTTAGTAATTGATAGGATCTTCTACTGATAGTGATATAAGTTAAAATTCTCCAGTAACAGAATAAACATTTATCGAACCTTCCACAATTTTCATTCGGGAAGAAACATTAGTACTCGATTTCGTCACCTTGAGGTGAATTCTTTACACCTTTTTTTAATGAGTAATTGAGAAATAAAATACTTGGATCAGACTACGAACTTTCAGTATAACATTTAAAGTGAAAAAAAAAAAAAAATACCTATGGAAGAAAATGTTACTGATGAAAACAGTAGATGATACACTAGTGTTGAAAGCTGTCTTCGTCTCCCTACAATTGGCTTCAGGTTATTGAACTCATCGAGGACCTTTGGTAGTTGAAAATCCCAGAGAGAGGTTTGCGAAAGGGGCGATTGAAAATTCGAGTTCTCCTAGTGTATATAATAGTTGAAGTTTAGGTTTCGGGTACTCAGCTTCCTCAGTTTTACAGTTTGCTGTGGATACTTCTCCCCGTTTTTCTTTATTCGGGATTTACTTTCACTTAAGTAGTTTAGAAAACTTGAGGAACACAGAAACACCTGGTTCAGCAACCTTTTGGCCATATACTTTCGGAAGTTTTCGAAACCTCTCTATTATGAGAGAAAACTCAAAACTGAAATTTTGAAAGCCGATGTGGAGGACATATCGTATGTGACGTTGACTGATAATCGATATAATGGGATGGGGATGATTCTTAGAGAAAATTCATCTTTGAAAAAGTAAGTGGTCTTATATACCCATGTGAACTACAAGGAGGAACCTTCTTGAAACGTAAAGGGGCACAATGTTTATCCCTGAAATCCAACATTATGCTTTTGTCAGCTAATCTAAAGAACGCTGATGACCATATGCAGCACTGTAAGAGATTCTCAACTCTGTATATTCCTGCATGTGTCCTCTCATCGCTTCGCATCTCGCAATGAAAAAAGATCACGAGAATCAAAGATTCAAGAGACATCAGCAATGAGTAGTTTATCTCAACAGTTGAAAGTCATCAGCGAGAAGAATGCTTCGGTGGCTCTTGACAGAAAAACGAGATCGAGAATCCATTCTCGTTCGCTCATTTTCGATCCTAAAGTCGCTGCAGCCCAGGATTTCGATTACATATACCAGCTAGGCTGTGAAGGTTTGGCGGAACTTTCAGAGATTGACCACAGATTCGAAAAATTCGCTTCAACGCTTTTCTCGGAAACCAGCATTAACTTTGACCGCAATGTGCAAACAAAGGACCTCTTAACCCAGGTGAACAAGAACTTGGATGCGTTTATCAACTTGATAGCTCCATACTACCATTTGAGCCCGACACTCAAGGCTATGGAATGGTTAGTGAGAAGATATCACATCAACATCCACAATACTGAGTTGCTTTTGGTTTCTGTATTGCCTTACCATTCTGATCCTGTGTTCGTCAGGGTTATGAATGTCATTCCAGACGACTCGTGGCCTCCTATCTTGTCTAGCATTTCCGGTTACAGGAGAGAAATGAAGTGTCCTCCTGTTTCATCTATCTTGAAAGTATTTCACAATGACCCTGCTTTCTTCAAGTTGTACTCCGAGTACCTAGTCAAGCAATTGCAAAACAAGACTGTCTACAAAGAACAGTTGGTTTTCTACTTATCCAACACAGCACAAGTGTTGGCCTCCCATGCTCGTGACCCTGCTAAGCTCAATGATGCATACCTTCCGACTGTGTTGGAAACTTGTAACGAGTTATTCATCGAAAGAAGTTTCCCGTTCCTGTCAACGTTAAGTGCTGATGTGAGATTGACAGTGTATGCAATCATTTCTGTTTTGTGTTCCATCATTCCATTGACAAACACTTTGGTTTTCACATTGTGCAAGTCCATTATCCAAGGTGAAATGGCCTTCCAGGCATCGCTTCGCAGACAAACTTTTATCGTTTTGGGACAATTGTGGAACTATTACAATGAGCTCGATGTTCCTTCCGATATCGAATTGTTCTCTGGTCTCCCTGCGGCATCGATGTTGGAAGACGCATCGTTGGTGGAGCTGTTGATATTGGAAAAGTACAATTTGACGAAATTTTTGTACTTTTATTTTGCGGACAGACTCAACCATCAACATACAGATGCATTAGGTGTGTTGAAATATTTGGATGTTTCTACTTCTGAGTTTTTATTTGATGCAGTGTCATCAAAACTTGTTTCCTTTGTCTTCGCTTCTTCCAGCCTTGATGAAACTTCAAGAGCTCAGATAATTGTTGTGTTCGAGAAGTTACATAAAGCCAACGCCGAGAAATTGGTGGCTATTTTGGACAAGAACAGCAAAACATTGAATGACTTGGAAATGTCTCTCATGCATACATTATCGTCTGGTGGCGAAGTGGATACATCTGCTCATAACTTTGATATTGAAGACATCACTTTGGATCTTCCAACGAACAATTATGAGTTGTCGCAAAAATTTGTCAAAGTCAGAGTGCATCGCTCCTCCTTCTTGGATAGAGATTCGACCTCTGACTTTGCAAAGATCACTCATGTATTATTGGAGACTCTTCGCTCGACTGACATTACGCTACAGGCTTCAGTTATGATTCGCTTTTGTAGAGTCGCTATTGGAACAGATTGGGGAGCTCAGATTTCTTATTTGTTGAGATTAGCATTGACTCAAGCTATTCCCTCTAATATCAGAATACTTGCATTGGCATGTATCAGATCAAAATTGTTAGGCAAAATCCATACAGATCAACTGATTAATTTCTACTTGTTGGTTCCTATCATCCTTCTTGGTTTTGCTGATGAAAACAAACAGATCAGGAATTACTTCCTTATTGTGCTTGAAATCATCTATAAGCAAAGTTCAAAGCTCAATGAGGGTAACCCAAAGAAGGTCAAATGTGATTTGTTTATGGAACTGCAAATCTATGGTGAAACAGATGCATCCAAAAGGTCTTTGATCTCGCCACAAGATGCCCAGGTCATGTTAGAAACACTAATGAAAGATAAAGGTGTGGTTTCAGAGGTGGTGGCAGATGGTACTCGTGTGAGACACGTTGTTTTCAATGTGTTGTTCAAATGTGTCAAGTCAGGCCTGAAGAAGTTTGGTTCTTTGCTCCTTAGAACTTTTATCCTCACCCAGTGGTCTTTGCCCCAATGGCCACTTGCGCTCAAATGGAGAGTGTGGCTGATCATTGGTGCTGAAAACATCTCTAGTGAGGGAACTGACGATAGGTTTTTCTTTGTTGATGATGTGAAACATTATGTTGAGACAAGAAGCCAGTGGCTGAAGGAAGCAATCGATACTGGAGTTCAATTGCAGGATGTGGATAAGGTTATCGTTAGTTTGGTTGGTGGGCATACAACTAATGAGAAGAAAATCAACAAAGAAATAGATTGGATTTTGAAGTCGTTGTCTACAGACGGCCATTTGCAAGTCACTGCCAACGAAAGGTTGATTGAGCTCTACCCTACATTGAAATCAAAGGACGTTAGATTGAAGATTTCTTTGGATTTGATCGACTTGGTGGTAAAGGATAACGATTTGCTTTTGGAATTTGATCCTGTTGAGACATTGCAGTCACTCTTCATGACCAATGATGCTATGATTGATTTATTGGGCACAATTAACATTGTGCAGCAAATCCCTGACCAAGGTGTGGCTAAAAGAAGAAGAAGATCTTCCTCATCGATTCAAAAGAACATGGCTAGAGATGATATCAGTTCAATGGCCTCAGTTCATTTGAGGAAACTCTCGGTTATTTTGGACGTCTTGGAAAGCCACTTGAGACGGAAGTTTTCTGAAGTCGCTAACCCAGAGTTGTTGCAAGCTTTGTTCAGAATTTTGACGGATTTGGATTACTTGGGCAATGACGGCAAAATGCCAGTTTTGTACGCACAGGAATCCTTGGCTACATGTATGTTGCTCAGCATTGTTGACATGAAGGAACTGTCTTCAAAAAAGAAATTGAAATTTGACTCCAACTCTATCAGAGCTGACTTGATTGTCAACTCCATCAGGCTTTCTCAGTCCCCTCAAGTGCAAAATAGATTGTTGCTCGTAATTGCAGAGTTGGCTTCCTTGGCTCCAGAGATCATCTTGCATTCGGTGATGCCTATTTTCACTTTCATGGGAGCTCACACCATCAGACAAGATGATGAGTTCTCCAGCTCAGCTTTACAGCAAACCATTGCGAAAGTTGTTCCAGCAATTACTGGGGCTTCATCGTCTGTTTCTAACGAGATCGAATTCTTGTTGACAAGCTTTGTCACTGCTTTCCAGCATATCCCAAGACATCGCAGAGTTAAGCTTTTCGTGTCCTTGATTAAGACTTTGGGCTGTAACAGATCGTTGCACCTTATTCTTTTCCTCATTGCCCAACAGTACTCTGCCAATATTGCCAAGGGTAAGATGCCAGAATGCAGTTCCTTATTGGACTTTGTTGCAGCATTAATGAAGACATTTACTGCAGACCAATGTTTGGATAGTATTTGTGGATTCTTCAACTTGTGGGATACAATTCCTGAATCCGAGTTGGATAAACATAGCGATGAATATTCTGCATTGTCGGGTAGATCCGTGTTTGGATCTGCTATCGTTAATCTTACTACAAGTGAATTGGGTTTACTTAAGAAGAGAATGTTGAGCTTCATCAATCAGACCTTGAAGGCAGACGAAGAGATGTCGCTCACTTCTAACACTGCATCATTAAAAATGAAGGTTTCTCTAGTCTTGTTCGATGACCGTTCCAATGCGGACGAAAAAGAGTCCATTTTGCTGCGTTTCAACAAGGTCAGTTCTTTTATATTGACATCCTTGGAACACTTTTCTGTCAAGGATGGGAAGCAAGATGCTGAGATTGGTGATGAATTATATGAACTGCTTAAGGGTTTGTTGAACTTGTTGCCACTAAGCTATTACATTTCTTCCGTTACTGGTTCCTTAAAGAATGTGTCTGATCCATTGTCCATCAAAATCGCCAAAAATTTTGCGGTTTGGCGGGCACCAAATTTGAGAATGAGGTTAACGTCAACAGCGTTGACGAAGAGTTTGACGATATCGTTGTTCGGAGCTTATTGCCTATTTTAATTGAAGGAGTTGAAAAATACGAAGATGTTGAGTTAGTTCAAGCTTACTTGGATACCTTCTGCATTATCGTCAACAAGCTTGGTGCCATCAACCAAGAGTTGGCTACCTCTTCAAACGCCAAGTTCCTTTTGAACTCATTGAAAGTTATCACTTCAGAGCATGGTATGTTGAATACTCATACCGAACTCATAGTGTCGTCATTGAATGCGATCACAAGTGTCATCAACATATTAGGTGTTAAAGCCATTGGTTTGTTCCCAAAGATTTTACCACCAGCATTAAAAATCTGGGAAACCACTTCTGAGTCTAGACATGTTAGTGACAGTGAAGAAGGAAGTGAGGATGAAAGCGATAACGAGAATGAAGATGCAGATGAAAACGAGAGTAGAATGTTAATTCAAGGCTCTATTTTGATGTTGTTTTCTTGCTTAGTCAAGAAGATGCCAGCCTTTGTTATTTCAAACTTGAAGAAGATGCTCCAGTGTATTTTGTTGAGTGACTTGATTGAAACTAGCATCAGAGCAAGTATCTTGAATTTGGTGGTGGATCACATTGATAAAGGACAAGTTTTGCAATCTTTGTGCAACTTGGCTTTGAATGACGACATTTATGCTACTGATAATGCAGCCGACTTAGGATTGTATTTGAGTGCTGTTAAGTCGAGTGTGGATGCTATTGACAAAAAAGCCGCTACTGCCCAATCGTCTCTTTTTATGAAGTGGTTGATCAAGTCTTTCGGATTTAGAACCGAGTATGGGGAACAAAAATTCACTGACAACACCATTTACAGTATTGAGGGCTCTTTCCATCAATGTGGTATCTCATACGTCTTGAAATTGAATGACAAGAGCTTCCGTCCATTATTTGCTAGCTTGGTTAGATGGGCCGTGAGTGGCGAAGGCTCTCTTTCCACTGAAACTACTGAAGTGATCAGATTGACTGCTTTCTTCAAGTTCTTCAACAAGGTGGAAGACAACTTGAAGAGTATCATCACTTCTTACTTCTCATACTTGCTCGATCCAACTATTGCGATCTTGAAGAGGTTCCAAGATGGCAGTTTACAAGATACTAACTTGAGAAGAATCATTTTGCACTCTTTGGCTTCCTCTTTCAAGTATGATCAAGATGACTACTGGACTCACCAACTGAGATTCGAGACCATGGTTGACCCACTCTTGGGCCAATTGAGCAATATCGAAGACTCTATCGGTAAACATTTGGTCAAAGCCATTTCATTCTTTATCTCCAATGTTTCCTCTGATGAGTACAACGAAAAATTGGTGCATACTTTGATCAGATACATCTCTAATGAACATGAGAACTCTCTGAACACGAAGATCTGGACCATTCGGGTCTTGAAGACTGTGTTCCAAAAGATGGGAGAACAATGGTTGTCGTTCTTGCCAACTTTCATTCCATATATTGCGGAGTTGTTGGAGGACGACGATGAGGAAGTTGAAATGGAAGTGAGAAAGGACTTGGTCCGTGTCATCGAGAACATTCTTGGCGAGCCTCTTGACAGATACCTCAGCTAGGTTTTCTGTAAAATTAAAAACATTAATAGAGCATTGAAAAAATATAGAAACTTTGCTATTGTGCTGTAGCCATTTGTAGCATCCATGAAAGTGAATTCATGAATGTCACGTAATACTGTGGTTTATATTTTCCGTGTTCCTTTTATTTTCGGGTTCCAGTTGCGAAATTGCACAAATAATACCAATTGGTGAAGTGCGGAACCAATTGAAGTTTAAAACACCAAAAAAAAATTCGAAAGAAGGTCTAATGATGAATATCTTCGTAGCTACAAAATTCCAGGGAGCTAATAATCTTTTGATGACACATGAAAGTTACCTACGAAGTTCCATATTGAAAAAATTGGCAAATTAATCGATATGGTAGCCACGGGAGGAACGGGTTTCCTATATAGAATTTCTGCGCATTTCCATGAAAATTTTGAATATATATAAGACCTCCGGCCAGTGAATTGCGGAGAATTCCAAAATAACCAAAACCTTAAGATGGTATGTAATGCTCGTGCAATTACGAATGCAGCAAGTTGAATCGGCTATAAGGCTAGTCGACTGCATTCTCTTATAACTAACTGTGCAAATGCTAACATTCAGTCTTTTTTGAAAAACGTTAACAGCTTGAAGCCATTGTTCGACAGAGTCTTGGTTCAAAGATTGAAGCCAGCTACTCAAACCTCTACTGGTATCTACATCCCAGAGAAGAACCAGGAAAAGTTAAACCAAGGTACTGTTGTCGCTGCAGGCCCGGGTGTCACTGATCCAACTACCGGAAAGTTGATTCCTGGTTGCTGTGAAGGCTGGTGACAAGGTTTTGTTGCCAAACTTTGGTGGCTCTTCTGTTAAGGTTGGAGAAGAAGAGTATTTGTTGTACACCGACAGAGAAATCTTGGCTAAGATTGAAAACTAGATTTATTCCCGATTCTTGTAAATACGAATGAAAGGCAAAAAAGAGGTATTGTAGAGCATTCATCAAGGAGGACGATCCACCTGACCTCATGATGAAGAAGTCTCCTTCGTTATGTTCCCTTTTTCTGCTGTCAAATGAGAGAGAAGTTGTCTTATACAATGAGAGAGAAATCAATGATGGATATCATACAAGATAAAACAATGAAGTATATCATTCTAGAAAGTAAAATATGTAATTCGGGTTCTGTACTATGTGAGCTAGAGAATCAAGTCTATCGCCTGGATATGTGGTTGGTCGTGCGCCTACCCACGCGATAACAGAATCCTAGTCTGCCTAAAAGATGATCTATAATTCTATAGAGGTGGCGATGTCTGAAACCCGTTTTGTTCAGTTCAAGTTGGTGCTTCTAGGAGAATCTGCCGTCGGAAAATCTTCGATCGTGCACAGATTTGTCAAAAATACCTTTGATGACATGAGAGAATCGACCATTGGGGCCGCCTTCTTAACTCAAACCATCAATTTGCCGGAGGCTAATACAACAGTCAAGTTCGAGATTTGGGACACAGCAGGCCAAGAGAGATACAAGAGCTTGGCCCCGATGTATTACCGCAATGCAAATGCTGCTCTATGTGTGTATGACATTACGAGCAGATCCTCATTCAACAAGGCACAGGATTGGATCGAGGAATTGAAGAAGCAAGCACCGGAAGGAATTGTGGTGGCGTTGGTTGGAAATAAAGCTGATTTGTCCCACGAAAGAGAGGTTGACGAATCGGAAATTGTAGAGTACATTGAACGCTTGAAGCAAGAGAGCGCTGCTGAAGGTGGCAGAGAGATTATCCACATGGAATGTTCTGCAAAGTCCGGCGACGGCGTTTTGGAAGTCTTCGATGCGATTGCAAGAGCTTTGCCCTTAGAAGATTCGGGCGCTAAAAGAAATCCACCGGTTGGAAAGCGTGTTGAGTTGGGCAGAAAGCAGCAGCAACAACTGCAAAGCTGTTGCTGAGCTAATGACCATCATTATATTTTGACTATATTCATATTTTTATTGATGCGACAAGGCAATATTAATGTAGAGAGTTACATATGGAAGACGTTATCACGATACTCATGAGTAAGATATCCTTCAGTCATAGCAACAGCCAAGAGCAGATAATACGAATCCCACGAGCCATATGCGTTGGTCATCAAACGTTTACTGACATAAATACATCGTACGGACGTGATCGTAAGGCAACATGATCAAATCAATGCAAGTTACTTCTTCTTGGCAAACAAAGGCTCGCCGATGTTCTTGCCTCTCAACTTGACACCCAAAGCTCTTTCCAACTTGCCCAACAACTGCTGGTTTGGAACTGCTCTACCCGCTTCATAGTCGTTGATAACTTGTGGCTTTTCGTTAACCTTGGTGGCCAAGTCCTTTTGGGTGAACTTCTTTTCTTGTCTAGCTTGCTGGATAGCCTTACCGACAGAAACGTCAACCTTCTTGACAGCAACGATGTCGTCTGTGTTGTCCAATTTAGTCAACCTCTGGCCTTCAGGGTTACCTCTGACATTGGTGGAACCGTACTTCTTTTCCGTTCCAAGAACAGCACCGCTTCTTCTTGCAGCGTTCAACTCAGCAGCAGAACGAGCAACTTTTTCTCTTGGACCACCACCACCAACACGGGCCTTTTGGCCAATAACAGTAACATTATCCCAGTCTGACATTATCAAATTAAATAAGGAAGGGAAGAAATTCGCACTAATCAGTAAGACTCAAATGTCGCTGGCGGTGTGAGATCGGTGGCGACACGTGATTCCGGTTTGTAGAATCTTCTAGACATGTACGTGCAGGCGTCTACTGCTAGAGCAATCAAAGAGTAAGGAAACAGGTGCCAAAGGAAGCGGTAGGGGACGTTTTGAGTTGAGGTGACTATTTAGACATAGGAATATGAGAACCTTGGCATTCGTGTAGAAATTCCACATTTTCATTTGCCAAGAGAGTAGTCTCCTAGGGTCGTGTGCGATCACGATTATAGTGTTTGTTGCGTTCTCCACCATCTTTCTTCACTAATGGCTTCAGTCACAGTTACCCCAAGATCGAGGTCGTTGAAAGGCTTCTCAGAACATCTCACTGTTCTCACTGTGGGGCTGGTTATTGACAAATTGAGCAATGCTAGCAGATTGAACCGCAATCGCATCCGTCTTACGTACAAAGAAGGAGATAAGCACATTCCATTGGATGGTGAAAAGTCCCTTCCTGACTACTTCTCCGCCGAACAGTTGAAGCTGGGAGTTACTCTCTATGCGAAAGATTTGGGCCCACAATTGGGCTGGCGCACAGTCTTCATTTTAGAGTACTTGGGCCCACTTCTTATCCACGCTTTAGTGTACCTCTACTACTCGGTCGTTAAGGGAGTTACTCAGTCTGCGACTCAGAAGTTGGCTCTTTGGTTGTGCTTGTTACATTTTGCCAAGCGTGAATATGAAACGGTGTACGTACACCGGTTTTCCAACGCTACGATGCCCTTTTTCAACTTGTTCAAAAACTCGGGCCACTACTGGATCTTGTCGGGTATCAACTTGTCCTTCTTCGTGTACTCATACAATGCGACTGAATTGCAACAGGCAGGCTTCATTAAACGCTTTGTGTTTCACGTGAACTCCTTACCAAAATGGGCCAACGTGCTTTTGGTTTTATTGTGGACTTATGCCGAGGTTTCTAACTTCATTACCCATAAGATCTTGTCGGGCTTGAGATCGCAAAACTCAAAGGCCTACGTGATTCCCCATGGCTACGGCTTTTCGTGGGTGGCTTGCCCTAACTACTTTTTTGAGTCTTTATCATGGACTGCGTTCGCCTTATTGGTTGGCAACTGGTCTGCATGGCTTTTCCTTTGCGGTGAGCAGCGGGCAAATGTACCTCTGGGCTATCAAGAAACATCGCAGGTATATCCAGACATTTGGCGACGAGTACAAGAAGTTGAAGCGGTCTGTGTACATTCCTTTCTTGTAAATGAAAGGCAGTATTCTATAAGTTTATATTCACAACTCTGCTTTTAAAACAGCTGGAATCCGTCTGTAGTTTAATATTAAGCTGGATCAAGATATAAACCTTACAGCTAATTTACAGCACACGCCAGTCGTAAATCATACATTCATCTTTAACATTATCTTAGTCTGATTTTTCCTCCGGTTTATACTTCAAGCAGATACTGTTAACACAGTGCCTCTCATCTGTTGGCGTGTTGTAGCCCTCGCCCTTGAAAATGTGGCCCAAGTGACTGTCGCACTTTGAGCATCTCATTTCAGTTCGGACCATACCCAACAGACGGTCTTCGATGGTTTTAAGAGACCCAGGAATAGCCTCATAAAACGCTGGCCAGCCACAATGTGCCAGGAACTTGGTGGAGCCCTTGTATAGAGGCTGATGGCATGCTACACATTCATATATGCCTGGCCCTGCTGGAGTTGAAACATACTCGCCGGAAAAGGGAGCCTCTGTACCCAGTTGGCGGAGGACCTTAAATTGCTGTGGACTCAATATGGCACGCCACTCCTGCTCCGATCTAGACATGTTGCGCGAGAAAGTGAGGAAAGAGCGGAGCATGGACTAAAGGCGAGATTATGAAAGAGAGCAAGCGCGGCCAGTACTTGCGCATCCAAAGTATGCAGTCGATTTATATTGAGGTCTATGCTAGTAATACAAGAGAGGAAAAAAAACCCTAGCGCATGAAGTAGTTGTATTTACCCTTCTGCTCCCTGCTTTCATCCTGGGCTTCGGTTTGCACCTTCCATTCGATTTCAATGTCCACCTCACGTGGATTGATGGCGTTAGGCCGCGAGGCAATGGATCCTTCGATGAGGTCGCCCTTTTTCAAATCGAGCACCTGGTCCATGTAGAAAACCGTTTGTTTCCAGTGAGTGTATGGAGCCATGGGTCCGGTAGGCAACGTCACTTTCTCCGATCCGGGGAAATCGCAGTCAAACCACACAATGTACGCATGGCACATGTCGTTGTCAATGGCCTTCAACGAGAATTTTGTGTGGAAGGTCAATTGCTCCTTGGTAACGGTGTTGATGTCGAACTCGAAAAACTTGTACGGCGTGGTGATCAACGCCAGGTTTTGTACCGTGTCCACCATAGGCTCAGCCATGGCCACTTTGATGAACGGAGAGTAGTCAAATCCGTACACGTCTTCCCAGTAGTGGATCTTCTCGTCTTTGTACTGGCCGTCTTCAATGCCCGCAATGTACATCGCACACTTGTCTGGCAAAATCAAACCTCCTTCCACAAGATACTTGTCTCTGGCGTACAATACAGTGTCCAACATGGACTCGTACAACAAGAAGTAGCCCATCCACTCTGAAACAATGATGTCCACGCTGTCAACTGGCAAGTCAATGTCCTCCAACTTGCCTTGCAACAACGTGATTTTGTCGTCGAAACCGTTCAAGCTGACAATCTCACGAGCCTTCTCAATGATATTGGACATATCGACCGAGTAGACATGTTTGGCTCCAGCTTTGGCAGCAAACATAGACAAAATGCCTGTTCCACAACCAACATCCAACACAATTTTGTCCTTGAACAAGTGCTTATTCTTGAACATGGCCGAGCGGTAGGCCAATGTTCTGCTTGTGTCTTTAAGCATCTCCTCGTGGATGCCGAAATGGTCATACGAGGAGAAATAATGCTGTTCGGAAAAAGCCAATGATGATTTATCGGTGGCTGACATGAGATGAGAAGAGTATGTGGGTTTATTTTTTTTCGCGGATCTAAGAGATGAGATGGATAGCGACCCAAAAAGAAAGAAAAAACGGCCGTGCAAGTGCGGAACACGGAGACAAAACACACTTGAAAGCAGAGGGTTTGAAAAGAAAAAAGTCGAAAATACAAAGTAATTGAACCGTTTTATGGAAAACAAATTCTCCTTTTGGAATTATGCTAGCAGTGGTTCCGTTTCCTTATCTGCGCGCAGTCATGATTGACAGACTTCAAATGCACATGTAGATACACCAAGATGAACAATATTTTGCGCCAGTAAAATTAAGGTTTTAATTACTTGTGTTTAATTAGGAGAGCAATTTATTTCTGTATTAATGCTTAGCATGTAAATCTTGCACTTTCTAAAGTAAATACGCTCATTCCTATCGAGCGCGATACACCTTTCACATATCTTGAAAGCGTCTACAGATTTTTATTTTCAGTTTTGTTCATAATATCGTAACGTATTCATGTTTTTATACACATATTCATAATCATAGGGTCATACTCAAATTTGGGCACGCCAAACAATCTTTTCTCCGCTCACCTTGCCCAGCTGCAAAAGGTTCAAGGCTTCGGAAGCACTGGTAAAGCCTGGCTGCAAGACCTTCAACTTGTGGTGCTTGAGCTGAGGAACAACTTCGAGTACCTTTGGCCACAACTGGTTGTACTCATCAAGAATCTCAGGAGTGAACTTGAATTCAGCACCCATTGAAACACTCTTGCCGAAAACGAGATATGCCAAAGTCTTGCCAAACGAAACGTGACGGCCTGGTTTTGTCTTGATACTTGAACCATCGAGGCCCAAAAGGTTGTCCAAAGCCACATTCTCACTTCCCTCAGTAGCGTCGTAAAGGGCCTGGAATGTGGCCTCCTCGGAAATGGTGTCAAAGCCGTAAGCAATAGATCCTTGGGCATACTTTCTAATCTTAGACACAACTTCAGGATCTTTGTAGTCGAACACAGCATCAGCTCCAAGAGACTTCAAGAAGTCATGATGTTTTGGAGAGGCAGTCGTGATCACCTTCAAACCGAACAAAAGCTTGGCCAATTGAATGGCCAAAATACCTGTTGCTGTAGCTCCACTCCAGATCAAAATTGCCTTGTTAGAGTCGGCTTTAAGCTTGAGAGAATGGGCAAAGGACAAGGTCACAGTAACCAAGCCCAAATTAACACTGGCTGCACCTTCGTAGGAGTCAATTGGACCAGCTGGATATTCCTTGCTTGGAGTCAATGGGCCCTTTTCAAAAGGACCAGCATACTTGATAGTAGAAACTGGAGATGCTCTCACATACTCAGCAAAGCCACCTTTCTCTGGCGAAACACCGCCTCTTACGAAAGTAGAGACAATATCGCCCTCTGCGAAACCTTTGACGTTTTTACCGACATGGAAGACAATTCCACTGACATCAGAGCCCGAGATATCGCCTGGTTTGGCAATCTTAAACGCAATGTGTTTCCAGTCAGTTGGATTGGCAGCGAAAGCCACAGCCTTTATCAAAATCTCATCGTCTGTGATTTGTGGGAATGGGATTTCACCTGATTCGACAAGATGCTTATCTTGGGAAGAAGAGACGAGGGCAGCTTGGATTGTAGAAGACATTGTGTGCTGTTAGTACAATTGATGGTAGCTTGGTGCTAATTTATAGTCTTCGGGTTGATCGGACGGCATGCGAGGTGCATAATTACTCAGCAGCCAAGTATCAAGACACTTCTTTCGTTGTTCTCAATTTATTTGTTTTCTCTTACTTGCGGTTGACTTATCCTTCAATTGAAGGATGCATTTTTACATGCATTGACCTTATAGCCTTCGCTAAAACTGTTTTTTGGTATATAGTAATTGTTATGTTGGACATGGACATGGTGGTTCCTACGATTGCGGCCTGCATAACCGGTATGTAAGCAACTTCAGAAGGTGTGGATGGAGAAAGGTGAAGAAATTCGAAATAACGTCACAGAACGTTAGATGTGTTCTTAGCTGACTTTTTTTTGGACGGAGAGCAACATTTGTTGCCAGGCTACAAAGGGCAAAGGACAAACATTCTGTGTAATATTTCACTACCTATTGGCAATATAATTAGTATGGGACACATTTGAAATTATGGTTGGGGGAACATTGTAGGAGTGCTTAGTTGGCAACAAGCTGTGAGACAGACAAGGCGTGAAAGCACATTAGATGATCCATTGTGGGTCCCAGTGGAACTGATTTGCACAGAATACGATGGCTTGTTCCAAGCTTCAGCCTAATCTTTGACGTTTTGTCTCACCTTGTTGCGTATAACATGACACACACCAGAAGCAATGATACTGATACCCAACATAGCAACTAACACCATATTAGAATCTCTGTATAATCTCTTCTGGTCTTCGGGCCATCCTCTGTACAAAGCGTAAGTGGAGGTGACGGAACCCAAGTTTCCTAAGCCGGATACAATAGCGGCACTGACAGCATTACCAACGTCTCCGTAGCGTGGGCCAAATATTTCTGCAGTCCACGACATACAAATGGGCACGGTAGGGCCAAGGCCAAAACCTGCAATAAGCAAACCGCCATACTTGTTCCATGAACCGTGGGCGAACGTGGTGACAAACATTCCAACAATAATAATCATGCACGAGCAGCTAAAGAAGAGCGCACGAAGGTGTCTGAACTTGTCAGCAAAAGGGGTGACAATCAAAATGCCGGCAAAGTCGAAAAGCCAGATAGGCGCATATAAAAGCGAAACGTCGATGGATGAAAGTTTTGGGTTGTTTGCGGCAATGATGGTGGAACCAAACACAGCTAAACCAAATCCGGTACCCACAACACCAAAGTACATAATGATGAGTGGCCAGATACGCAAGTCCGTGAGAACCTCGACAACTTCCTTCATGGACCACTGAATACGTTTGTAACGGTGTTCAAGGTCGTTTCTGTGCAAGAGTTTTTCATGTTCGTTGAGAGGATGCTTTGGCTGGAACCAGCGCTTTATCTTTGACTCGGAAGGAGCTTTGAAAGGACGATCAGGAAGCCACCACATCAACGAGATTCCAACAGCAATAGTCACACATCCGTAGACCAAGTACATCCATTGCCAGCCAGTGTATCCTCTGTCACCATCCATCTTCTGGAACCCGGCACTGACAAGACCGGCAGCAGCAGCAGAAATTTGAGCAGCAGTGAAATAATATCCGATACGTCTCGTCAGACGCTCATTGGGGTACCATAAGGAAACATAGTACGACAAACCGGGCCATGTTCCAGCACCGACCATACCAGAGATGAATCTGACAGCAATAAGACCACCAGGACTCTCTAACGCATGGTAGCATGTGTAAACGACTCCAACAGTGATTGCGATTCTAGCCAACCATGACTGGGGGCTGACTTTTGTCATGACCAAGTTCATGGGCACATCAAAGATAATATATCCCACATAATACAATGCTGAGGCAGTGGAAGTGTCCTTCGCTGTCAATTTGAGTCTTTGACCCAACGAGTGACCTTCTTTACGGTTCATGGTCAATGTGACACCGTAAACATTTGAGCCGAACGAGGTAAGGAAGTAGAAGCACCATAAAGCTGGAATAATTCGGTAGTCAAGCTTGCGGTAGAGCTTGTCTAATTCCTTTTGAGTGGGTGCAAGTCCTTCGCATGAGACTGTTTCTTCCTGAACCTTTTGGTCAGGCGAGGTTGTAATCTCAGAAGTCTTTTGTTCAAGATCAGACATGATTGATTTGCTGAAGAGAAGAAAAGGAAGAAATAGTGATTCTTATATAGAGACGAAAAAATCCAAAAACTCAGCTTTGGGCAAGTATGCACCTTCCCAAATTATGCATGAAGAGTCTTTTTTTTTGCGAGTCGCACCCTTGAGTCAACGAGTCATCAGAAAAGGACGGCATACAAACATGACTATGAGTCGCTTTTTAATCCATTGTCCTATAATCGTTAGCAATTTCTCATGTACTATACATCAATATGTCATCTACGTGCATCATACGGCAAACAGAAGCGCCTTGCATGTTATCTCCGCGAACTCAACACTCTGGTCAATGCAGAAGCTGTGGGTTATTGCAGGACAGTTTTCGTTGTTGGTATTACCCACTTCGAAATGCACAAGAGTGCTTTTTGGGCCATGATACCTCGTCAATATGTAGTCACGAGTGTTATCATGCACCCAATGATCTTTGTACGCAAAAAAACTCCATATGACTGTCCCGTGGGTTTCGGGTAGATCTCTAAAAAACCAGTCATTTAAAGTGTCATCGCGATGAATGACCAAAAGTTCTTCTTCGGCAAGATTAAGCGCCTGACGCACAATTCTTTTGGACTTGTAAATCTTCAAAGTGGCCTCAATGGAGTTGTGCCGTGACTCCATCAGCTTTGAATCTCGAAGCACAGGATGTGAAATCACAAACTTGCGAATAATTAACTCCGCCGTCAGATCTGGTAGAATGAAATGCAATAGGGATATAAACCATACTGCAACAGTGACAAGTGGAAGGTAATTGAAGAGCCGTGAAAATGCTACACCCGAACGTGACTTTGCAATATCCACGATAGTGGGACAAATGAGTCCGATGAACTTAATTTTCACAACTTTGGACACCTCTTCATCATTCAAAAGCATCTTCACCACCCTTTGCGTAACATACGCGCCCATTGAGTGACATAAGATATACAACTCAGTGTGCCCTCGAAGAACCTGCTTTCTCAAAATTTCATATTTGTGATTTATCTGGTATTCCAAGTTGAAGTAAGGTTGCTTCTCCAGTTTTCCTGCGGCGACAAAGTCATCCGAAGTTTGATAGCCCGCATGAGAAACGGCCAAGATATTAAAGTCTGGGTTGCTTTCAGCAAGTAATTCCAAATACGTGACGTAGTAATCAATGAGACCTGGATTTCCGGGAATGAATGCCAAAAGCTTGGGAGACGGTCCGTTCTTGCTAGCAAGAAAGTATTCGGACGTTAATGGGTAGTCTTTGTTAGTCGTAACAGACATTACTGTAGATAAACAGAGCTCAAGGATGTACTACAGAGGATAGTAGCAGCGCATCCGTACATCCAAAGCACAAGCTTGAACGTACACCAATATGACAGAGAACACGAACGATTAAAAGGTGGTACAATACACGTTGGGATAATAATAAATACTATTTGCGGCTAGTATCAAACATATAATGCTGATTCCTGATGTGGACATCCGATGTGTCGTCCAGATGCAAATCTCTTTCGTAGTAGTGTAATGTACCTGACTTGTGAAGCATTATCACAGTCTGCGTTCTTGTACCATAGTACTTTCCCACCATCGGAGAGACTGTTGCCAAATCATAATTTGTTTCAAGTGGCGGGATAAAAATGGAATTCGGAAGCTCCTGTAACTTTTTGCTGAACGAGGTATCTTTGCGGATTTCTGGATCGAAGGTATCTGTAGAGAGCAACTCAAAACAAGCCTCGACTAAATCTTCTTGTGTGTACTTATGTTCCACAGATTTCTCCACAAGCTCGCCCATTTTGCTCGCACCATTTGTAACTTTTGGCCATGGTGAGTAGAAGAGAGAGTTTGATAGACCAAATGTGGGTTGGCATGCAATTTCGAAATGAGGTATTTCATCCAAAGCCTCATAAGAATGAATTCTTCCTTTGTCTCCACGGTTGCTCATGATGTTGAGAGGTTTAATAGAGCCCTTAGAGTCAAGCTCCAATTTGCCGTACATTAAGGTGAAACCACCAATCTGCTCCAAGGACACAGACCCACCCGTGACAGAATTCATTGACAAATTCTTTTCCAAACTTTCGTACCAGTCATCATCCTCGAGATCAGAAGTTAAGTATTGAAGAGGAAGAATTCCTCTAGAGACTTCACTGACAAAGTTAGACTCTTCTCTATAGTTGACTAAAACAGCAACCTTCCCAGTATCTGTAATGCCTATCCATGTACCTCTTTCTGGCCGACCAAGGTCTAATGGCGAAAGTATCTGTGTTCCATTCTTGAGTGGTCTGAGAGTGGCTAATTCTGTCGGTCGAGCGAAGTACTCATCCCTATTAGACAATAACAAAAAGGGGTAATCTGGATGCAACGTGGAGGTTAAGAGGATACACATCTTGTGAGAAAGAGGTTACAGTTTGATGGTTTACAAGAAAAAGTGCCTATCACGCCTCTCTTCCTGTGTGGGGTAAATACGAGGGAACAACTCAAGCTAGACGACATGCAGTCCCTTCCCACTGGATGGGCTGATGCCAACACTTCACTTGAAGATTGCACTGTAAAGCGGCTGCATATTTAATAGCGACGAGACGAAACAACAGTCTTTAAGCTCAGCCAGCTAGCATGCGATTTTGTGACTATCAAATGACGAATTTGCGAACGACTCGTCGTAATGATCTACGTTTTCGTAAAAAGCATCGACGTTTTCCTTCCCCACCGCCGATGATTTCAGCCGGTCCGAGTCCATGTCGCTATCAATAATGGTTGTGTACTTTTGGAAGTACGACTTGCTCACCATTTTGTAGTCGCAGGAGACCTCTTGAGATGAATTTAGTTGAATCTCCTGCCCCAAGCCCGAAATGCGGGGGTGCACATGAGCGTGATGGGAAGAGACTCCAGGTTCGGAACAGTCGCGAGAAGCAGAAGCAGAAGCAAACTCATCATACTCCTCACAAGCTCCACCAAATGACTCTGTCGGTGAAACGGGAGTAGGAAGAAGATTTAGCATCTCTTTTCCTAGTGTGTTGTATTCTTTGAAATACGTAGATCGAAACAATTCTTCTGCGGTTGGCCTTGAATCCGGATCCCACAAAAAGCAGTACTTTATAGTCTCAGCAAGCTCATGGTACAGAGACGGTAAAATGTGGTGAATAGAATTCCCAATGGCGTAGGGCATGGTAAATCCGAGATTCTGTGAGAGCTCGATGGCTTCAAGCCATTTGCCGCCAATGTCGTTTCGGTGTGAGTTCCCAGGATGACCAAGCACTTTCAAAACTTGCCAAAGCTGATCGGTTTCGTTTCGGCCGCAAAATATCGGCCGAAAATTGACCAACTCGACCGCAACAGAAGCAAAGGCCCAAATATCAATTGGCCGCGAATAATTTGCATGTCGCAACAAAATTTCTGGAGCACGATACCATCTTGTGGAAACATATGGAGTAAGGACTCGCTTATTTTTCACACTTTTGGCTAGACCGTAATCACATAACTTCAAAACAAACGCATCTTTAGCCATCTCGGGAGGTATATCATGTTTAGCGCCATAGTATTGCTGAGTAGAAGTCACTAAAATATTTTCAGGCTTAACATCACGATGAAAATACCCATGGCTGTGGATGTGTCTAATAGCACTGAGAAGTTGATAAAGCATTCCTTTAACAATTTTGGACGAGAGCGGCCTTCCCACATGTTTCTGAATGAATTGGTAAAGATTCTGATTCATTGGTTCCATCACAATGTTTAATTTTCCAGATGTCTCATCAATAAATAGGTTATATATTTGAAGCAAGTTTGGATGCGAGGGAATCGAAAGGATGAACTTTACTTCATTGACACGTAAGTAATCTGAAGGGTTCTTGAGCTGAGTTTTCATCACTTTTACAGCAACTAATCCTGTGGATCTTACATTTGTGAGATTGCCGTTTCTAATCGGTTCCATCATAGTCCCCACAGAAAATTTGCCTTGGTCGAGAAAATTATTGATATTCTTTTTGTATTTGGCTAATAGTGCGTAGCCAAAACTGCCATATCCCAACCTACTGATCATGTAGTAATTTTTTTGAAAGGAGTCAATCTGAATTGGCAGAATACCCTGATCTTGGTTATCCATTATTGGAAGAGAGTGAAGAAGAAATAGAATGAAAAAAAATGAATCGAACCAAAAAAGAAAAAGAATTAAAAATAGAAATTTTTCTTTTGAAGCGACAGTAGTTTTTATACGTCCACAAACGGCCGTTGCAGCATTCGATAGTCGCATTTATAAAACTTCTTTTTTGCAACTTTCCTTCGCGCCCTCACTATAAGTAGGACTTATCATACTTCGTTCTTTATTTTTCTTTTTTTTTTTTTTTTTTTCTTTTTAATGCAAAACTGTCAAAGATGGAAAAATAACATAAAAAAAACAAACGGTAACGGAAAGTTTTAACAGGGGATATGTGGGTCTCTTTACTATAAAGTGCGAAATAATTTGCAATCAAACATTATTACACCCAGTAAAAAGGACTACTGGGTTCACAGTAAAACTATTGATGATGATTTTCTGAGGGTCTGAGGAACTTTCACTATCCACATGCTGTAAATTGCAATTGTTCCCTAGAGGACATTGACCATACTCTTCATAATCGGGACATTGATACAAATGCAAGAATGGACACTTTTTGCCTCGAATGCACCAACCTCCTTTGGAAAATGGTCGACACAACCATATGCTGTACTTATCATCCATAGAATGGGGTGGAGGATTGTGCAGAAAACTGCAGGCCGGATTCTTACAATTTCCAGCGAGAAAATATGAGCAAAGTGGTACGTTGTACTCACTTGACATGTGAGACAAGGAACACTCGCCATGACATTGGTCATTCAAGAAATCCCAACACAACCGCTGCATTCTCCGGTCATGTATATGCTTGCACAGTTCACCTTCCTCACAAACACCCGTGCGACTGAAAGATCGGCAGTAAATTGGAACTTTTGTCATGTCCGTCCGTTTCAATGTACCATGGACACTTTTCCTGTAGGTCCATGAACCCCATTCGACTGAAGGGCTCTGGTCAGCATCTGGATTCAGTAGTGGAATTAATCGCTTTCCGCCATTAACTACCGCGTATGTTACATTGTTCACCTGAACACGGTCACAGTCATCGGTGCTTGCCATATTAGAGGCCAACCACGAGTGTGGTAAAGCGTAGAATACTCTCTCTTTGAGTTTTCTCTCACGTTTCCGATTTTTCTCCTGAGCCATGCTATTATTATGGCTGTCGTTTGAAGTTTCAAGATGGTGGTCACCAGCCTTCTTGGACTGAATCCAACCTTTTAGTGACATCAAACTCCTCCCATCATCATCTACTAAGAATACGTCATAATATTGATTATGCTGTTGGCTATGATTTTCATGATTCAGCTCCTGTGATTCTCGGGGGAGATAGAGAAGATACTGGAATTTTGACGGAATAATCTGGCGCTTTGCCCCTAACTTTGTTTCTATTTCTTTTTTGATTCGTGCTATTTCGGCTTTTTTTTGTTCAATGGCCTTCTTCTGTCTAAGAAGATCCAGGCCCATGCCAATTCTCGCTTCTTTGCCGATCTGCAATGACAAACGCACAAGATCCGCACGTGATGGAGTTGCGATTTGCCATCTTAGACAGATAGCTAAATTCAACTGCCCATCATGACTTACGACAGGCTAATAGATTATGCTGTTAATGCCATTGCTCAAATTCTACCTTTGGATCATGACACGTGTCTTGAGATGATCAAGTACGCATTAACTTTACCAAACGCAGAAGTGGAGACACATCTACTTGACCTACTCGGCCATAGTGAAGAAAGCTACAAGTTCATTTCTAGATTCCTTGAGCTAAAAAGAGAGGAAGATGAAAATAATTCACATCAAGCAAAAAGCAAGGTTAAACAGACATCCAAAAGTTCCTCTCCAATTCCAAGCATAACACAGAACGTCAAGAAGAATAGTGCATGGGATCATTCCTCGCAAACTACGACGAAGAGTAACACGAGGTTGAAAAATAATAAAGATTCTATCACTATTTCTGAACTTGCAGATGTAAAACCTTCGAACAAACTTTCTGGACAACAGGCTAAAAAAACAAAGAAAAAGAATCTCGACAGTCTCAAGGATATCGAGGCTGCACTAAACGAATTGGAAATTGAAAAAGCCCAAGAGTCTGTGAGTTTGGAGAGCTCTTCCGTCGTTAAAAGGGTATGCAATTGTATGGCTACCAGACATCCTCTCTTTGAGGTTGCACCGAATTGTTTGAATTGCGGTAAAATCATATGTGTCAAGGAGGGCCTTCAACCATGCTCGTATTGTGGGGCAGAGCTCCTCTCGGAGAAAGAGAAGATCGAGATAATAAAAATTTTGAATTCAGAGAAGGAAAACTTGAAAATAAAACTGGCAAATTCGACAAACAAGCAGGTGCAAGAGCAACCGTCGAAACTAAGTGCACCAAAGAAGATTAAAGTGGCGATGTCAGCTGGCGGAAATTTGTGGAAGGCGCAGGAAGAAGCATTAAAACAGATAGAAGAGGAGTCGAAAAAGCAGCGTGAACTAGAACAGAAAGCTTTAGAAGAGAAGAAGGAACTTGAGAGACAACTTCAAGAAATCGAGCACTATGAAAGAACAAAAGATGTAAATCCTGATCTTTTGAAAGCACAAGAGAGGCTTGAAACCTTGTTAGATTTCCAAAGTACTGGCGCGGAGAGGACGAGAATCATAGACAATGCATCTGATTTCGAGATGCCCGACCTTTCCAGTGGCAGCATGTGGCTTTCTCCTACAGAAAGGGCGCTACAACTCAAAAAACAACAAAAGCAACTAAGGAAAATTCAACTGCAAGAAAAGGCTCGAACTGGGCGTACAAAGAAGGTTATGGAGATGGTGATAAAGGACGGAAAAGTCAGTATGGTCGAAAAACATTTGATAGAGGATAACGAACCAGATGCAAATGAGATCAAAGAGCTTGACACTCTTGCCAAACAAGAGAAGGTAGATCAAGAATCATCGATGATAAAAAATTTCTGGGATTATGAAAAGGATCAGGACAAATGGGAGAAACCTGTTTATGTCTTTGAGCCTGTGTCCGAAGCACCTAATGTTGAATGGAAAGATAGCAAAGTTCAGCTCGATAGTTTGGATAGCAATGAGCTCGTTGCTATGCTACCGTCGTGATGTATTATATTATTTTCGTAATTATTTTATTATTATTTAATGCATAAATAATGAATGCCGTAATTAATGCTGTATTGAATGCCGTAATGAACGTGCCAAGTAATTTCTTAGCGTCTTTTCATGCGTTGCTTGAATCTCTTTGATCTAGGGTCGTTGATCTTCAATCTTTGGTAGTTAGCACTCAGATTCTTGCTCTTCATGCTTCTAGGTTTGAGTATTTCAGGTCTCACGAATGTATCGTCATCGCCATTGTCATCGTCGTCGGTTGGTATGATATCATCATTTACACCACTTGCCATATACTCATTGAGCTGCTTTTGCTCCTCTTCATGCATCTTTTGTAACTCCGCATGTACGTCTTTGCCTTCAAATACTGTGGCTTCATCATTTTCACCTCTAGGCTTGATCTTCCATCTCCTGGTTGTTCTCTTTTGGGTGATGCGCTTACGTTTTCTTCCAACAAAGGATTCATCAAGCTTATCATCGTTGCCGTTCACTGCACCGGCCTCAATTTCTTGCTCTATTTCCACTTTCTGTGCCTCGAATTCTTCGTCAATCTCTAGATTTTGGCATTCATGAAACAAGTCAGACAATTTTTTTCGGCTACCAAAAGAGAGAAGTCTTTCAGGTTTCAATGGAGATGGAGTCGTGTTGAAATTAGCCGGGGACAAGCTCATTTTCGTAGGAGTACTGGGCTCATGCTGCTTGACGGGAGATGCTTCTTCCTCTTCATCTTTGAACAGAAACTTCTTGTTTATTTTCCCCAAATACAAGGGTGTTTCTGTACCTACATTTTGAGGTGCTGGTTCTTTTTCAGGCGAGGAAACCTGTTGCAACCGTGATAATAGGCTCTTTTTCGAAGGAGAGCTGTTTGATGGGGTCAAATCAGCAAATTGTAGTTTCCTTGGGGCCTTAGTAGGAGTCTTAAACACCTCGGAAGACATATGTTTTTTAGGTGAAGGTAAGTGGGAAACTGGCTTGGTGGGCGACGAAAAGCTACTCTCTATTTGAACGCTTCTCTTTCCCTTTAAAGGAGATGATTCAGGGGGACTCATCACCATGTCGAAGATGGAGAGCACTTTCCCATTCGCCTGGGGAGTCGGACCAAATTCTGCATGAAGAGATGGTGCTTGTTGTGGGCTATTTTGTATCGTTTTCTCGTCGCCACTTTCACCTTCTCCCTCAGGCTTTTCAGCATGCTCTTCCTCTTTGGCGTGCTTGCTTTTTTTGGATTTCGTTTCGTTCTCTTTGCTTGACTCAGCTTCCTTCGCTTTAAGCTGATTGTAGGTTTTGTAGGCTTTCCATATTTCCTTTTCGGCCTTTACATCAGTCTTGGAGGGAATTTTCCCATTTTTCTCAAAGAAGCTTTTCTCCCATTCTTTTATTCGGCGTTTGTAATGCAAGATTGTGGACGCTGAGGCCATGACTAGACAATAATGAAAGATTGTGAGAACGATAGACAGATACTCGCGACGCGTTTTGCGATTACGTGCATGAAGCAGATTCTTAACTATGTACATTACAACTGATCGACATACAGTAGGATACCTTCAAAAGGCACTTTTTCCGGTGTTTCAAACATAGCAATCATGTTCGTGAGAGCCCTTTTGAACGCCACGCGCTCATCTGGTGAGTTAAACTCTTCTCCATTGGCCTGGAGACTTTTGTAGACTGAGCCTGCTACCGAAGAAGCGTTATTCCAGTAGTTTTCAAGAAAACGGAGAGCTTCCGCCTTGTTGCGACGCATACTCAAATACACACAAATTCTTGTCCATTTTTCCACAGACTCGGCAGGTGTGAAATTTTTCTCAAAGCAGTAGTTGTCCCATTCCTGCCAAAACTTGTCCCACTTCCCAGCATTTCCATAAGTGAAAAGAATTAGCTCACGTAAACTGGCTGTTGGAACACTTCCCGGGTGTGTCTTTGTATGATAGCCAATGAGATGCAAAATGTCCCTGGCTCTGTTGGAGGCCATGGTAATGACTGGTCCAGGCGACGTCGCCACGGCAACTTGCTCTTGGATAAAGCGATCCACATCTCGAGATCCAATTACTGGCTCCTTCACCTCGACATAAGTCAAGCGCCATAGTAAGGGCACAAGTTGGGGGTTCTTGGCCACGGAGAACTTCTCGTTAGAGAAAGTGTACAAAGTAGAGATTATTTTCGACAACCGATCAAAGGCCAAATCTACCAGCGCCTTATGCGAGTCCCGCGTAGGGGTATCAATCAATAGCTTGACGTACTCGGTGATGTCATCTATTTTTTCCTGAGTCATATCAGCTTTCAAGCTCTCGGCACTGCAATACTTCGCCAAGAGAGCGTCTTCTACCTGAGCTAATGACACCAAGTCCGGCCGGGCCAAATGCAAAGTTTTCCAGAACTGGAAGCGGAGACCATGGTCTTTGATCGAGGGATGCAGAAAGCTCTGCTCAAAAAGATTTTGTAAACGTTTCAATTCTTCTTCAGCCGCATCGACAGGCTGACTTTGTAGCTTGTAGTATATGGACTCAAGATCTGAAGTTGCCAGAGAGTAAGCTCGAGCAAAAGTGTGATACCTCCGGATTCCACTGAAAATGTGGTCTGATTCTGAAGTAACAAACGAGTCTTGAGAGAACTTGTCGGCATCCTCAGGCTTGCACCATAATGACTCTAAATTTAATTCCTCCCTTCTTGGCGCAGTCAACATGTGCATATCAATACCGTCATGATGGCATATGACCCAGCTATTGGCAGCTTTACCGTAATCGTTATCTGTGGCCAAAGGACCCTTTCTTGCCCTCCTAAGAAGTCTTCTACGCATGGAAGGTGTGATGGCACTCGATACCATGCCTTCAATCGACGGCATAGCATTGTACTTGTGCTTGAGATGTGTTCTCAACTCGTTGGCTGCTTTGTAGATGTGTTTTTCAGACTTTCCAGTTGCAACGACAATGAAGTCCACATCTTTGTTGTTTTCTTTGTACTCGTGGTCATCGGGCAACTGGGTCATGTCGAACAACATAATATTGTCCATTCCGTAGTCGCAAGCCATGAGAGTCAAGAATTCTTCGACCTGAGGAGGAGCGTGTGGAGGGATTTCGGGCAAAAGTATCTCCTTCTTTTCAACAAGCAGTGATGTGATGTCATCTCTCAAATACCATGGCAAGGACACCTCGTTGATCTCTTTTTCATCTTTCAGATCTTTTTCCACTTCCAGAATAGAAACTCTGCTTTCCGAAATAGGTTTCGAAGCACTAGAGTTTTGACGTACGCTGTAAACAGCAGTCGAAATCGGTCTCCAGACTTTCACAGACGACGGATTTGCCCGGAAAAGACGAAGCATTGATCAAAAGAAAATCGTGGAGAAGATGATGTTGAATATAGGTATGTGCACTCCTTGAGAGCAAGGGCCAGAAATAGAGAGACCAAGGGCAAGGTAAGATATGGATTCTAGAAATCTAATCAATAATAATTAAAAAAGACAACAAGAACAAGATACGGAAGGGAAGAAGAAGAAAAGAAAAGAGAAGGTGATGGAACCTACGGTATGACTGCAATTTAGAAAGGCAAGGGCCAAGCGAAAAAAAAAAAGAAAGGAGGGCAGTTTTCCCAAGAATAAAAGTGTCCACGAGTCGAAACAAAAGTCCAGTGAATACTAAAATAAAGGTACATCATGACTACGTAACATATCTTCTTCCAGTGGGTCTATTTGAATCAGATAATAGTGTACCACAATCTGCACAACCAACATATATCCTCATCGCGGGCATTCAAAAAAAAGCTACTCTCTAACTCAAGCACCATGGCAAAACTAGTACATAATGTGCAGAAAAAACAGCACAAGGAGCGTTCCCAGACACTGGATAGAGCAAAGTATGGTCTTCTAGAAAAGAAGAAGGATTACAAGTTGAGAGCTGCAGACTTTCACAAGAAGCAGGCTGCGTTGAAAGTATTGAAGCAGAAAGCGGCTCAATATAACCCTGATGAATACTACCATGCCATGACCAGAAAGAAAACAGATGAAAATGGTATAGCAATTATTGAAAGAGAAAGCAGCGAGTCGCTTTCAGCCCAACAATTGAAGTTGCTCAAATCTCAAGATGCGAACTACGTGAAGACGATGAGATTGAACGAGATGCAGAAGATTGAAAAACTTAAAAACAAATTGGAGTTTAAGTCTAGCGGTAAACACACAATTTTCGTTGACTCCGTTGAAGAAAAGGAACAGTTCAACCCGGAAGAGTATTTCAAGACTGATCTGAGCATGCTAGAAAGAAGGGAGAACAGATTGCGTGTGGACCAGCTTGAAACTAGCAACAAGCTCATCAAGCGCGACTTGTTCACTGACCAAGAGGAAAGAGACCGGCTTGAAAAAGAAAAGTTGAATGAATACAGACTCTTGAAGGAAAGAATGAAGAGAGAAAAGCAATTGCGTGAGGTGGAACAGAAGATGGAGATGGCCAAAGAACTAATGAAAAATGGCGACAGAAGAAAATTAGTCGACTCAGATGGCAACGTTCACTTCAAGTGGAAAACCCAAAGGAAACGCTGAGTGTACATTATAGGTCCTTAGTATTCGGAATATCGCATTTGCATTTAATTTACTCTTCGCTACTGAAACTCCGATTTATGTAGCCAACAAACATGGCGGTGATTCTATCAATGTCGACACTGCGCATTCTGTTCAAACCCACGAATGTGCGTTTCATCCGCTGAAGTTGGGCAATGCTAACTGTGTGTGAAGGCATTTCCACAACCAAATTTTGATCTGCTTCAATTACCGCATGTCCTCCAACAGAAGAAATTTGCTGGTGCTGAATAATTTTGCTGATCACCTCTTGTGTCTTCTTGTCCAATTCTTGTAAGTAGTCATTGCCCAGTGTTGGTTTCACCAAAGTGGCTGCGTTGGGCGGTGGAGGTCTTTTAAGTACAAGAGCATCCCAAATTTCGTCAATAGGCAATGTTTCCTTATCGTAGTCGCTCACCACCGAGAAAAGTGGAGAGTCCCATCTAGTGTCTGCATTGGGCTCCTCATAGCGCATCTGTAGCTGGGAAATCACCTCTTCGTCCCATTTGTTATCGTGATTTGTATTCCATTCTATGCATTTTTCAACAGGATTCATTACTTGCACCACACAATGCGGCGTCACCACGCCTTTGGCCTCACAAAAAAGCTGGTATCTAAAACCTTTGATGTACGAAAGAGAGTCTAAAATGACAAAACATGTGCGGGAAAGATCACGCTTGACAGCAGACATCTGTGTACCTCTCGCATGTTTCTCCAAGTTGGAATCCTTGTATGTATCGTGCGAGATGCCAAGCGTATCATCAGAATGGTAAATGATCTTGTAGTTGTGGCCCGGTTGGTCTCCAGCTTTGGCTTCTTCTATCTTTTTCTCAAGGAGAGCAATAAGCTTTTTCGCCCACGTGGTTTTTCCGGAACAGGGCAACCCAGTGAATGTAATCAAAGGCATGGAAGTGATTTTCTTACTCTAAATAATTAGAGTGCACATTTTGGAGGATGAGCTTTTCAAGCATCGCGAAATCGCAACGCTTCTCCACAGTTTAGTTAGCCCATTACTCATTTTTCCTATCATGTCTTTTGTACCTCGAAAGGTTTTCCCAGACTACCGCCTACCTTTATCCAATTTCAAAGGTCATCACCAAAAGGCGCTTACGAAGTTTGGCCATCTTGCTCCGCAGGTAGACTTGGTGTTAGAAGTGCGAGATTCGAGAGCTCCCATCTCTACGACAAATGTGCTTTTCGATCGGGTTTTGGCTCGCAAGGAAAAGCTCATTCTCTACAGCAAGCAGGACCTTTCCATTCTAAAACCGAAACTACTAGCCAAGTGGCATGCCAACGAGAAATTTCTCTTTGTCGATACCAGATCAAAGAAGGATGCCAAGCGCATATTGAAAGCAATCGAAGATCATTACACAAACATGGTTCCTCCTCCGCCTTTAGGGCTCCGCACTATGATCATTGGTATGCCCAACGTAGGAAAGTCCACTTTGGTGAATACGTTGCGGTCAGTGGGGTACATTGCGCTGCTTGGTGACCGAGTGTCAACTAAAAAGTCAAAAGTGGCAAAAACTGGCGGTCAGCCGGGTGTCACTAGAAACACAAGCGAAATCATCCGTCTCAGTAAGGACCCAGACATTTTGGTTTATGACACACCAGGGGTTTTTCTCCCCACAGTAAAAGATGGCGAAACTATGCTTGCTCTTGGGCTTGTTGGATGCGTGCATACGTCTTTCATTGATCCAGTTATTCAAGCCGATTACTTATTGTATCTCCTCAATTTGCAAGATCCAACGGGGGCGAAGTACAATGAGTATATTGATCATCCTACCAATAGCATCCACGAGCTCTTATATAACATTGCGAAAAAGAGGAAAGTTCTTCACAAAGACGACACCTACGATGAGTTGGGAATGGCGAACTATTGGGTTAACTTGTGGAGGCAAGGGAAAAATCAACGCTATAAGGGATTGTTCGATAAGGCTGCAATCGAAGAAGCTGACGCAACTGAGGTGAAGCGCCTATTGAAATTAGAACAGACGCGAGTCAAGGAAACAACAGTACACAACAAAATCACGAATAGTTTGGGTGAGGATGGTACTGGCTTCTCGAAGAACAGGAAAAGAACAGCCAAGGATAGAGAGTACGACTTGAGAAACCAACTTTTCAAATTATGAAGCTTTCCTATATAGATATCCAGCATCTACATTTTAGAAATCAAAATCAGGCACCGCATCATAGTCACCTTCGTCAGCACCGTAATTTCCTTTTTGTTGGAAAATAACATCATTTTTATTCCCTCTTGACTTCTTCACATCGATCTTGCGCACGTACTTTATGTCAAATGCCTCAACTAGTCTTTTGCTCGTCGTATGAGACTTATCAGCTTTCTCCTTGATCCATTTAAGCGGAGCGGTGGAATTCGTCAACAACGCATTTTCAAGATTAAACAAGTTTGTGGAATGTTGATTCTCACGTAATACTTTCTCAACAAACCTTTCATCTTGACAATATGTGACCCAGTCCTCAATTTCCAAAGATCTAAGCAATGCTTTCCGCAAATACAACGAGAATTTGTTCGTCGCCGGAGAATTACATAGAAATGGGTCCGATGATTTGAATGTCAGTGGTAAACTCAACTTTGATGACTCTGATGTTTTCATAGTCACTTTAAAGTTGTCTATCGTTGACTTAAAATCCTTGGTTTCATCTAGGTCATCATCTCCAACATAAGTTCGCATATTGATAAAATCATCCATAAGGCTATCCTTTTTGGAAGCATCATCATTTGTTTTATGATGATCTTCTTTCTGTCGTTGCAGTAGTTTGGCAAAGTTTCCTATTTTCTCATCCTCTTTAAACGGCAAGCGAACGAAAATATAACAGTATGAAAAAGTTGCACCATATTTCACTTTCACAGGAACTAGGGCGCCGACCTCAACTTCTTTTGCTTGCTTGCGAACGAACCGAGCCACCGGTGCGATTCCCTTTTCATAGAGCGTTTGGCAGAATGCAAAGTGGATGAGCGTATTTTTGAAAGAAGACGATTTCTCTGGGACGATAAATGACGTTTCATCTGTAAAATAGGAGTAAGGCAAAGAGCTCACTTTCAAGAATGAGAAAATGTCGAACTCGGAAGTGAGCTTCAACTTCGCAGCCTCTTGCAAATCTGAATCCAAGGCGATTAAATCAAAATTGGAGAACTTGAAGCCAGGCACTGTTGTCTCATGATCCAAGTACACCTTATCGAATTGTTTATCGTCAGCATCCTCTTCAGCAATAAGTTCATCCGTCTTAGCCTGAAAGTTCTTTTCCCACATAAATTTCTTCGTGTTTCTTTCAATTCGGACAGCTTTATCGCCATCCACCAAATACTCATGTAGGTTCTGTGTATTTGTTTCTGATTTCGCTGCTGGATAGACTTCAACTTGCCAAACCAAGCATGTGTCATCTTCACTTGGATCATAATGCTTCTCTGCCATCATTTGGGCAAAATCTGCTCCTAAACGAAGTTCTCCCTTATAAAGAGGCATAGGTCTGGTTTTTTTAACCGGTGGAGAATATCGCAAGACGTCATAAGCCTCCTTCTTTCCGAGGAGATAATATTGGCCAAATTTTTTTCCAATCTCCAACCAATTTTGCTCTATTTTTTTGGGGTTGGAAGGTTTGAAGTCTGTGCCTATCACTATCAAGTTTATACCCAAGTCACTAAGCAAATTTGGAAGCGCATCTATCTTTTCTTGGGAGTAAGAGGTGCATCAACGATTCTGAAGAGGTGATGACAACAATGTTTCTTTTGAATGCCTTCTTTTTCGTCTCTTGGAATAAGCTGATGGAAAACACCAATGATTGAAAACTATCGCTAGCTTCGTTCTCAATTGAATCTTGCGGCACTAATACTTCTCTAAGCTTCTTGAGTTGGGAAAAAGCTAGGTGCCTCAAAGTCGACGAGAACATTTATACCCCGAAACTTACCCGTCAGTTCAAGCTGATGGTTGGTCTCATGAGAATGGAATGCAACTACTGAAACATAGTCAGTTTTCAAACCTTTCAATAGTTTTGTGGCTGCGGTTTCAAATAAGTATTCATATGAATCTTTGTGCATATACGGACCCACATCCACCACAAAGACAGTAAGTTCCTTGTCAGCCATCTATAAATGTATATGAGTAGTTGTGGAGTTCACGCGAAAAGCAAGCTGCATTAACCTGTTTGATCCATTATATGAAAATCACATTGCTCAAAATTGGTGAGATACTACACCTATGCTTGATAATGTATTCCACATACGAACATGGGAACATTTGAAATCTAAATTCTACCTACAACCTTTTTTTTTTTTCCTTTTTATTCTGAAATATATGGACATGATCTAGAGATAGGGTAAGATAGTGTGCACATAGCATTATCTTTCACTGGCACTGATTCATAAACAATTGTTGAGCTCTTAAATAGCAGAGGCGATTTCGAACATAGAATCCAATACAGAAAAGAAAAAGAACACTTACAGACACTGAAATAAATCCATACATGTCAAACCAGAACCCCAGCCCATATTATCCCCTGTCTCAAGCGGCGAGGTATCACACAATTCCTCCCAAAACAGATGTATCTAACACGAACTACCAAAACTCAGCTCAACTTCTTCACCAGCCCATTCCGCCCATAGTATTCAATTATGATTATCGTCCTGCCTCTGGCCCAGCCAACCACCCTTACCTGAGCCCTTTGCCTGTTTCGGAACAACAAATGCGCAAGACCCATGTTCCCAACTCTATTCCTCTCATTTTCAACCCTCTTGGTCAGGCACAGCGTCCTTTCACGCAGCAAAACTCTTATTCAATTCCATACGCACCGGTGTCCAACCCCTCCCCAATGTACTTTATGCCACAAGCCCCGGTTTATCAACATGGCCGAGTTGTGGGTGAAGATCGTTACATTGGAAATTCTACACGGCCAGTAGTGAACGATAGATATGTATCTGGATCTAAACTCGCTGACGGTGCTACAAATATTCCCTTCCAAAGAGTCCAAACTTATCAAGAATCTCATGGCATGATGCCCACTAACGTCACGCCTCTTTCTGTTGTAACCACAGATATGAATGGTTCTCATTCCGCAGGAAATCCTTCTCCAGTTGAAAATGACGTGAAGAACTATATCCCCACTAAAACCAAGAAAAACTCTCGTCCGAAAATCAACAAGATTGTGAGCGAGAAAAAGAAGTCCAAAAAGACGGGATTGAAGAAACAGCGCTTAGATCTCTGCGAGCACAGTAATGACGAAATTTTTACAAAGTTTCTGGAAGTATTGGCTATCAAGGTCGACCGTGTCGATATTGCTAAAGCTTACAGCTATATTATTGAAGATGAATTAGAGCAAAAGCTCTTTGACTTGTTTGTTAACAAACTCACTCTCTTCATCGATGTCTTCTTGCCCGAAGACCGTTTCCAGAAAGTTATCTCCGAATTAGCTCTTATATGATGAAACGCGAATGATTTTGGACTCCATTTTCTGCTTGAGTTCGCTCATTTTTCAACGCATGAACCCAGAGGCTATTGACCCATTATGCCCACTTAAATACTATCAGAGGACAGTCAACTCCATCAGATATCATTTGAGTCTTCCTGAAGTTGAATATCAAGAAAGCGGGATTTTGGCCCGTTGTTTGATCAGCACAAACCTTCTTTGCATTTACGAGTTGTTTTTCGTGGCCATTGATAGTACCTATATCAAGGGCGCAGGTAGTATACTTCTGTCCATATTGTCCAAGTGGAATAAGTCAGAGAGTCTCCTCAAAGTGTCTCCATTCTATAATACTTGTTTTTGGGCTATGTTTGTATGTGACTTAGTGTTGTCGTTAAAATTGGAAGCGCGGAGCACATACTCTTTAGAAAAGATGTGGAGACAAATGGAACCTCTGTTTTTCCAAACGTTCGACGAGTACCCTGTTGAGTCTGAAGAGGCTTCTGTATCTGAAGTCACCCATAGCAATTTCTTGGTATCGAGAAAGACAACAACCTGGTGGCAGCATAAGATTATGCTATTGTTATGTGATATCACAGAGTATCTAAATGCATCGGAAGTAAGCACCAAACATGACTTTGAGGCGAATAGAAGATTTGATCGGTGGAAGTCGCTCAATCTTCAGTTGGAAGAGTTTGAGAAAAACATGCCCGTCTACTTGAAACCACTCATTTACAAGCCAGCCAGTGGGGATCGCCTTTTTCCTCTTATTTACTTCAAAGATGAACAGACAGCTATAGTGACACTTAACTACAAACTTGCCAAGTTGACTCTTCATGTGGCGTTGTGCCGGAACACTGTTGGTCAAAATAAGGAACTAGTGCAACAGGAGATCAAAAAATATGCCACCAACTACAGAGAGAAATTATCCAAAGACGTGGTTGGAATAATGCAGACTTATGACTCTAACCAAAAAATTTGGCCTGTGAACATCCATGCATTGCGTCAAGCAGCAAAGTACATTGACAAAAACTCCCCAGATTTTGCTGAGTTAAAGCAGCTCATCATTAAAGTTGCCAACTTCAGCCATGCCGGTTTACACATCAAATCAATGGTTGACGAACAAGCGGAAGACAAATAACAGTAAATTACGAGTATAATGTATAACTGTGCTAGTATTTTTGAGTGTATAACCGAGGAAGAGAAGTGCAAAAACAACTTACACCACCTTTTCTTTCAATTGCAACACCAAAGCAGTTCTGCATGGGATGTAAATGAAGAGAGCATTCGAACGATTGTTCCAATATTCTGAGCTAGTTTTGAAAGTTATTTTGGAGCCAGATTCAGTAGTGTCAACTATTCTGTTGAAACCTCCAAACTGTTCCTCGTCTGAATTGAGGACGATTTGATACTCACCAGGAGTCTCAACACCTAACTTATAATCAGGGAAGGATTCTGTTGGATGGAAATTGAAAATGAATAAGAGTCCATTTCTTTCAAAGACAACGACCTTGTCAATTTCATGTTTCAAGGACACATACGCGGGCTCCGATAACAATATGCCATACTTAGTATCCAAGTGGATCATGGCAGCATCGAACTGAAAAAAGAAATTTGTAACGTAACAAATCATCTTTGATCAAATTGAATTGACGCCTAGCGTAGTGGTACGATTCCCCATTTCCTTCTCTGGGGAAGTCCAACCACTCAGGGTGACCAAACTCGTTACCTTCAAAATTGAGATATCCTTCTCCACCCAAGGCAAAAGTGATCAATCTGATCATTTTGTGGAGTGCGATACCTCTGGAGACAACTTCCGTCAATGGAGAAAGAACAGACATGTTCGTGTACATTTCCTTATCCATGAGCCAGAATGCAAGAGTCTTATCACCCACGAGGGCTTGGTCGTGAGACTCGCAATAACTGATACACTTTTCCTTGTACCTCCTGTTTGTCAAGTTAAACACAATATTACCCAAATCCCACTCATCGTCCAGCAAATGTTTCAAGATCTTAATCCACATATCGGGAATTGCCATCGACAATCTGTAGTCAAAACCAATGCCTCCGGAGGAGATGGGCAAGCACAATGTTGGCATTCCACTCACATCTTCAGCAATAGAAGTGAAGGAGAAGTTGTTCTCTTTAGCACTTAATTCGCCAAGCAAAGTGTGTGCTAACATGAGGTAGGTGATAGCCTCTTCATCAACCAAATCTTGATTGAAGTACTCATTGTAGTCACCACTGAAGCCGTAACTTAAACCATGGTGCTTGTACAACATGCTAGTGACACCATCAAACCTAAACCCATCAAACTTATAGACATCGATAAAGAATTTCAAGTTAGACAACAAGAAGCGCAACGTTTCATAGTTAGAGTAATTGAACAAGCGCGAGTCCCACAAATCGTGTGCTCCCCTTGGTCCACCGTGAAACAAATAGTGGTCAGTACCATTGAACATGTTTAAACCATCCTCCACATTCTTTGAACTGTGAGAGTGGACCACATCAAGCAACACACGGATTCCCATGCCATGGGCTACATCAATCAACTCCTTCAAATCTTCAGGAGTTCCAAAACGGGACGAGACAGCGAAGAAATTGGTGACCTGATACCCGAAAGAAGCGTAGTATGCATGTTCCATAACTGCCATCAACTGGATTGTATTGTAACCCAATTTGTGAATGATAGGAAGAGTATTTGTCGTGAACTCCTTGTAAGAGGCAATCTTCGGTTCTGGGGACGAGATTCCCACGTGTGCCTCATAGATCTTTAAACCGTCATTTTTAGCAAAAGAGGGTCTCGTGTTTTTGAACTGATAAGCCTCCTCGGGGTTCCAGAAGCGGCCTTCATATAAAGTGCTCTCGGTGGAAGGGGTCACTCTCCGAGCCCAAGGATCAAGACGGAAAATCCGCTCCTGGGAAGGAAGGACCATCGAGATTTTGTAGCGGGAGTTGTGCTCTATAGCATAGTGCCCATTGACAGGAGGAAGAACCAATTTCCACAACCCAAAGTTGTTCACCTTTTCATACTTGTGTGAATCAGTGTTCCAATCGTTAAAGTCACCCACAAGCGAAACCAGCACCACATCCGGAATATATGCTACAGCAACGATATTCTTCGTGCTGGGGTCAGCGTGAACACCGTACTCTTCGTAAGAAGAAGCAAACTTGGCAAGGCTACCTTCCGACTTTTGCAAAGTCTCCAACCATTGCTTGTGCTGCAATTGACGACTGATAAGTGCGTGGGAATAAGGCTCTAACCAAGGATCCAAGTCCAAGGCTCCTTTGATGAGAGATTTGTGATCGGTTATTGACATGACGAGTGGCAAAAAAATACGGGGTAGAAGATGTTTTTCGTTAGCAAACTCGGAATTTTTGGGTCAATTGGAGAAAAAAAGAAGGAGAGGACCGAATTAAAGGGCTCGTATCTCTCTCCATATTTTGCTTCTTCATCATGCACGTCTCCCCACCATGACTGCAGGCAAACCTCGCCCCATGTGTTGGGGATCCATTTCCAGTAAATCCAGAGCCGCATGTCAAGCATTTTATATACCAATGTACAAATGTAGCAAGGAAGTAAATGATAATAGCAAAGCTCTATTTTAAAGCAAATTTCCCGTCGCTACATTGGGTTTTACATGGCCCTTTAGCCAGGAAGGTGGATTTCTCTGCAGCACCCTCTCACGCATATCAGGCACATCACACATTGCCAAAAATCGCACCAGACAATATTTTATTTTGCAATAATAACTACTCATCGTCACGCATGTCTTGTCGGATTCATACATATAGTCTAATAGGCACTAAAGTCAGTAGACCAGGTTTTTACACAACCATCCAAACCGGTGGAAACAAAAGCTCCACTTTTATCTCCGTAGCTCAACCCATACCAAGCTTGATACACCAGTCTGGTGCGCTAAAGGAAATTTCAAAACCTTAGATGGCCTTTCCACCGAGTACACAAAAAGTCCACAGTCCAAACCTCCACTAACAATAAACTTCGAATCGGGCGTCCACAGAGCGTCGTTCACTTTGCTGTTGTGAAATGCCCATCTTGTAGTCACAGTGCTCTTGTCAGATGTCTTGTACAAAGTGTACTTTCCAGTGTTTTCGGCCACAGCAGCATACTGGCCATCTGGCGAAACCTTGATAAGGGTTGGAGTGGCTCTTAAGGCTGGATACGATCCCGTGTGCTGAATGGTTGGTTTCGTGTCAAATTCCTCCACTGTTTTCGTGGTTTCATTATTAACAAGAATCTTCGACGTGCCAGGAATGGCAGATATACACGAAGAAGGGAAACTTAAGTCAAAGGAGGTCAAAAATTTCAAAAAAGAGTCGTAGGCAGCAATTTGGTTCTCGAATAAAACAACTACTCCGTCTGGTACCGTCACAACTTGCTTAGGCTGGCCGTGCAACTCTGTACTATTCTCGACATGACCATCTTTCCACAGCTTGAGCTTATCATCCCAACCAGCTGAGTAAATCTTGTCGCCCACCGAAATGCTCGAAATGTAATTGCTGTGGCCCTCGTCAAAAGGCTTACTTGTTGGGTCCAATTTTGATTCGGCCACTTTCCATTGTTGGAGCGACCCGTCCGATCCTCCTGTTACCAATGATTCTCCGGTAAGTGCAGCTGCGGTCAATGCACGCTGGTGGCCATAAACAATCTTTTCCGGCGACTTGCCATCGTTTGCAAAGAAGTTCAAGTTTCCATTCAAAGAAAGGGTGAGAATGTGATTCTTAGTAACTGTTACACCAACCTGTTGGTTTTCCACAGAAGCCGGGGATGCCACAACATATGTGTGTTTTTCCTTTTGTGTTTCTGCATCCCACAATTTGCATGTGTTATCAGCAGAACAGGTAACAAAACCCGAGGAGTCAGGCAACCAAGAAACACCGAAAATGCCTCCCTCATGGCCATTTTCGATTTTCTTGATAAAGTCACCAGTTTTTCCGTCATAAACTATGATCGCTCTATCCGAGCCAACACTGACTAACCATTTCCCGTCAGGAGAAAACTTCACTGCTCGGATTGTGTTGGTGTGGTTTCCTCTTACACTTTTATCGAATTTAAATGGAGGCCCAGTAAAAAAAACGAGCGCCTTGTCATCTCCAACTGTGGCGGCCCTGTATGGCCTCTGGGGTTTGATATCAACGCAGTTGATGGTTTCAGAGTGGCCCTGGATCTCACCAATGGAGTTTCCAGAGTCGAAAGTAAAGCAATGGCCAAACTTGTCTTTGCCCTGGCCTACCGCAATAACCCTGCTATTGTCTGCATCCCAAGCAATGGATTTAATTGGACCACTCAAGATTTGGAACTCGCTCTTGACGGCCGGCTGCTCGAAATTTCCGTCCTTGCCGAAAACAGAGGAGTCCCATATCTTCACTTGGCCCGATTCATCACCGGAAGCGACGTAATTTCCGGATGGAGAGAAGGTGGCCACTGTAGTAGGAAATGTATGCTTGGTGAATTGAACAGGCTTCAATTCGGAATCTCTGTCTAACGGGAGAATGATGATGGATTTTCCAGAGGCATAAGCAATTCTATCGTTCACCGCATCGTATGAAATAAAAGTTGAGTTTGCTCTTGTTGTAGCCGGATGAGGAGGATACAATCCGGTTTGGGCAATCATCTTTACAATATGGTTGAAATTAATAGGCGATAAACGATGTAGCGATCAATGTGGCCATGGTGGTGCATACAACGGGCGTTCTGCGCCACGTCCAATTGAGCAAAGACTCCAACATTTCCTTATCATATTCAAGTTCTCAATAAAGACAATGTTTAAAACTCTGACGATTTCCTATCTTTATTCACTAGAACTAGAATTTCTCTCTGGCAATCGCATAATCTTTAAATTTTTTCGGTAAAAATCTAGCAACATTAACCTGATCTGTATCAAAGGGCTTCATTCCGTACACATGTTTCCTTCTTGATGTCTACGATCAGTTGAATTATTCCTCTACTTTCCAACAGTAGGGAATTTCGTACATTGACCTGATCTAACTTTTCCCCTATCTAAATCTCTGAGTGAAGATTCTGCCTACACCTGCTTCATCATACTCAGCCTTGCTGACCCACATTTGGTGGAATGTACCCAATGATGCCAAAACGCTTCCTCCAATCCATGTTTGATTCGTTCTTTCATTTGAGTTTCCAAGGGCATGAAGCCTGATTTTCAACCCTGGGTTGGCATTCAGCAACTCAGTATGAAGGCGCTCTGTCAATTGCGGGATCAATGAAACACCTCCCGTGATAATAATATTATGGGCTATCGATGTTCTCAAATCAATGTCCACAGAAGAGATTGTGTGCGAGATCAACTGGGTCACACCTCTTATCGTTTTGGTAGCTCCATTGTCTGGCGCTGGCGTTGGTGTCGATTGACCAGATTCGTTTTTCTTGCTTCTTTTGATGGGTCTGTAGTCATCGTAGGGGCTGCTGATGTTTAATTCACCGTTATTTGGAGGGTACTTTTCAACAAGCTTCTCATCTTTGAACGGATAGCTTCCTGGATCAAACAATGAGTCGGCGATCTGAAACCTCTCGAAACAAACCTCAATGGACTGGCCTGAGGGAAACTCCATCATGCGCTTCTGGTCGTCTTGTAAGTATTGCTCTTTCATCGTCGCCACATGGCTGGCGTTGCTGCTGTTCAACTTCTTCTCGGGAACTTCTAACAAAAGCTCTTTAAACTCATTGTACATTTTCTGCAGCTGATATTCATCAAAAGATTGAGTTATATCTTCTGGGATATCTCTGGGTGTATAATTTGCTGCCTCGGGGTATACTGTCGCTTTCTTGTCCTTCACTTTATATTTTGGCACAAGCGATAAGTCGGGAAATTTGGAGGTCAACGTATCACGAATCTGGTCGTTCAAGTATTGACCACCATAGTTTGTCTTCATAGAATTTTTGAGCAAGCAGATACCATCAACAACAGGCACAACGCTTACAGAATCGTGGCCCACATCAACCACAAGACAACTCAGTCGCCCTTGTTGAAAGGAAATACATGCGGGTGTTCGAGCAAGGTACAACGCTGGGAAGTTGAAGTTCTCGTAAAATGTTTCCACGAGTTTTTGCCTGTACTCTTTGGTGGTCCATACGGGCTCAGTAATGAGAATGGGTTGTTCTTGATAGTCCAATTTCAACACCTCCTCAAAGTAGTATTTATATTGAGCTATGGCACCTTCCCAGTCATTGATCATGCCGTCCTTGATGATCGGAATGATCTCGGCTCCTGCTCGAGGGTGTTCAATAGCTCCTCCAAAGAGTTTTTTACCGTCTTTGGTTTTGGCGTAGTACGACGGAACAATCACTTTCGGGAAATCGTCCCCAGCATAACCAATTCTGGTATTGAAACTTCCCGCATCTAGAACAATGGCATTGATTTCATCTCCGCCATATACTGTGGCTGAGTTGTTTGCCGACGACATGTTGTGTGTATTTTTCTCTTTAGAACTGCTTTACTCAACCAAACTCGTCTTTGATTTTTAGGCGCGCTCATGATTAGCACGTGACTGTATACATTCTGAATATTCAACATATGATCTAACTACTAAGAATTCAAAGATCTTACAAGATTTTAGCCTCAGCATCAATAAGCTCAACCAAAAATTCGGCCTCCAATCTCTTTCTTCCTTCCTTGACCCAGTCATCGGCCAACTTTCTCGACCAACCCTTCAAATTAGCCACTTCTTCGACGGCAACATCCAACTCTCCTCTAGTCAAGCTGTTCTCCACTCTTGCAATGACAGACTCAATGTCCTTACCATTAGGCTTCGCACCTTTCACTGGCAACAATAATTTGGAGAACAAAATAGAGGACAAGTGACCCAACAAACCAGCGTTAGGAGGCAACAAGGAAGCAGATCTCAACTCGGGGGAAAGTTGCTCCCATGCTGTCAATAGCTGAGGAATGGTCAAAATGGACTGACTGCTTTCACCATCGAGCACAGGCTTCAATTCGGACACGGCCAAAGAGATGACTTCGTCTCCCGATTTCGATGTCACAGACTCCAAGTTTTCAACGTAGCTCTTGTACAGCGTCGCAGGCGAGTCTTCTTTCGTGTCAAACAACAACGACTTCAACTTTGACAAAGAATGTTGAACGGCAGACTTGGAACTGCTTGCGGTGATTTGCTTTTCGAGAGAAGTAGCAAAGGCCTCAATCTCCTCTAATCTAGAGTTGACTGCTTCCAAGTTCTTCAATCTCAGATTTCTCTCTTGGTCAATTTTTTCCTTAACCATGCTCTCAAATCTCTTGGTTTGTTCAACTCTGACCATGGAAGTGGCATTCACGGCAGCTTGGCTAATCGCTTCTCTTGCGGCTTCAACCTCCTTTGTAAGCTTTGCCTTGTACTTGTTTTCCAAATGCGTTTTCTCCTGGTTGAATTCTTCCAACATGTTGCGTGTCATGTCTAATTCCTTCTGGGTGTAGGACGAGAACAATTCGGTCTCGGCAGATTTCAAACGATTCTGGACCTCTTCATCAAAAGATTTGTTGAGCTTATTGAGCTTGGTTGCTAATAAAGTGATGTTGGTATTGATGTTTTTGATCAATGCGTCCTTTTGTGGTCCAATAGAAGAGGCATCAATCAAGCTAATCAAATCATTGAATGACTTGATAGTGGCTCTCACGTGTTCGTCAGCAAAGCTAGCATCCTTTGGCAAAACAATTTTAGGCAACTTCTCGGTAACGTCGCTCACAGTCTCAAACTCAACTGCTCTTTGTAATTGTTCAGCTGGGGTAGAGAGGTGAGAGCTTTTTCCAGTGGCCAATTTCTTTGTTTCCTCTATGAAGTGCTCGCCTTGTTGCTCCCATTTCGAGGTTAGCTCATTAATCTGCTTTTTCGAAGGAAGTTGCACAGACGACGTCAATTTATGCCATGATTGCTCAATGTCTTCGACGCTACCATTCTCAATAAGGTTGATAAGCTGCTCGTAGTAAGGTAACTGTTTGTCAATAACAAAATCCATCACCTTCTCGTTCTTTGTAGCCGCATACAATGTCGCACCGTAAAGAACAGATGTAAGAGCAGCACTCTTCAACAAGAAGCCGGTGAAAGAGAACTTCTTCTTTTGATGCTTCTTTTCCTCTTCTTCATTGTGCTTTTTGACCACTTCTTTCACCACGGGACTTGGTTTGTGTTCGTGGAGTTCTTCTGCCTTAACTGGCTGAGATGTAACGGGTGTACCAGGAGAAGTCTTAGGAGGCAATTGATAATTTCTAGCCGATGAAACTAGGGAGCGGCATGCAATTTTTGTGGAAGAAGCCACAGCCCTTGATTTGACAGCTCCAATCATGCTTAAGGAAGTCAAGTATGTGTTGAGATTTTTTTTAACCAACCATAACGAGTGGTGCGAATGGTGCACGGGTGTGGATCGGCCGGTACCTAAGGTGGTGATTTCAAACATCAGTAAATGCCTACAACATCTAATCTATGAGTGTAATATTTGGAAAATAGGACCATATTTGCTCTTGATCAGAACGTGGCTACATGAAGATTTCCTGTAGAGTAGTAGAAACATGTGAGGTTTTATGTAAGCAATCACGAAATACTTAGACCGGTAGTCTATGTCACTGAATTCGTATTTGGCAGTTTGGTCTCGTATGCTATAATTTAATTCTTAAGAAGCAACTTTTAAAAGTAATTTTCAATTGCACTTTAATTACATTAAAAGAGACTTCCCACATTCGGACCACACATGATAACTAGAATCATGGTACTAATAAACCTATGATAGATTGAGAAGATACAGACATTTGACAAACAGGAACTTTGTGGAGGTATATTGGGAAGATCAAATAATGAATGCTCTCATAAGGAAATTGTTATCCTTATTGTGAAGATTTCTTCATGAGCGATGTTTCCAAGGTGTTTTTAATAGTATTCCACATACGTGGGATCGGGGGAAAATTACCGGCAACTACAAGTAGGTTTCTTGGGAAATGGTTACTCGTTTAGTGGAATTCACAAGTAACAACAATACTTATAAGCTTATGGCTCCGTCGGTTATCAGTAATGGATTCTGAGACCCGAATGTTTTTACTTGCTTTTTGTTTAGATGTAATAAGCTTCTCTAAGCTGATAATATAGCTCTAATAAAAGCAACCACTCCTAATAAATTCCATGTTGAGCTAGGCAAATAAGATATTAAATACATCTTTTCTGAGCCAATTCGCAACTCGCTTTGAATAACGTCAACCCCCAAGTCGTTTGCTAGAAAAGTGTCTTTAAGTTTATTCATCTCCTGTTTTTGCAATGTGAAGTCTGAAGTGCATTTAAGCCCCACTTTAGGAGAAGCATACAACGAAGGTATAAGTGGATCTTAATGTGGGCCTATTCCTATATCGGCTACTATTTTTGAAACTGTTTTCATTTCGGCCGCCTATGACAAAATTAATTTCAATTGTTAGCTTCCGAAATCTAAGCTATACAGAGGTAACCTTCTTAATTACTAGTTTAAGCACTTACAGATGCCGCGTGTGTATGAGATGAGGAAGATAGAAAATAAAACGAGAATGACGTAGCAGCCAGTAACTGGAACATTTTAATGTAGAACACATACGTGATCAAAAATCAACGTTGTCTTTTTCGGCATATTATGAGGCTCATTAAAGTGAACGCCGTCCTACACTATAAACAGGAGATTACATGTAACACACTTCATCATCATATCTCTGAGACTACCCTCGCTTTTTGAAAACTTCCTTGTATTACCTTTTGCATCAAGGTTTTTATTCTATTATTGTAGAGTGCTATTAATTGGTTTTGCCCAAGTTGAATTTTTTGTTGCTAAGTGTACAAAGTATGCGAATACTACAAAGTTTTTAATTTTCAATTTTATTTTTCTAGTAAAGTATAGACCTTCTCTTCTGGAATATATCATTTATGCATGTTAAGTAGAACATAAAGAATTTTATTTGCTTTCTCATATTCAGAAAACGTCATAACCTTCTTGTTTTTTGGTTAAGCGGGAATTTCATGAGAGAACCCGAATTTGATACTCAAATACATATACTGGCACTCTTTTATGGCAATTACATCTTCTAATCAATTGCATCAAATGCAGACTTCCCTGTTTTATCTTCAATAATCTTACTCTATCAAGAAGTACCCTCGCCGACACTATGGATGGCAACATATTTGGATCTGCCTTAATCCAGCATTTACATTTCTTCTTAAGCAGTGGAAGACATCGATACTCCCAAAAAAATCTACTCCATAGTTGATTGTTAGTCTGACCAGAACGTATCGGCCGTCTTGGAATTGAACCTTCACCCATATCTTGGTGCAACCGTCACGAAATGAGACATTTTAGGACTCCATATAGATCATTCTATAAATGAAAAC